CCTACATCCCCTGTATCTCAAAAATTTACCCTCTTGTAAGATTGTTGGCACCAAGTCAATAAACCGTCTCAATCGTGTAAGAGAAAGAACACCCTCAAAATATTTTGTCTAAACTTAATTCATTTTCCAAAACTATCTTATCCAGCTGCGATTGGTACGTATTCTGATTTGGAAAAAATGTCCCCCGAGACTCAGTCGCGAACGAAATGTTCTTGCCGGTGAACGAATTCCCGCGAGATTAAAGTCGAGTACAAACTCGAGCGGGGAAATCTGCGAGGAAAATTCTCGTTTTGTCACAACGTGCATAAGGTGTAACGTGTTCTTATTCGAGTTGAACGATCGAATATGTTTGGTTTCTAAATAAAGCCTGCTTCATTTGCGATTCGAGGATAGGAGTTTAATTGGTTTTAATTGTTCGTCTGGCACAATTAGGAATTTTCGAATTTTCTCCAGTTGAATTGCATTATAACTTGCTATAAAAATGCGCTATAAAGTAAAAACAATATTGCTCGCAATGTTTGATGTGAAACAATTTATTGATTATGCACGTACTTTGCGGTCAAATTATAAAATCTAATAGATGGTTTACAATCGATTCCTTTGATCGAGCTACCAGCTGCTGGAGAATCCTTTGAAGGCCTTAATCTCACTTTAAGAACGAGTCGCCTAAGCGAAATATGTGGAAGAAAATGATTCTCAAAAACTGCACGAAAGTCATCCAACTCAATGGCAGATGTACTTCACACTAAAATGTCTCATCGTAAATTTAAAGCCCTGCTGTTGTGAAATAAATGCTTACTGGAGAGAGGTGTAGTATATAGGTAAAAAGTGTTTGGAAAGTTTTTTTCTATTTTTAGGGCAATTAGAAGGATGATCATTTTTTAGCGAACGTACGTAAATGTTTACCTAAATGTGGAATTTTGTTTGACAAATTTATCGAAATTATCGAATAGTCATTATTTTTAGTTATTACTACTATCTAATGGTCAATAATATTATCTAATTCATCATCATTCGGCATTTCCGAAATATGCCTCTACAAATAAGAAATTTCTTATCTGAAAATAACAAATTTTGTCGTTTGTTATTGCGAATTTGATAATTGTAATATTTTTATTTAAATAACTACATATTGATAAAATTTATCTCCATTTTAATAATTTTTATATCATTTAAAACCAAGGTTAAATCAATATTACATCATTGTTATTCTACTTATCAAAAAATTCCCACACTCCAATTTTAAACTCATTTAACTAATGTAAACTATTGCAAGATGTTGCAATAATTCTATATCCTAAAAAATGTAAATACTGAATTTATAAAACAAATTCTTGGTAATTATGATTACTTACTTGTGCGTCGTCTAAAACTATACCGTATATTGCAAACGGTATTATATGAGTTACTTGCTAAATTTAAGCGCACCAAAACAGATTAAGAAGAAAGTTGTGGGACTCCTAAAATGCTTTTAGTACATTATAAATTACGTACATTATAAATTAAGGTTTATGCAAAGACATGATTAATTCGAACTTCCGTTCTAGATGATATATTGACACATATTTCCATCGACCACAAACGAGATTTTCGAATATTACCTTCCTACTTATGGCGGGTTAATTTAACCACGAAGTTAAGCGTCGATTTAATATTAATTCTGTTATAATGAACAAGACGTCGCTGCTTTGCTGTAATTTATACGGAATTAAGTGGCTCACCAAAGGGAATATATTAGGCAGGTAGTAAATTATTAAATTGATTTAAGTGTCTTTAGTGGATAAGCCCGAATAGGGTTAGGTAATCAATGAATGAATTCCGATATAAACATGAAATCATGTATATTTTAACAAAACAGAATGTTATGTTACGGATATTATGCATAAACTATGTTAAACAAGGGGCCCGAATACCGGCCAATGTGTAACATTGTATTGAAAATGCAATTTTCTTTTACCATTTTTCGCAATTCCATAAAGTATAATCAATGCAAATTATGAATATAAGCACGTTTTAGTTAGGGAGCCATAAAAGCATAATAGGATATACCGGCTTATAAAAATTTTACATTTTCCTTTTTAAACTTAATTCGAATAACATCGAATACAACGTTCTAAACACTTTACAAATTACATTTGAATACATAATATGAAATTATTGAAGTATCCTAGAGCACAGTTAATTTTTCTATTCTAGTATAGATAGGTAAATCAAATTTCAAAGGCCTTATTCCGAGTTACTGTGGAACTGAAACGAATTGTTCGAGGAGAAAATGCCGATTACATATATCTCAGTGTTTGTGGACGATTACTTCAAACAATAAAAAGGCGATCATATAAAATTTAAACAATGTGCGTTCACACATGAGAAATTAAACTCATTTGTAACTGTTCTCGGTACAAATGACAGCCGTATGTTTTTATGCGAGATTCGGATTAGGGTCATCATTTCTGAAAACATGTACTATAAAATATAAAAATTTTCGACGCTAGTGTTCTTTTATATGTAGTTAAGTTCTTTTTCGTTTAGGGTCTTTGAAGGGTACTAAAACGAAAAAATTTAATGGTTATTCTGGAGGTATGGTGGTTCTAAAATCTTATTACTTATAAAGATTCTTCGGGGCAGTATTACTAAAGGTAATGGATAAAGATAGGATTCAGAATTTTCGCATTTTTAAACGAAAAATTTTAATGTTCTAATTTTTTTAGATTTGCTTTCTATATGAAAATCCTATTCTACTATACATTAATTATATCTCCTACCTCTATTCTTAGTTATATTTCTAATTAAGTTTAATCCTCATAACTAATAGACGTTTTGCGTCTTTCTTGGATTAGGAAGAGCTCTCTAACTTTCCGATTAACTTATTCCCGGAAGTCACTAACCAGCAATTTAATGAATTATGTACAGTTCTCGGAAGATACTAATGATTTTTCTTGCCTCTGTCGTATTAAGGAAATTTAATTAAAAAGTTTTTATCAATTCCTGCTGCGTAATTTCGTTAAAAAGAATATATCGAATTTTTCAAATATTTGAAATATTCCTAATATCTGCAAAGAGGCATCCAGTGTACTATTAATCAATTAATCCCTTGCTTAAATTAAACCTTGTTAAATAAACTTATTATTAAATTAAAGCAATTAAATTAAGTTCCATTTCTGTGACTAAATTTCAAAAGGGTTTCCTTAATTAGAAAACAATGTAGAATTTAATAGGCTTAAAGTTGACTAAATACATATGAACAACCAAATTTATAAACAGTATAATTAGTACCAAACACAAACTAGTAGAGCATATAGGTAGTTACATGCATAGTTAGGTAAAATTTCTAAACCTTCATATTTCCCTACTAATTACAAAATGTTTATTTAAATCCCACAAGCCAACGGTCCCCTAATCGATTATCCCATTAATCTCGTTTCGATACAGCCGAATTAAGGGCCGACAAGAATACGTTGCTTAAAATTAGAATTTCTTCTCGCCGGAAAATTCCTGGCGCGTTATTGAGGCGCTCAGCGCATTTAGATCGGCGAGAGAAGTTATCGAAAGTTGGAAAGTGAAACTTTCGGATGTGATTCGATCGTTTATCCAGATGACATTTGGCCCTTTCTTGATAAAGAGTTCATTAAATTATTCGGGCAAACAGCCGTTTGTCTTTCACGAAAATCCGCTTATGCTTCACAAAATCGTTCAAATTTAATGATTGTTACTATGTCAAATACTACACGAAATTTCACCGAGTTTGAAAGTTCTTGTTTTTATAAATTTTTTTGATTGCTTCACCAATATATCCGTGCATATTAGATTATCTTTCTAATGTAAAACAGTTTGTTATATTCAATATTTGCTCTATTCTTCGCGAATTAAAAGCGAACGAAGACACAAAGATAATTTCTAAATTCCACAAGATAAAACTAACGAGTATTCTCGTACCTACTCTTAAGAAAACGCGAACTTCTCGCCTAATTATGAAATATGTATACGACGAATGAGAAGATGCTGAGGAGACAAATGCGACAACATTAGTCCCTAAACCGTAATAAAGATTAGGACTACGTAAGTTCAGAAAAGTTAAGAGTGGAGAGAATAACATTTCGAGACGCCAACAACGTCATTAGAGCTTGGCGGCTCAAAGGGTCTATGAGAATATTAGAAATTGACGTAGGTTTAAAAGCATTGAAGGAGGTTTGTTACACCTATTAATATTATTACAGAATTAATTCTCATGCGAAAGGAATAATATGCAATTGTCAGATACTATATTTGAATATTGCGATTAAAAGGAAGAAATTTAATACAATTTTAAAATGTTTCGATTCCACATATTAATTATGATTTTGATGAAAACGAATTGACTAAAATTTCAATAAAAAGTTTACGACTAACGCAATAATTTATTTCGTTAACGTGATAACTTTCGTATGCTTTCGTTTATTCAATACCCTATCGAGTATCGAGTTTATTCAGAATTTTTTGTTCATTTTGGTTTTCGTCAACGCGATGCGGCTTTGTTAACATGAAACAGCTTAACGAATCCACCATATATCAAAATTGTTTCCATTTTTCATTCTCACGAACTGATTTATAGCCGGAAACAATATTTCTGTTACGGGAAATCTGGATTTACATCATCGAGATAAAGCACCTATACCTGTAGTTTTGACGAACGCGTAATGCTCATCTGCTATAACTGAAATGGAAAAATTAAAATGCTAATTTCCTAATTAAAATTTAATTGTCGGTGGGTTTTCTTATGGTTTTTGCAGCGGTTTTATTCAGTATCGTCAGTAATTAAAATGCGAAAGATATCTAAATTTGAATTGTTTTGTAAGAAATTAACATTGAAATCATTTTCTTTTTCTTTAGATATTCGTCGTGTCGCTTCGGCTCTGTTTAATAATCTTTGGTATTCCGAAAATTATAAATTACCTTGGATTCATCGATAGCCTTAATAGAATAGAATAGAATTTATTAACTTAACTGGGTTATTTTTTTTTCAGAATATACCGTGCGCATCTCCGGTATGTTTAGGAAGTGTTATGGCCCCATCAACCAGGAACGACATTCGAACATCTCAAGATGTAATCAAGCAAGCAAAAGATTTTTTAGATCAATATTTTACTTCAATTAGAAGGTAAATTGTTTTTTTTTATTTTCCAATTTTATGCGGCATTTACATAACTAAACAGTAGATTTTTACTGCTTTTCCATTAATGAACACAAAGATTATGATTGGATTTTCTAACTCAAATCTTAAAGAATTAATGATATAGATATCTATCATTGTTTTCTATTTAATTAAAATAGAATATAATCATAATCCTTAACAGTGACTTAAAATTTGATGTTAATGAAACATACACACTGAAAACAATTATTAACCGTTAGATAATGCGCGTAAAATACACACAGCATGTCGCTAATTTGAAAATATTTTGTTTACCAATAATCTCTGTTCCATCACGAGTCGATATCTAATTATATTAATGTCTTATATCACGTACTGGAATATTACAAACTAACATTGTGTTTTGCTAATATTGATGATGGAAAATTCTAATTTGAAATTAATTAATCATACACGAAGGTGCAAATTAATCCGTGTAAAATCTTGATAAAACTTCCCTGCGCGAAGTTGTTGACTACATTAAAATAAATTGAATAGAACTCCATAGAATATTACTTTAAAAGCAAATTGGGGCATTTTGGTAAAAATATGGAACAGTTACATCTTAAGTTGACCGTTCGAAATCATGTTTAGTTCATCAGATGAATGTCCTAATTAAATAACAATGAATGTTTTACTTCCGAAATCCTCCGCAGATTAAGGTCGATTCGACCAAGGAATGAAACGTAAAGACGAAAATTTTCCTACCTCCTTGTAAAAAACATTTCTCGGCGACTGAAAGCTATAAAAAAACACATCAAAAGATATTACACGAGAGTTCATCGGAACTCCTGCTGGCTCGTTCTGGTTTTTTATTTTCGGGCCGAGGAAAAAGTTCCGCGCCGACACGGGCATTGCTTAACTTATTTAATGATTATTGGCCACTTGTGATTCTTGCATTAGATACTCGAGCGATTTTACATCGAAAACAGATTTAACGTTGTTTAATCAAGATCCTATACCCTTCCGCTTTTAGCTTACGCCTTCTCCGCTTTATATTATTTTAAATAATTCAATAATACTTATATTTATTCTTACTAATTCCGTTATATTGTCTTTTAATGGATGTACATAGGTAGCAAAGCGAATTTCACTCTTACAAATTCAATCTTCCGATTATTTTCATCAGATCGTGATAGTTTGCTCTGAGCTTGAGCTCTCACTTCGATTTTATTATTGTCGTTTATCGTTTCTGATTACGCTTCCTGCAGCATTATCTCGTTAAGGAATAGGAGAACTACGTCTTGTAAATTTACAGCGAATAAACGTCACGTAAGCAATATAACTGATTGTCGTTTATTGCGAATTCTGTACACCGAGGAGTATTGGAAATATCAATTTTTCTTTAAGTTTTATGGTAATTTATTACCATTCAATTTTTTATTATTTTTAAATATAAAGTAAGTCTGAAATGGACTATCACTATGAGAAGTGAATCGTAGTTTATTACGTAGACAAATATTTTCTTTCTTTGTCATTTCTGCAATCAAAAATAGCGAACTCCTAGATATACCCGTTTGTTTCGAAGGTGGGAAGATCGATACTGCAATTAGGAATTATTAATTCGAAGCGGAAATTAACCCATAACAGAGTAATTGGTTTCCAGATACCAGACGGTGTTTTCTTTACTAGTCCTTTCAACCAGTGCAACCTAATTATACAGGAACGCTCCGTTATAATTTAATCGGTCGAAGCCCAGTTAGAACACAAGGAGCATCAGGAAGTTTCAGAGATCCTGATGATCGCATTTAGATACATCTATCACTGATTTACCCTAAACAGCAAACTTTTTGAGTCTATTCTTTTATGCATTTTACCATTTTTTAATGGTTTGTTCTTACCTAAATTCAAGTGTATATACAGAATTTGTCCTAAATGAATTTACTGCTATAATTATTGTTCATTATGACTATTCATAGAGCCAAAAAGTACCTAATATTTATTCAAAATTGATAATTACTTATTATTGCCATACTGCTTTTTGAGCATAATCATTGTTTGTTATTAAGAGCTTCGTTCGTATAAAATTACCTGCTGCATATTCATATACCTACCTACCATTTATAGAATTTTAATGTTGAAATATGTATTTGTTTTATTATAGGTATACAAAGTTCGACTACATAATTGTAATCTGTGGTTTAATCAAAAAGTTTTAAAGTGTAATCACTAAAGCAGAACTTTTTAATTTATGATCTATTTTTTTAAGTCTAATAAAAATAGGCAACGTTATTTTAAGTCAAAACTCACATGCAGTGTGTTTCATTTAAATGCTAGAGCAAATGGTTGGTTAATCCGGTTTTAATCCCATGTAGGAAAATTTGTTCTACAATGAGTTTCAGCAATTAAACAGCTAGAGTTTTTCCCTAATTAAACAAATTTAATTAGAATATTTTGAGTGTACAATAAAATGTTGATTCAAATAATTGTATAAACAGTTATTTATTTAATTTGATTTTACGCAGCTCATATTTTAATTTTAATTGGATTGAATAACAGAGTAGTATTTTTAATAAAAATCTTCAAAATTACGAATTGAAAAAAATACTATCTATATTTTATAAATTGCAAGCTCAGTGCCCAGGTAATAATCATCAGTAAGATACCTGAAGCTCAGCACAGAGTCTCAATAGTACTGAGGTTAAATATCAGAGATTTGCTAAAAAAATCTATCTAATAATGTTTAACATAATAAGAGTAATCTACTAAATAGCCATCTGGGATAAACAATGTTCATCAGACAATCGAAATTTCCTCTAATAACATTTGGCTTATAATTATAATTAGCGTTTTGGTTCATAATAAACGGGTTGCATTGGTAATATTTGTGCTACGCTTTAATGAGGCGGTGAAATTTATCAAATAGCTGGTGAAAATTCCTAACGCTTCGAATTCAAACGCTAAGTAAATATTCATTCCATCATTATCTTCAGTGTGTTTCTGATTCGGCTCGGAATTCTATATTGGGTTGTATTATATTCATGTAATTGAATTTTATACTATTCCAACTTCATCCATTATGTTATGAACTTTCACTTATAATGAAATCTCATTTCTATTAAACGGGCTCCGTTAGAGATTATTTTCACGCAGTTGAAATGCGGAACAATAGACCGCTTTGCAATAAATAAACGAGTGTTTTATTAAACGTCGTTGAAATTATTAATATAATATAGATCAATTATTGTAAATTAAATGCAGACCACTTTTGTTAAGTGGGTAATACAAACAAATCCTCTGTTATTAGATAAGGGAAAACAAAAGTGAGGAATCTTCCTCTATAAACCCAATGTTTTCTAATAAAGAAAAATGGGAATCTAATTTTTCTCGGAGCAAGAGTAGTTGTGGTGTGAATTCGAATTAGGAAACATCTTGGTTTACTTTACAGTTTATAGATAAATTTCATGAGTGCCAATTTATTTTAAATGACAGGAATTCAATAAAATTCAACATAAATAAAGCGCAAATATTTTCGATAAATTTAATGTTCATATTTCTGTAATAAAGGCGGTTAACCTATAAAGGAGAAATTTAAATGATAAAGCAACCGAAAGGCATCGCGATTTTCGAAGTGAATTGATAAAAATCGCGCAGGATGCAGTTTAAAAGGAACGTTCTCATATGCATTTAAAGTGCCCGATAAAATCGAGGCGTTTGATATAATGAATTTTAACCGTCGACGTTCTTTGAAATACGTTTTTAATATTTCACTTTCATATAAAAAAATGGTGGAAAATCGTTTTTGAGTTTATAGAAACGGAAAATTTCGATTCGCGGCCGGTAAAAGTATAATTGACAAGCGTAATTGAAAATAATCGCATTACCTGTATTACCATTCCATGCATCACATTCGATTGTCATTCGATTGCATTCTTTGCAAACTTTACAAAAATCGATTTGCGGATGTAACAAACCGTGTTTTACCAGACAAAGAATACTTTCGCATTACAAATGCGATTCACATTTGTCCACAAACTTTGTGGAAGTTTCGGCTTTGAAAACTATTCCCACAGGAGTGCCTATAGTTTTGTGTGCCGGAATATTGATTGATTGATTTTATTGGGTTCTACGCAGATTATTTATGAACTTTCGACTTACAAGAACTTTTATGGAATTATTGAATCAACAAACTCTCGATGCGATGCTAATTGAATTGTAATTGCAATATCAATGAAAATTTTTACAAAAAATGCATCTGCTGATAATCGAATTATTCAATTCAGCGACATTTTATATTGTACCTAATGCATTTCGTAATATCTTACTCTAGAAATTTAATTAATAAGCCCATTATCTTCGTAAAGTAACGGATAAGTGACACTCATTCAGAAATAATTAAATTTTCATTACCAGTTGCTCTGATTTCTATAAGGAATATTCCTAATATACATTTACCTTCTCGAATCCATCGGATGCAAATATTCGTTTGGTCTAACCAATTTATACTACTCTCAATAAGGTAGCAGTTTATTACCTAACTTGAGTATCCAAGTTTATTAGCTAATCACGCAGTAGCATTTATAGATTCTCTTTATTATGCATATCGAGCGGTTAAAACTATATTATGTTTAATAACGCCAGAAGTAATGCTCGGTGGTGCAATTCGTTGAATGAATTATTTGATTAGTTAATTTAACCGTAAAGTTTGAAACTCGCTGGAATTCAAGTAGAAGAACGCAGAGTAGACGTTATTTTCTTTATTAATACAAATATTTATCCAAAAATTCAAGTGAATGAAGAAAAAATTGGTGTATGCTTGAATTCTTGAATTACTCTTATATATAATTTTTGGCAAATCCTGTCGATATTGGAATTTAATTGGAAAAGGCAAAAAAACAAAAAAATGGTAGTGAAAATATTGTGTAATATGGTAGTGAATATTTTTTTTAATTTAAATATCACTATTAATTATTATTTAATTATCTTGTAAATTGTATTTATCCAAAAGCGAGGTAATTCCTGTTTGCATATAAATTAATAGGTAATTAAAAAACTAATGATAAATATTAAAAAAACCACATCATAGAAGCCGCAGGATTATATGCTTGCATGCATAAGTTTTGAATTATAACAATTGCATATTTTACAAAAAAAATCATTCAAACGTAATTTTGATTTTAAAATATAATTATTTTGTTCATTACATATTTACTACTTATTTCGATTTATTTGAACGTAATAAACAGTTAATGAATAATAATCAACGAGTAAGTAGGAATAATAGAGTTTTATTATTATCTTATTTTAATTATTTTAATTAAATATTATATTTTATTAATAGTAAAATAAATAATATTTTCAATTACCACCTATAAAAAGGCATTATCACGTAAATTAATAATAATTTCAAAATTCTGAATAACAAAGGATGTTATTTTACACCAACAATTCATACAGTAACTTTTAAATTCTTATTTTGTTTCAATATGGTTAAATAAAAAAATTACTTAGCCGAAGTCGTGACGGGAAATCGTGTACGATTTTCCGGAGTGAATAAAACATTCATGAAATCGAAATTTCCCATCCGGAAACTCGATTAATTTATGCAAAAACGGGGTCTCCCTCGTTCGAATAAAGTTTCCCTTAATTTCAGATCTGACAGTCCCGCTCATTTGGTGAGGTGGGAACAAGTACAGAAGGAGATCGCTACGACGGGCACTTATCAGCTCACGGAGACCGAGCTCGTCTACGGAGCCAAATTGGCCTGGAGGAACGCCGTGAGGTGCATCGGACGGATACAATGGTCGAAATTACAAGTAAATTGCGACATATCTTATTCAATCCGATAGGTTTACAGGTTGTTAAGCAAAGCAAAAATCGTTAGAAACTGTCCCAAAAACAACATTGATATTAGCCAGGTTAAAATATTTTTTCATTGTAAGTTTTGAACAAAACTTTATACAGAATTGAGCTTGGGATGAATAATACCAAGCGCCTCTACAAACTCTACAATGCCTTTAGAACTCAATTTTATTATTTTCCTAACCTATAGTCATAACTTTCTCTGTAAATAGCAAAATCCACTACTGTTGTACACCAGACTTTTATAATCATTTTTTCACAAAAAAATCCCGATAGTTTCAACACATCGCCCAAGTGTAATAATGGATTTTATTATAGTAGTTATGGAAACATGAATTTGTGGCTGAAACTCTATTTGCTGTTCTGCGTCGACACGACGAGAAGAGTCAATCCGAAAAACCAACAAATATTGTTGCATTCGGTTTTTTTGTAACCGAACCAGCCGCAATTCTGTTTGGCATTTATGCCAGTGAATGTTTATTCGCGTTTGAGATTTCATCGGAAATTATTTTAGTAATGAGAAACTCGGAATCGTAAATCATGGCAAACAAGCTGCGAGTTTATTAGTAGTCTAAGAAAATAAGACGTATAGATTTAGTTTCTTTTAATACCAGCTTTCGGGGAAACATTCCAATTTGCCGGTTAATTCGAAATACTTAATAAAGGTTCATTCATTTGAAGCGGTGTATTCAAAAAAATTGTTGAATGATTTAATTGGTATTTTTTATTCCACATTTTTAATTAAAATTAATTAAATTCCAAAAGTTCAATTCACCCGATGAACTTTTTTCGAATCAAAGTAGATGTGGTTGGAGCTTTAATGTGGCAAAGCTGTAAAAATTCTTTAATGGAAAAAACACCATAAAAGCTTATATTATATAAAATGTGTAAAGAGCATTTAGCTGCATATTTTGAAATTAGTATAATAATTATTAGAGTGGTAACACCGTAATATTTTATAGTTGTGTTTAATTAAAAGTACGTATATTTTGAAGATGCAAAATCATGTTGTTTTTTAAAATGACAAAATTTTAAAATATGTATCAATAGTACTAAAAACTACCATTACCTAACAAATATTGTACCTACTCTCATCTCTTATCAAAAGGAACTTTTTTTACAATTGAGTCCGTTCGGACAAAATCCCTAAATAAACCGCGAAAATACGTAATGAAAGCTCTACTGTTGGTGCGGTGTTCGCTTATCAAAATGATTTTCTGTCGTTCACTCTGTGCTCTGCAAAATTGAGAGGGTGGCGTATTATTTCCTAGCGCCGAGGATTGTTACAATCGCGCGTTTTTTCCCTCGAAGTTTCTCTATATCCGTCTACATTTCTGTTTAGCACTGAAAAGGTATTCATTGCAAAATATTAATTTTTCTAAAATCGAAGTGGATATTTGACGTGCGAGCATAGAAAATATTTCTTTCTGCTTTTCATCTAAAAATGTCACAATAAAAACGTGCACATTTTTAGCTAATTTTCAGCTAAGTTTTAATTTGTTCGATTTCGACTTGTTTCTTGGTACGTAATTTTTATTTTTCATCTCATATTTGATTTTTGATGAAAAATTATTCCTTGTTGTATTTCTTTAGATTGTTACAATAAAGGTTTATTTTATGAGTTGCTAATTTTAAATATTAGTTTTTTAATACTCGAGTTTAAGTCTCTATTCAATTATATTTTAAGTAGATTAGAAAGTTTCGTAATTTACTCAGAGTCTCCCAGCAATGTCTAGACTAAAATGATATCATTTTCTTATAAGTACCTACATATCTATGAGCATTGATAAGGTTTCATTAAACTTGAGATCATATTGTTCATTTCGTTCGAAACTTTCCATTTAACTATAATTACCTAGTCAAATACACTCTTCTATTAAGTTGAAAACCTTTAAAAAACTTGGAAGCTAACGATGCGTCAAATCAGATCAAAAACCTTCGAAATTTGCTCAGCCCAAGAACACCCTGCTTAAAAAAACACAAATTACTTCTACCTCGAATGCAGGAGAGATTGATCCAAACGTAGACGCAGACAATTCCAGGGGCCCATATACCCTTGTCCTATACCGTCCGACTCGTTCTAAACACAAACTGATTAATCCGCATCAGCATTTTGACGTTTCTTGTTGTCGACGAAAGAGAACCAACCGGATAGAGTTTTTTACGTCAACGATTGACTGCTTAATACGTCCGTCACGAAATCCTCATTCCAGAAAAAGGTCTAAAAAAAGGGTTTTTTTTTTCGGCCAATGATGTTAAACCTCCCCCCGTGATCTGCCGTTTGTTTTCCTCATTGTGTAATCCACGGAATTAATTAGACTAACGTCGTGTGCTGGTTTTTGAGGTTCAACCGTTTAAATTCAGGTGTAGCTGTTGAAAAAGTCCAATCTGTGGAGTACTTGTAATTAATTGAATAATTATTTAGTTGTGTCCTGCACATATAATAAAAAAATAGGAATAATTTCTGGATCAATTTAGGTAGCTAATAGTTAGCAGAAAAATTCCAAGAAACTATGTTATTTTTTAATTGCTAATACAGTGAATTTACTATGAATTTTTCGATGGTAGGTACATTTTAAGTAGTCATCTGTTGCGAGGATTCAAGAATGGAAGACATTGGCGCTATTAAAATTTTAATTTATTTGCAGTTGAGACTAAAAATCTACAGTCAATCATAATTCTTCGAAAATTATGTTGACTTTTCAAATATCTCTGAGCTAATAAATTAGAGATTTCGTTCCCTCTATGTAGATAATGAGGGGTTTTTAAGAAAATGGAGCAACCAATAATAGCTCCCTTTTTCAGGTGAATGAAGCTTATAGGGAAAAATTAAATTAAATTTAACTGAATGTATGATTAAATAATTAATATTATCAGTTTAATTCATTAAAAGTATCTTGTATTACCTACTTTTTTACTTATGGTGGGGATACTTAGTTATAAACTATCTATTAAAAAGATATATTATGTTACAAAAGTAGAAACGATTTTGAAATAATCAACGTTTGAATTGATTTTTCATCAAAGTTTACGTCATTCAATCTAATTTGTACCTCCTGATTGTTATCAGAAACTACACAAAAACTAATCAAACTTTTTACAAACTGTGCAAACCGGAATATTTTTCCGAACAAAAGGAAAACTGATAATTCAAAAATAGGTACCCAATTAAAAAAGTTGATAATATTGATTCCCAATAAAAGACCGAATAATGAGGACAACTAAAGAACATATTTTTAAAGCTTACTTCTCATTACTAAAACTAAATCGTTTCGGAATGTTGCTCTTAATCTATCTAAAAAAGGGATTTTTACGCTAACGTTAGAGTCGGAAACATTTACCAAGAGACTTTTTTGGTAACAGCATCCTTTAGAATTTGTTTGGGCTGAAAGAAAAACCGGGAAAAACCTTTAAACCGAAAAATCAACTTCTTTTTTCAGACATCCACTGTAATAACTAATAGCTTATCCACTTCAATTCAATCAAATAAATTTCATAGATTTCATCACACCATACAAAATTTGGAACTATTCAGGATTTATATACAAAATTCAGCTAACAATTTTATTTATTTTAAAAATTCGCAAATTATGCAAATAACGGCGATCGTTTACTGGAATTATCGGAGAAAATCCGAATAATGATTGCAACGACATCCAATTTAGGTTTCGAAAGAGAGACTCGCTCGCAAAAAACGGATAATCTGGAGCACAAATAATTTGATCGACACCCTCTCAAAGGGGTTTTGTCTGGCGCTTTTTAATCGATTGGCCAGACAGTAATTCGAATTAATGCAAAGTGTTATCAAATTTACACCTTATTTGCAAACATAAATTATACCGTTTCTAATGCATTTACCTACTGCACGTTCGCTTTATACATAATTGCAGTAAATTAATTACTTGTAATAGAATTTGCAACAATTTGCAGACGGTAATGTTTGCTAAAGTAGAGTAGCGTAATAATTTATTTAGCAGAAATTCTATTAATTTAACAATTTTGCTATAACTCAATTCCATTTTTCTTATGGTTAAAAATATAATGAACACATATTTTGCACTTTAAAATGTTATTACATTTCATCATATTTTTAATACATTTAAATTCCACTTTTTTCAAATCAATTCAATTTTATAATAGTACAACAATGGAACCACAACTCTCAATCTTTCATTTGTGGCGGATCGTATACGCCAGTTTTTGTAAGGAGATCCTTCTGTATGCGACAGGAAAGAAAAGTTTGTATTAATGTAAACATCCGAGGGGATTTTTAGATGTACAGCCTGTGTAATCCTAAATAATCCCAAAAAGTTTGAGTGCGTTCCGGAAAAAACAGGGAATTCTTCTTGAAGATGCGGAATAGCAATGAGGATACTTGTACACATTTATACGTTCTTCTGTGAATAAGTGGATTATGTTCAGTTATTGATAAATCGGCATGTTTTGCGTTTTGTGCTCAACAGTAAGGAGTGGATGTATTTTCAACGTGGAAATATATTTTATTGAATAAAATAAACTGAACTTTTTAGTTATAATTCAAGATAAATAGACTCTTAGTATCTCAATAGCGTATTTTCTCTAGGATTATCATGGCCTTCGCCAATTTTTACAACTAATCAACTCAACCAACGTTTTTTAAAAATGCCTAACAAACGGTGAAAAACGCGCCCCGTTAACTCTTTCAATTTAGGACACCCTTCAGTGATGCATTTTTAATTTTTCTTGTCCGAATAAAGCTTCTCCTAAAATATTAAATTCGACCAGCTCGCACGTTTCCCATCAGATTTAAATCGTGACGGCTACATCAAAATAATAAAAAGGGTCGTTTTTGGAAAATAAAAATTAATTATACATTCGTTTCGTATATTGTTTTCGTGAAATTATTTACATGCGTTCTGTCTTACGCAGGTTTTCGACTGCAGATCCGTGACCACGACCAGTGGAATGTTCGAAGCCTTGTGCAATCACATAAAATACAGCACCAACAAAGGGAATATAAGGCAAGTATACGCTGGTTAAAAATTATCGCAGGGAAATCGGAAGGAAACTTTAGTAAGTATAGTTTCGTAAAAAGGGGAAATGTAAAAGAGCAACTGAATTTTCGTATCGCCCAGGATGATAAATTAATGTGACAAATCCAAGAGTTAACCTACACTTTATCACTGATAAGCTTTTCCAGACAAATTTACACGTTAACTTACGTCTAAACTTCAAAAGCCTCGGAGAAACGTAGGTGTGAATCCATGATTTACGACCAAGCCTGTTTCAATGGTTTCACTATTACTTTGATACATTTTTTTACTATAAAAATGTTCGTTTCAAAAATAAAACCGGCTGTAAATTTGAAAATTTATCTTTCTGAAAACTAAAAAGAAATCCAGAAGTAAACGTGCTTGTTATTCAGATAAGCATCTCATTCAAGTATGTCTTTACGGTTTGCTATGAATGAAATTAACAGCGCTCAGGATTAAACATTTCGGGACTGTAGTTATCTCTAGAGCGTACAATTCCGCCCTCTTCTTATCTTTTACGTAGAAAAGAAAAAGTGCCGATTCGCTAAGCCAACAGAGAGCAATAACCAATAAATCTTCCTGTTCTCAACGCCGTGTAAAAATAAATAACGGTATAACAAGCCCCGTACTAAACACAAGGAAGGAAGCGTGCTCCGGATCGTTGTCAGGATTTATGCGCCGTTAGTTGCGTTCTCAAAAATAATAGCTGATTTGACGGCGTTTTTAATGATATTGAAACGATACAGGCTAAAAACAGCGAGGTTCTGTTGCGAAAACTCATGGGAAAACTGGCAACTAGTTTTGAGATAAATAGATATCTACTAAAGTATTTCCAGCAACATGATATAGTAATCTGTTCAGCAGCACATGTTTTATTTTAATGTAACACTTTTAATGCAAGCAAACAATACTTGCAGGATTTATTTTCATAATGCGGTAAAAGTGAATGAATTACGTTGATAAGCTTTTAATGTACACTGCATTTTTCTTTGCTTACTCCAAAAATTTATTATGATTGTAGTTTTAATATCGCGACAAGAAGAAAACGGGAATTAAGTAGAAAATAAATCGTGCGGTCAGCCTAAAAATCTTTGCGAATAAATTACGTCTTTGTGCAAAATTCCGCATTCGTTACAGATCGGCGATCACGATTTTTCCTCAAAGGACCGACGGGAAACACGACTATAGAGTTTGGAATCCGCAGCTGATTGGCTACGCTGGATACCGACAGCCGGACGGCTCCGTCGTCGGCGATCCCATTAACGTCGAGTTTACGGACTTGTGCTTGAAGCTGGGCTGGAAAGGGCAAGGCGGCCGATTTGATATATTACCGCTCGTACTTTCCGCCAACGGTCACGATCCCGACTATTTCGACATACCCAAGGAGTACGTACTCGAGGTTCCGTTCAGCCATCCGGAGTAAGTTCATCTTTTTGCAATACAACCGCTCGGAGTTAAATAGGTTTTGCTACATTTAAAGCGGAAGTATATAATTCCTCCTTTGTAGGTACGATTGGTTCGAAGGGCTTGGTTTGAAATGGTACGCTGTTCCGGCTGTGTCTGGTATGATGTTTGATTGTGGCGGTCTTCAATTCACCGCTGCGCCTTTCAATGGTTGGTATCTCAGCACAGAGATTGGCTGCAGGGACTTGTGCGATTCGCACAGATATAATATGTTAGAGGTAAGAGATGATTAATGAATAAATACGTCTTTTTTATTGTAAATCTCCTCAATACTAGATTATCGCTACTCACATGGGATTGGACACCAGAACTCCAGTTACTCTATGGAAAGACAAAGCCTTAGTAGAAACAAATCTGGCGGTTATTTACAGTTTCCAGCAGAAGGAAGTTACCATTGTGGATCATCACACGGCTTCCGAATCGTTCATGAAGCATTTGGAAAATGAAAATCGATTGCGTAACGGTTGCCCGGCCGATTGGGTGTGGATAGTACCTCCTCTATCCGGCTCCATTACTCCAGTATTCCATCAAGAAATGGCTTTGTACTATTTGAAACCGTCTTATGAATACCAAGTAAGTTATTAACAAAAATTAATAACATATACAACATTAAATTAATTACTGAACTTTCTGCAACATCTGATATATCTCTATTATTGCCTATCATACATTGAATCCTCTTCGCTTGAATCATAATGTGATAAATTATCGTTTTATCGTAGGTATTCTACGAACGGTTAGTTACTTATAAATTGTATTTAATCCACATAGATACACTAAAGTGGAACATAACGTATATTCCGAAGACTTAATCCTGAAAAGAGTGATCCCGACGAAGTGATTTCGTTTTTTCGGTTCGTGAGTTTTTCTCTCGTCGGAAGGGGCTCTATAATTAGATCGTTTTCTGATATGGAAACAAACTGGTGAATAAAATCGTAACCTCGAGGAAAAAAATTGTTATTCGAGAGCGGTCACGCGGGAAATTTGTTTGCACTTCGGCGTGCAGATGGGCTTTCAGGGGATTATTAGTGGCGGTTGGGATATATGGACACTATAAGGATATTGTCAATAGACTCGAGAAATTTAGTATTATATTTTGGTTGTTGTCCAGGGTAATACATTTATGTTTTGAGTGCATAATAAAATAACTCTCTTTGCAGGAACCTGCTTGGAAAACGCACGTGTGGCAGAAGGGCAGGGATTCCGGCAAAAGCAAAAAACCGCGAAGAAAATTCCACTTCAATCAAATCGCTCGGTAAGCTTTATCTATCGCATTTTTAGCAGAATTCCAGGCATTTCGGTGGGTTTTTTTCAGTGCCGTCAAGTTTACGTCGAAACTATTCGGGAAAGCGTTGTCGCGTCGCATCAAGGCCACCGTTCTGTACGCCACAGAAACCGGAAAATCCGAAAGTTATGCCAAAAAGTTGTGCGAACTATTCGGACACGCGTTCAACGCCCAAGTGTACTGCATGTCCGATTACGACATTTCCAGCATTGAGCACGAGGCGCTCCTGCTGGTCGTCACGTCCACGTTCGGTAACGGCGACCCGCCCGAAAACGGAGAGGTAATGGACATTTATTTCATTATCTTTTTGAAAAAAAATTGTACGAATATTTTAGGATTTTGCTAAAAATTTATACACGATGAAAATGACGGAGAATGGTATATCAAACGGCGATCCTGATAACATAAGGTAAGACGCTTTTCTATACTTTTCAAAGGAATCGATTACTACTTCAACTTCTACTCGGATTTCATTCGAAACAAAATTAAATGTTCGCTATCTGATTGATCCCATTTATACAAATTTACACTTTAACCGGTGTTAATACCAAGCAATTAAGGTCCGTTCGTAAGAGCCCTAAACTAATATTTTGATTCAGTATGGCGACATCGAAATCCTTCATAAAAGTCAACAGTCAAAGCGATTTACCGGCAAAAAGCAAAAAATTAGATAGATTAAATTCTTTAAGGGGATCTCTTCTCAGTGAACCACTTTTAGATGATAGTTTTGGACCTTTAAGTAACGTTAGGTAAGCGTGACAGCATGCCTGTCAGGATTTGATTGCTGATGATTCTTCGTATTAATGTTATCTGTTTTATTGACGCAGCGTAACGCATTTTAGAGATAAAAAATGTTGTTCAATTTTCCAAAAAAATCACAACTTGGCATTATTCAGATATCAGAAAACCCTTATAAAGCGCCCCCAATAAGTTAGTACTATTCAGGATGAGTAAGTTCTATTAGTCTCATATGAAGGAAAAAGAAAGAGTAATATTGGTTGATTGAAATTTTCTTTCTAACAACTGTTATTTTAATAATCTTTTAACATAACAACTAATCAAGATGGTTAAAATTTAGTTCTTTAAAGACTTAATTGTTTGTATAAAATTTGCAGATCATGTTTTTGTTAAAATGGGTTCAAATATGTACATTGGTGGATCAAGTTTTTCAATTTTTTTACATTAAATTTTTTCCTTCTGAAAATTTCATATTGCAGTCTGTTCCTAATGTGAGTGTACCTACCTGAGGTTTTTTATAAGTATCCGTTACGTTGCGTCAATTCTTAAATTTTCATATGAATTGCTGCTAGTGCAACTGCATTCTATTGCATGGCATGTAGTTTGATGTATTTTGACTATAAAAATTAGTAAAATATTGCTGTAAATAAAATTTTGATACAGGCGGTTCTACGACTGGTGCATCGGACTAAAGTTCTCAAACTATTTAATTAAAAAAATCATGAAAACATATGTATATTGTTACCACTTTCCTCCCACACTGTAGCATTGATTTCTAGAAATTTTTGGAATACACTATAAAAATACAATTTTAACGCAAGAATACAATTTAACACATTATTTTCAATGATTGTTTTTCCCAAAATATATCGTGGTTTGAGAGCCATAACAATTCGACAGACTAGTTGTGGAACATCAGTATAAATAAGTGTTTGGTACACTTTACTCAAAAAATGTGGCTTTTCTTAAGAGCCATTTCAGGTCTCAATTAGTGCCCGCTTGAAAATCTAATTACTATCTAGGCCACTGTAAGTAGCGAAACTAACAGAATAACTGAATGCTGGAAAATTTCTTTTATTGCGCTGCTTACCAAGTTTTAAGTGTGAAAAGAAAACGCATTGTGTATAAGCTACCCTATGGCTAAAATACTTTATACTTTCTATTATGCATCTAAAATTATAAAATATTTTCTAGTTAAAAACTTTTTTTTTAGCTTCTGTATATCATTAGAACATGGACAAGTATGAAATTCCATTAGTAAATTTATTACATTATATTTCACAAGAAAAGAAAAATATACTATCTTAATCACTAAGGAATGCGTTCAGTAATTAAAATCCACAGAACTCCATTTGGTGGTGTATGCGCATTAAATATCTTAAACATGTCCCAACCGTTTATGTAAAGTTCTAATTGATTTTGGGAGAGAAATCGCCTCGGCAAGTCACAGTTTGTCGATCGGAGCCGCGTTGAAACCAGCTAGTTTGTAATTGAATTCGTATTTATTGCTGCGATTCCGACCGTCCGCTAGCTATGAATTTACCCAGAGTTATGGATCTGTGTGGGACATAAACGGCATAGTTCAATTTATTTTTCTATGATTTACAATTTGAGGAAAAATGGAAAATCTGCCTGTTTATAATTCTACCTTTGTACATAATTTAATTTTCGTAGCTACTTGTAACTAATCCCTAAGTAAGATCGCTGAAGCTTCTCTGCCTCTTCACTAGCAAAGAAGCATGGCCGATAAATGCACGCTCAAATATCCTTTATACGAACACACACAAAAGCTAAATTAGTACACGATTGTGTTTTAGATTCGCCGTTTTCGCATTGGGATCAAGTGCCTATCCGAACTTTTGCGCTTTCGGAAAATACGTGGATAATTTATTAGGCGAATTGGGCGGAGAACGCCTTATGAAACTGAGCACGGGCGACGAAATGTGCGGGCAAGAACAGGCTTTCAAAAAATGGGCGTCACAAGCCTTTAAGGTAATGTAGTACATAAATTAAAATTATTTTATTAACAAAGAGACGTTAGAGTACATGCACAGTTAGCCAGCTCTAGCCCAATGGGATAGGTTTCAGAGCTACAAACTTAATAAGTATGTAATATAAAATTTTGTTTTATTCAGGTGGCTTGCGATACATTCTGCCTCGACGACGATGGAACAATTTCGGAGGCTACCATGACGCTACAAAGCGAATCCCTGACAGCAAACAACGTCAGACTAATCAATTCCAAAGAGATCTCGTTAGTTTCAGGTTTAGCTAAATGCCATAATAAAAAAGTATGTTTACTCCTTACATTTAACATTTGGTTTGGAAACTTAACGTGTCTTTGCAGGTAACGGCTTCTCAACTTTTCCGAAGGACGAATCTTCATGGAGACAAATCTTCGAAAGCTACATTGTTGCTGGAATTTAAGAGCAACCTGCCCTACAAGCCGGGCGATCATTTGGGCGTATTCGCTTGTAATAGACAAGAATTAGTAGACGGAGTTATTAGCAGATTGAAAGGCACGAACGATCCAGATGAACCCCAAGAAATGCAGATATTACAAGAAACTCACACTTCGAACGGTTAGTTAGTATAAAATTCCATTTCTTGCTGTAACTTATACAGTTGTTTTTAGGTGTGTTGAAATCGTGGAAACCTCACGAACGTTTACCAGCTTGCTCGCTCAGGCAACTATTTAGTTATTATTTGGACATAACGACTCCGCCTAGTCCGAATTTGCTGCAGCATTTCGCTTCGATTGCCACCGACGCGGAGGAAAAGAAGAAACTAAACTTACTGGCCAGCGTAAGTTTATCTTCACTTTTATTGTTGAAAATTAACTCGGTTCTTTGCAGGATTCGGCGGCTTACGAGGATTGGCGTCATTGGAGCCTGCCAAATCTGTTAGAAGTTTTAGATGAATTTCCTTCAGTCGAGCCGTACGCACCACTTCTTATAGCGCAATTGAGCATTTTGCAGCCTAGGTTCTATTCGATATCATCGAGCCCTATACTGCACCCTAAGGAAGTACATTTGACAGTAGCCGTAGTTGTTTATAAAACGAAAGGTTCTTATCTCTTTAAATTTATTTAATCAGCGGTCACAATATTTTTTTTGTAGATGGGGAAGGAGAAGTTCACTACGGTGTGTGCTCTAATTACTTGCAAGATGTTCCTATAGATTCAGAGGTTCTAATGTTTGTTAGAAGGTAATTTTACCTAATAATAAAAAGGCTATTTTTATTAATTTATTTTATTTTTAGTGCTCCCGGATTCTATCTACCTAATGATAGTAATATTCCGGTTATTCTTGTCGGTCCCGGAACAGGAATTGCTCCGTTTCGAGCGTTTTGGCAACATCGATTTGCTCTATCAGTTAAAAATAAACAAAACTTCGGCAAAATGTGGTTATTCTTCGGCTGCAGAACTAGAGACGTCGATTTGTACAACGAAGAAAAAGGCGAAATGCGGAAGAAAGGAATATTGGATAGAGTGTTTCTAGCTCTATCCAGAGAACGTAATATACCTAAAGTATGTTCCTTTCTCCTAAGGGGAGTTTTACCTTACTTTAAAGTACCTAACTAGGATTTGCTATTGGTAGGAAATGTTTAAAAAAAGAAATGATTTTTATGGTTTGGAGTATTGTTATAGCTCAAAAATTCCCTAGTTTTATTAAAGTCAACGTGACCTGTCAAAATAGCCCAAAGGCAAAATCGCCCAAGACAAAATTACCCAAAGACAAAAAATGCCACAGAAAAAATAGCCTGAGACAAAACTGTTCCGCTAAAATTAAAAGCAAACATTATTTATTAGATTCCCGTAGTTTCTTAAAGACATTTTTTCATTTTGTTCTAATTTATGGTTATCTATAATTTAATTTTATTTAAAGCAATAATAATTTTCTTGTTGCATTATTAATAGAGATATCCTAGATTATTATACATTCGATTATTTTTCCAAAAAATATTAACAAAAATTAAATACTTACCTAACTCCCATATACACATTGGTGTCTATCGGTCTGTATATGGTTTTTATACTGTCTTCATTACCTTCTTTGATATCTTTTGTTTCATTTACATAAATAAATAAAAATAACGACTTATTCTCCTAAATATGGCTCGACAAATTCATAATTTGTGATAATTGTTTGTGTGTGGGCTATTATTTTGTCTCGGGTGATATTGTCTTCGGGTTATTTTATCTTAAGGCTATTTTGCCTTTGGGTTAATTTATCTTGAGGCTATTTTGCCTTTGGGTTATTTTATCTTGGGGCTACCTTGTCATTGGGCTATTTACATCAATTGCACCTACAATTTCTGGATCGTTTTAGACATACGTTCAAACGTTAGCTTTACAAGAAGGTTCGGAAATATACAGGCTACTCGTGCAAGAAAAAGGACACTTTTACGTTTGCGGCGATTGCACAATGGCAGAACACGTCCATCAAACGTTGCAGAACATCATTAAAAAGCACGGAGGCATGACCGATAGTGAAGTGCAGTCTTTCATGCTGTCATTACGAGTACGTAACAGGACTAACTAGATTAAATTTGGTTTCTACGTAACAAATAAATCCATTATTTTTTAGGACGAAAATAGATACCACGAGGATATTTTCGGTATAACATTAAGGACTGCGGAAGTGCACAATAGGTCGAGGGAGTCGGCGAGGATACGGATGGCTTCAGAACCTTAACAGTATTAGCTTAATAATTCGGCTTAAGATTCCTCTATATACACAACTAAAAGGAGTTACTGAAGGTATTTTAATTCTAATAATTCGAATTGACTAATTATACATATATCGAGGTGGAGCACTAAACGTAAAATATCAAGAGTTGCACTTAAAATTTTAAATAATTATTCTATAATTGTAATTTTAACGAAATTCAACATTTAACTTAATGCATAATTATATAATTAACATGTTAATCAACGAATGTATCTATTTTTTCTTCGAACAAAAAATATAAACAAAATTTTTTATCTCGTTTTATTCGTTACTCTAATGTTAAATATACAAAAGTTTGTTGATATAGCTCTTTTAAATTTAACAAGGTTTCAACTTTTAAAATACAGTACTTAATTAGGTACAAAAAAAACTAAAAACTTTAAAATTAACAGAAACATTAAAACTGAATGAAAATTACAACAAATAAATATAAATAAAATTGCGATTTATTAAGCGTATATGTGTCTTCGGTAGCTGTTTCGGATCGAACTGGCGAGGCATAATCCAAATATAGCTCCAACAATCTGCAACGATCAAAATTAATAAAAACTAATTAATAATCGGCGATTATTCACTTACCTCTACCACGGCAATACCGATGGCAACTCCGCCGATAATTTTCGAACTTTTCTCCAGCTCCTGTTGCAGTTTGGGAGCGCATCCTTCGTTGTTTACGTCGTTATTCGTACTCGGGCATTGAGGAGCGTCGACGTTGTGGCAACAAGAGGGAGGAAGCTTCTGGCTTCTGTCTTCGTAGTCCGATTTGCCGAAAACACCGCAGCATTGCAACTGAAACGGGAAATGGTCATTAAAAAATAGCACTATTTACTCCCAGGAGAGGCTCGTTTATGACATAAATGTAGCCCAAAAGAGTGTACATGAGTACATAATAGAAGCTTTTTCATATTATTCTCAAAATTGAACAAAAATTGCAATTTTTTATTTTATAATACAGGGTGTCCCAATGAAAAATGGCTCATTTAATCAGCTTAAAACTTTTAAGCGTATTCTCGGAAAGTATTAACTATAGGTATAGGGAATGGTTAATAAAAATGAAAGTACTTCAAAAATACTTCCTGGTAACGATATAAAATATAGGGTGATCCATTTAAAATAACTCTTCTACAATAACTGGTGTATTAAGCTTTTCCATACTAATGTGCCACCCTGTATATCTCGACCCCTAGTCTGATTCAAGGTTTTACAAAGGGTATATAGCCGTCATTTATAGCCGGGTATATAGCAGGCAACCCTGCCTGAGGGTTGAAACAGCAAGTTTGAAAATACTGGTTAGATGTCCACTCAAAACCAAAATTGACGTATTTTGGCTTTTGTGCAGAAAAAAATTGTGTGGGAAGTGGAATCTTCTCAAAAAATCGCTATGTATAAATTCTCTCACGATTTTTGTAAGAGAAATCCTGCAATATCATACGAGAAAGTTACAATGAAAATTACCACTAAGTGCTCTCTATTTAACACCATTTAAAAGGCCTCTCCGTTTTTTCGCACTCGAAGGTCAATTATGTTATGAACCCATCACCGTCGTACTACCACTTTATATTTCACGAATAGGATTGTTCCTGTTGAAACAAAAGAACTTACCCATTTTTGAGTAATCTGCATCGTTTCGTTGGCTTCGGGACTCTTGTTCATCGCGTCGAAGGTCTTCTGTACATTGTCTTCAATTGCTTGATTGAAAGAGGTTTTGTCTCTAATTTGCAAAAAGGCGTAAACTCCGATAGCGACTTGAAGGATGAAAATGGTGAGAAGGATGATTGCATACTAAAAACAATAATAATAAATTAGTTTACTAAGAAAATTGTAGTGTTTAACACGACATAAAATAAAAAAACACTTAGTTCATTTTAAATAGTTAGTTTGTATTTTAAATAGTTCTATACAGTTCTACATGATTCTACACAGTTCTAAACGATTCTGGAGCGTTCTAAATTGTTCTAGACAGTTCTAAATGGTTCTGGAGCGTTCAAAATTGTTTTGGAGCGTTCTAAATGGTTCTGGAGCGTTCTAAATTGTTCTAGACAGTTCTAAATGGTTCTGGGGCGTTCTAAATTGTTTTAGACAATTCTAAATGTTGTGATAGAATAATATTGTGGGATATTGGTGAACAAAACCGACCCAAAGTCATACAAAAAACAAAACTTTAATGCTCAGCATTTCTAATTTGTAGTTTCTTTTCATACATTCTATAGATATTAAATTCCATTAAAACAAATGACTTTATTAGTATATTTAACCAATTAACCAAAAATACATTGCTCCCATTATCCTAAGCTCTTTGCACAACACCATTTGTAAACTGGTATAATGTAAAGCGCCGGAATGATGTATACAGAATAGTGTTAATTTGTTTGGAATATAGTCAATTCCATGAGTTGAACAAGGATTATTAAAATAACAGCGGTAAGGGTGAAAAAGTTGTAATCTCACTGCAATGTCACTCTTTCTTTTCCCTTTATACGAGACTATAACTGGAAGTTGTCTTGCACCCATAGACCATATTTCAAACAAATTTGCACTGATCCGTATACATATGGATTTATGTACGAGTATTTCAAATATTTTTGCTAGTAGGTATGTATCATAAAAAATAGTTTAAAACATAAAATATGTAATGTATAGATAAAAAACATAATTATACCTACTCGAAATCGGTAAAAACCAATTTTTGAACAACGAACCTTTCTGTTATCGTTTAAAATATTACTTTAACGATTTTTTGACGACTTTTAGGACAAACTTTATTGGTGTAGGTAAATTAATATTCGGTATGTGCTCGAAGCGACTTATGTAAAAATGCAATTTTAACGCACGTTAATGATTATTTTTAGACGTTATTCTGGAAATAAAATTAAAACCGAAACGAATTCAATTTTGTTTCGCATCCGCCAGATTATTAAACAAGCGCGATACGTAAAAAACACGATAACTCCGCCTTCGCTTAACAATAAAGATGACAAATATTTGTGGAAATGAATCACATACAAATATTCAAACCAAAGTGAAATCCCACTTAAATTAACATGATTTCCACATCATTGCGTAGCAAAAAACCATGGGGTTTTTCAAACGACGTGTGCAAATTATTCATTATGGTTTCTTTATTCTAAGTTTAAGAAATATGAACGTTCTATGCATTTCATACATCAAAATTCTTTGAAATAGTCAGTCGTAGATAGCTAATCAGTCGCAGACAAATTTCTCGTTTTGTAAATTTCCAGTAATTAAAATCGGAAATTATTGCTGAGCACTAATTAATGAAAGAAATTTATCGCACGTGCTCGTTACACAAATATATTACAATACAATTTCATAAACACACCATGAATTGGTAAATTTTATTTACGAATATTTATCAACAAAATTCTTTACAAAAGCTATTTAGAAAAACAAATTTGTATTTTTTTATCTAGTATTTGTGAATGAAATGGCTACCGTTTGTAAATCAGTGAAATATACAAGGTGTTTTTAATAACATGGTAATTCTGAAGGGGGTGATTTTTGGGCCCATTTTAAGAAAAAAAACATCATATGATGTCCTAAACGTCTTAACTTTTGAGATATACGAGTAGTGTGTTAAAGTTTTAAGAAAAAAAAATATTTTTTTTAATGTCATTTCCATACCACTTTTTCACCAATATGAAATTTCACCAATATTTTTATGAAATTTGGTGCACGGCGTTTATGCATTAAAGAACATTTTTAGACATAAAAAACCTAAATTTTTTTAGACCTAAATTTTTTATTTCCCAACTGGCGTCCGTACATTAATTAGTACTGAAATCAGGCCAAATATGTTTAAGGGTAAAAGTGGTACGCCACTGCTTTCTTTTGAAATAAAAATTATTAACAAATTTGATTTTTTTGACTTTTTTTTCGTACAATTCGCTGTTTCGCATAAAAAATGTAATGCATTCATTTGAACGCTAGCGCTGCATTAACCGCTGTGCAGAAAGTAGGTAATAACAAATTTTAGGTTTAGGACACTTAGAGAAGAAAAAGAAAGAGTGATAATTATGTCATTGCAACTCTAAAACTACTGCTATTTGATTAACTTTTCTTTGTTCGACTCATAGAAATGACCATATTGCAAACAGAAATGAACCTAGAATAAATATAATTTAGGAAAGTACTTACCGTGGTCAGCATGCAAGTGCTTTCTTTGACTGCACCGCAACATCCTAGGAAAGCCGTTACGAAGACAATTGCGCCAATAATAATGGACAGCAGGGGAGCCAAGCCAAAGTCGGACGGAAGTATTTTGGTCGCTTCGCTGACATTAAACTTTACTAATATTCCGATAATTATTAAAGCTAATCCGGCCAACTGGAAAATAAAAAAAATACAAATTATTAGTTTTATAATACAAACATACATACATACGTATAAGTAAAAGTAGGTAAGTAATTACCCTACCAATTTCTTTAAAACATTGATAATAGTAGATGCTTAGGCTAAGTTAATTAGCTAATGACTCATTGTCTATATTCATAATACGATTTCAATGTGAAAGTTAAGTACCGATATGAATCATTGTTTTGAGAAGTATCATTTACGATTTGAATTTCTTATAGGGATATTAAATTCATGACATTTTGTTTACCGAGTTAAGCCTCCGTATTGGACGCCAGTGACAATACCATAAATAGCTTTAATGATAACCCGAATATGAAGGTTTAGATGATAAATAGAAAATCAACAATATCATAATATTTTTCACTGGAAAATCGAACTTCCATTACAAATAAAGTAGCAAGTGAAATTAATGGTAGTGTTTAAAAACCAATTCTGAATGAAAAATAGTATTGGGTAATATTGCAACATGTGGGAAGGAAACATGCTTACTGCAACCTTGAAAAATAAAGGTACAATTATTCACTACACAGCAGAAAATATAAATTTCTAGTAAACAATAAACAGGTATTAAAAGGCTAGTCTCAAAAATGACAATTATTTACGATTCTCACTAATCCGTGAAAAATTAGGGAACTTTTTCAATAGAATCAAATAGTTAATAATAATTTCCGATTCCGATTTCGTTTCACCTTGAGAGGACCTATTCAGATCCAAAAAATTGAATTAGATTTTTTTTACCAATATAAATACATTTTAGCTCAAACTTGGGCTTATTATTTGCCCTTTTTTTGTTCATGTATCAACCAGAGTTTGTAAAACTATCCTTTTCATTATACGCTTTAGGCATGACGCTAACAATTTTACCTTGATATCTAGGCCTAATTTATTTTCTTATTGTGCATCGCTTTAGTATTACGACCAGCGTCTAAATAATTATCTACGCATTATGCAATAACGAAAGCCAACAGAGACATAAAAATGTCGCAAGATGTGTCTTACCTATACCGGAAATAAAGCACAGACTTTTGTGTGAGTGTAGGAAGCGAGTTCCACTAGAAGAAATTCTAAGGAGTGTTTATTTTGAGGCTAATGTAGTTGTGTGATGCATTTATGTATGTTTATTTGGTTTGGAAGATTATACAATTATGCGTGGGCGAAAAATCTCTCATTGAGTACAGACATTTTTAAGTATTTTAAATAATTAAAATATCCAATGTGGTATTTAGCTACATAAACTATATAGATATTAACCAACGCCCTCTTTATACTTTGAAATTGCAACATCTGGATTTTAGAATTTAAATGATGCTTTAAAGAAAAAACAGATTGCAATGCAAAAGGCAAACTGTGTCATTGTCTTATATTACACAGTTGGTTAGTAATATTTCATTTTATTATTTATGACATCAAAGTAGGTACCCATAATTTGTATTCTCTGCTGGTTATAGTACTACAAATGTCTAGGAATGACCTTCTAAAGGCAAGGAATTTGCATTGAATTAAGTCTTTGGTCGTGTAACCTCCACTCTTTATATGACTTTTCTGTGGGTAAAAAATTGCCCATAGGGCAAAATAATTTATTAAAAAAATTAAAATATAACTGCATAAATGTAAAAAATACATATTGAAACATTTTTGAGGTCTTTGACCCTTCCTGAACGAGTTTTGTTTCATTGAAAACGACCTGAGACCTCTGTCGTCGCGCGTAATACGCTTCAAGTTATCGCTTATCTGTGATATCTGCTTCTACGTATAGATAGATATACGGGTTTCCATACGTTTTTGCGACACATAATAATATACTATTGTTTTTATGCTAATGCCACTATCTACCTTCATTTTATTGTTTCCTGTCTAATATTTATTGTAACCACAACTAAAATTTAGTGGCAAAAAGACACATTTGATAGTTTAGTACCAGTACAAGTAGCAGTACAAGTAGATATTAGGTAAACAGTTTAATAATGACAAATATATTTATTTGGTTTTCACTTCAAGTTTCCATAAGAATTTTGACTTGAATTAGGAAAATGTCTATAAGAATCTTCTGAAATATGTTATAGTATGTAAGAGAAAGAAAGTAAAACTAGATCATCATCGATAGATAGTTTTCGGAGGAAAACGAATTATAATTAGAATTTATTTCACAGTTGATTAAACAGTACGCCGCAGATTTCTATTTCAATCTAAAGGCCATATGTTATAAAAAGTACGTCATGCGCTGTATTGGTTGGTCTTAGTTTATAATTAGAACGTGGTTGTTTCGTTTTGACCTATTCCAATAAAATGTTTTTATGTAAAATACATGTAGTACATAGAATTACTCGTGTACCCTAGGGCTATTAAAAAAAACGAAAATGTACTTTTGATTGGACTTAATTTCGACTGTTAGCATTCGTGCGTAAAATTATTTTTGTTCGTTTCAATTATGTCCACTCAAACTAGAATTTATTATTATATAAAGTAAAGTACTTTCAAAAATTGTATCCGCCAATTTTGCAAACAATTACAGCAATGCAATGATAACATGTCCTCTTATTAATTATTGTCATCACAAAATAAATAACAAAATTTACCTATAAGAAATTTACACAATCTTCTTTCCTATTTTTTAATTAAATACCTTCCATTCTGTAAGTAACAAACTATACAAATACAGTTACGTTTACAATATGCAGTTATACTATTAATAAAAAAAATTGATAACATTATATGAAATAAAGGGGTATACATGAAGTTTTAATGGAGTATCAGGAATAGTTATGTTGATACATTTGGCCTTGCTACACCTTATTAACGGCTGCGAAATGTTATAATGTATGATGTCATCAGTTAAAAGATCGGCGTTACTCATGTGCACGAACAATAAAATTGTAGTCAAGTCTCGTCTCCGTGCAGCGGTTATTTAAATAAATTCGTCCGAATTGAATTAATATATTGAATTGAAAATTTATATTAAACTTGCAGTGTGCAAGGCTTAATAAGAGGTACTTAAAACGTAGGTTATAATGAAACCAATTTACTTTCAGCCCACGTTTTAATTAAACAAAATTTAATCATATTATCTTTATTGTTCTGTAATAAAAACTGCAAACATAAAAAAAATTTAAAAGTTTAAAATCTATTAATAAAAAATCAGGTGCTATAGGTGTTTTTTAACGAAAATTACTTTAACATGTTTTGAATTAATAACATTATTAAATAACTTTGGATTTTTCCACTATTTGTTGAAATGAAGGTATGTAAGTAATTAAATCAATTAGGTACCTATACTTATCTATAAAATACTCAAATGTGCTCTAAACATAAAGTTACAAAAAAATTCAATTTTGAAAATGTAAACCTATGAGGAAAGCTTATCGATTTTTCGGATTAATTTTTAGATATGTACCAACGTTTTTACTATTACCCAAGTAAAATAGAATCGTAGGTGGCAAAATCAACAGTAACATCATTAAAAATTGCACAGCCGGTTCTGAGGACGATTAATTATTTAGCCGAAACGTCCACACGATTGTTATCCAATTCCCGAGCCCAATTTTTTTTATTTGCTCGACCTTCACCTTGTAACTGTACGTCCCGCGCCGTAAATATAGTTTGAAATTGTCCTTTCGTTCCATGTATGAAAATGATTACGGCATGAATTGAAAATCTTTATAAAAATTTAATTTATAGAGATAAAGCTTAAAGGCCCGGTTGCTCGTACGCGGATCAACTTTAATCCGGGATTAAGCCTAGTTTAAATCGGGATCAAATATGGCCGCCGTATTCCTGTATTAACTATTAATCCGACTTTAATCCGAGATTAGTTGATCCGAATTTAATCCGCGTACGAGCAACCGGGCCAAAGAAAATTAATGCATTTTTATTAGATCTGTCCTCGAATATTTTTCATAAGTGGAAACATGACCTTCGCACCCATTTTAAGTTGGCCTATCTCTTGAACTTAGCAAGTCTTAAATTCTACTTGAAGAGAAACCGATTTTGTAATAAAACCATCTGCAAAACAGACATCAACTAAAGTAAAAAGATAATGATAAAGAAGGAACTCCGCATTTAGGCATGCTACAAAAAATTAGACACAACAGTAACACCTAATGTTACGGATCTTTACAGATAATTGCCAATAGGTACCTGTGGCATATTAGATACATTTATTGCAGAAGGAAGTTCTTTTTTGATGGGGTCAATGTTTGTATCGTTGCAAAAGGTTTTACCGAAAAGCCGGGTTTAACCTGGAGTTGGAATCTTTTTATGAATGTAGATAAAGCCATATCTGTTTTCTATTCGTTAAACACACCAAAAAGTTTACATCTGTATTCATACAATAAACGGTAAATTTACGTTTTAGAATTTTTTTAAGTAGTAATGTACACGATTATTATGTGCTAGGAAATAGAAAAGCCGAAATTCGAGCCAGTTCACCGACCTGAAGAGTTTTATTTTAAAGGATTTTTACTCGACCGAAAATAGAACGTGTATAAAAGTGAAAAACCGTCTTTGATGATGGCTTGTACTAAACAAATTCTTTTATAGTCTTCGATCAATAGCTGCTCAAAAAACATTTCCCTTATATTTAATTATGCAAAAGTAATAATAAAAGTAAAAACCATCTCTTGTACAAAATGATAAATTTGTTCGTTAATCGCGGTATGTTATCTGTTATTGTGGGTATACTGGGTGTTGTTTCAGATAGTGCACTGAACAAAGTGCACATTTATGCAGTTTTGTTATTATAGAAAGAGCAGAGTTTTACTGACCATCAGGGGATTAAATTTCTAGTGTATTATATTACCGGTTGATTAAATTTAATTCTGCAACAAAAATTTAACTCCACGTCCTTTTTATGGATGATCGAATGAGAGGATTTATAATTAGGATTTATCATAGGGTTCATAATTTCAATGCTTTAAATAATTTATATAAAATTAAAACATGGATTTTGTAAACAAAATGTCAGTGCTATTATCATGACTATAGGTAAAACTAATTTAAAGAAATTAAGATATTGAAAATAAGAATTTTCAAAACTACGCAATCATTTAAACAGTAAGTGCATTATATGCAAATATAATCTACAGATTCACTCAACTAACATGAAAGTATGCAGTAAAAATAAAACCTAACGGATATGGTAAACTAGAATACATGTTTTAAAGAAGAGGTACTTAAAAATGCCCATTATTTCCGTTTAAACAGTTAGCAAAGACATAGTAACACTACAATCATAACAAATAATTCAAATATTATAATTATTGACTTATTTAATTTAAAAAGATGGAATAGAATTATTTTTGGATTCGATAATGAAGTAAAATCAGCATTTTGCGGTCTATAGTTAATAAAGAGGTCTGAAAGGAGTTTGATCATGATTTATCGCAAGCGGTGTAAATAAAATTCCATACCTATAACATTGTTCATGAAATCTGCAATATTAAAATAAATGAAATACATGATGTAACTTATAGTATTTCTGGCAAGAACAAGTACATGTACTATACATATGTATATTTTATAAATATCGAGGCTAAATAATGTTTTTACTATTTAATTCGTTTTAATACCTACTAAGGAAGGTTCTACTTCAAAATGTAGGTATATTTTATTGCGTGATATTATTTATACATAGCTATCCTAAACGATATTTTATTGTATGATTAGAATTATTAAAACGTCCCTAGTTGGCTGGTTTCTAAAGATATAGTACATTAGCTCATTAAAATTTAATCGGAAATTTATATTATAATCCGTCTGTTGTAAACAAATTCATGCAATTATAAGAAAAATTGATATTTTTAAATGTAAATTACTACTGAAAAAACAATAATAACATTACTAAACACTCTTTAAGCAGTAAAGTAAAGAATAAATTATCCAGAAGACAAATTCTACATTAACTCAACTGACAGTATTATCAAAGAGATAAACTTTTCATCGCTTTGATAAACATTCCCTTTGTTATGCAACAAAAGAAAAGTAAGGAATAATAAGCATCTGGTTATCTAAAGAAAATTCAGACGTTGAAGAGAATATGAGAGCAGACAAAAACAATATTTACTAAAAATATGTATGTAAGTAGGTGGTGTTCAAGATTGTGTCTTGTTAGATTCTTGGAAGGTTAAAATAATGCTAAGGAAGAATAAGTAGTAAGATTCAATCCTCATTCATCAATAATAAGGTCAATATTATTTAAATTTTGTTAGTCATGCGGCTATTCCAGGAATAAGGAACCGTGAATACATTTTGGTAGAACCCGTTTGTAGTTAAAAAAACTAACGTAAAAAGTAGTCGTATTGTTAAAGAGTAGTTCAAGGTTGTTAGGACTAAAATGACGATGAGAAGAGCATATATTCAAAGGAAAGTCTTGATTTTTTACACCTTTTACACACTGAGGAAATTATGGTGTTTGTTTATTCGTGAACAATATGATTTATTGATCAAAAAACCGTGTGATAATTGAAGTATATTAATTAAAAATATAGAAATATTCAGCAGAGGAAAATTACCAGATTGTTGGTGTTGTTTGCTTCTCTGTAAAATCTTACAGGAAGGTATGCAGTTTAGTTGTCTCAATTTTGGCTAGTTAGCCAAAAAAATATAAAAATTGCGCTCTACTTTAAATTTACTGTTAAATTATCACAGTGTAATCAATTACGTGAATACATCTGGATTAACATTTTATACGCTCAGTTGCGTTGGATGAACATAATGACACAATGGCTCTTCGAAACAAAGAGCAAAATAGTTAAAATTTTAACATTGGTTTTAACAATCAAGTGGAATACCTACGCCCGGTTGAAATCGAATAGTAACAGAGTTAAAAATAATCGAATATTCCCACCCACATTCCACCGATTATTTTCACTTGTTGCTCTACTAACTAGTCCTATTATAACAAAGTTTTTAAGGTATACTCACGGCAAATAGAAGGTTGGACAGAAACACCAAGTATTTCACAACACCCGTTGCAAAGCCCATTTTGCGCTCTGGTCAATTTAAAATTCCAACAAAAAAGCGTTAAATGTCAAAACTCGAAATTGTTGCTCGCACTGAACGTCGCACAAAGAGAAAACGCCAGCGGTTGTAGTTACAATGTTTATTTTTACGAACGGAACACGGCGAACGCGTAACCTAAATGAGAACGGGCTGGTGTGTTTGTTCAACTCGTCTTGACTCCCAACGAACTAAGCTTAAGCTAAGCACTGCACAACACCCAACACCACAGCACTGTGTAACCACAATATCTAACCGAAGGTTGAAAAACAGGTTCTCGGATACAGTCACAAACTCGGTATACCTCTCTCCAAGAGTGTCGTGTTTCCAACTGTTAACTAATTTACGTAGTTAAAGGATTATAAATGTATATGACGTATTTCTGGTTCAAATATAATACAAACATTTACCCGAAGCGGGTTTTCTTGTCGGTTGATCACGATATGACTAATTAATAGGGAATTTCGTCATGAGTCTAATTAGACAGAAATTGATAAACACGCGGTATATTACTCAAACTTTCTTATATTACGCATTTTCGTAAATAACCTGCAGTTACCCATTTTAGATTAATGCATTCTACAAACTGTTAAGGGTTAACAGCATCAAGTTTGCTCTATTATTTTTTTGATTTGAAGACGGTAAATGCGAATTTTTCGTACAAAAAAAATTCTTGAATTTATTGTACTGGCCAATTTACTAATGAAAACAGCAAAAAGTCTCTAATAACGGTTGTTTAAACCGAAGAATTAAAACAACCAACACAACACAATTTTAGACAATATTACAAGATTTTAGAAAGTTTTAAGTAGGTATTTTCTTTAAGTTAATTCTGAGATTTTAGTTATTGGGTCTAAAATTGTGAAGAATCCAATCCAATTTGGAGAGTTAAATCAGAATATATTCAATTCAATATTTACATACTACATATGTAGGTATCACCTGCCAGTATTAACTAGTGTTGGTTACTTACTTATATGTTATTATATAAATATATATCCATTGCATTATAAATAATTTATCCAGATTTATTATTAATATAATTAATCATTACAATTATAAATTGCCTTAGTTATAAATCCTTAGTTATATCTTAGTTATATCTAATACCTTCTTACAGGTAATAGAAGTAGAAAGCTATTTGTAACAATGGTTATAGTTAAAGAAATTTTTTCTATTTTGGTAGATAAATTCAGAATTGTTTAATTTCTTGTGAAAGATAATTTTACAAGTATTGCACAAATTAAATTTGATAATACATACTCTCTCTATGAACTATCTATGAACTCTCTTCAATAATCTCTAAATTATTTCAAATATTGGTTAATATTTTCAAATATTGGGCTCCATGAATATAGATACCCCCTTACAATGAAATTTAAATTTAAGATAAGTCTTGCCATCTTTTTGATACTAGCTCTAACAATACTATCTATTCTTTATGTTTACAGTTCAATAATCAAGAGATTTCTTATATATTGTAGAGATGGCGCTAGAATAGGTATTTATCACAGAACACATAATAATTATAAAGTGTATGGTCTGTGTAAAATTTAATTTTGTAATATGGTACATTGAGATTTTTGACCATCACAAATATTAATATAAATTTACAGACACAATTTTAACTATACAGGATGCATCTAAATAACACCGAAAAAATTTAAGGGATGATTCTATGGTGTAATTTAAGGTGAGTACCTACTTGGTATAACATTTTTTTTGTTGGCTTTTGGTCATGTTAAACAGTATTTAACATGAACTTGCAATACGTTCAATTTTTTTCTCGTAAATGCTCAAGTTTTTGAAAAACTTGTAAAGATAAAAAAGTTAGTACATAAATGAATTGGACTTTTCAACAATATTTTTTAAGCGAAAAATTTTCATCTAAAAAAGTTGTAAGAAAAAATGTCTTAGGGGTTGACTATTTCAACCCCTTCTAAGCATACTTAAGGGTTGAAAAAGTTACAAAATTTGTAGTTTTATTGACAAATAATATAGTTTCGTGTCTTTAACTTAATATACAGGGAAAATAAAGAAGAAAAACCTTTTTTTTTAATCTTCGGAGTGGTATAACTTTTCTGGGGAGGATTTTTTCAAAAAATTTTATGTCAAGTACCTACACACCTTAATTCTCATCACAGAATCACTTCTTAAATATTTTCCATGTTATTTAGATACACCCTGTAGTATATCTAGATAATTACCAAACATGTAAAATAAAATAATATGGAATATTAGTTATCTTTTGTAACATTTTAATACCATTAATTACAATCAATAAAAGTTAGGTACTTGTAAAATTGAAAATATATTAATACAAACGCAATTACTTTGTAGGTACAAAAATTTATTAGAGATACCATGAATTATTTTATAAAACCACTAGCTCACCAGGAACACACACAGTCGAGATTTTGGCAATCCAATCAGAGGTTCCTTTCTCATTGATATTAGAATCATTCTAAAAAACAAATTAACATTTTCAAATCATCTAATACCTACTATTATACATTATACATGTAAAATTAAAAATGAAACTCAATCCATAAAGGATAGCTAATTCTTACCTAATATCTAAACCTCCTCTCTCGGTTTTTAATACTGCTAGACAAGCATAGTGAAAATACGGTTCCAACTACCTAAAATTTTATAACAAATAATAATTAGTTTAATATTTAGTAACGAGTAAACTTCCGCAGGAATAATAGAAGCCTGTTTTATAAGCCTGTATATTTGTATTGTACATGCTTACTTCTAAAGCTGACAAGGATAATAGAACGATTCCAATGACCCTCATCGAATTCATCAAGAAATCATAGAAAGCACTTTTACATCCCGTGGTATAAACACCTTCTGTTCCGATACACGATGGAGGTGGTGTTGTTCCTGGCAAAAATTTCGGGCCATCTATACCACAACATTTTAACTAAAATATAATACATTTTTGACATGCCGAATCCAATTAATTACAACAACTTACATTCTTTTGAATAAGTTGTATTAATTCTTCGTTCTTATTGTTATTGAAAATATCCACTATTTTAGAATCAACTTTGGTTTTAAACTCATCTTTGTCTTTAATTTCCAGAAACGTGAATACTCCAACAGCAATTTGCAGTAAGAATATAACCAGCAAAATTACAGCATACTATAAAAATCAATTAGATTATTTTACTTTACGTAAAGTATTTTAGTAATAAGTATTAATTACTTATCAACGTACCGTGGTAAGAAGACAGGTACTTTCTCTGATTGCTCCACAACATCCGAAAAAAGCTATAACAAATATTATGCAACCCACGACAATAGTTAATATCGGAGCTAAACTTATGTCATCGTATTCTTTAGGTATGGCATCTGTGAAGTCGCTTATATTTAATTTATATAAGACTCCGACAATTATGAGTGCCAAGCCGCCAAGCTGAAATAAAAAATAGAAAGTTTCATTAAAATTTTCAAAGTAGTTGGTTGATTCCTCTTTCTTAAATAGGTTCTAAACAACCTTCAATTATTCATTAGCTTTCGCAATAAATTTACCACCTAGAAAGTTAATTTTAGATAATGCGACGTAAAAATAATTGTATTAGATAATGTAAATTTTGTTCAAAATCTGGTAGGTATGTAGCTGAATTTTTGAATATAATAATTACGTTAGCCAGAATGAAACTTACGGCAAATGTGAAGTTCGCACCCGACACGAAAAATTTTATACATTCGTCACCTATAGTCATTTTCAATCTTTAATATTAAATTTAATCTACCCAATTGATAATCCTTACGTCGTATATTCTCTTTACTTTATTGCAGGTATTACTGCTTATCTTGTTGACGATAAAAATATCACATGATCACCATATCAAGCTTATATGGTATAACCCTTAATAGGTATTTCTAATAAACACTTATGAATATCAGATAATTATATCTGGTATTTTAGTAGGTTCGTAAAATTTTTAATTTTATCATTGCTTCTTAGAATTTAATCATAACATACCTACTAATATATTTTCCTTGAAATGACAAAATAATAAAGAAAAGTTTTATTCGATTTGAAGCGTATAGATACTAGGTGCGTCCAGAAAATAAGTGCTGATTTTAAAAATCGTGCAGAAATATGGAATAAATATTTATTGCACAATATTCTACGATACTGCTACATACCTATCCAGATAGGTCCCAAAATTATCTGGGTAGTTTTCAGAGCGTGGCACAAGTTTTTGTAAACCATCTGTATAAGCCACCTGTGTTTTCAATTATCCGCGATAAAGCATGATTTTTCACGATCTTTCAGTTGAAGTAAAGATTAACGAAAACCCTAATTTTACATATGATCTTTCTATGGAATTTCCACAAATCTCTCGATCAGTAGTTACGAAATTGTTACAGAAAAAGTGCATTTTTCGCGCACAAGTGATCGCAACTTGTGCCGCGAAAACACTGGCGGAAACCTTCCATGAGGAGGGTATACAAAAACAGGTTCCACTCACTGGAAAATACCAGGAAAATTTTAGGACCTACATATGTAGAAATGTAGCTTAAGAATAGTAGATTATTGTGGACTAATTTTCTTTCTATATCTGTACTTGATTTTTTTTTAAATTAGCAAACGGAACTTACTTTCTGGATGCACCTAATATATTTGCGAAAAGTATATGTAGATAACTATAGATAAGGATGTGTGTATTTTACAACCATATTATTAGTGTTGTCTAAACAGGAGATAAGAATTACCAATATGTTACATTTTCCGTTTTTATTCCTTATTTAAGTTAACTATTCCAGCAAGTTTTACGAAAAATAAACGCTATTTGCTATAAAAATATTTCATAAGGATCGGACAAAATACAATTATGTACAATTTTTTAAACCCAATACTCGTTTAATAATACAAAGTGGTTTACCGAAAGTGGTTTACACGAAATATACAAATTTTTACAACAATCGAAAAAAAAATTGGAGTTTAGTCAGCAATTTTGCCATAACTAATAGTAACTAATCTGTTAAAATAATATATAATTTATACTTACTGCGAAAATGACATTAGCACCAAATACGAATAATTTAACGATCCCTTCGGCACATCCCATCGTGCACATTCTAATATGAGTGAATAATCTAACAGTTTAATCAAATTTAACTTTTTGTTTGAAATGTCTTTCTTATCTTACTCAAATACATAAAAGGAGATAAACTCACACCTATGTATTTATGTGCGTGTTATTTAACCTACGTTATATACTTAAGTGTAGATAAAAATTAATGTATAGGTGTATAGGTATTGGAACTTAATGTACACCTCTTTGTTTCATTTCCTCGATCACCTCTATTACCGACAGAGAAAGCATTAAATTGGATTAATTATAACTGATAACTGATCCCTGATAGAATGAAAAACGTTTTAAGAAAACCCATTGATGCCTTAATCTATTGAAACAAATAGAGGAGGTGTTTAAAAATTTTATTGGAATTACCTACACGCATCATTTGACGAACGTGAATCATTATGTTCATTATGATTGTTAATAGATATACGATAAAAAATACCGATAGCACAAATTTTAATGGGCCATGTGATAAAAATTGTTAGATCCAAAGTTAGTACATTGATATAAAATAATTTTACTTACTTATACCTTTACGAAAGGCTGTGATTTGTATTGGCATTCTATACATGCATATTTTTATACAATCTAAATAAAGTACTTCAAAATGTACGCCTAAATTATTTTTCAACTCATCTTTTGTGCTTGATAATACATTTTATAAAAATCTAAGTTGGGGAAAAAAAAGGGAGAAATCGGGTCTAATAGAGCTGAGAAAACACTATATACTTCGATTGGAAATTTAATTGTTTCGTTTCAAGATGATTTAAATAAGGGAGAAAATATCTTTAGTCGCAAAAGTTCTTAAATTTCAAACAGTAAATACCTACATACAAAATTCATACTAATTATTGCTCAATTTTTTTTAATCTCAACATAATTTTCTTCGTCATTCTAGTTGTAAAATTATTTTCATCAAATTCTAGATGCTCCTTACTGGTAGTGGGACTCACAGAGCATTCATAATTTTTAATTAGAACTGCCACTCCAAGTTTGACTTGCAATAATCCCAGTCTCTCTCCTAAAAACAATTAATTTTTATTTAAATGCAGCTTGTTTTCCTTTTATTTACGTACCAATACAATTCCGAGGACCCTCACCGAACGGCAAGAAACCCGGGTATTTAACGTTTTTGTCTGCGAATCTCTCCGGATCGAATTTTTCAGGATCCGGGAAATAATCCGGATTATAATGGTATCCTAAAACTGGAAGAAGCACATTTGTGCCATTTTCAATAACCACATCAGTATTCGGAATTTGATAGTCTTTTACGCAGACCCGAGTTATGGTAGAAAGTGCTGGATATTTCCGGGATGCCTCTGGAATCATTGAAACAATACTTATATAAAAATTTTAAATTCAATCAATAGTTGCAACTTTAATTTTCTTATATAGCATTATATTACCATTCGTAGCTTGCGTCAGGTAAGTTAATTCTTGAATTACATCATAGGAAAATTCTCCGTTGTGTTTACTCAGAACAGTATTTATTTCTTTTCTTACTTTATCTTGAATATCCTTATGTTTAGCTAATTCGTATAGTAAAAACGAAGAAATTGTAGAGGCAGTTTCATAACCAGCCACGAAGAAATTAAAAGTCTAAAATATTATTAGCTTAATGATATTTAGTAGCAAGACAAAAAAACTTACTTCTGCAATAATATCATATGGCACAACAGTTCCTGCTTCCTTTAATTCAATTAACAACTGAAGCAAATCTTCTCTGTAAATATTGTTTTGCTTCCTGTACTCCATTGTATCCAAAATTAATTTACCGAAATTTTTTTCAGTGTCTCTCGGAATGCCCGGAAATCTCAACATTTTTGCTACATTTGGATAAGCGTGGACCACAAATAATTGAAACTTGAAAGCTAGAGGAAACAACGAGAATAATTCTCTGGCCAATTTTCGAATGAATGCGTTCGGATCTTTGAAACTGTTCGCTTCTATACCAAAAATTAAGGAACCTAAAATGAAAAAAAAAATAAAGATTTTATACTTTGGAAAACTTTTGAAATTTACTTTTATTAAAGAGCATTAAATTTGAAAATAAACCATAATCATACATACTTATAATATCCGTAAAATAGCATCCCATATTTTCATAGATGTCGACATCTATATCATCAGTGGTATATTTGAGTAAATTAGTTTCCAGTTCATCTGCACACTTTTTGATTGTATTGAAATAGAATTTCAATTTAGCGGTTGTAAATACGGGTGTTAATTTCGGCTAAAATTAAAGATAATTACAACACTTTTATATCTTCAAAGGAAAATTAATCTAATAAATAATTTATAGTACCTATACTTTAATTATTTTCAGAGCATATATCCTGAACCTTGTGTATACCTAAATACAGTAAATAGTAGGTATGTTCTATGTAGGTATACTATACTTTCTAACTATGAAAAATAAAACTAGGAATGGTTAAACTGAATCCTGAAATAAACTTATTTACAATTTGATTTGTGATTATTTAATAGATTGTGAAGAAAGGTAAATATTGTGATTTTCGTTCATAAAACATGCCTCAATTATGTTTTTGTAGTTATTAGAAGAGATAAACAGGTTGATAAACTGGTTGACCATGGACCAATGATGTTTACAATTAGACCGATATCGTTATTTTAGAATTATGCGTGATACATGTTATATTAGGAAAGCAAGAAATTATTTTAAATTAAATTTTATTACGTACCCTTTTTATCTTCCAGATCTCCTTGTCTTGAGTAAATAAGTTTGCCGCAACTGTATCGCCATTGCCGTGGAAAATACCTCTGTTCATAAAATATTCGAAATCACTGGTCATAATGTTTCTGGTTAAAAGTGGGTCAACAATTACGAGATTTGGAGTTAACCCTAAGTAAACACCTGTGAAACAGTAAACATTATTTAGGTCATAGTTAAAAAATGGTAAAGCTGATATTCCCAATAATAAAATAGAAAAATACATACCACCAAACTTGTGTCCATTTTTTTTAAATGCGTCGTAATATCGTCTGGTTATAGGACCCAAAGAAACACCTTTCGGAAATAGAGTGTGATAGTTTCCATACGGAAATATTGGAGGTAATTGAGGTACTTTCCTCCTATTCCAATAATTGTACTGATGCCGAATGTAAAGGTAACAAGTTATTGCTATTACAGCAATTGCTGTAACAGCTTGAACAGTTGCGTCTACAGTTAACATTATTCTGAATAGTTAATCGTTATTGTATCGAATATAAATACTTAAATTTATCTGACGTATTCGTATAATAAGTCTTGTTGGGAGAATATGTATATGTAAAAATATCCTTATCGATCTTATTTTGGAGATATGAAAAAATGCTGTATTTTACTTACCTACTATAAGTCGCTATATATTGTAAGATGGGGATTAAGTGCAATGGGAAACTAAAATTTTAGCATTTAAAATACGAGGCCATACACAAATATTTTCTCTTATAACATCAAATTGACCTTTAATATCCCTAAAAATATATATTATGAATAAATTATATGCCATATTTTGAACGGACGGGAATTTTTGGTCGAAGATTTTTATATTAATTTCGAGAATATTATGACTTTATATTCTTAAATTCCGAATTCTTTATTTTATTTATTCGGAATATCCGATTAAAAAAGTTCGCCTTATTCTGAAAATAGGGAATTTGGTTAGCGTACACATATATTAATAATAAATTTATTATCAATACAATATTAAAATTACAGTACGGTTTCGCAAACGATTTTAAGCAAAGTTCATTTACATTTACTTAGGTAAATATCTAAATATGAAAAAAAATATGATAATCTCGATCGATAGGTCAGCGTGAATGTCCTAATAAATATAGAAATAAAAATGTATTAATAATTATTCAACATACAGTTTCTTTTCTTTTTTACCTATGTAGGTAATTAATAACTTTTTCGGCGAAAACAATCAATGAATATTTTCAAATTATGCTTAATCTTCAACAGGTTCAATTTTCAATTACTAGGTTCAAGTTTCAATTACAATTTTTGATTGATAAAGTTAAGACGTAGTCGGCGTATTAAAGGCATTCCAATAGCCATCTAGATAACTCGAGACTTGAAGCATAAGTAAAGAACTCATAGCATATAATGTACTAAAGTTTGATTATGGATATAAAGGCTCATATGGATCGAAAGGCCTTAAAAATATCCATTGTTCAATGCCTAAAAATTGAGGGTCTTCCATTGAAAATAACACAGTTATGGCGACTGTAAGTTAGCCAAATTACTATACAGTATCTGGACATTATTAATTCCAAATTTACACAGTTATGGCGACTGTAAGTTAGCCAAATTACTATACAGTATCTGGACATTATTAATTCCAAATTTCAAACTTCTAAGTACATTATTAACGGAGATATCATAGAAAATACATTCGACTGATTTTCCATTGTTTTCACTATAGAGTATGGGTGCAACAAAGACAACTTCCATTAGTCCATATAAAAGAAAAAGGAAAAAAGAAACTATTGTGGAATTGCAACTTTCTCACTCTAACCACTGCTATTAAACTGAAGCACTTAAAGACTTAGTGATTTATTTATTAATAGTTCATTTAGGTACGTACCAGTGTTAATTAAGACTGTATGTAGCTCAAGTTTCATAAATTATTAACTAGCAATTATTGTATTAATTCTTTATTAATTTTCAACTTTTTTTAGCCTAAGTAAAATCTTATCAGTTGCTCTTGTTACAAAATAATCTTCATCTAGGACCAGTTCTCCTTTCATATTGGGGCTCAAGGAAAATTCGTATTTTTTAATTAAAGAGGCAATTCCTACCTTACTTTGCAATAAGCCCAATCTCTCACCTGCAATGAAAGAGGTATTTATAACAATGTGAAATTGCTTGAAGCCTAATACGTTATTTATTCACTTACCTATACAATTTCGTGGACCATCGCCGAAAGGTAAATATCCTTCGTATTTAACGTTACCTTCGAATCTGTCTGGATTGAATTTCATAGGCTCAGGGAAATAATCCGGGTTCAAATGATACCCTAAAACGGGAATAATAACAGGCGTACCCTTTTCTATGATCACATCGGTTCCAGGGATTTGGTAGTCACTGGCACAGACTCGTGTTAAGGTGGCGAGAGGGGGATATTTCCTCATGGCCTCTAAAAAATGAAATTTATAAATATCTACTAAATTCATGTAATTTGTAATTAATAGGTATCAAGAAAAATAACAATATTTGGTTCCTATACTCCTTACCGTCTATAGCTTGTGCCATATACGGCAATTCCTGCATTGCATCGTAAGTAAATTCTCCATTGTACTTTTTCAAAACCTCGTTAACTTCTTTTCTGATTTTTTCCTGAATATCTTTCCTTTTGGCCAATTCGTATAACAAGTACGTCGAAACAGTAGTCGATGTTTCGAAACCCGCAATGAAGAAGTTAAATGTCTAAAAATATGTTACATATATTATACAAGCAAAAAATATAACTAATATTTAGAAGCCAAATGCTAACAATTAATTACCTCTGCAATTATATCATTAGAAATTATACTTCCAGATTCTTCCAATTCAATTAACAGCTGTAGCAAATCATTCCTGTAGATGTTATTCTTCTTTCGATATTCCATCGTTTCCGGTACTAGTTTAAGGAAAAAGTTTTCCACTTTCAATGGCATCGGGGGAACTCTTAAAATTTTTGCTATATTCGGGTAAGCAATAGCCAAAAATAAGCACAACTGGTAAGGAATCGGGATATCTGTGAACAACATTCGTCCAGCTGTTCTGATGGCTGCGTCTGGATCTTTAAAACTTTTCGCCTCTATGCCAAACACGAGAGAACCTAAAGTTGCATGATTAAACATTTTCAATTCGAAAGTATCAAATCGCAAGTACTTATAACATCGGTGAAATAACAGCCCATATTTTCATAAATGTCAACATCGTTGTTTCCATCAGAGACTTTGTACATATTGGCTTCTAATTCGTCGGCGCATTGTTTGATTGTGTTGAAAAATAATTTCAATTTTGCGGTCGTAAATATTACTGTAAGTTTCGGCTAAATAAACGGTAATGATTAACAAACAATTCAAATGATATCATTATATCAAATGTGTTACCCTCTTTATCTTCCATTCTTGATTATCTTGAAAGAATATGTTGGCAGTAGTTTTGGCGTTGGGGCGGTTATAAAGACCCCTGTTCACGAAAAATTGAAAATCTTTTGTCAAAACATTTCTTCCTAGACGTTCATCAACCATAACCATATGGGGAGTCATACCGATGTAGACGCCTGGAGAGTACAAAAATTACAAAAAGTCCCTCTCATTATTGATGTTTGCTGAAGTAATTACCGCCAAACGCATGTCCAGCCTTCTTCAAATCGTCGTAGTAATGTTTGGTAATCGGACCAAATGAAAAACTTTTCGAAAATAGCGCATTAAAGTTTCCAAATGGAAATGCCGGAGGTAATTGAGGTACGTTTTTTCTCGTCCAATAATTGTATGTGTATTTAACATAAAAGTAAAAAGACGCAACTAGCACAACAAAAGCTGCAATAGCATGACTTGCAAATGTATCCAATGACAGCATGATTCCAAAAAAGCTGTTGAACAAAAACAAAAATAATTAATAATCATCGTCTTGTAATTTATTTTTCGTAAATTCTTATCTTACATTATTACTTAATATAACTTTTATTTATATTTATTAATTGCAAATTTATGTTTATCATCCAACTATTTGTACAGTCATAGTGTACCGAGCGGTAACCTTGGAATCCTGCATTTATCTGCGTGTCTCTCCTCAGTTTGACTGATTTTCTTTCTGTTCCTTACTTTGAGGAGAGTCTCTTTCTAATGATTGCAGCGTTCGAAACTGGCCGCCCTGCACAGGATTAGTGATCATAATTAAGTAAATTATGGCAGAAAATCACTACTTTTTACTGCAGTATTCCATCCTAAAGTACTCCCTAATACAAAAATACCATCACGTTTATACGAACAAAAAAAATGCGTAAATATTTATTTTTATAAATTTTTATTAATTACGCACTTTGATTTCCAGGGGCTATTGAACAAGAGAAATTAAGGCGTAATTGAAACTAATACAGGGTTGGGCATAAGTCCGAAATAAAATTATTATTTGTTGAACCAGTAATTTAAACAAAAAAACGCTGAAACACGTGAATTGATTTTATATTGGACGGATTTGTTGTCAATAAAATTATTTTTTTTTCTTCAACCACTTAGCTGCAATCCTACCTAACGTTTTTTTAATGCAAAAGTACGTTATGTGAAGGGTCATTGAAAAGCCCGTGAAAAATGGAATCTGGAATATACTTTTTTTTTCTCACACTGTAATTTTGTTGATTTAAATTTTTATTCACCTTACTTTGACTTAACATCGAAAAAACTGCCCTAATTTTCAATCGAAAATTCTCACGTCAGAATATCTGCTGTTTGAAAAAAGTTGGTGGCCTTTTTGTTCGTTGAAATATCTACTTTTTGATGGTGTAAAAAATATACATTATTACTATGGAAAATGTTCTCAAAAAATGCAGAAACCGTTAGCCATTATTCGACATACAGAGCAGGGAATAACATCGTTCGTGTAAATATATGTACTTACATACGTGCAGGCTGAGTGACTTTAAGAGAGTTTTGACAAATTTACTGTAAAAGAATCTGCATTTTTTGAGAAAATTTTCCATAGTAATGTCTATTTTTTTACACCATCATAAATTAGAGATTTTAACGAGCAAAAAGGCCACCAACTTTTTTCAAAAAGCAGATATTTTGACTCTAATTTCGATTGAAAATTAGAGAGTTTTTTCGATGTTAAGTCAAAATAAGGTGAAAAAAAATTACAGTGGGTGCGGTGCGTTCAGGAAACGCAACTGTTGGCAAGTGTTGCCTTAGGATTAAATAAGACTCACAAATTATTATTTAAATCAAATAAAATGCCTTTATTTCTTTTTTTCTAATGTTAATTAATATTGAATAATTTTATAGGTCTCATGGTATTAGTTAAATATTAATAACGTTAATAATAACGACTGATTAATTATTAGAATATAAAACCAATTCATCGATACACTTCTGTTTTATTCTATTTAAGCGAATATCGGAGTCGATTCGGAGTCGATAGATTAAAATCGGTCTCGTTGTAAAAAGAAGAGAAAAAGATGGTATTATATAGATATAGTAAAACAGATAGAGATAGTAATATAAATTTAGTCGCGTAAATATTCGCACTTTAAATTAAAACTGGTCAATTTTTAAAGAAGCGGTAAAAACATTGTTACTTTTATTGGAGACCAAAATGTTAACATTTTTCTAGTCACTATTAGCATGTGCCGCTACTTTTTATTGGTTTTCGACCTAAGCCATTAGTCATGGTCGGTTATTTTGAAACTATACTGTACTTCTCAACAGTTACGTTCCCTGAACGCACCCAGTGTGTTTGGGACATAAAAGGTAAATTTTCACCAAATTTCGTGAAAAAATTTTTTTGTGTGTAAAAGATAAAAATAAAAAAACCAAAAACTTTGTTATTTGAATTTTTCACATAAATGTTCAAGTTATGTGAAAAAAGTGTAAATACAAAAGTTGTAGATCTTTTTATTGCCTACAACTTTGCCATTTAAGTTTTGCCGGAAATCGAGATAAACCGTTTCCTACCCTTAAAAACTCATCCACTCCCACTTCCCGACCTCGGATCGCCCGTAAATTATTTTTCTTTCATTTCTGTTATATTCTCTTTCTGTTCCAATGGGTTTCATCCTACTATTATTTTTTATTGGTTGCAAAAATCATCGACCAATAAACCTATAATCATCGACCTATAATCGATAATAATCGACCTATAATCATCGACCATGAAAATTTAACATTAATAAAGAAAAAACTAATTATGAAAACACTTCTAACTATATACAATAAGAAAAACGAACGTTACATCAATTTAAATAAAAAAAAAATGAAAAATACTCACACAAGTATGCAGCACCAATATTGCAGTCTTACTGCAATCCTCACGTATTTAAAATTTGCTTATATAATAAAATGAATATAAGATATGTACAATCAAAATCAACATCAACAACCTTGATATTCGTCCCCACACAACAAGTAGCCCGATGATTTTGCACAAAAATTATCGGTACATTCATAATAATTCACTTTTATACTTTAATAATGCTTTTATAAATTATAAAGGGAAAATTATAAAGGGATCTGCAATCTGCACTTAGAGATAAATTTATAACTAGAGGTAGATAATGAAACAAAAATCTTATTCTTTTTAATTATCAATTTTTTTTATTCTAAGATATATTCTTTCTGTTGTTTTCGTTACAAATTGAAGTTCATCGAGGACCAATGGCTCTTTTAAAGTTGGACTCAAGGAAACTTCAAAATTTTTAAGCAAGACGGCGACTCCGAGTTTAACTTGCATCACGCCCAGTCTTTCGCCTAAAAATGCCATTTAAAATAACTTGAATAAACTGGAAACTTAATTTAGATTTTTAACTCACCTATACAATTTCGTGGGCCATCGCCGAAAGGTAGAAATCCTTCGTATTTAACGTTACCTTCGAATCTGTCCGGATCGAATTTATCTGGGTCTGGGAAATAATCCGGGTTAAAATGGTATCCTAGAATAGGGATAATAACAGGCGTATCCTTTTCTATGATCACATCGGTTCCAGGGATTTGGTAGTCACTGACACAGACTCGTGTTAAGGTGGCGAGTGCGGGGTACTTTCTTGAAGCCTCTGGTGTAATGAAAATAACATTTATAAAATGTGTAACCAAATGAAGTATATTACCTTTCATAACTTGATTCATATAAGTCAATTCATGTATCACGTCGTAACTAAACTCTCCATTATGATTTTTTAAAACTCTACTAATCTCATTTCTAACTTTGTCTTGAATATCTTTATGTTTAGCCAATTCGTACAATAAGTAAGTGGAAATAGTAGACGATGTTTCGTAACCAGCAACGAAAAAGTTAAATGTCTAAAAAAAATCAGGTGTACACAACCGAATGTGTGTAAAACAAATTAATTTTATTTCTACCTCTGCGATTATATCATTGGAGGCAATCGTTCCAGAATTATTCAAATCTATTAGCAGCTGAAGCAGATCTTCTCTATAAATGTTATTCTTTTTTCGATAGTCCATTGTATCTGGTACCAGTTTAACGAAGAAATCTTCGATTTCCTTCTGAATCGATGGAACGCCTAACATTTTTGCTAAATTTGGATATGCATTTACCAGAAATAAAGTCATCTTGAAAGGAAGCGTATATTTTGAGAACAACTCTCTTCCTACTTTTCTGATGGCTGCATTTGGATCTTTAAAACTTTTTGCATCTATGCCATAAACTAAAGAACCTAAAAATATATTGTGAATAAAAAATATTAACAAATCGCTCGGTCGTACTTATAATATCAGTGAAATAGCATCCCATAGTTTCATAAATATCAATATCTTCGTTTCTAATCGCGGCAGTGTCTAGGTTGGCTTCCAATTCATTAGCACACTTTTTGATTGTGTTAAAATAGAATTTCATTTTCGCGCTCGTAAATATAACTGTGAGTTTCGACTAAAATATATAATGGATTTAGCTGGGATTCTGATATTCATTTCATTCAATATTTTTACCCTTTTCGGCCTCCATTCTTCGTTGTTTTGAACGAACATGTTCGAAGTAATTATTGACTGTGGACGATGGTAAAGACCACGGTCCATGAAATATTGAAAATCTTTGGTCAAAACATTTCTTCCCAGTCGTTCATCCACCAAAACCACGTGAGGAGTCATTCCTACGTAGACACCTGGAAAAAAACCTTAATTAAATCTATAAGATATTTAATTTGAATCCTTGAGATATTATAAAAGTTTTACTTACCGCCAAATGCGTGCCCGGCCTTTTTGAAAGCATCATAGTATCGTTTAGAAATCGGCCCAATTGAAAATCCTTTTGGAAGGGGCAAATTGTAGTTTCCGAAAGGAAACGTTGGATGTAATTGGGGTACATTTTTTCTCTTCCAGTAATTGTATGTGTACTTAACGTAAAAGTAATAGGACACTAAAATTATCGCTAAGGCAGCAATACCTTGACTTGCGAAAGTGTCCATTATCCTAATAAGGAAAATTGTTTATTAAAAAAAATAAATCGAACTGATATGAAAATTAAAATTATGAAATCGTCGATTTTTCAAATATGTCTTATTCATGTTATAAATTGTTTATAATATGCCGAATATTAAAATTTTATCTATCTTTTAATCTTCTTCAATTTTATCAATATCATGGACGCTCGTGTGTTTTTATGCATGTATATTTAATTTGTATGTTTAGTGAGATAACCTTTTCAAGTAGATTTTGGTGTAACAAATTTTAAATAAATATCTAGCACTTTGTTATTCAATAACAAATTACAAATCTTACAAATATTTCTGCAATAAAAAGTACATACGAATTCCATTAAAGGTATCAAATCTCAGGCCCCATAAACATTCAAGTATTCTCTCTTAAAAATCAAATTTTGATCATAATTTTTTTCCATTTTCGAATCAAACAAATCTTTTAGAAATTCCCTTACATAGGTATAATTAAATAAATAATTAAATATCATTGCCATTGTTTGTACAAATTCGCGTTTGTATATACATAGGTACTTGTATAAGCGCTTATCTGTCTTAATTGGTACTTAAGAATTTTAAATTGCAGACATACATACATATATTGTACTCCTAGATGGGATACAGAATCAAACATGCCACAGAAAATTAGCTTCGAAATCTATTACCGACATTATACATAATTAAATAAGTAGCTGGTTTTCATACACTTATTTGGACAAGTCTTTCTAAATGGTCAATATTGTTTTCCTTTTTTCTTATTTAGTTTATAATTAATTCGATTACTTCATTCAATCAATCGAAATTCTCCTAATTTTATATGCACATTATAAATTTTCATTTAACTTCATAATTTTCTGTTTTTCAAAAAATTAATATCTATTTTTCAAATAAGTAGATACTTTAAAAACAAATTGATTTATTAATTTTATTCTATGAAACTTGTAAATTTATTTACTCGTTTTAATTTACTTTTAGTGTTTGTGCATTGCTGCTATTGTTTTTCAATTAAATTAACATACATACATATGTTAATGTATGTACTGCATCCAATTGAAAGAAATTCAATTCAATCCAATTGGCACTGTGGAGTTAACGTATATTTTTGTCTGCATCTGCGTCGTCATTTTTTTTTATTTACAGTATATGTAAATAGATAAATTGTTTGTTCCAAGGACTACCACATTTTTTGAAGAAAGTTAATACGCATTTACCGTTTGGATGTTTTTTACTAATAGGTGTTTAACTTACCTAATATCCTAAGTGGTTAGTAACAAAGTTACAACGGGTTAATAATAAAAAAGAGATTCTCTGATACCTATTAAACTGAAGTCTTCTTCATGAAAATTTTTACAAAATATTTTTATTAGCCTAATTGTTGACTAACGTGTCTCAGATTTAACTAGGGGGTTTAACACCCTTACAGCCCTAATTCATCCGCCCATGTGATTTACCTAATTTTTAAATCGTAATTAGATTTATTGGTTCATTTAAAATGATTTTTCAATCTCTATAATTTTCAATAAAACCCATATTTTTGGAGAAAAATTCCTTTTTTGCCGTTTATACGATTTTTAAATCCTCATAGTTTGAAAATTTTTAACCCGTTATTAGTTGATACTAAAATAATTTTCATAGCACCTTTTTAACGGTTTTATTTATTTTTAATAAAAATCTATTTTCCTATATAATAAATAGATTTTTTTAACGAAATGGAATGTATCTTCAAAACTGTGGAATTTACGGATCATTACAAATGGAGTTCTCATTTAAAGATGGATAATTTAAAAAAATTAAAAAAAATATAAAAAAATTACACAAAAAATATGCCATCAAACTAAGATATTCGCAAATTTTCATAAAAGAGAGTTAAGAAGAAGAAGAAGAAGAAATTATGGCTCATATAAAAAATACCATACTTTTGCGACACCCTTTATAAATAAATAAATAAAAACTTTCGTACCTGCAGCGATGCAAAAATTTCTCATAGACACCAAATGAGAAAACAATTACTTGCATTTCCTTATTTATTGCATTTTTTAAAACGCACGAAATAATTTTAGCCTTGATTTGATACTTACCTCCACCGTTCATGCAATTTTCTCTTAGTGGGAGAGGTCCCTTCTATTTTATTTTATTCATACAACTTTTATAAATTTTAACTTTCATTCAAAATTTTCTACAGAATGTAAATTTTTCCAACATATAATTCAAAAGAATTATTTGTATTTCATAGAGTTTTGTACAAGCTGTGCATACAACCACATCTCTCATATTATTTCGCTCCATTTCTTCCTGTAATAATTCCTATTCTAAAGAATAGATTTTAATTCAAATTCAAAATGTTTAATTTTGATCGATACCTAATAAGGTACCCTTTAGGTACTTTACTGATACTTCATAACAACAATAGTCAAATCAATGAGGGCTTTTGGTTACTTATTTCATACAGATAACAGTTTTCAAATGGAAAGATGCTCCAGAAAAAGAGAGCATTATAATATGCAAAAAAATCACTATCAAAGTTTATTGATTCTTGATAATGACCTTGCCACAAGTTAGGATCATAATAAACTATGATCATAAATTATAATTTTAACTAATTTTTCATCTATACATATCCGTAACCCGTTAAATCCGACTTAAATACAGTAATAAGACATCAGTTAATTGCCTTTTATAATAGAAACTTTAATTGCTTTGATAATACATTGTAAGGGTAATTTTTTGTCCAAATGGACATGTATATTTAAGAAAAAAACGAAGGCTAATATTTTTAAATACTGTTCAGGTAAGTACCCACTTTACTATACTTATTACATTATTAAGTAGTCAATCATAGCCAGAGCTAATAATTATTAGATACCTGAAATTAGAAAGAATTACATTGGCGCCAGGTCAGGTTTAGATAAATGAGAAACTTTAATGGAAAGCAATGACTCGAAGAAAATGTATTTTTAATAAAGTGCATGAATTTAGGTTCAGCAGAAATATGCATTTTGCTTGTGAAAGAAATTGTAAATGCTCAGTTAAAAATGCATTATAAAATAATGAAAAACACTGTGTATTTATCGTAGGTATAAAAATCAGAATATAAATTCTGATTTAAAATTTACATTCATATTTATATTATATTTATATTTTATAAATTTTACCCTCCTCTAACCCTACCCACCTTGTTCATCATTTAGAACTGTCTAGAATCATTTAGAATTGTCTATAACCATTTAGAACGCTCCAGGACCGTTCGGGACACTCCAGAATGATGCAGAACGCTTCAGAATCATTTAGAACTAGCCAGAACCATTGAGAATGCTCCAGGACCGTTCAGAACACTCCGGCAAGATGTAGAACGCTCCAGAATCATTTAGAACATTCCAGAACCATTAAGAATCTCCAGAACCGTTACAAGTAATTGTTAACGCGTTTTTATTTCATCTTGTAGCATTAAGTTTAACATATTTTATTTGTAATTGGCGAAATATAATGAAAAATGCAAAATTAAATTTTTGCATATGCATTTTGAGTTTGCGGGTAAAATATGCATTTATGCACTTCGTGCAATCGTGCATTACATCCACTACGTGCATTTTGCATATTTTTCAGGCTCTAATCATATTTCTTTCCCTATGCTCCATAAGATCAGCTTTTTAGGTGACTGAATAATACTAGAATCCAAGACCAATAATTTTAAATCAGAAGAGGTAAACAATAACTTCATATGTCATTTATTAAACGTTACGTCAGTAATGTCACAAGTCAAAAAATGTCAAAACACTACTAAACACAATTTTAATTCGATTCATGCGTATTTTAATTAAGAATATAAACGTGTAAATAGGAAATATCCTATATTCCATATTTTTTTCTTATATAATCTATTCCAACAACCCATATGGAGATAGTAATTTAACGTTTTTGGACATATTTTAGGTAGGTGTCACGTTACAAGAAAATGGTGAATGTAGTTAAATTTCGACAAAAACAACGCATTTTATGTTAACCTTATTTTGATTGTAACGTCGTTGATACGCGATCATTTATTGGGCTTGTGATCACCGAAATACTCATTTTTCTAATTATTACAACTTGTTGGTTTTGTTAAAGTTTGTTTTCCAACATAAATTATCCATATTACTTCCTTTAAAAATGATGCTCATGCTTTGTACATTGTAAAAAAATATTATTTTGCATTTGATGCAATCTCACTGAAGTAATTGGTAGTTACTACAATTTGTTAACATAAAATAGCTTCATATAATTTAATTTTTAACATTTTTAACAATTTTTTTCTGTAGTTTATTAATTTTTCACTTAAGTAACGACAAAATGGAAAAACACTTGTTTTATTTAGATATTAATCTTAATCACGACATGTGTAAATTATTAGCAGGAAAATTTTCTGTATCACTACTAACAGTTCAATAACACCAATGCTTTAGTTCAATAACATTACGTGTAGTATCAATGTAGTTGTTTAAACACTAATTTATATCCAATTTTAAGCGTTAGAATATGAATGATGCAGCATCAGTGAGCCCTGCCGGGCCAATGGCTATTAACAAGGAGCTTATCATCAAGGAGGGTTGGCTTCAAAAAAGAGGAGAACATTGGAAGAACTGGAGATCGAGGTAAACTTGATTTACTAACTTCTACGATCGATGTTAATTCGTATTTTCAGATTTTTTGTTCTGTTGAACGATGGCACGTTGGTCGGTTTTAAAAATCAGCCGGACAATTACGGTCAAGTGGAGCCTTTAAACAATTTCACGGTGAAAGGTTGTCAAATCATGTCGATAGACAGACCGAAACCTTTCACGTTCATAATTAGGGGGCTGCAATGGACGACGGTAATCGAACGTATGTTTTGCGTAGAAACAGAACAAGAAAGGTAAATTTACCATCACGAAAGTGTTTGTCACAATAGTCAATTCTAAGAATCTGGAGAGTTAGTACTAATTGGTACATTAATTAATAGAGCTTGGAAAATATTCACTAAAAAATGGAAAAATATCTATTTATTACGTACATGCATTTATGCTCTATGAAAAAAATCAGAAATAACCAGATATAAAATAATTTAAATGAAAATTTAATTAAAAGTAAAGATAAGACATTTTCACATGCAATTCCTACTATCTGACTATATTACTTATTAGAAGAATGGAATAGAATCATTTAGAACTGTCTAGAATAATTTAAAATGCTACAGAATCATTTTGAATTATCTAGAACCATTTAGAACTGTCTAGAACCACTCTACCAATCATTGAAAACCATTTAAAACGCTTCAGAATCGTTTGGAAATCGTTTGGAACAAATTTTAGAACACTTTTTGCTTTTAAGACAAGATTTCACAATTTTGTGGTACACCATTGGATAGCATTTTTATAGACTTTTTAATGATGTATCACAAGTTGGGGTTGCTATTTAAATTTCTACAGTTGGGGCCTAGGGGGTTGATGGGGGGGTGAATTCTTTTTTATGTCATTTTAGTTCCCCTTTCATACCCTGAAAACGGTTTTAGGCATTTTTTATATCATGTTTCGTTTGGGAGATATAGCCATTGTATGTTTTTAAATTGTCATACTGTAGAGTTTATTTGTGTTATGCAGGGAGGAATGGGTGCAAGCGATAAAAATGGTATCGGAGCGAATATCGGAATGCGAAGACGTGGAAATGAATCCGGCAAACAACGAAACCGGAACGATGGAGGATCTTTGCGAGAAGTTCTCGCTGCAAGGAACGTCCATTTCGAAATCGACCGGAAAGAGAAAAGTAACGCTCGAAAGTTTCGAATTCATCAAAGTACTCGGCAAAGGTACGTTCGGTAAGGTCATTTTGTGCCGAGAAAAAGCTACTGGCAGATTGTACGCCATCAAAATTCTCAAAAAGGAAATCATCATTCAAAAGGACGAAGTCGCGCATACTCAAACTGAAAATCGCGTCTTGCGTACCACTCATCATCCATTTTTAACAGTAAGAGACCATCTGCTACCAATGTTTGTTTGACATTCTCAATGAGTTTGTTTTAGTCGTTGAAATATTCGTTTCAAACCAACGACAGATTGTGTTTTGTAATGGAATACGTGAATGGCGGAGAACTGTTTTTCCACTTGTCGCGAGAAAGGGTTTTCTCCGAAGACAGGACTCGATTTTACGGTGCCGAAATCATATCTGCCTTAGCTTATCTTCATTCGCAAGGAATTATTTACAGGTAATTATATTAGTTTGAATGGGGGTTTCCTTGAAAAGTGTTTCTATAGACAATGGCCCGTATTCAGCTCCCCATTTTAAAGCCCATTTTTTGTCACTTTAATGTAAACAAAGTGCCTAGTTACGCCATAACAACGAATGTAAAATTGTCAATTGTAAGAATGTCCCTAGTTACTCCATAACAACCAATGTAAAACTGTCAATTGAAAGAATTTAAAGTCGTGTTTAAGGTTAAAATGGAGGCGCTGATTGTGGGTCATTACATACTTTTTACCCCGCTTTCCTGTCTCATCTTGGATAATTTGAAATAAACGAATAAATATTTTTAGGGATCTAAAACTGGAAAACCTCTTGCTTGACAAAGACGGGCACATAAAAATAGCCGATTTTGGACTGTGTAAAGAGGACATAACATATGGACGAACGACCAAAACGTTCTGCGGTACTCCCGAGTACCTGGCGCCTGAAGTGTTGGAAGACAATGATTATGGTAGAGCGGTGGATTGGTGGGGAATTGGAGTAGTTATGTACGAAATGGTAAGCAAATGCAAGCTAATCGATAGGCTGTTTTTAAGGCCGCCAAAGCACGCCCTCAAATTTATAATAATTCGTGGGGTAATATTTTTCCACAATAGATGGGATGAAAATTAGAATCTTACTAGAATTCCTCGAAAAATACCCCGAAGTGGCGCCCTTAATCTCGTATGTAATTTTCCTCAGATGTGTGGCCGATTGCCCTTTTACAACAGAGACCACGACGTGCTCTTTACGCTTATACTAATGGAAGAGGTTAAATTCCCGCGGAATTTGAGCTCCGAAGCGAAGGACGTTCTGGCGGGATTGCTGGTGAAAGATCCGACCCATAGATTAGGCGGCGGACCGGACGATGCCAAGCAAATCATGGCGCATCCATTCTTCAGTAGCATCAATTGGAGAGATTTGGAACAGAAAAAGGTAACGGATGCTCGGAAAATTTACGATTCGTTTTAACTGGATTTCGAAGAACAAGGTTTTGAAGTTACAGATAAATTATTTATAATTTCTGGTTAATCATCGTAAAAATTCGAAATATTGTAGAACTATTCTTTCAGTTCCATTCCTTATCAAAGGTTGGAAATCATCATTACAATTTTTTTCTTTACTATCTACAGCTCCAAACAGATCATTTGAGCTGGAAACTCTAAAATTGCTCAGTTATGAAACCCTTCTACGCCCTACACTGGGCATACCTTTATTTTTCCCTGCATTATTAGCTTCAGTAATTGATATTTTTCTCTCCTCATTATGTGAGTTAGATATTCCAGCTTTTTTCTTTTTTCTACTGTTTTTTTAATGTTTTTCTAATGCTTTCTTCTACTACCCTTTAGTTGGACATTAATACGCGAAGGCGACCCAAAATCATACGAAAAAAAAACAAAAATTTAAATGCACAGGATTTGTAATTTTCTATATTTTTTATTACATACTTTTATTACAAATTTTTGTTACGTTTTTTTGTTAAACTTTTTTGGGTTGTTTACTGCGAAACCTTGTAAATTGTAAATTAGTGTTATCGAAATAATTATCTTCTATGTGTTATTTATACATTGTGTAATTGATTTTAGATACCTCCGCCATTCAAACCGCAAGTAATCAGCGACACGGATACGAGATATTTCGATTCGGAATTCACCGGTGAAAGCGTCGAATTGACACCGCCCGACAGCAATAGGCCTTTAGGTTCGATTCAAGAAGAACCGTATTTTCCTCAGTTCAGTTTCCAAGATTTATCGTCTACGTTGGGCAGTTCAGCGTACATCAGCGGTAGCATGACAAGCGTAGCTCCAATGCAGTGATTTATCCTTTATTGTCTAATGGTAGAAATTATTAATATTATTATTATTGCATGACGATAAATTGACGACTCTTTCGAACTAAACGAAGCATTTTGTTGGTTTATCTGGAAAGTGCCTGGAATATCGATCTTGCGTTTTGCGAAATGATATATTTTTATAAGTCATATGTTAGTAATTCTCCCGACAAATATTTGTACTCTGTATATGGTGAATCAAATTATTTTGTCAAAAAAAAACGGTAAAAACTCGATTTTTATTCCACGTATTTTCTAGATTTCTGATTTATGTGCCTGGAACAATTAATTGTTTTTACATACAATGTAACTGCCTGTTTAATCATTTTTGTGTATCGCCTTATACATATGTATTTTTTTAAAATTTGGTACTTATGTGGGAACTTCAAACTCCGTTAGACAGTAAGTTGTAAAACTGTTATCATTTTTTGTGATAAATCTTTTATACATAATGTAAATAGAAACGATATACTAATTTGTTTTAAAAACATTATATCATTTTTGTATATAAATTTAATTAAGTTATTATGTGGTCTGTAGATAAATTGGTAATTACTCATTATAAACAGAAAAGGTTTTTTTTACATAGTTTAGTTTAGAATCAAATCTGAGGAACGCATTCGGTGATGCTCAATGTTAATTTCGTTATTCTGTATGTTAATAGGCAATTTAAAAGGTGAAGCTGGTTAACAAATCAATCGGCTTTGAGAAATCTTTTTCTGTTTATCATAACGCTTTAAAAAGTAAGAAGTAATTATTTAGTCAGTTGCGACTGACTCGATTAAAAATAGCTTTTTACTTGTAGACTAGCACAAGGACGGTACCGCTTTTCCTAAGATATTATAAAAAATGGTTACTACATTGTCAAAAGGAATTGTATCAATTTTTTTAATGGTGTGATATTTTATTGAATGTATTTAGTTGAATCTGTAAATTTAATCAATTTGTTTCGCTATTAACATTTGTTTAATGTAATATCACGGAATACTCTAGCTAGTATTCTCCGATATAATTTAAACTAATTTTTAGTTATGGCATAATTTACTTAAACAATATCTATTGTTTTATGATTTTAGTTAATTTTGACGTTATTACTCTATTTGTAATTTTGTACAGTTTTGCTATCTATTCTAATGAAAAATTGTGAAAATTCTATTTTGATTAATTAATGATTTGTTTGAAGAATGCCGTAGTTTTGATCACATTTCAAGATTAACTAAACCGCTATTGTGCCATAACTTTTTCTAATATAATTTTTGGGCATTTAAAATTATCATCATTTGATTAATAAAAAATATCGTAAAAAATCAACTCTAATTCATTTTATCGCCGAATTGAATTTATTATTAGAGCGTTTTCACAGGGTGCAATACAGGCTGTCCCACGACGAGTTAAAACTATCTCTATAGTATAGGAGTTACTTTTTTTTGAAAAATTTAACCAATACAGACCCTTAAATTATTTTTTTACGGTAATCCCCTTAAAGATATGGAAACAGTTTCTGTAGGGGGCTACTAGCAAGGTCAGAGGTATTTGAATCTGTTTAAAAAACTTTTTATTTTATACAGGGTGTGTATAAAAAATGTGAAAAGTTGAAATTCAAAATGATCAAAGTTCTTCATCTTTTTAAATGGAACCACCCATTTTTTTTTATTTTAATGAAATCAGCGGTCAAAAATAAGGGAAGTTCATGTTTACTTCCCTAGACCTAATCCTAATAATTTTGAAGATATTAAAAATTTTACATAAAACTTCCTTTTCTGCCTTATTCTCAAAGTTGGCCATGTAATATCGTAGAAGTACCAAAATTAATAACCTATTAATCAAGAAGAACATCAGAAGAAAACTACGCATTTGAACGTTTGTATTTTAACTGCACTGCAATATTGCAACAATTTATGTATTGCTGCAATATATTGCACCGTGTGAAAACGCTCCAAACCTCATCGTAATTTAATTTTTCTGGGGTATCTGCGTTCAAACATTCGTACAAATTACAGAACTTTTATTTAAAACTATTGCGAACAAATATCTCAATTTCGTTTCATTAAAAATACAAAAATTAGTGCATAAAAAAATCAGAACGACTGCGCGGCCATATCGTCCGCGCATATGCCCAAAAGAGCCAGATCGTCATCGGGCGGCAGCGGCGGCGGCTCCAGCGGCATTGAATGAGAATGCGGCGGCGGAGGCGGCGGGCTGATCATCTTCTCTTCTTGCTCGTAATGATAGCTATTTTGACCGTAACCCTCGTAGTTTTGATAATATTGATCCATTGTATTGGGATTGATGTCCTCTGAACCATACAGAACCTGTCGTAAAAACAAACATAATTATTATACAAAATTTAATTATACACGGTGTCACAAAATGAAATGAGGGTGTAGTATGGCCCAAAATATACAAAAAGTCTATGGACTAATGTCCTTACCTCATCGTCGCTTAAATTAGCCACCGGCTTGCTTTCCGTTTCGCGTAATTTCGGCGGCGGCGGAGCCTTCGGTAAATTCTTGTCAGGGTCATTTCGACTGATTTTGGGCGCTTCGGGCACCGGTACTCGATCGATCACGACCGGCGGCGGCGGTGGAATGGTCAAAGGCGGGATCGACGACAGCTTGGGGAAACAGACGACGTCCGGTTTGGGAATGAAAGCTTTCGGCAAGTTGCCGGGCTCGAATCTGGTCCTTCTCGGCGTTTCGTAGCTTTGCTTTTTGATCTCTTTCGGTTCGTCTCTGTCGTCCTATTAAAATAAAATAAGACGCACATTAATACAATGTTTTTAGTGATACTATTAATATTTACCTGAGTTTTCGGTTTGTTTTTGAAGAGCGGCATTCTACCGATAAACGGCAATTTCTTATAACTCGGAGGACCCGGAGGTTTCTTTTTATCGTTTTCATCGTGTTTGTCGTGCCTTTTATCCGAATTCCTTCTGCTTGCACTGCGACTTCGGCTTCTAGAGTGACGGTGATTGAAATTCCTAAAATAAAGTTCTTAATTATTGTTGGTGCACGTCAATCAAAGGCTATTCAGCCGAATAATCAAGAAAAAATTTTTGCGTAATCTTTTCCACGTGTTAGAAACGACTCAATTTGAGCTCTAAATAATTCAGATTCAGAAGTTTTCTCAGAAATTCCACTCACCAATAAAATTATGAAGTGAAGGAGGCCGGCAATTTTATTTTTTTGCGCTCAGCGGGAAGATAAGAGAAATTAGAACAAAATGGCTATCTCACTTTAATTCGCCATATTTTTCGAATTTTATCCTGTTTCCAATCACCCGTTCAATTATTTCGGACATGTCAAGATCACACTAGCTCAATTAAATTCGCTTTGTCGAGGGTATAATTAATTATTTCAGAGATTATTTTACCTATTATCACGCTTGTAATATCGTTCATCGTTTTTACCATCCTCCTCATCGCTTCGCGAATAGGACCTCTTTTTCCTGTAGGAATTCGTCTTGAATCTAACTTGATTACGCTCTTTGTCTCGAATTCGTTCCAGTTCTTCTTGCTCCTTTATCTTTCGCCTGCGTTCCTCCTCTTCGGCCATTTGCTTCTCCTCGCGCTTCTTTCTTTCCGCGCGTTCGATTTCTTCGCGTTCCTTTTCGCGCTTGTGCTTGTCCAGTTCCGCCAAACGGACGCGTTCCTGCTCTTGCTTTTGTCTCATTCGATCTTTCAGAGAATCGAGCATCACTTTCTCCTAGAATACCAAAAATATATGTATTGGAAATATCGGATAATAATGTTTTGAATAATTATGAATAGTGCCTGGAAAATATGCAAAATGCATGTAAAGTATGTATGCATACATGCATATTTCCCCCGAAAATTCAAAATGAATATGCATAATAATATTTTGCGTTTATATTTGATAAATAATTAAAATACGTTAAACTTAATAAGGAATAATAAAATAAAACCGTTAACAATTACTTGCAAATTCGGGTAACTAAAAGAAACACCCAATGCTCATTATGGGAACTCTTAAATATATTGTTCTGAACGGTTTTGGAGAGTTCTAAATGGGCCTGAATGGTTCTGGACAGTTCTAAATGATTCTGGAGCGTTCTAAATGGTTCTAGACAGGTCCAAATAATGGTTTGTACAATATGTATGTACAACAAATATTATTTCCTATATCTGTACATGCTTCTTTTGAATTATCTGGACACACTTACAAATTGTTAGCAGTAATTTACAATACAAACCTTAGGCGGTGGCTGTGATACTGTCATCCACTGGTTAATAAGATGATCATCCCTAGTCTCCTTTTCGACCGGCATATCCTTTTCCCTCTGCTCCATCTTCTTGTGCTCTTCGACCAATTTCTCCAGCACGTTCCATTTAGCCGTAAGGTCCTCGTCCATGATAGATTGGACTTGCTTCATGTTGCGCATCGCCACCCGTATGCTCCTCGATCTGTCCTCGTTCTCGTCGTCCGAGCTGCTATCCGACGATGAAGAACTGCTGCTGCTATCCGACGAGTGTTTCCTCTTCTTGCGCGACTTCTTCTTCTTCTTTTTGTCCTTCAGGGAGAACAAATCCGCCGACGAGTGCTTGTCTTTGCGCTTGCGCCTCTTCTTGCCGCTGTCCGAATCGGACGAGTCCTGGACGCCCTTTCTCGCCATCGATTTCTCGCGATCCTTCAACCACTCCATTTCCCAATGCGGATTTTGCGACACGAAATTCTGCACGACAAAGACGAGTTAGGATTTTTTTTGGAGCAAAGATTTTTTTTTAATTCTACTCACCTCGTAGTTTTGATGATGCGATTTAGATTTTAAATGCTGTGACGCGCAATGCAGGTCGCCTATCCAAACGTCGCATAATTTGCAGTACCAAGACGGAGCAGATATGAAGAACTGCAGACCTGCAAAATAAATTTAATACGTTTTTTAGAGCCTAGTTTAAGGTATGAGTATAAGTGCTGCCAAATTACGGAGAAACAAGAGAAAATAATCGAGTCAGAAGATCCTACAGGATATCTAGAATGAACATGTATTAGTAAGAGGACGAGTTTGCACCACACAATTGCTCTGGTATGAACTTGAGGGTGGAGTAAGACAGGTGATGCATTGATGTATCAACCAGAAAATAGAAGAAGAGGAAGACCCTCAATGTCCTGGAAATAATGGATAGAACAGTGAATGATAGATACGAGGTATCCAGGAAAAGGAATGGATACATAGAACAGTATAGCGTGCGGGATGCAGCAAAGGAAGCTGTAGATGAAAATGAGAAAAAAAAACTGATGAAAACACAACCAATAATACCTTTGATGGGTATACGTTTCTTGGGAGCGTTCTCTTCACAAGGCATCAAAACTTCTTGGGGCAATTTGTGCCACGGAGTGCTATCGACGTCGTTCTCTTTGGCCATCTCGCGGTGTTTCTTGTCTTGCAGATGCAGAAGGAAATCTTTGGCGGTCTCGGGAAATTCGTCGCACAATCTGCACCAATGCAAGCCGGTGTCGTAATGCACGTAGCAAAAGTTCTCCAAGGGCTTGTTCGATTCGACGGAGGAAACTTTGTAAGGGTTATCGGTCGACGTCGGCGGCGTGGCGATCTTCGGTTTTCCGTAATCGGCCAATTCGCTTTCGAGATCAGAAATCGATTTGTTATCTTTTATAATACTGGACAGCATCTCAATCACATTGTGTATGGCTTTCAATTTCCCTTGGATTTCCTCCTGAAAAGAAACTGTAGCTTAGAATTGATGGGCGAGTAAACGAACTGATGTGGAACGTAACTAATATACATACTGGTGTATACTCCGTGGCTTAATATATTTTTTTTTCAGTAGTATCTAATAGAGTTAAAGATTAGGATGAAGATAATTCAAGTGCACCTGACACTGAAATTAAATATTAACACAAAAAAATAGTGTTAAATTAACTACACTACACTTTAAATCCACCAACGATATTCCAAATAAAGCATCGGGAACAGCCGGGTCTGAATTATTAAAAACTATGCATTACGTTTATTTAGTAATAATTACGTTTAATATAAAATTTTACAATAACGACCTTATATAAAAACAATACAGAAACAGTTTCTCCAACTAAAAAAATTTACAGCAAACAAATACGTACGTAATCATATTCGTTTTGTCGGGTAACATTTTATTTTTACATACCTGCAGTTTGTCGTTTTGTTTCAAAATGTTCGCCAGGTCCGTGTCCGGCGTTGAACGATTACTGCCTACCAGGTCCTGTTTTTGCATCTGCAACTGTTCTAATTCGTGCCTCAACACGGATGCTTTCTTCACGTAATCTTCCCGCTGCCGCACGAGCTGGGCTTTCTGCTGTTGCATCTCTTGGGCCACTGCTACAAAATAAACATGTCAGTAAACAATGCTAAATCGGAATTTATAAGAATTTTGTTGGGACTTAATAAGCCATTAGAGACTTTTAACCTTTTCTGCTCCAACAATGCCTGTCCTTTTACGGAGGTTGATTCCCTACGAAAAAATGGCATTAAAATATTGATCACGTGTGGTTATATTACATAGTTAATACAACGTCCCGAAATTGTTCTTCATCTTTATTTTTCATATAAAATCCTACTGTATTATAAATAGTATGTTCAAAAGAGTTTGCGACTTCCAAAGACATTTAATCGCCGAAAAATCATATGAAATTATTAAACCAAATGAGATTTTATGAATGCATTTCATAATTAATTGGCTTCAGAAATCGACCAAGTATCATTACCCTCGACTTACCATCCTTCGGATCCGCCTGATTATAATTTCCACTCCAATTATTTGCTGTGAACATTTCTTGACCAGGCACGACTGGCTGGGCGTTCTATAAAAATATACATTTAGTGGCGCATAAAATAAATACAGAAGATATTTAAAACTAAGTCGTTTTACTTATTTTTTGACACAATATTTGAATCAGTAACATACGAACCTTTACGAGTACGAGTTGAATATTTTACTTTACTTAACGATTTAAATTCAAAAAAGCAGCTCTATCTGTAGTAATACATCATTAAAGCAAGTAGATAAATTATCAATTAAAATATAAATTAAACATTAATAACCATGAAAAGTTAACTGAATGATATAGTTGGTTTTTTATACTATATACCTGGCTGGAGTAACCTGCATATCCTTGATAAGCTCCGTATGTGGCTGCGTAGGCTTGAGGATATTGGGCATATCCTGACTGATAGCCTGGATTCGCATAATGAGCCTTAAATAAAAAAAATATTTCTATAGAATTATTGTGCTTTTGTCAAATTAGCTAATGCCAGTAAATGTTAAAATTAACAAAATAAAGAATGCTACTTAACCTACATAATATTTTTAACATAGTAAGTACTTACGTTATTATACATATTGCTAACAAACTAGCAATTGCTCATGAGGGTTAAACTTGATTACACCTGAAATGAATACAAGTATTGAATATATGCAAAATATTTACAAATAATACAAGGACTCACCGAAATACCTTTATATGATATATTCTAGAATCAGCAGAAACACTGGAGTCGGAACGCTAAATGCTGAGAAGTTGATTGTATAGGTTAATTTAACTGTAACCGAATAAAATATAGAGATGATTAGAGCCGTTTAAATAATAGAATTACTGACAAATTCCAAACGATGTATCGTTAGTTATTTTTAGATAAAACTAATTTTATTTGGAAAAAACGACACATGCATCACTTATTTAACAAACCGCCATTTGCTAAGAAAAATATTTGTTCGATGCCTGTTCCGAGTTCCGAGTTCCGAGATCATTTGCTGTCAAGTATATGTGTCAGTGCGGCGAACGAATGAAATGAACAAACTATGAGTGCGAGTGAGACGAATCATAAAACATAAAACACAAACAAACAAATATTTTCGTAATCTATTTGACAGTTCTGTCAAAATTACTTTTCTTCTTCTCCTTGCAAATTTTATAAGAAGGCCATTTATCTTACCTTATTACACATAATATATTAAATTTTCAGATCAGATCTTACTTATTTTTACGTTATTACATTATAAATTAAATAAATTCATTCTAATTAATACAAGCAAAGGTATTTTTAATTATCCATCCTAAAGGTATTTTGGTATAGATGCGAGATAGGACCGTTTGTATATTTTTGTATGTTAAAAATCTTTTAAAAATTATTAGTTCAATTCATAGATAATTTCATTTTAAAACTTTTTTTTATTATTTTTGTTTTTTACATTTTTTTAAGGTTTTGATGAAAAAACCTAAAAAATTAATTCATGCACACTATCAATGTTACTTAAATTCGAAAGTTGGTTGTATTAAGTTAAAGTTGACACCTTATATAAGAGTCAGAAAACCACATTTTTTTGAATTTTATAAGGTTTTTAAGGTTGTAATAAAGATATTCCAGATGTGATAGGAATGAAAACTTTAAACATATGTTTAAATCCTTTAATTGTGATCAAAAACACATGTCTGACGAATTTAATTACTGAAAAATTCATAAAAGTTTATTTATTTTCGAAAAATTAATAATCTGCAAATTATAAAATGAACTTGGAAAGTGTGGTTCAATAGATATTTGAAAAAAATAATGATGTTAAAGGATTAAATTTCTCTATTGTGCGATGATTTGTGGACCATGCATTCATAAATTAATATCTACCATTGTTTAAAATATTGCATGAAGCAAACCGATATTAACATGGTCGTCAGAGTGAAAATTTGATATATTATTACAGTCAAGAATGAAAGTTTTCTGCAAGATTTAAGTAGCCTCGTCTCGATAATAAATTTTATTTTAAATAAAATTAGTCAAATTGAGCACGTACCTATAGAATATAAAATTGTAATGTTTTTATTGAAAAACAGTTTTATGTCTAGAAATGTAAGTTAAAAACCCAATAACTGATTTGGATAATTATTTTAAAGATTATTTGTAGATACGTTAGTGATCGATGAATCAGGAATATTCCCATACTCCCACACGTTACAAAACACTGCATTGTAGTTAAAAAAAATTGGCTATCATCCATTAGTATATCGATTCAGATAAGGCTTTGTTACAAACGTAGCCTTTTAATATCACAAAAAGCTCGCTAATAAAAATAAAATTAAAAATCTTCACAAAATTAGACACAAGAGAAAGACCATCAATTTTCCCATAAATTTCTTCAATTGTGATAATGGGCAGGCATAATTTGTTCTCAAGATTGGTAAATAATAAAAGACAAATTTGAAATTTGTCATCTGTGAACAAAAGTAATTGTCAAGTTCACCTGTGCACAACCAGGCCACATAAAAAAGAATGGCTTTGCACTCAACGAAGCAGTTGTTGATTTTTTAATGTCGCAAAAATATTCGTTGCACCCAAGAGATTATAACCAGCAGTAAAAATGTTACCGGAGCGAATAGTTCAATGGTTTTTGATTTGTGAATTCGCTCTTATCGTAATCGGTATATCAAATAACGAAGTAAGTAAATCTATTTACTATTAAACGAAAAATATAATACTATATTATATTTTCATTTAGAACCTCATCGACGAAGAGTACCACAGGGCTGCTGATAAACCTAAAGGTTTTCAACAAGCAGATACCGATGATTTAAAGCGAGACTTGTGGTACGTTGGTCACAATCCAAAATATTATCATTCAAGTGAGTTGATCCACCCATTTTCAATAAAATATAAATACATTTTGTATTTAAATTACAGGTGGAGCGTACGGACCTGTAGGACCTGATAATTTAGTATACCATAAGGAACACGGTAAAATTATTTCACAAACTAATGGACATATTCTTATAAGAATTATTTTTAGAACCTTATGGATATACTGGTGAAACACCACAATATGGTTACACGCCTGGTTATGGAATGTTTGCTGGTCACCCTAGTTCATATGGCTACCCTACTGGCAGTGGAGGTATCCATCCCTATATTCACAGTGGAGGAGTAATACCTTATGGTCACGGTGGAGGCCACCCTTACGATGGTTATGAACAAGACAACGGATTTGGACTAAACGGGATTAGCCAGTATCTTAAAAAAGTGAGTTGGAATTCAATTGCCGCAGTGGTAGGTACTCATTCTTCTACATTTTTTTAGAAATTAACCTTCAAGAAACTGTTTTTACCACTAGCTGGTCTAGCGCTCATAGCAGCAGCAGGGGTTCTATCAAAAGCTAATCCTGTTATACTTCAGCTTGACGCCACCAACGTTGGTTCGCGAATTAAACGATCACTTGTTCAAGACAGTAATAACAAGTATAAATACACCTCGTATATTAAATTAAAAAATAAATATTTAAAATGAAAGTGTACGTATGGTTTATTGGAAGCATCTTTTAATTGAGTGGAGTAGGAAACATGGATAATATCGTTTTTATGGTTTTTATCGATATAATACACATAACTATTTTAATGGTATCGATTGCAAAGTGTATTCCAAAGCTTTGTATTGCAATTTGACGATTAATTTAAAGAACGTGATTTTTTCACAATATGGCTAATTAAAAATGCCGATTTTTTTGCTTGTTGCAATACAAATCGTTTAGATTTTGTAACGAATTTTGGTGTTACTATTCAAAAATTTAACCCCTCTTTCTACCAAATCCTGATTTTATAATATGTAATAAGGCGGTAAGCTTAGGAGAGATATGTGTATGTCCTGCTACCTTAATTAATACTACCAACCGAAGAAGTACCTATACAGTTGATTTGCAACAATTAAGAACCATCGTTGTTCACGCGATACAATTTATCACCCATTAATAGCAACAATAATCGTCATGCAAGCAGCGAGTTCCTGAGCAGCGAATAAAATGCCTATACCTTCGTTTTATGAAATAGATATTTTTCCATGATAAGATCGTACATGCGCCTTTTCAGGACGTTTCCGCGAGTCCTGCGTAACTCTGGAGCGTATAGTATCGATTCAGCAGGGTGCTGTCGGCAGCCATTTTATCGAAACAAATCTGTGTAGGGAACTGGATTTGGGAAAGTCCTGCAAACTATTTTGCCATTCTCGTCCTGCTGACTCCGGTAACTATGTTTCGTCGATGGTAGTGTTTAATCGTTCCGGAAAGTGAAAAACGGCGACATGTAAGTAATTGGACTAGTTATAAGAGTGCTTACTGCGGAAAACTACGGATCATTTGAATATGCATATTTAGAAAATTATTTATTCTAATGATTACGCATACACTTTTATTGTATTTATCTAGTAAGTGCATATTATTGTGGTATTACTTCATCTACAAAAAATGTTCGTGTATTATTTTTACACAAGTATGTATGTACTTACTAAATCTAGAAATTTCAAAGAAAAATTTCTTGGCATTCTTTTAAATGTCTGTACCTGAGATTTGGTTTTATAATCAAAATCAATATGGATTGTAATTGGAATTAGTCCTACTTTAAATATATTCTTTTAGTCCTGGTTTTTGGCTACTTTATATTAGATATAATTAAAATTATGCCATGCTTTATTTAAAATATTGCTGACAGCCCATCAGATGTAAGTAACTATTTTAATAGCAAATTTTGAAAGAAGAAAATTGTTAAAAACCTATGCAAAAGTTTTAAGAGACACATCTAGTTATAACTGGATTACTTTTTTTCGGTTAAATCAATTCTATTATTGACTTTTCCAAATCGATATTCGCTAAAATATTATCATTTGTTGTGGTTTTTTAGTAAAATGATAAACAAGACGACATTATAAAGTAGTGAAAATTTAAGTATGCCTTTCCGTCCACTCGATCCAGAAAGAAAATTATTTTATTAATAAACCCTCCATTAGGGCGCAGGCGCTCCACAAAATCCCACAGACGATTTCTCTCAATGAAAAGTAGAGTGTAGGAGGACTGAAGGATTACATGGCGATTGAATTTACAAATTGGTTGTCACTCAACCTTTCTTAAAAAATTGAGCTGTACAACATTTTCAAATGAGTTTTTCATTTTAATGGTAAATTTTTTAACAATTTCACTGGTATAAAAAATACATGTTACCTATACATATAAATATCTAATTTTTAACCCTTAGAACAGTTAAAAAATTATAATTATGTTGACACAAAACACCTACATATGTATACTGAATAAAAAATGTATTATGTACTTAGGGAATATTCACCTTCGTTTGTACATGTTATTTATTATCATATTATTAACTAAAAAAATAATTAACAAGTCACATTGAATAAAATGTAAATAAATTACTTACAATCTAAATTTAGTTATCATCTTCTAAAAAATGTGTTTACAACTTGTAATTTTCTAATTATTAATTAATTAAAATAAATTAAAATGTTATTAGAAGGGAAGCTAAATAAATATTTATTAATTGCTTTTATAGATATGTAAGTGTAGTAATCAAATGCGCATTAAACAGCTTTCTTTCCATAACATATGCTTATATATGCTATATTTTCTCTCTTATATGCGCGATTCTGGATCTATTGTAACTAACTGACATTTTTTGCAACTAATACTGAAATCACAAGTTTTGAAAAACACAAAATTAATCAAGAACGTTAATTACATGTTTTTATTACACATCAGTTGGACAAACAGCATTTACACATAAACATTTTAAATAAACAATAAAACATAGCACTTTTCATCTATAATTATGGGTATTTTATCAACTTCCGCGGTTAAATGACGTATAGTTTCCTTAAATTTTACTGGAGTAATTGATTAACCTGTCGAGCTGCTTTTGTACTATTTCATAAACCGACAGTTATCCGAGTAAATCTTTGATGTGAGCGCGACCGCGACGTCGAAGGTGTTTCGTGACCAAGTAGAAAAACGAAATTTGATATATCAAACGACAATTTACTCTACAAGCCCCCAGGGGAAATGTCTATTAAAGGTGTACAGTGTTTTGTGTGAACACGAACGGTTGGTTTTCGAAGGTTTAATTAATAAAAATGCGGCCCGATATTAATTAAGGCTATCGTAAGTCCATAAGTAGTATCGTAAAATCGAGAAATCATGAAACGATCGGCGTATTTTTAGTTTCTATGTATTGATTCCAAACCGTTTATTAGGTACTAGATTTATTCTAAAAGGCGTAAGTTTCATATGAAAATCTTTTTTTAGAAATCAGCAAATTTATTACGAAAATATCGCGTTTCATATTCCAGAGGCATATATTTTTTATTCGGTATCGTTTTTCTTGCGATGTAGTTAGGCTACACGTCATATAGGTATATTTGATATCCCTGATTTTCATTAATTAAGTTACAATTTTGTAAAAATTGTGCTCTTGAAAAAATATTTTTATTGCTATTTATAATAGTTTTCCTATTTCGAACTTTACGCGTATGTATGTAATTGTCCATATTCTGTTCTTCCGTTGATAAATAATAATTGGTACCTACTTTAAAAGCTTTTAATGGCATACAAGGGTATTCCAATAAATTTTATAGGTAGATACTACATTTTTAATTTAAATTCTAGGCGTCACAACCACGCTCTTTTCGCTTCTAATTTATTTTCTATTATTCTAAATTGTAATTTAATTCCATTGGATTTTATAGAATCATGCCGTCCCTATATCAAACGCGAATATTTAAACGGGCGGCCCCCGAAGCGGGGACAGGGGCAACAGGAGACGTCCGCTCGGCCGCAGGAACGGAACCGGCGTCTCCGGGCAACGCGGCACCGACGCTTCCAGACGTCACGGTGCCTCCGCAGGACCTCACGACCCCCATCGACACTACAGGTGGGGACCTTTTGGAGAAACACATTTTTGGTAACAAAAAATTTCATCCATCTCACGGTCGCACGACCCCTCATCCGGAAGCAGGTACTGTTGTTTGTTGTTTGTTGTCGTTGTTTGATGTATTTGGCACAGCAACACACAACGACTCAACACTTGACAGCACTCGGTTAAATTCCGCATTATCACGAAACAGCATGGTCTTATGACGATAATTTTGACCGATTAGTGGATGAGTTCCTGCATGCTCGATGTCTTACCGCACCACAAGTAAATTAAATTGATTTAAACCAAAGCAAGGTACTTTTTAGGTGTAGCATATTACATAATTATAAAAATACATGTGAAATACACACAAAAATAATGTATTGATCTTATTTTAACGTTTAGTCCAACTAAGTAAGAAAGTATTCTTTCAGATTTATCTCCTTCATAATTTAATAGAATCGTTTCAGATAATGTTTGTGAATTTTTTGTTAACTCTAAATTACAGTTATCTCGAAGAAATCTTGTTGTGTTACTAAAGTTTTATACTGTGATTTATAATTCTTCAAAACTCCCTCTTTTATCACCATCTCAAATTTTCTACTCTTTCACTGGTTTATCTACTTTATTATATTATTTGCAGTCTCACTCGAGTGGCTTACTTGCCCATTGCTAATATATTTTCTTTACAACAATTGCATATTATTGTTAATGTTTCGCTACATGTCTAAGCATTGTGTACAATCCAGTTTTAGACAACCTTATATGTTTTCACTAACCACATGTTTCAATACATGTTAACAGATAAAATAGATGGACAGTTCATGTAAAATATGTAGTTAATAATGCTGACATGGATATGTTTTAACAACAATATCATTGACAAAATTAGTGCAAATTAAATTAGTATCTACGTAGGCACACCTATCATACATTATACATCAACAAAGTAATTCGTTCATTCATTCAAATTGTGAACATTGCACATAAACAAAGTATGATCGATTCAGACGAAGAAATAACAGATAAAGATCCTTGTAGACGCACATTCAAATGGTACCCCTTTTGGCAATATTTTGTTATCGGGGCGCTATTCTCTTGCGCTGACTATACTCATTTGCTGCCGTATATTTCAGTGAAACCAAGCACTAACGAGACAACCTTCGTTAAGAACATAGTTTCATTGGCCAATAAAGAAGGTATCGATACATGGATGCTAGTAACTATTCTAATTGGTAAGCTTCTGTTTCCTATCAACTGGCAGACCTTTATTAAATTGAGAATCATTTTAGCGGTATCTATTGTAATTCTCGGAATATGCTTCTGTTGCATAAGAAGATGTTTCCGCAAGCGACGTGCAAAGGACGGCAAAAAGGGCATGAAAGGCGTAGACCTAAAATCTGTACAATTGCTTGGGTCTTCTTACAAAGAGAAGGTAACTTACGAATTAACTGAGAGTTAAAATTTAAATGTAACTTAACTTCAAGGTTCAACCGGACATGGACGAATTGACGGAGAACGCCGAAGAACCGGACGATGGAGAAAAACCGGAAGTTCAAAAATTGGGAAAATTGCAATACAAGGTGAACAATAAATAAAACTTTGTAATTCTTTTTTCATTAATCCGGTGTCCGTTTCAGTTGGAATACGATTTTAATCAGAACAGCTTTTCCGTGACCGTCATTCAAGCTGAAGATCTGCCTGCTCTTGACATGGGTGGCACATCTGATCCGTATGTCAAAGTCTACCTTCTTCCCGATAAGAAAAAAAAATTCGAAACCAAGGTCCATAGAAAAACGCTGAATCCTGTTTTCAATGAAACATTCGTATTTAAAGTAAGTTTTTCAAATAGTGCATATAAATATTCTTTGATGCTGAATCAATTTGATAGAATTGTTAACAAAATAATATTCTTTTATATTTGTATTTACGCTCAGTAATTAAGGCTATACAGAAGATCTTGACTCCTTTTCCATTTAATTATCATTGCATTGTCACGTCCCAGAAACTGCGATATCATAATAAAAGAAACTCAATGTCAATGGTCTTTTGTGTTGATGAAAAATTGAAAGTTTTTACGCCGCAATATAATTTCACAAAAAAAATTATTATATATTTCCAAAGGTACATAACAGCATAAAAATATATATGGAAGTGATCATTACCAACCTTTTCCAGATAAGACAACCAATAACTATTATCGGACAAATTTCTTCAATTTTTTTATTAATTTCTAATAAAATCTTTGCAGAGTTTACCGTATTCCGAGGCTATGAATAAGACGTTGGTATTCGCCATCTTTGATTTTGACCGATTCTCCAAGCATGACCAGATAGGTGAGGTGAAGGTGCCACTGTGCACCGTCGATTTGGCCCAGACAATCGAGGAATGGAAGGAACTGCAGAGCGTCGAAGGGGAGGGTGGTCAGGTGATATCATTTAAATATTTTTATTATACTTTTTTCGATTTTATAGTAATTAGTCCGGTCCTTGCTTCAATCGGAATCTTAAACTTTTTACACCCAGTTCTGACCATTGGATGCTTGCACAAGTTACAGAGGATTCTTTTGCACTTTATGCCTCGAGAAAGTTGGATTCTTCCATTGAATAATAGTGTACTGTATGTACTTTAATTCTCTTGATGAGCGATTTTGAACATTAAATTCTTTAGTGGTTGTTGTTCGAAAGTGGAAATTACAATGCTGTTTGTTCCATTTAGATTCATCCTAATTTATTAAATTGTTCTGGAAAACAAATTATTTTTCACCACTAAAGATTTTGCGACCTAACGAACTTTTTTATCGAGGAATTCAACCAAAAGTAGAGAATATTGAAAATATTTCGCTTATTTTTTCTTATACATATTGTATTTACTATATCTAAGTAGATTTGCGTTTTTAAATACATATTTTACACTCAGTTTTACACTATGAATTTTAAAGGTTTTTTGTTGGAGTGAGTCAATAAAATAAATAGAATTACATTGGCATAAGAAAAATAACTGGACTAATATTGCAGTTGTGAAATTTGAAAAAATATTTCTCAGTAAAAAAATTAAAAAATGCGCAAGCTTATTCCAACAAAACCGCATAAGTACGCATACAGGGAGATAGAAAAATACCGACCGAAGCAAAGATGATCGGGACTAAGAACTCACACCAAACTCCAAGCAGTGGACAATTGTATTGACGTAAATTGTTTTTTCTCTTTTCCCTAAAAATTTCTCTGCTCTGCTTTTGGTTATGGCTCTGTTATGGTGCGTGTTGCGGGCATCAATGCATGAAACGCTTCAATTACGATAAAATTTTCACGTAAGTATTTTTCATCGTTACTTCATTTAAACGAACAACATATTTCAAATCGTTTCTCACCACTACTTTCTTAAACATTGTTTAATTAAGTATTAAACAATTAAATTCTTACACTACATGTCAGAATAAAAATTTTATATTTAATAATAAAATGGCATATATAAGGAAATAATTTGAAATATTCCGTGTATTTATTCGAAATAACATTTTATTTAGGGAAACATATTTCATATTTGCACAATCTAACAGAGACAGTATATTATGGTACTTACTATACGTAAAAGATGACCATTTAGATGTTCACAGATTAGTAACTGCCTTCTTATTAGAGTCAATAAAAATTCAAAAATCCAGAAATACCGAAAATACCTTCACAGATTAAGTTACGTTAAGATGGACAAAAGTATTCTCTACATTATAACAAATATAAATTAATTTTTATTGACCCGAACTTGTAGCGAGTAAGTACAATAAAAGGCAAGTGCATTTGTAGGTAGACGATAATAATAAGAAATGAAAGTTATATAATTTTGACAGGATAAATGGTTATCTCATGTACAACAACAAAATACAACTAACTATAAATATTTTCAATCACAGCTAATTCGTTAAACATAATTCATATTTAGTATGAAATTATACGTTAAAATTCCTCCCAAATATACGAACTGCATTAAATTGTAACAAAATTCTGTTATAAATCAATACCTTATTAAGACTATTAGATAACTTTTTAAATTTACATCTCCTGCTTAAATTAATGGGCCATTACAAACAGCCATTTAATTATTATTCAGTAGTATTAATACCGAAAACTTCAAGAAACTTTTTACAAGTCTAGTAGCCATACGAAATCGACCATATTTTATACGATATCGAAACAGACTTCACACTTTCAATTACTTTTTTATTATGAAAATTTCCGCATACATGCATGAATTCCATTTTGGCATTGCATTTGGCTGCTACTCGTTTTTTCAATCATTTATTTTAATGTTGTTGATGATACTTGATTTATCGAAACATTTTAAAGGAAAAATAGTTCTGCGTGTAAAAAATACTAGCATGCCCAGCACCACTAGTTAGTATCGAAAGCACAGTACATATTTGAAAACGGCAGGATTTCCAGAGAAGTGTCAAGGCGAGAATGAATTTTCTTCTACACATCTGGGGTGTCTATTACGAGGGGTATATCGATTTTAGTTAATGAAAGGAGTTTTTGAAAACTATTTTGTATTGAAAACTTGTTTGTGAAATTCTTCGTTTCAGAACTTACTTATGAAGACCCATTATGTAATGTCTTCGAAATATATTTTGTATTCACTAGCAGTAGATCATTTCAACTTATATTCCAGCTTTCTTAAATTTCTACCCTGATGGTGAACTCTGTAAAAAATTTAAACAATTAACCAAGGAAACATTGACTAATAAATATCTTAAGTTTAATTAATTTTGTTAAATAATACTTGTGTTTAACTTTAGGTACATTCATTTCAGTCCAAAGAGTTCAAATTAAGAGTCCAGAAAGTCCTTGTTTAGGGCCTTTCTTCTCTATATTTAAATTTTTTAACCAATTCATTAATTGAACTATAAGACTCTCTCTGGAATTCCTTTTTTAATAAGCATTTTCTTAGAAAATATTTTCTATAATCTTTTAAATTGCGTTATATTTCATATTAAATACTTCTTTTTATCTTATAATATTTAGAAATAGTATTTAATAATTCTATAATACCTAGTACTGTGTAGTTACTTTATTTTCAACAAATTTATACCCCAACAATGAAACTGTCAGTTCGCATTTGAATTAATTCGAAATATACAGACAATTTTTTATGATTTCGTTAATACTACTGATTAAAAACAGTAATTTAAACAAATAAGTAAACAGGAAATATACCTCTGCAATTAAAAATATTAAATATACCACCTAACCATAAGGAGCAAATGAATCTTGTGCGAATGATAAAAATGTCGCTGTACGTTCTAAATTGAAATAAATTGTGCAATTCTAGAAACAAATTTAGAGTACCTTCAAAAATATTTAGGTGCAAATATAGGGCAATACCAATACAAATGTTAGGTATAAGTTGGTTATAACTGAAATGTTCAAATGTGTACAAATGAACAATAACAGTTAAATTTATGAAAGGAAAATTGCGCATTAATATTAAACATTGTTAATTGTAATTGGTAATTGAAATGGTTATTGAGTTGACTGCATAATGAAATGTTACAGGAAAACAAGTTGGGAGACATATGTTTTTCGTTGAGGTACGTTCCGACTGCTGGAAAATTGACTGTCGTTATTTTGGAAGCTAAAAACTTGAAGAAAATGGACGTTGGTGGATTGTCAGGTGAATACATTTTATAGGTGCTTGGTGACAGTTGTACTTCTCAACCAATTTTGACCTTCTCAACTAATGTCCCTAGAATCAAAACTTTTTCTCTAAAATATCCTACAAAGATATTAGCATTCTACAGTAGCAATTGAAAATTTTGTGTGGGCTGCCCAAATTAGTTTAGAACTTTCTCATTATAGATCCCTATGTGAAGATCGCCTTGATGCAAAACGGAAAGCGATTGAAGAAAAAGAAGACTAGCATCAAAAAGTGTACGCTAAATCCCTATTACAATGAATCGTTCACATTTGAAGTACCGTTTGAACAAATACAGGTACCGTACAGATATCGTGTGAATATTTCATTCAAAAATATTAATTAAATATTCCGCAGAAAGTGAACTTGGTCGTAACTGTCGTGGACTATGATAGAATCGGAACATCGGAACCAATTGGTAAAGTCGTTTTGGGTTACAACGCCAGCGGAACTGAACTTCGTCATTGGTCCGATATGTTGGCTTCGCCTCGCCGGCCGATTGCACAGTGGCACACGTTGAAGGATCCCGAAGACGAAAAGAAAGACTAAGACTAATAGATGTCGCCTACAACGCTAATCAGTGTAAAAGTTAAAGCAAGTAAACACTTTTCTGATCAATTAGTTATGCATATTACCTAGTTTATTGAACTCCTAAAAAATGAAACCTGTGGTATGTTCCAATTTAATTTTTTAGACTTTGATGCAAGAATCAGAAATAGTACAGGACTTTTCTATTATCAAAAATTTGTGAATCTGAACTTCTCCTGTCCACGCACGAAGTCTCTAAATAGTTTTTTACCACTATACCAAGAGAATCCAAATTATTCCCCATTGTAAAGGATCAAAATACAAATACATAATATGCATAAATAATACCTTGTGACAAGAAAGTACCCGTAAATTCTGATTTAAATAACCTGCACTTAATATTTTGAACTTTGTCAAGTTTCTATTACTCACCAGATATAGCCTCGTGGCACTTTTTTTTCTTTTCCAAGCTCAAATCAAATTGCCACTTCAGGGACCCCGTTTTGATTCTATAAATGCCATTAAATCAAATTCGTAAAAGGAGCTAAAAGTCGTATCAAAAAGGGTCTATAAAAAGGTTTCGATGATTGGAAAATGCGTCTGACTATGTGTATCGCTTCAAAAGGGGCATTTTGAAGCAGATTCAAGAAAAACGAAAGAAGATTAGGAATTTTGCGTTTAATAAAACGAATTTTTACCCAATTTCCCGGGAACTTTTTTGTCACTGTGTGTACTTAAGTTTTTAAATAGTTTAATGCGTTTTTTGATGTTTTAGGTATACTCATTGTTGTATTGAAGTCTACCTTTCGATTGTATGAATCACCGTCAGTGTTATACAATTTCATTATTACCTAAATAGTGTCCAATTTATTGTTCGAAGGCTTTAAATGCACCTCTCAATTGTATGAATTTCTTTTTAAGTTAAGTGTTTTAATCGCATCATTCACATCTTCCTATTTAGTAAAAATAGTTAATGATAGATGTGTTATGTGGGAAGATTGCAATATGGCTTAAATCATGAAAATTTTTTAAAATATTTTTTTTATGATTTATATTATTTTTAATTATAACAAATTCGTACAGGTGAGAGGTAGAAGTATTACAATCTTTAAATAGAAACTCGATGGATATAAGCTTAAAACTAATATGTTTATATTTTCTAATTTCTGTTACCTATAGAAACTTTTCGATAGAAAAAACTGAAATCAAACTTAGATAAAAATAGTTATTTTTTCAATTTTTTCTATCCTTACTTTCGATTTGATCTAATGTATTTTCAAATGATTAAGTTTTGGTAACGTTTTGTTGAAAATTTTAGATACGTAGAAAAATATACCGACAATAGAACTTTTAGATTAGACAAAGTGTAAATTGATTATATGAAAAATGAATTTAAACAGCATTGCACAAATTAGTGATTTCACATGATATGTAGAATTGCCGTTGAAAATATCAAATGCATTATTTATTTTTCTATCATTAGAGAGGATGTTCTAATATCTTAAAATTTACTCTTAAAATTTAGTCGGTACTTTAGAAAATTTAAAATTAGAATTGTTTATCTTCTAGAACTAGCATTATCACAAAAAATAAAAAAAATTATACAAAAATTGAATGTTAAAATGCCTTGTCAAGGAATAACGAGTATTTGAATAAGTTAATTAAAGATTATACATTTGAAAGACGCCAAATTTAACGTAAAATAAGAAATGATCTTAATGAAAAAATCACTTTATTATAAATATTACCTGCTAATGAAAGTAAAATACTAGAAGCATTTTGTTAAGAACATTTAAATTTAATTGATCACTTCACCCAATTAGCTATTATAATACTGCAAAATTAGTTATAATTCTTATAAAATGTAACTTACAGAACATTCTTTATTATGATTGATAAATAAATCGGATATACTAAATAACATAAAATGATTTGAATATAAATTAATCAGGAAGAAGCAGAGAGGAGATTTTTCATGTAGTAGATAAATTATTTGTAGAATAATTTTTATTTTGTTATGTTTTATTTAGATAAATATACATATTTTAATTTCGTATACTGAGAATCTCCTTTTAGCGACTGCTTCACATTATCATTAGCCTATAAAACCGAACCAAGTTTTATATTCTGTTATAAGTAGTAATAATATAATCTAATAATGTTGTAAAATAATGTATGTGTAATATACCTATAGACATTTATTAGATTATTTTATTTGTTAATTTGAGTTGATAAATCGATATTACTATTTTCTTCCTATAATGACTCCACAGCTGTTTCTGGTAGAAAGTAAAAGAATAACTCCCGGTGACTTCAGAAGATTGTCATTTACTTTAAAAACGCTTTTCTCCAGAAATAGGTGTTGCAGTTTTCTTTTCCTATATTACAATATATTTGTATATACCTATAAATAATAAAATGTTGAAATGTTGTGTATGATAAAGATATGTAAACATTAGTTGTAAATTTTTTGAAAACAATTCGACCTTATCAATAGAAAAATCAGCTCTGATATAAACGTTAGACAAAAATCGATAGCACTGACCTTAGTTGCTTCCTGGATACAAAAATGTAATTGTTAATTTTATTAAATTTTATAGTACTATGTTTATAAATGTAGTAGATCAATTGAGTGTAAAGAAAAAAATACCTACTATGTAAATAAAGTTAAGTTTTTTGTTTAACTTTTAAATATTATATTAGAATTGTTAGCTTTCGTTTCCTATCATATACACTCTTTTAGGATATGTAATCATGGAGCAACTAAGAAATACATTTATAGAAAATGCACACGCTTTTCGGAGTGGCAGTATAAAAATACCCAAGCTATTTACATATAAAAGAAAAATGATAAAGCATAAATACTTATACATACATAGAAAACTATCTCAATAATTTAGGTTTAGTTTTAGTAACCAAAAAAAATCGAGAAAATTCCATGTTTATTGGCTTTGACTAACTAAATAGCTAGTGTTGTATCATTTTATTGAAATCATGTTGATTTTTAAATGTAAACAATAAAGAACAATAAAAATTATTCATTATTATTGATATTGTGAAAATGTAAAAAAAAAGAATTTGTGACTAAATTGGAAACTCTCTTGTTACCTACGTAGAAAAAATAAATCATATCACTTGTCCAGTTTGGATTATTTTTTTTAGTCGCATCACAGTCAAATATTCAACTTATACATTGAGTTTTATTGAACTTTCTGGATTAAAAAATGGCTTAACAGGCACATTGAACTCTTTTTTTTGATACTGAGCATGACTACATTGTCCAAGGTTACCATGACCCCACCATATTTGTTTAAATTAAATGATAAAGGTAATCACATCAATAAGAAGAGGTGTAAAGTGTCTAAATTAGGAGTAATAGGAGTGACAATTAAATCCGTGTAAACACTATAATAATTATTATTAAATAACCACTCAACTTTAATATAAAGTAGGTATATTATAACAACAAATAGTTAAGAATCATTTGATCTTCCCTTCGAGTATCAATTGAATTTCGTCCAGAGTCCTCCCTTTAGTCTCCGGTATGCAAAATATCACGTACAAAGATGTAAGAAATGAACAACCAGCAAAAGCATAGAACGGTACATACAGACCTAAAGAATCCTTCAATAAATTGTACATTTGTATGGTAATAATGGCGGAACCGACGTAAATTCCATCGACCAAAGCCATTCCGAGCGCTTTTATTTTCGATGCGAATATCTCCGCCGTTATGACTATGGGGACCATACCTAACCCGTATTTGTACACCAGTGCGTAAACCATAACCGAGGCCAGCGGAATCCAACTAATGTGCTCGTACTCGTGTCCCGTTTCTTTTATGTGAAAATATATGGCCAACGTCAGAAGGCAAATTCCCGTTAAAATACTGGAACAGTATAATAATTTTTTTCGACCGAATTTATCGACCGTTCCGGAGGCCAGAGCGGCAGCTAAAAACATAATGCTCGCAAATAATATCGCAGTGGTCGAAGGTTCCAAGTAAATTGATCCAGCTGCTTCCAAAATTTGATGCATATTCATCAGTATAACGTTTATGCTGGCGAATTGTTGGGCTGCGTTTAAAATTGTCATTATTAATAACGATTTTCTATAACTTTTTACTGTTAGTATATCTTTTAAGCCGCCTTTTTCCTCGGATTGTTGCCTTGTGACGGCCAGTTCTATATCCTCTATTTCTTTGGATATCGAAGAATTGCCTCTATAGAATGCCAGAGATTTTTCAGCTGCTGCTTTGTGATTATTGTAAAGCAAGTAATATGGAGTTTCCGGTAGAAGTGAAAATATTATCAGCTCTACGAGCAACAAAGAAATTCCGATAATAGAAGGAACGTAGTAGGGTAAGTAGGCTCCTGTAATGTATATCGTGAGAATTCCTATTAGCATCATCAGGTAAATAATGCTCGAGAGGAATCCGCGGATTTTTTGATCAGCTATTTCCGCAATGTAACACGGCGCTGCCACGAATGCCATATCTCCACCCATTCCAGCAATTACTCTAGCCACGTACAAATAAACCAAATTATTCGCTAATGCTATTATCACCCAAGCGATGGCGAGCATAAAAGATGCCAAGAGCAGCGATTTTTTTCTCCCTATTTTACTAACGAAATATACGGTAAACGGTAGACCGATAATAGCGCCCATTAATAACCAAGTTTCCAACCACTGAGCTTCGTACTCCGACATTTTAATATGGCTTTTTTCACTTAGGAAATAAGGTATCATGGGCGAGGACCATCCGACCGTCATGCCATCAGATATAGCCATTAAATTCGCTGAAAGTAAAGTACTTATGAGTAACATTGTAAACAAAATGCAATGAAAAAGTTTGGGTATTAGGTATACGGGGTCCTTAAACACGAGCTGAATCGATCTGTATAGGTAGGCTGATACACAGAAAATTAGTACAGAAATTACTTTTGATAAAAATGTATGTATTTGTGTATAGAGTTTTATTTTTATAATATAAATATTTTGTTTCATCGTTAGTAGATAACAACTTTATAACTAATAACTTTGGATGGCAAAAACTTTCGGAATATTTTGGAATATGCTGACACCACTAAAAATCTCAACTAATATATTATAGAAAATTCCAATAGGTTCATGTTAAAAAATGTTCTGTGTTCGGATATATGAAATATGCAGCTCTCCAATATTGAACTATAAAAAAGAATACATGATGCCTACTCATAAAATTGCGATGAATTTTGATATCGCAAAATGTCAAAGGTCAATTTATCAAAAAAATGTTTTAAGCGAAAAAATTTTCTGAATAGGTCCTATCACTTTCCAGAAAAATAACCCAGGTAATTCACATGTACAAATCGATTCAGCTCTCCCTGAATAACCTTCCTCTACAGGGTGTCTCATTATCTATCTCGCCGTTATCTATCATTATTACCCCTCTTCCTATTATTATTATTATGGCAACAGGTGTATTTTCATATTTACCATCTTAAATTATTTCATTGTACATTATTAATGAACTCTGTACTTTACATGGGTTTACGTAAAACCGCAATTTTCTCTAGATATAAACTCAATGAGTTCCAATCTTCCAAGTGCTACTTTTATTAGGACATTTTGAGATTGGAATATGTAAAAGATAAACTTGTAATGTGGTTTGCGAAGTTGTAACAACTCCAAACAAAATTACTTTGGTAGGTAACGGTATTCGTGTAACAATATGTTTTTCGCTGATAGACGTTAAAAATTTTAGTGTTTGTTATAGACGCTCAAAAAGCACGCTGTAGGTTTATTTTTCGATATGAAACGTGCTTTCTATTGTATAAATTTCAAATCCATTATTTACTTTAAAATTAAGGATATTTTAGAACTGGAAAATAAAATTTACAACTCGTTAGCAAAATTATTTTTATCACGAACATATCAAATTTACAATAATTCCAAAACTTTATAATTTAATTAAACCCATTTAATTGTCTATTGTTAAGATTTCTGTTGACCTGAATATTAAATACATATGAAAAATGATTTATTTGTGACATTAAATTAATATATGACAACAATGTAATACCCCGACTTATTTAATTCTGGATTATGCTTTCATAAGATATTAAGCAGTAAAAAAGTAAATTTGCAAACTAATTTGAAGTAATATCTATGTATTTGCTTGAATATGAAAACGTGTTAATTTTTGTATAAAATTTCTATTAATAGCTTTTTAAAATGTTAATAATACAAATTAAAAGAAAAAATTAATTGATCGTGTATGTTTTGTTTTTTTATTAAAATGTGCACCCACCTCGATTTACAAACATCTAACTGATTTAAAATATCCTACTTAAACTGAAGTTTAATATCCTACTAATAGGGTCTACTATGAAATTCAATATAGGTATGTAAAATATTTTAAATATAAATATAAAAGGCTTAAAATATATTTCAACTCACCTACAATAGCGGCGAATATTTGAAAAATAGTGCCTTTTTGTCTTTTTATCAGCCTCATGTTCACCTCAATGATTTTTACGTTATACGTATACACTTAACCGTGCCAAAATTTAACTGCTGGATGGTTTAGTGAATGGACTCGAATGGGCTCATGTATCGAGTTAAATCTTCCAGCAAACAGAGGGATTATATTTGATAATCTGTTATATAGTGATTGAATGCAGTTTTTTTAATAAGGAGCTTAAGCAGTGGCGGATCTGTTAAACGTTGAATAGTATTTTAATTTATTAATGTTTGAATTTTCTTTTAGATTTTTACAACATCCACAAAGTATAATTACGCTCTAACAACAAATTGGTCATCAATATTGCTGATTCAGATGCTCAATTCTTAAACTAAGTAGAGGTAAGTAAGAAAGTAAGTTATAAAATTCAATAATGAAACGGTACAAAATCCCTTAATAGATTTATAAGTGATGTTTGGATGTAATCATATTTTTAATTAAGATACATTAAAAATAATCCAGTGGATTTTATATTTATCTACTAATCTTCTTGTTTTTGACAATTGTAGTCAGCCTAAATAAGTGCTGATTTGCGTGATATATTCATGTTAGCATCAAATTTATACATACATTATCTTTTTGATAATAATTCTCTAATTTTTCTTTTATCTTTGGTGCCTACGGATTCGGAGAAGTTTTAGTTTGTTATTTATGGGCGGCTATTGATTTTCCCAAGGGCTTTAGATTTCCAGATGCAAGAAGTGCAAACAGATCCCGATAATGCCTCGATCATTATACTAGACCTATCCCGCTGTGGTTTCCATTACATATAGGCATGTGAGACTATTTAATCTGTATGTAGGTATATTGTAATTTATGGGCTATATCATTGCCATTATTGTGAATATTGTGGTTTATCAATAATTATGTGCAAATTGGAATTAGGTAGGATGATTGATCAGATATCTGAAAATATAAATGAATAATTTTTAATAACCAATACAGAAGCAATAAATAATAAAAGTATTAAAGCTACTATCAGCCGTTGATTAAATATTTTTAAATTTTCTAACTTATGTACAGTTAACACTGAATAGGCAGCTCAATAGGATACTCCAAAGGTCTATAAGCCACATTGGTCTATTGATTTCATGAAATTTGAATGAGTCTAAGGTGTTTTCATTGGTCATTCAAGGTTATAAATTAATGCATTATCTGTCGATGACTCTGCATATTCACGTATTGGACTTGGATCGATACCCGGAAAACTCTACTCCATGACCAAAATAAATTCAATTCGAAATTGTTGAAAAATGGAATACTGAAACACTGGTTTCGAATATTTTATTGTTACCAATACAAATAGAACTAAAGTACCTTTTATATTACAAATTGATATTGTTACTAAGTATTACAGATTATTTTTTAACCTAATTAATTCATTACAAGTGTTATTATTGTTAAATAAACACTTAATAATGTTGCAAATGTAAGTGTACCAGAGAAGTAAAATCTGTAAAAAATATTAATTAACATATTTAATAAGAAAAAAGCATAAGAACATTGTGCATCATTACGATCGAATCTAATATCATAAAGTCCTTTTATTGCAATTAGGGTCTGAACTACCTTTATGGAATCAATATCAAGGAAGCCATTACACTCGAAAACATAGAGGCTTGCGGCCAGGGTTGCTGTGGAAACATCAAAATTTATTAAACACGTTTCACTACAACGGGTTGTTTCTAATCTCAAATCAATGCAAGCCAATTATAATACAGCTTGTTTGAAACAATGATGAACATGTTACAGTTAACTTCAAGTACCATTTCAAATAGCCATAAAATTATTCCTATTTCATTAACTTAGTAATAATCAGCTTCTTAAGATTAGGGTAAAAGTTTTCCTATTAAATTTTAATAATATTCCACTTGTAATGATCTAAAAATTAGTAACTTTATAAAATTTAGTATTATATTAAAATGATTAAAAAAAATTTAAATACTAAGTGAAAGGATTACAAAATAATCTATTTACGCCAGAGGATGCAGCAGCCATTAAGTTTACAGGAAAACGACCAAGTTCTGTAAATGTTTAAATAACCTCTCTAACGCCGAGTATCCAACGGATGTGGATTTTCTACGTTAATAGAAAAGAAAATTAAAGGCATGAATATTTGCAGTTCCAGGAAAATTTTTAATTTCTCTAGAGGAAAAAAAAACGACAGAAAAACGAGAACGTGCTTTGAGCTGATTTATTTTTAATTAGAAATAATAAATGAAACACAACCACAACTACTAAATAAGATAAATGAGAAATATATAAGACACTGCTTAATTGTATGCTTTATTAAAATGCATGTAATTAAAAATTACTAGAATTGCTGTAAAACTGTAAAAAAACTGTAAATAAACTGTAAAACTGATGTAAAACTGTATAACACTGTAAAAAATTTGGAATCTGTTGTAAAAGTGTATTAAATTAAAGTATTATTAAATCTATGAAGTATTTTATTTGTAATTTTAAGTATTTTGAAACTACTCATGTCATGATAGGTATGTACCTATAATTAAGAAAATTATAAAGAAGTTAATTATCGTTCGATATTTTCCAACTCAATAATTCTAGTAAAGCTGTGTACATTATATTAATAATGAAATTTGCGTTTGGTCTAACTAGCCTGGCGTCCAGTATAATAACATAAGCCCATTTCCACCATTAAATTCAAAACAAACAGATACAATAAAGTTTTAATTAATCTGAATTAGCTGTATCTATTTTGGTACGCAAAAAGGGAAAACAATGTTTATCAACGCGATCAAAATTGGAAAATTTTATTCGGGGATTAAAAAACTCGGAGCGTAAACGAGGGAATGAGATTTTGCGAAAATGTCCTGTTCATTTTCATCTCGAAAATGTATTTTCCGCCTAAAAAAAATATTTTACGAAATTGTTGGCCAATGTTTATCGGATTTAAAAAGAGCAATTTTCCTGCGAAATAGCTTCCATTATAATAAAAGTGTAGCTAAAAAGGATACGTGTTTATTAAATTTTTGGGCCGTTTAAGAACCCGCGTCAGAGATATAAAATTAGCGAAAAAAAAATTCCAGAATATTAATCAAAATTATTGCATGAGTTGCGTTGCGTTTGAAATCCCACAATAAGCTATTCTGTTGAATAAATTAAGAACTTTTTTATACGTTCAAAAAGGTGCGTGATGATGGAAATTATCACACTGACCGACCAAAGTAAAGCTGCAAACCTGTGAATGTGATGCGCTTTGTATGTAAATCATTAGCAATATTTCATATCATTTGAAAATTGCGCAGATCGTTTACAATTTAGTGTTTCAAAGTATAAAAAAAGCTACTGAAAGTCTGCGTATTTTTTCCAAACATCTCAATTTAACACAATAGCTGTCTTCGTTTTCCCTCTCTTTATCCCAAACTATTGATGCTACATAATAGCCTTCCCAAAATCAATAGAATATAGAAAAAATACGAGGTCAAAATCTACTATCCTAAAATTATTATCGCTGTATTATTTAAGAGTATTTCAAAAAAATATGCGCTTATTAAATAAAACTGGATTAAACTGCAAATAATAATGGAAATGTGATCTAGAAATTATTTAGATTTAAACTGAACCTAGCCCTTGGTAAAATGAGTTATAGCTGGGTAATTACCAAACAAATATTCAATTTAATATGCAAAATATAGCGCAAAGCTTTAATTAAATCTATGGTGAAGTTTGAAAGCCACAAGCCATGGAAAGCACACAGTTTTTGCCAAATTATATCAAGACGTTTCTATTTACATATTTACCAAATTATCTATATTTTTATGAAATATAATGATCTAAATAGGCAAAATGCCGCGATCCTGTCAAACGCATTCAAAGGGAGGCTGCAATCTAAATATAGCACACTGCTAATTGTGTAGAGACAACATAGTTTAGATAACTGAGACAGACTGGCATTCCATGTGCCAGGATCCCAAAATGTGCCTTTTCCATAAATCAATATACAGGTACCTAAACATGCGCACAGGAGAATTTTCCAGCGCACTGTTTTACATCAACGTTGTAAATTTGTATTGTTGATTGTATTTGTAGGTAATTAGAATGTAACTTTACGAAGGGAATATCGATATCGCCAGGAATGCACGGCGCTTACCTTCCCGTCACAGTCTAAACTTCCAAACTGTTGCTTTTTATTCGAGTTGTCGTAATATCGTGGAATCCGATTGGATGAAACTCGGCGTTTTTTAAAAGTGTTCAAAAAGTGTGCAATTTTTATTGCAAAATCGATCTTTTTGATACAATAAATGTTCATTAACTATATATTATAACGCGTAAGTTTGGCGAAACGTGAAATTCACGCAATTTCGCTGTCGCTTTGATAAACTTTTTGAAACTTTCTTAATTTTATTGACGAATTTACCATGTAAGTCAAATCTTGTGAAGCTTCCTTTATCGCTTCGCAATATATTTGACAAATTAATTAAACGAACGCAATTAAACTGTCTGATAAAACTGGAGTATTAGAACATGTTGAATGAAATACATAAAACCGCTACGATTTTTCGCAGGCAGGTTATTAAGAAATCAATTTTACCGCGTTTCGCCTCAAAGGACTGCGGTCCACCGTGGACAGGCACCTACAATGATCTGCCACAACCTGAAGGCGATTGGAAAATTATAAACGATCGAATCCAAAAAAAGGGCATGAAGGTGTTGATATTAGGTATAAGCTCTTTGGTTATCACCATTCTATTTGGGAAGGCTTCAGGTAAATTTTTTACAAATTTCGTAGCTGATTTAGTCTTTACTCGTTTCTTACTCTCTTCTAGATAATATCTTGTTCTAGATAATATATCGATTTTTATTTATTTTTATAAAATATACCTAATAAATTATTATTATCTACCCCACGTAAAAGATGACTCGGGTGATAATTTTGTAATAAAAATAAAAATGTATTCCGTATAGCAGAAATAAATATCGACGTGCTTGAGGGTTTTCATGAATTTCAAAACATTAAATTTTTGCAACTGTAAAATAGCGAATTTTATATACTGAAGAGCTCTCCATTTCGCAATATTAACTGACTAAATCCTTGAAATATAAACTGAAAGAGTTTACTTTACATACTTTACATTCATTTAGTTGTTAATATATGTACGTATTTTTAACATTTTTTTAGGAATGCTGGATGGCCATCATGAATTTCCTGACAGGCCTGCTCCATCCAACAATTACAAATGTGCGCCATAGGCAATAAATTATTATCTAATGAGTAATATAGAGCATTTTTATGTTGTAATATTCTACTGTTCATTATTGTTTAAAATATTTTATTAATTATTACCCTACTATAAAATTAGTAGGTAATTAATTATTCTGATGGAGTTAATATTAGAAAGCTTTAGGTTGAAATTGTGTACACTTTTTAATTGAATTACTGTCATGCTAGTAAATATAGGCGGTAATAAATAAAACATAATTGTTTAGGGTTATTTATAAAAAAGGAGATAAAAACTGCATAATCACAACAGGCGAATTAAAAATTATTGTCCTCAATTTGCCTGTTCCAAATTTAAAAGGTTTAAGAAAACCTTATTTTTTTTAATATTCAATAAAAACGATTTTTAATAATAAATTACGAAAATCGCTAATAATTCCACAGAAATATTCATCATAATTTATTTCTTTATAGATATTAAAATATCATTTCATTCGAGTCTTCAACGTTTCGTATTTCTCCTGCGACCAATTTACTTTTCTCCTAATTGTATCACGATCATAATTAATCACGTAAACAAGGAACGATATGACCTGGAGTAAAAGTAAATTTTCCAGACAAGCGAGAGAAAGCGTGGGCGAACAGACATCACAACCAACAAAAGCGCGGGTATACGCTTATCGAAAGCTCCACCACGCTACAGGTAGGAAAAATTCAGGTTCACTGCAAGACCTTTGGCCATGCGATCAGTTCGGACCACAAATAGGTGGACCGAATTGATTACAAATAATTCTCGATTGTTTGCGGGTTAATTAATCAAGAAATCAGTAATATAGCGTTCATATTTGTACAGTAAATTTGGGTTTAGGGACATTGCATTATTAATGAGACTAGTGGAGTACGTAATTGGTGAATATCAGGGTTGGACCAGCAAGAAAAAATTATCAGAAAAAGAGAAGTTCTTTTTATCTGTTATTGAATCCACAATTTATTCCTGTTTACAATTTTCCTTCTTTTAAATCACATCCTGAAGAGTAAAGATACGCACTTTATCTAATCAATCACCACTTGAGTATTCCGGCCTGTCGAGTTTTCTTTCAAATTAATGACAAATTAATTACAAAGGGATTGATTAAATGTATTGATTCTTCGACTCTCCATTTTCGTCTTCTTAGTGTTAATATTCGTGCCTCTTCTCGTTCATTATAAATAAACTGTATTAAGCTTTCCCCATGATGCGAATATTTGTTTTCAGACCCATATATCTTGTAGTTAATCTTGCTGTAACCCACTAGACTTTAGAGTGAACTAAAGTTAATATATCTTAACGGAACATAAGGATTTTCTTTTTGACAGTTCATTTTAGTTACCAAAATCCTCTCTAACGGTAATGAAGAAAAAAAGAGAAAATTATTTCCACTAATTGCATTTGTGTGTTCAGAAACTTCGCAACTGCTCTAGATGCTACTACTACTACTACTACTACTACTACTTCAGGCGAACCTTGGCCGAGACAGCTCAAGCCAAGGCTCAGGCACTGAGGCCTCTAGCGGGCCCATTGTGCCATTCCTGCTGCTTATGCATCCATGAAGCCGAGTCCCTCGATGAAGGCCTCAGTCCTTTTCAATGGATGCCTATTTGTGTCTCCAGGGGCCATAACAGGGACCCCAAAGGTTCGCCTGCGTAGCACAGCCCACTTCTGACACTCCAGAAGAACATGGTCCGATGTGCTCTAGATGCTACATAAATTAAAACTCGGTTTTTACTTTAGAAAATTACACGCTAAAAAACAAGTAGAGTTTTCATTATACCTTTCAGCGTTCTTAACAATAAACTTTCCGAAGGTACAGTTTCCAAGGAAAATATTTGAGATGATTAGGTATACAACAAAAAAGTTGCAAAAAATTTAAGCCTTTGTGAAAAATAATGCCGATTTATCAACAAGCAAACTTCTTCGTTTGCCCATCTCATCTAACTTTTGCTGTTAACCAAATTCGGTCCGATGTTGTTTGTAAATAAAACTTACTCGATTCAAAAAATAAATGCCAGTGGAAAACTGGAATACGCTTGATGTATGAATAAATTGATAATGCAACTGTTATTTTATTCCTGACGGTTGCTCGCATCAGAGATAAAATCACAGATTTATTCGCGGACTCAAAAAAAACGTCTTTCGGAGTTTCGCTCTGTTTCCTAGCAGGATATAACATTGTAATTTTGTTCAGATATCTGCGTTCTCATCCACCGTGCAGCTGGTCGGCTAGCGACGACGTATGTACGTGCCGGCAATCAACCCTCGCTCTTCGTGCCCTACATTCTATTTTTAACTCCCCGCCTGTTGCTTTCGCTGTAATACAGTCCAGGTGCGGAAGGAGGACGGGATAATATGGTAGGGATAAGGTTTTCCCTTTCGGTGGAAGCGCGTGATTTGATACAACAAAATCTGGGAGTTTTGCTGAATATCGCACATATTCGATATCTCCCTAGAATCTCGATAAAAATATAGTCGGTTATGGTTATTTTATGCACATCAGCAACCGGAAAACAGGAATAAAATTTCCGTTTTATTTTAATACATCAACGAAACTTTAACGGTTTGTTTGTCTGTCTGTCTGTCTTTGAATTGGTATATCACAGTGACAAAAAAGTACCCGAAAAATTGGAGTAAAACCCAAAATTCCTAATCTTCTTTAATTTTTCTTTAATCTTCTTCAAAATATGCTCCATTTGAAGCGATAGAAAAAGTCAGACGTCTTTTCCAGTCATCGAAACATTTTTTATAGGTCCTTTTTGGTACGGCTTTTAGCTCCTTCTGCGAATTTTCTTTGATGGCATTTGTAGAGTCAAAACGAGATCCTCGAAATGGAAATTTGAGCTTGAGAAACAAAAATTGTCACAGGAGGCTATAACTGGTGAGTAAGGCGGCTGGTTGATGGTTCTTCACCCGAATCAGCATGTACACAACGACCAGTTGAACCAATTTTTGAAGAAAGTCAGCTCTAGCGGTACGAGCTGAGCCTCAATTCGCAGCATGTTGGTTGCAGCAGATTGGTTGAGCAAAATCAAACGAGCGGTTGATAGGGAGATGTTGAGGTTACGTACTACTTCTCTGACACTAGCAAGATAATTTTCCAACTCAATTTCCTTCATTTTCTCTACTACTGAGATGAACTGATTCAATCAGCTGCTCAAACTCATTGAGAAATCTCTCTAACTTTGTACATGCTAATTAAGTATTACCTACATACAGAAACTTGAAATAGTTAAAATATTAAGTGCACAATAAATCAAAATTTCCGGGTACATTTTTGTTAGAAGTACCAACTCAGAAACTATTGAAACGTAAAATTTTGCCCAATTAATTACTATAAGTATAGAGCTGTAATACAGCAATAACTACTTTTAATATTACAGTTTATTTACCAACAAGAATTATTTGAAAGTCGGTTGTTTAATTAAGGGACTCATTAAATTTTACGAACGGCGTAGTAATTACCACAGCAAACATTCCTCAAAATTTTGCTCGAAACGAGGCTGAAAAATTATATAAAAATACGAAAAGAGAAATAAAGAAATGGAATCTTCGTTTAAAAGTATCATCCCGAATTGTATTCAATTACACGAAAAAGAGCAAAACGACTTTAATTGGGTCCTCACATTATATATTATTTGCAAAGGAGAGTAATTATAACTGTTATGATAAAGGAACGGGGAAAATGAAAACCTGAAAGCCCAAACGAAACGGCCTTTGTTATGGGATTACAAAATCGATAAAGGCCCTTTTATGCGGAAATAAAACGGGGATTAATTCATAATTTTGGGGGAATACCTGCGCTATGTTTTAATAATGCCTTGTCACTTATTTGAATATTGTCAAATACCTGGCCGTTACAACCCGGCTTTCATTATACCTACTAATTTATTTTACTAAGATCTATGCTAAGTGGACTAGTTTGTAATGTGCCACGTTACTCAACGAAATTATTCCTATAAATCATTCGAGTGTTCACCTACTATACACTGAGCACGTTCGAGCGTTAAAAACAAACTTCCATTTTCTATCGTTAAATATTAATTTCAATTTTGATATACGTTTTCATCGTTTTCGAATGTCGCAAAAAAGTTCCCTCTTTGGATTTAACTTAACAAGGGTCAAGTCGAATAGCGTGGAAAGGTAACATCGAAGGGTCAAATATCCGGGTCTTGCAAATTGCGTATATAAAATCCTGCGTAAATAAATATTCAAAAATCAGAAGTCTGGAAATAACCAACTTATAAAAAATAACCGACGAAAAGTAGTTGATTTCTGATGAAATTTTCATGTTCTGGGTAGCTAAAATCAGAAAAATAAATGACCTGCAGGATATTGTCACCCTTTTTGTCTGATATAATATAATAATGTAAAGAGCATTATCATAATGTAACATCAACCAACCTACTCTTTTGACCCTTTCTGTGCACGTTCTTTCGCTTAAAAAATTACGTAACTCATCGTATGAAAAAGGCGGGTATATTGCATTTCATGTCGACATTAATGTGAAAGTTTCACAAGATAGAATTGAACAAGACGAAGGTTTCGCTATTTTGTATTTACTTAGGTCGCGTCGTAAACTTAATGAGGATACATTTCCTTCCATTACTTTATATGAGACGTTATTTTTTGTGGAAACAAAGTCAGAGTAGAAAATGCAGAAATGCATTGCTTGTGGCAATGCTAATAATATATGCGTATTATAAGCTGCATTTATAAACATTAATTATTAATGATTTGAAAGTGTGTACAGATTTAAATAATTTGAATTTACCATTTTGGCAAAATAAAGATTATAATGTGAAAATAGGTTTTTATATTGCTAACTTAGGGTTATATTTGAATTTAACCATTTCGTTTGCTGTATGTCCCATACAGCATATTTATGTTCGCTTGAATAAATACATTTGAATATTACAGTAAGAGCTGCATTGAAAATATTATGTACGTCGGTACTTACACATACAAACATTTTCTTTCATATTTCCAATTATTTAAAAGTAGGTCAAGTATTAAATCCCATAAATATACTACTATACCTGCACAAAGTATTTGTTCTATATAGCTTAACTCAAAGTTTATGGATGCAAAATATTTTCTTTGGGTAAAAGCCTGTGGAGTGAAATTTAATTGCTCCAACATTCGACATTAGGCCAAGATTTGGGAGCAGAGATCCTGTAATTTGAGCCTTTTGTTCGATTCCCAGTTTGCCTTTTGTTATGAATTAAATTTCGCCGTGTTGAGCCCAAGGGCTCAGCAAAGCCGATTGAATAATTTCGATATGTTCTGTGTTGATTGTTAACGGCTCCAAGGGAAATTCAATTTTTGAGTATTTTTATTAGAAACAAAATAAAAATTGAAAGCAAATATTGTTGGATTGCTCAGCTGAATTAATCAACATTATACGGGGTAAATTTACTGCAGAATTTACTTGTACTTAATTTGATTTTCTGGAACATTCTAATTTCTTCAAGAGTAAACAGGAATTCAATAGATAGCCAGAGATTATTTTCGACTGAGGATTTGGGTTTTGGGTCGTTTTTCTTTGACCGTATCAGCAAATGATTTTAGATTGATTAATTTTATTCCAACTGAGTTTAGGTTTATTCTTTCTACCATTGGTTTACGTTAATAGTGCTTTGAAGTAATTTTAGATGAAAATCGACAATTCATATTTTTTTAAGAATTCCAGCGCGAAAGAAAATTGCTTCATTTTAAACGTCGTTACATTGAATTCGAAAAACAACATTTTCAAAAGAGAAACAAAGCAAAGAAAGTAATTTTAGCTACAACTCCGAATTGACTGTTGCTATTGAAAATTATATGTTTTATTTGAAAAAGAAAAAGAATTTAATTTCTTTTTCTCCCAGGCGAAAGGTTTTTGTTTCCCAAATTTTCCTAAATTTACAACTCCACTTTTCTCGAACACATTTAATGGACTTTTCTATTCTACGAGAAAAAAAACTTCAATTAATCTCGAAATGTAAAAGAATTTTACGATATTTTATAGATTCCAACATTTTCAAAAAGATTATCTTCATTTTAATAAACTTTTCACAACTTTCTAAGAAAATCTTTTTGATTTTCTTTTTGATTTATTTTGATTTTATCACCGATTTGAATATATTTATACAACTTTTTACATACCTACATAGTTCTTGACTACACATCTTCCACGAGTTTCTGCAAAATTATTAAAACTTGTTAAAACTTTGCAATCAACTTTGTAAAGAGTTTGAGAAAAGTTAAAAAAAATACTATACTTAACTATTTTTCAGTTTGCCGTAAACAAATTCAAAAGGGACGTTTTATATGGAAGTTAATTCGATTAATCGAATTATAAAAGAAAATGTTTGTAAGCTTAAATATAAATAGTGTTACAATAATTTGTTATGATAGTTTGTTATGATAGTTTTTGACATAACTCGATAGCTATACATAGCTGAAAATTTAATCGAATAGGTGATTGGAAAATGAATAAAATTCCAAAAACATGGCGAATTAAAGTGAGATAGCCATTTTAACCAGGTTGTTTACTGCTCTGACCATGAATGGCAGATTTGAGGTAATTCATCAATATTTTCGATCCGAGGTCATAGTTTTTTGCATTGTGACATAAAATTTTCTCAAGAAACTAAAACCAAAGTTTTAAAATGTATAAGTAACAGATATACCTGACAAAAGCTGGTTGCCCCAATACTTCAAAAAGATTGGAAAAATGTACCGTTAAAATTTTGGCATTAAACGTACTTTATTATAGTGTATAGTTGGTCAATAGTAATGATTTTTGTTAAATTACTGGTTTCGCCGCATAAAAGTTTTTTTTGATTTCCCAAAAATAAGGTTTACTGGAATTTTATCCTTTTAACAATCACCCATTCAATTAGATATGTATTATTATGCTTTATTCATCAACATTTTCATAAAGTTCGGTCGATTAGTATGAATGTAGGTATTGCAAACTTTTCAATAAGAAGTATTGATCATCATTTAGAGTTACCTGGAATTATGGATAACCATTCAATTGATTAATGAAACCAGTAAAAGGGTTTATCCCAACGAAAACAAAACCTTTAATAAAACGACCGTAGGTAATAATTTCGATTAAAAACTGATCGACCCTTAGTCCTAAAAAAACACCACCAGAAGATAAGATAGTAGAACAACAACGTGTAGAAACGCTAATAAAAACAATCAAAAGGAAGAAAGTTTGCTGTCAATTCGATTTACTCGGCGTAACTCCGGCCTTGCTTTTCTTCTGTTTGTATTTCTTCGAAGGCATTCATGATTATTAAAAACACACAGAAATTTCGCAGAAAGTATCAAAAGAAAAAAAAACACCCGATAAGCTACACATAATCGAAAAACCGTTTGCCTTTGAATCAACGTCCACGCCCGTGACGTCAGCAGCGTCGGAAAAGCGACGCGTAGCGTTATCCGACGGGAGCCAACGCTTTTCGAACCCAGTTTTACCACAACCCCTGACCAGAACAGATACGAGATCATCCAGTGAGTTTATCTTCAATGATGGCAACAAATTACCACAGAATACAACGTTTGGCTTGAACATATCGATAAAAGAGTCCAGGAAGAATATGTAAGTACATTTTTCTCTTGTTGTTTCATTCATGTCGAACGCGAAATTAATCGGAAAAATCGGTGGTTTAGTGTCGGAAAGCACGGGAAAACCACCTGTTAGTAGACGCAACAGTCTGCCTACATAATCTGTCTCGTCTAATAGAAATACAATATTCCGATGAGTAGTGGTTGAAATGCCGTTAAATTTGAAATTAATGAATAATGCGTATTCGATGGTTAAGCCTTTAATTTTGTAGGTAATTCAATTTACCTCGGTTTTGCCCTATGTCTGTTTTAAAACCAAACTAATGCGCTTTTAAATTAAATTTTTAATTAAACATACAGAAATAATTCATTATACCTACAAAAATTTTTAATGTACAATATTTGACTATATTTGATTTAATGAACAATTTCATAAATTTTATTAAAATTAATTAAAATTGAAAATTGCCTTTAACCGCAAGTTTGTTTGAAATGGTTATTGATTCGTACAGTTTACCTTCTTAAATAAAACTTCAGCATAGAAAATCATAAATTAAAATACAAAAGATGGATCTGAAAGAGTTTTAAAAAGGTTAAAGGTTAATTTAAATATAGTTTTAGTATATATCGGAAGGCTACATTGGATGGCCGGAAATAATGATTTTTGATGTGTTCAATCAAAATCAATTCCAAAAATCAATATCCTTTTACCAAAATCAATTACCAAAATTATTTTGAATATATGTATAGGTAGGCGAGCCTAAATATGTTGTTTAACCCAACTTTAACTTAATACACCCCCACTTTTGAATCATCGACGATTTTAAGTAACGTTGTGTTATTTTTTAGCGTTTTTCATCAAAGCGGCAAAGAACTTTAAAAATATGTTTAAATCGTTTATCAGGTATAAAAAATACTGTAACATTTTAAGGGATCATCATCCCTGATGAACCCTTTAAAATACATCTCCTCTAACTATCGATTAGTGCTCTTAGTACACTCATAAAGTATACTAAATTTATTTGTCTTAAGTTTAAGTATTACTGAGATATTTTTTTTTAATTTGTAATCCGCTTTGAATTTGGGGATCTTTTGGGGCTATTTTGGGGTCCCGGTGTGTCGGTTCTTATGCGGGACACCCTGTATATTAGTGAAATTTTTCACTGATAGCGTTTATTACAAAATCAGAAGTCAGGGATGAAACGCTTACTTCGAAAACGAATTGCTTTTATACCCTTGATTTGATCTGCAAATAACAGCTGTCGAGTTGTGGCTATTTCAGCTATTTTGAAACACGAGCAATCAGAAATTTCACTTTATATTAGAGTTTTCAGTTTATTTAAGCATGCTTTCATAAATAGAACAGATCTCGTTTATTTATTTGATTTATTTCCAAAGCGGGACTTCGAATTTAAATTGTAATCCATAATCTTCTAGCCAATCAATATTTAATCCTTCATTAAAATGTTGCCCTAAAGCGAATAATAAATTTATACCAATATTTAAAGAATGAATGAAATTATTTCATTTTTATTCAATTTTCTGCAAGGATGTTAATTAACACACAAAGATGTGGTAGAAACGGAAGAAAAATAAAGATTAAAAAACAATATAACTTTCTCATATAGGTAATTCAATAATTTACGACTTTAGTGCCGTCTGACTTGGACTGTGAGTAATAGAATGGAAGCGATTTTTTTTAAACTTCTCCAATAAATTCCTTAGTGTTGTCTCGGTTTATTAGTGAAGAGAAGCCGTGCCGAGGGAATTAATGTCGTAATTTATTAAGAATAGTAATTAAATTTGTATAGGGAAGTTCCTAAAAGTTCGGATTACCCGGCAAATGGGTCAGGAAACGTTAAGTATTTTTCATCAACGATTTTGTAATTGGTGAGAAAATTTCCAGAAGATCCACTTTAAAGCTTCGTATTATTCACGAAAGAAAGTATCGATCTCGATGTTTCTTTTTCGAACAATTTGCATCAACGGATGGAAATGACATTTTATACTACGTTACATAACTAAGTGAAAAATGTATTTTTTCTGTTTGCAAAAACGAAATTTCATTCAACGAAACTTTCTATGTGATATTCCCCCAAGTCATATCCTATTACAAACTAAATCTCCATTTAAGTGAAAAGTCGCTTTTGAAGTCAATTGTGATTACTATTATGTCTCGGAAGACGCAGATGTTGCCAGGATCTTTGCAGTAGGTATTTTGTAAAACGTTCGTATTGTTGTGTGTATGTATTACATAATGTATCATCTACGCAGATATATGTATACAGTTCCTTTGAGATATGTTGTCAGATATGTAATGAGTGTAGATTATTTAAATTGTAAATAAAAATTTAAACAATATTGGATACTACTTCAAGCGGAGGAACTTTTTTACTTAAGAAAAATATAGAGTTTTATTTTGTGGAAGGGAAATTAAACTATCTTAATCTATTAGGTGATTAAGATGGTAGATTAGTAGGTCAAAGTCATTATGCTAAAGAAAAATTTAGAAGTTCTCATTCAATTACTGCCTTGATGAAAGTCAAATTATGGTAATTGCCGAAAAAAATGTAAACTTTTGTGATAAATTACCTAGGTTTCTAAATATTTTTTTTTCTTAATCATAATTAAATCCACATAAAAGGCTCAAAAGTCAGAATAATCGTGTTTTTTGGTCTACAGTTTATGAGTTACTTATGTTAATCATAATTTTAATTAATTTGCAAAACCCTAAATGTATCTACGTACCTATGTATGTACTAAATAAATCCCATTTTACCTCATTTTATTTGAAACTTACTTGCATCTTTTGTACTTTTCCTCTAAAACGTACCCATACTTTTTCAAACGTCGAAAGGAACTCAATATATGCCCGGGTGCTGAGAGCATTTTATTTTCCAGCGCTTTCAGTGATGACTTAGTGACTGTAAAACTCATTCACGATTTTAAATTCGTACGTTTTTCGGAAATCAATAAACCTTTCATTGCTCCCATTAGTGGTTACCTCTACGCAACTCACATTAATTGGATCGGTTTTTCGATTACCTGTTCGTACACCGAAATCCCCTAATGGCATTATATCGTTTCGTATCTATCTTATAGACAGGAATTTTGCGAACGGACTGCGAGTTTCTGCCATTCTTATTATTACGAATTCATAAGCTTTCCATTAGATACATAGAAGAAATACCGTCTACAATTCCGTCGTTTATTTGTTTTCGGCTCGTCATGTATCTTACTCGGTGAATTTTTTATCGATCAAAATCGATAACCCGGCTTTTTTGCACGCTTACCCGTTATCCCCTTATCATTTTTTGTTTCTGTCAGAATAATAGTATCTGATTTATATTTTGTTACCTCGTTTTATCAATTTTCTCATCGTGTACCCTGCAAAATCAATATCAAATACCTTATCTTCAACTTCTACGGACGCTTCAACGCTGATGTGGACATGGGTAAATCTATAAAAGAATTTTCTTGAAAGGATAAAATCCATATTCCACCAATATAATACATAAATTTAATAACATTTTTACATTGGGTATAAAATTGATTATATGTAAGTACCTACACGTTTTAATACACTCCTAAGTTGTTATCAAACCAAAAAATTACTAAACAATCCTTGAAAATTTTATAATGATTTTTAACTATTACTATACTCTTTCTTCGCAATTCAAATTATAGTTTGTTCTTCATAATTTATGGATTATTCTTATTATAGCTTTCTATTTATAATGAGAAGGTTGAAATTTAATATATTGATGCATTTTCGACGTTCGCCTGTTTCGCATTCATCCGAGATTCAATTAGTCCAATTAATCTATTGATTAGAATTTTCTTTAAAGTTAAATACAACTTCGGTGAAATTCTCCTCCACAATACTAATTACGTTCTGGAGAAGCATTAAGTACGAGAAGTTTCTAAAGGAAAACTCAATCATTTCGTAAAAACTTCCGGTGGCCCTCGCAATTTCGTAAAGTGGTCCTTCTTGGTGTTTATGAGAAATTCTACGCAATAACGAAACCTTTTACCAATTTAATTAAATGAAAGTGATTAAAAATTAGTGTTAAATTGTTTTTGATTTCGTTTCCGTATACCTAATAATTTTATAATAAAAAGGAAAGGTTATGTTGACGGTAAATTTTTTAATATCAACGAATTAATTTGAAATTTCTTCTGTTTGTTATTGATTTAATGCTGATAGATTGAATAAATATGAAAAGGAAATAAAAAAAACGACAAGTCTGTTGATTCAGATTTCCGAGTATCGTCTAAAGCGGATATTGACAAAACTTAATAATTTGATCCCTGCCATATATCTCACCAAAGTCCCGGGGACTTTTCCAATATTTCCCGCCTACATTATTTCCGCTCGCAGCGAATTGTTATTATGCTGAATTCAAAGCAGCGAAATTAATAAAAGCAAAGGAATCAGCTTTAGCCAAAGATATTTCAACTTAGTATAAGCGAAATTCCGTAACAATATTAATATTCTTTGTTTACTAGCCCGTATTATAACATGTGCGCTATTCGAAGTGGATCGATTTTAATTATATCTCTCGGTGTATCGGTTTCTTATTGCCTTTAAAATCATCGGCAAATAAGATAATTTAGCATCTATAAAAAGTAACGTTGTTTGCTTGTGCCTCGCCCTCAGGTAAACATTTGTTTTATCCTCAGTGCCGGCTGAATTTCCGAAGCATCAAACAATGTTGACTCGCCTTTTCGACGGTAAAGGGTCTGTTCACAAGACGTTATTGCCTCTGAGCTAATTGTTCTACTGAGAAGTCCTACTACATCAGAAACGAGAAAATTAGTTTTGCGTTTCAAAGTATCCAAGATATACCTACATACGTTGCTCCGTTATTGGATCACATCTTGCAACTTGTTTTTTCCAATTCGTAACGAGAGTTTCGATTACAAAAATAATATGTATGAAGCATTTTGGTTTGATATAGTGAACAAATTGCAGAAAATATTACAAGCACATCTAATACCTACATCTTGTATATGTACAGGGTGCATATCTTTGATCAATAGTCGCAGCTGATTTTGGCAGCTTTTGTTATCCTTGAAATTCAAAAAGAAATAGAATCTTCAATAATGTTAAATTGTGTATAGCTAATTCACGTCATTTTCGCGTATGTGAACTGCTACTTGGATTGGCCGATTTTAAGCCTCTTTATTTACCAAAGGAATAACTTTTTCATATCTTCGGCTGCAGTTTTGGCATCTCCATTGTCGTCACACTAATCACTGTTATTTTAATAATCTTTCTTTGTTCAACTCATAGAATTAATAATGATAATATAGCAAACAAATTTGCACAAATCTCTGTATACAATGAATTAATGTATACAATAAACTGCAAATTTGAATAGATTTGAGTGGATTTGAGTTAGCTAATCAACGAATATTACTCGCTAACTAACTAATTACCTACTAATTAAGGAAAGTGGGCGGATTGCTGAAATTTTAAATTAATTCCCTGTGATAAACTACGCTTACCTATCCCTTTTGCCAGCGTTGCAAATTCCTTTTCATTTAGATTTTCACTCTTGCAACTTTCCGACGAGTTTATTAAAGAACGGCTGTACCGCAGGCGATTACATAATGAGTGAAACTTTATACATACCTGCAACCTCAGAAATATGTTGATTAATACTTCAGTCCGATGGAGACGACTTCGTAAGCCGTAAGCCACGTATAAGAACACTTTGACAGTTCGGGTTTCTCAAACTAAATGTTCTGTTTACGTCTGGTAAAATATGAGAGTTTACTGTTCGGTCGAGATGAATAGTCCCACATTAAAGAAGATGATGATACATTCGACGAAGTACGCTCGTGTTAACGAAGACGTTTGAATATAGCCGTAATGAATAGAGAGGACGGTAACGAGAACCGTACAGACTCACTATAAAAAAGAGAATAATGGGAAAAATTAATAAATCAGAAGTGGTTTAGTGTGTATTCTTGTAGGAATTACCAAATGATTATAGAATAAATAAAATTACACATTTCAAGCTGGTTATAGGTTAGTCGATTAAATTATAAAGTATTTATCAAAGTGATGATAATACACCTACAATTTAAACCTACTGAACTTCTGTAATACCTTTTAAAGATTATTTTCCTTCCAATTTTTACTCTTTCGGTTATCTTTTGTCTTTAATTTAATTAAAATTTTGCACAGGTTCAAAGGGGTTCATCTTCAAAGAAAATCTTCAATAGAATTGTGAACTGAATAGACAGGTAAAGAATAAACCAATAAAATTCTTTTGTAGATAGATCCAAATTTTAGTTATAGACTAGACAAACCCTTATTTGTTTTATAGCGGATACGGTCTGCCATTTTCGCTTACAGTTGTAGGAATTACACCTATAAATTAATTTTTTATACATTTGTACAGGACTTTTTAAATAAAAATTTCTACTACTTAGTATGAGATATTTAGGACAAAGCGCTATTCTCTTATATTTCTTTTAATGATTCACCTAAGTAATAGTAATAATTGGAGGAAGAATACAATCCCTAACACTATATTAATTTATAACGGTAGGTATGAGGGCGAATCAAATATGAACCGGAATTTTGCCTTAAAAATGTATTAGTAAATTAAATACATCGTACATTTTCCAATGTAATCTCCTCTTTTATTCTCCTATAACTCCTCTCCTTCAAATATTCTTGTCCTGCCTTTTTCGTCGATAGGCCAGCTTCACTTCATCAAAAAGTTGGTAGTAGTACACACTATTAACTGCACGTCATTAATGGAGAAAAACTATGAGCAATGTGATCCCCGAAATCCCAAAAAATCGTTACAAGAACATTCCCAACAGAAAAACAAATCTTGGCTTTGTCCCATGACTGCTCCTCCAGGTTTTCACAAATATCTTTTTGCCAATCGTGGATTTAAATTCTTGAAAGAATGTTTCCAGGGAACTCTGCAGTTACTTGACAAAATTTTGGCAGGTTTTATGCTCTTCCGCGATAGAAATTTAATATTAATGCGTTGCTCAATAGACCTGTGCACCTCTTGCTCAGACATGATGGTACTAATATCCAATCGGCTCTAACACTTTTACTTTACATCCGCATGCAACATATATCAAAACGTCATGTTACGCACTTCATCTAGAGAGTGTTAAAAAGAAAATTCCGGTTCATATTTGATTCGAGGGAATGGAGAGAACGGAAACAAAAGAATGAACTAGTGGAGAAAACAAAAAATTTAATACTATTAAGAGATCGTGGCTTTTATTTGAACGACCAATCGAATGTTCTGAAGGCAATTTATATTTAATAAAACGTAATTTTACAGTCTGGATGGTCAGCTAAGTAAACGACGCGTCACAGGAAAATCGATCACTTTATTTAATAATAACATAACTCCTCCTTAAACGGAGCTCAAGTGTGAAATTGAGGTGGAGCCGTTCGATGAGGCTCTTCGTTCCCCGATTTCGAATTTCTTTGATGATGAGTTTTGTATCAATACATTGGGGAATCGACTAAACATTCAGATTTAAAATAGCTAAAGCTATTCATGCCTATTACTTTCACCGGTTAACACATGTTTATCAAGAAAATTTCTTTAGTAAAACCATTTAGAGCATTTTTTAACAACAAAATTACTACAGTTTGTTTTAGGTGCATTAAAAGCTTCTATACCTAGTACCTAGATATTCTTTTGTAATAGGTATCTATGTATTTTTTTTTCAAGGGAATTTCTCAAGGCACGATTATTCCTCGTCGCTTCGCGTTAATTACATTTGAATTGCTAGGGAGATTACATATGAAATTGAATTTTAATTTTAGTTTCATATTCCAATAATTATTTCATGCATATTAAAAAATTGCAAAAAGAACTTATTGTATATTCAAAGTGTCACTTAGATTCAAATGGTGATTTTAACCTGGTTGTAGGTTTCCATTATTTTCTGATAATCTGATAAAGTGTACAAAGAAAAAATTTCCATTTCATCAGTAATCTCTTCGTCTATTATAAAATAATGTAATAAATCCGAAATAGATTTAACAAACTAGAGTTTCCTATAGTGTAAAATAAACATTTTAATAATTTGAAAGTGTATTTTTAAGATGATTAATGGTTGCAAATTTTGAACCTATGCAAAATTGAGGTTCAAATGAAAGAGATACGATAATTTGAGGGAAAAATTTAATTCATTAAGTATGCAGATTGCTCATTTTGAAGAATTGCCGGTGCTTATTCCATCAGCAATACTTTTTATTTTAATAAATGCTATTTTGTTATTTCTTTCATAATCCAATTTCTATGCCCGCTCGCTTGAGAAAATAAAATTGGGGTTTCATCGATTCTTTGTAAATTATTCTAATTCATTCCTTACTGAAACTCAATTTAACTCGACTACTCCGGGTTCAACACTTCTAAAACACTTAATAAAATCAGCTCTTTGACTGTTAATCAATTACCAATAAATTTGAGTTTGTCAATAAATACATCGAGCGGAATTTAGTAATTCAACATTATCGGGTTTTTGTCGATTAACGCGTCACAGACACACCAGCATTGATATTTTATGAAACGGCACTTCAACATTCCATTAGATTACTTTTTCCCGATAGTGTCCCGGAAAACTCATTAATGCAACGGCACAGCACATTGTGCTAAATCTCTTTGATTGCTCCGAACGGGATGAAATGTCGTTCCAAAGATAACATCTCGAAAAAATCGTTCATCACTCTCGCATAACCGAAATTTGTTATTCCCTTTGGAAATTAAAAACACAAAAGAGCGAGTACCTACTTCACGCTCTCTATTGGATGAATTCATGGACAGGTCGATGCTTTCGTTGATATTGGCACTGACAATTTCGAGCCTCTATTTTCCATTCACGATCTATCAAACGAGTAGTGGAAATTTAATGGAATTCACTACACTCTGTATAAAAATTTGACGATTTGAGAATCTTGTTCTTTTAAACGAGACTTTAATTTTCGTTGCTGAAATGTTGGATTTTGCATCCGAAGAGTTTTCTTTAAAACAACACATGGTGATGTATTGGGGTCAAAATTACAGGTTTAGAAAAATGGTGGAGTAGTTCGATTTTTGATTTTAAAGAGGTCATCATCTATGTATATGCTATGTTTATATAAACATATGTATGTATGTCCGAAAGTTTGGATAATATTGTAAAATTTTCACTCCAAAAGATCAAATCATTTTTTTGCATATTGTTTATCTGGCTTTGAGATTTACTTAATGTTGGTGTGAGTTTTAACAATACAATGTTTAATTGTTCAGAAAAATGTATATGTTCATAAAAATCAAAAAGGAAGATGAAAAAATCCAATATTCCGAACTTTTGGACATATGTATGTGTGTTATATGCAATGTTTGAACATTTATTTCATCATTGCAACAATCCCTATGCTGCAGTAAAACATTTAAATATGCAAGCAATCTCGAAACAAAAACTTTTACTACAACAAAATTTATCAAAATTTTTCACACAACAAAACAGAAAAAAACCGTTTAATTCACTAGAAATTGGCAAAACTTGTTTTTGTGTATATTTAGCAGCATCGGGAGTTCAGCAGGAAAAAGAAAGCAAGCGGCTTGTTTTATCAATTCAAGATCGGTGGGCGAGAGAAGGTCCTATCGAAAAAGTTAACTTCGTTGAAAAACCACCCGGCGAGAAGATACCATCCGAGCAGAATGAACTATGTCGCAGTTACCGTCACCGCGCCTACGACATTACAGGTCCGCATTCAGGTCCGAAGTTGCGTGCATGTTTATAATTCTTTTTTTGGCGTTTTTGAAAGGATAGCGTTCGGGGTACAATTAAAAGTTTGTTGAATGGGGGTTGAATGGGTTAGGTTTAATGCGTTGTTCGCTAATGGTGTTTCCCTATTGTTCTATTGACAGCTACATGATTAATATTTTCAATAGGAAATTAATTCACTACAGCTTTTCTGTTGAATATAACTTAGTTGGTAAAGCATAGTTTCATTATACACACATACCTACTCTATCATAATTTATCAAATTTTTTCAAAATATTTCCTTGCATAAAATAAATAGGTAAGCACCACTAGTTTAATTTAAAACACGAGTATTTTTCAAGTATTAAATAGAAAGGATTATAAAAATGCACCTAAACAGGAGGATTACTACACCTCGGCCTGTTCTTCTATTATTTTAATGAGTGCCTTTTTTTGTAAATGCGAACTTTTAGCATGCATTTCTGGTTCGTTCGTTCTTCTGCACCGCTATAGCTTTTTTCGCCATCTTCGAGACACCAAGCATTGTTCAGATCATACCATTTATTAACCATCAACTTGTTCGTTAACAATTTATTTTGGTTTCTGCGGTTGAAATATATCCTGACAATCAGGAATATAAATTATTATAGATACATATCTATATTCAATGCGACAATTTAATTAAATACATTAAACGTGTTCGTGAAAAGCTTTGCATTGAAAATAGATGAACAGTCATCGCACAGAGATCAAAACCAAAACGTACAAAATACCATTACAATCGAATAATTTGATTTTGATCACTTTGCACGTTACGCAATGTTGCAAACGCAGAAGTGACCGTTGCTTTTTTTCCAGGACAATGACAGCAATTTGTTTTGTTTGCAACCTGCCAATTTTGTCTCACCAAGTGGGTCTAGTGTGGCAAGGGGGCAATGGCTGGGATGATCTAGTACGCGAACAGGTGAGAATTCTTACTTCATTTAAATGCTACTCGTATATTCGATGTAATTAAGACGAATCAACGTATCTAAATATAATGTAGTGTTTGTCGTAAACGTATAATATGTTTCACCACATAGGCAGCTTCATTAACAGAGCGAAAGGATGTTGGAGCAACCACTCGCAGTAACCTAATTAATTCGGTTATTTGTTAACGCCCTAGTGTACAACTTCGCACCACCTTTTCGGAGTTCGAGGGGAACGACATAAAATCAACACAGATGTTGCTCTACCTGCTCATTATTACCTACTAGTACAATAGATCGAATGGACCTCGCTTTTAATTAAAATTGTAATTGTTTCCCGAGTTGACGATGTGGTAAATTATAAGAGCAACTGTACTAAATTACTCCTCCCGATTTAATTACTCAACGGTTTTTAATTGTTTTTTTAAGTTGGAAGAATCGACGATACGTCAAAGGCTAGGCGGTCGACGCGATTCTGCCACGCAAATATGCAGCATATCACCACCTACGGAAACTCAAGAAACTTCACCGCCCGCAACGGGTACTACCAGAAGGAGGCGCAGTTCTTTGGCTCAATTGACCGACATTCTGCGAGAATGGGGCGGAAGTACAAAGAAGCAGCAAAAGCAACTGTGCAGGCGAGAAACTTTGGCCGATCTGGCCAGATCTTTGCCTTGGGGAAGGCAAACTACCGCAGAGGCCGGACCGATTCCAAGCATATCAACTCAAAGGTAGGCCTTTTTTACATTTTTTAAATTTTTTCTACCACGCCAAAAATAGCTTATGTTAGTAATAATTATTTTTCGCTCTTTCTGGACCTTTCACTCTTCTTTTTTTTTCGATTTGCAAATAAGTTGATGACCGGTTTTGAGCATAACTTTTGTTGTTTTATAAAAGTTTAATTCCAATTTGTGTTTTAGAAAACGCCGAGAATCGAGTGCCGATTCCGGAATAAGAAGTATGGGCTCAAAGTCTCGACGTGACTCCCACTATACTGCTATTTCAGATTTTAGATCTGAAGTTGCTAAATTATGGCAACCGAAAGAAGCGGCTACTACTACTGTCACCACGACTATCATCAGTCCTAGCAGCGCCAGCTATCCAACTACTTCTCGAAGAGACAGGTGAATTCTTTTAATCTCATTGAAGACAGACTTAAGACCCATTGTGCCAACCATTGTGCCAAATTGAAAATCTATGTATATTTGAATCGATTATGGCTATCCTTAAACTGGAAAGTTTTTAATGTATAAACTAAAAAAGTCTTCAACATATTACAGTGAAGAATCCAGTCGAAGTGGTAGAAGAGATTCTTCGAGTCACTCTCATCACGCTTCCAGAAGAGGATCTGGAGAAAGTGGAAGAAACAGTAGAAGAGATTCTACAGCTGCTATAACTCCACCTCCACCAAAAATCGTTGCCGCTAAGAAAAAGAGAAAAAGCTCCAGGGCTGTACCGGAAACACCGTACTATAGGTAAGCGAAACAATGTAATACTAATATTTAAGTACTATAAATACATGTTGCCTTAAAATCCTTAATTCCTTCTCGCCTCGAACCTACAAAGTTTGATTCTAAAATTAACCTACTTATTACTGTTAAGGCAAGAGCAACGCCCTTCAACGTCTTCTACAGCATCTGATTCGGCTCCTCAGCAATTTCTGGGCTTTCCTGGCCTAGGGACTACAGTCACCACAAACGACATGGGCTGCCAAGGACTCCCAGCTCCACCGACTATCATTACATCCAGCGTAACTCCACCGGCTACTTCACCAACTGTTCCCACAACTACTGCTACCACTCCAACGCACCCTCTTCTAACGACCCGAAGGGATTCCACCACTCAGTGTGGACGCTTAGGTAATAGACCATTCCAGAAACATCCTACAGTCACCTATTTTTACAGTTACCTACAGAATAGGCACATAAAGAATAAAATTTAAAATGTAATCAATTTTAGGGCGAAGAGATTCCAGATCTCACGCAAGCCCAGAAAGGAAGCATTCGCGGCTGCAACGTCAAAATACCGCTTACGATGAAAGCTGCTTGCCACCAGGCAGTTGGAGCCGCCGCGGAAGCCAACCTCAGCAGCCAGCTTTGAGTCCCGATGTGGACGAGACGGGGCGTAAGGCAAGACGCGATTCCCTTAGCCCTGATACGGCTTCCCGAGGAGGCAGAAGGGACTCTAGGTAAACCATAGATAAGGGAATATGTCCTATTTGCTAAAAATATAAAATAATTTTTTGTGCAGATCCCATTTGAGTCCAGACAGATCTGGAGATCGCGATATCAGTCCCGTCAGAAGAGGAAGAAGAACGTTAAGAAGACAATCAACCAGCGTGGCCGCCAGAGCTCATGGACCTAAATCACCCGATTCCTCTAGGTGCGTTGTACTTAAGCGTGTTATAGGAAATTGTTCACTTTAATATCGCCAGGATTACGTAAGGGTATTCTAATTGAATTGATATTGTCTAATCAATCGAATCGTTTAGAATATGCGATGTAAAATCTTTGCTATAAGAAGGTGAACAATTTCCTGCCAATCTATTTCGGAACTTACTTTTCTCTAACTCTTTCAGTTGCTCCAGCAGAGATCCGAGTCCGTGTAACCGTGGTGCTCCGCCACCGGTAGAAAGTTACAGGCCTGCCATCAGAAGACAATCAACCACCGAAGAGATTCTAATAGCGAGGGGTTTCAGAAGACAATCTACTACCGAGGAGATGATTAGGTAATGATGAACAAGATGAATTATTAGTTTCTATATTGGGTAGGTACATTACAGCTATAATCCGTAGGTATTCTGTAAGTACCCACAGTTCTCACAGTACCCCCTGTTCTCACGTTCATATGTTACCGTTTTAACAAGATTCATTGATTTTACATTTTTTATGATTATTTTATGTTTTTAGGTGTCGAAATTTTAGAAGACAAAGTTCTCAAAGCGATGACTGTCAGAGGTACCGCGGCAGAAGGGATTCGGCGACGCAAATTTTGGACGGTACCATTGCTTCTATGACGGTAGAAACTTCTAGTACGTTTTTTGATTCTAGCACGCAAACAGGTAAGGGGATCATTGAAAGATAAAAAATATATTTCATAATTGGAAGACGTGCGGTCCGAATAATTTTTGTATACCAAATAATTAAAATGCTATGAGGGACCGTCAGTATTAAGAACCGATAGATTGGCTGTGATTTTTTTTATTATTATTTTACCTAAATTGAATTAACTCGAGAAAATTGATCTCCATATACAAGAAAGGTTCATCTATCATATTCCGTCAAGTTAATGTTAAAATTAGCATCTAATTCATCGATGATATTATAATAAAGCTCGAAACATTAAAACCTAATATTTTATATTCCTCTTTATCCCTTTCTCTATTTTCTATTGGAAAATCCATTTAGTTATTTATGAGATCTTTTATAAATATTAAATCATTAATATCAATTATAACGAGAATATATTTTAACAATAATACAGCTACATAACATATACCTACATTTTAATAAAATTAGTAATTCACCTTTATTTAATTAATAATTTTAAACTTTTCACAAAATGAACCTTCTAATTCATGGAAATAATTAATATTCGTATTAAACATGCAAACAGAATATAAGAAATAAAAAAATCACAGCCTAATTATTAATAACTTAAAAAAATACGTAAGCTGAACTGAATTTTCTAATTGTTTGCGACATTTTTATATTAATTGGAAAATTTATGAAATTATATTTGAGAGCTTTCAAATGCTCCTTCATAAACCTGCAGGAACCGCTATGAGCTTGGTGCTTTGCAGCTTTCGACACATCAAATTTTAAATACACGCAAATATGCACATATATCTATTTAAGAAAATTATACAGGTCCTTGCAAAACGTATGTTTATAACTATTATTAATATTAAGTGAATAAATTTGATTCCTCTTCCTATATAATTAATGCATTTCGTGAATTTTAAATTATCCTGTACAATTTTCATTATATAAATATATTTAGTAAATAAACTACATAAATTACCAATTTTCCATTTGTACATAATGCATAGCGCAATTCATACATTAATAAATCGGCAAATTAATTTTATGTAGTTGCTAAATAAGATAAATTAGATAATCAGAATCGAACATGACACGTGAGAGCATGAGAAAATATACATGCATGTTAAAAATTTTAAGAAATACAAATTTTACTTTTAATACATATAATTAAGTTCATTGGATTAATGCATTCGAATTTAGGCTTACTATTTTGTTGTTTTTAGTGCATTAGAAAAGGTTGTCAATGAAGAGAATAGATAGATTTTTATAGGTATACTGCCCATATTCGCCAATTTCGGCTTATCAACCTGATAACTGTCTGATAAAATTTAACTGTCGGTTAATAATATTTGTTATTCACTACGATATTTGAAGTAACTGATAATAAAGAGACAATTTTCTTAAAAATAACCAAGATTAAGTTGGTATTACGATATAGTTCCTAACTTCATGCGGAACTCATAACCACAAATTACTAAATTATTATAAATTTCAAATTTGTAAATTTGAAAAAGTAAATAACTGTAATAACCGTATTCCAGCGGTTATCCCATTTTAACCCGAATCTTTCTTCAATCTGAATCTATTTAATCTATTTTTAAATTTTATTTCGGAATATTTCTATCACTATCTTCAGAAGATGAATTGTACAATTCGTCAAACTCTATTTTCTTTAACTGCTCCATCGTATTATAGGTACAAAATTAAAATCTTTTTGTCGCTGTTAAATAGTCGTAAAAACTTTGACAATTTCGACATTTGGATTGAAGTTATCAGTCTGTTACTTCTTTTATCAGTTCGATTTTGTTTTGTTACTTTTATCCGACAGTTAAGTATTAACTGGCATTGGTGAATGCCAAAATATGACGTTAACAGATTGATAAGTACTTATCTTTTAGAGATCTGTTAAGTAGTAGCGATTTAAGTACTTATCTGTTAGCGATTTAACAGACATTGGTGAATATGGCCGTATAAAAGACATACAAGACTGTTCTTAATAATTTATTTATCTAGCATCGTTCTCATTTTACTTCAAATTCAAATTACCTAGGCTATTAATTTTTATTTCTACAATTTTAGATATTTTCTAAGATATTTATTATTTATGTCCAAAGATTATCGAGTTACATTGACATTCATTGTTTAAAATAGTAATTCCATTTTTAATCAATTTTTAGGAAATACATTATTAATCATAATTAGATAAAAATACACACCACTTCCTTGTAATTCCGACCGTTGTATTTTCGAACCACATTATTTAGATAGGAATCAAGTAATTACAGAATTTCTCTAGATGGTGTACATTGTACATAATAATTTTAATAATTGAACTGTTTATTTGTAAATAAATGGTTATATTTACGTAGGAACAACGGTAGATACAGGGTGTTAATTAATTGAGTGCCGATACTTCAGGAGGTGAATATTGGGATCATTTTAAGAAGAAAAGTTTATATCAATACATCTCCTAAACCTCATCGTTTTCGAACTACAGGGTGTTACAATTTTGGAAAACAAAACTTTCCATCATAATTTTCTTATTACTACAAATATTTTTATGAAATTTTGGACATGGACGTCACTGATAATAGTAAAAATATCCTTTTTGCCCCAAAAAAAAAAAGTTTTTTCATGCATGGTGGACGCCTACCAAATTTCAACAAAATTCCGTTTTATCCCCGTACTGACGTCACTGGAAAAATTTAAAAAAATCTTATGCCTCAAAAAAATTCTTATTAATTACAAAATGTGTACAAAATTTCACAAAAATATCTAAAGTAATAAAAATAATTATGATAGAAAAGTACAAAGTACATAGGTTAACACCCTGTACATAAAGTGTGCATTATCAAAAATAATTTAAATTTAACGCGTTGGGAATTAAAAATATTCTGTCCTATAAAATCTACCACCGTATCACTGAACACCTGGATATTTATTAATCTTAATCTATCGATCAAAATTGCAGTTTCATATCATTTATTCCATCTAACCATCAGGTACATATTTCTGAAACGGCAATCGTTCTGATTATTATCAGCTAGTTTTATTGCCGAAGCGGTGTCTTCACGTCTTGGCGGTATCAGTTTTATAGCACCTCGGCAATATTTGCGATAACAAAGTCGTCGGTCGGCAATCGATGCCGGGGGTGGGGCATCTTCACGTCGTCCCGACGTCCGCGGCGCTCAGTCAGTGGTTTCGGCGCTTTCGCGACACGTGTACTCGCTTTTCCACGATTTGACGTCATCGGTTTTACGGTGTTTACATTTCGGAAAAATCGAGGTTCCCCAAAAATCGGGCGGGCGTCGACGATGTGAAAGCGTGCGATTTAATTTTTTACCGTCGAAATGACGAACACGAATTTATCGGCGGCGATTTCGGTATAGTTTCGAATTATATGAAAATGATCGACTTATCTCCGATGTCTCAGAAGGTTAGTTGATGTGGAATTGTTTGGAATTTTAATTAAGTAGAGGAAGTATTTAAAATATGCATGACGCTAAAATTCAATTTGCTGCGAGTTTGAATCCTGTTGATCCTTTTGACGTGTCTTTGGCGAATTTGCGGTTATGTTTTCCTTTAATATCGGCCCAATAATTTCGTCGAGTTGATTACAATGTACAATCTATTACTAATAAGCTACATTAAATTGTACATTTGTACATAATGTAAATATTCGTGCAGGGTATTTAATTTCAAATATGCATGAGTATTATAAGTATGTATAGGTGTAGAAAGGAAGCCTTTAATCAACGAATTAAATAAACAACGTTTCGCCCATAATAATAATAATGGGATTAAAATTAACAATCGGTAATAAATTCTAATTCCTTTTTAATTTTATAATGGAATTTTGCGTGTAAAATCGTGTAGTAAAATGCATCACACGCCCAACTGTATAAGTACAATAGTGATATTCAACAAGTAAACACGTTTGTACGTTCATAATCAGATCGAAGTGCCTTTGAAACGTAATGGAATTTTTATAAAAATGTGAATTTAAATGTTGAAGCATCTATTTAAAATTTAATATTTCAAAAAAGAATCAAAAATTTGGATACTTACACCTACAATCATCCAATTGGGTCTTAACATATTATTTCGAACTCAACATATTTTTTTTTATTTTAAGCCTCACTTTGTTTATCGCTTCTTTCGAGAATGAAAAAATTAACGCAAAATAATTAATTCATAACAAACAATGCTTATAGTTGATAGTTTAAGCATAATTGACGCCCTTAGCACAATCATACAATCGCACCGAGGTATCAAAAAATACTCTCGATCGCCAATGAGTCGCCCGGAGTAATCCGGCCAGAGATCGAGTCAGATATTTTTTGACGTTTCGGCGTTTGCGACCATTCACAAGACGCTGTGTTTTCCAGAACCGTCTCCTCTGTACGACAATAATCACTATCATGAGGAATGCTTACGTTGCAACAGTTGCGGTCTCAATTTGACGGGCCCCAATCAGAAGCGGGCCCGCCGTTTCAAGAACCAAATCCTCTGCGACCTGCACTTCGCCGACGTGGCGCTCATGGAGTGCTCCGATTTCATGCAGCAGCTTCGCTCCTTCAAGCCTCAATCACTAGGATGCGCCGTCGCCAGGAGGAAGTCCTCGACGACGCTCATCTTTCCTTTGCCCCCCCAAGCCTGCTCAGGTAGGATTTTTTATCAGTATTTTATGACCTGCATTAATATCTAGGATAACTGGAGCAGCTCTATCTGAGTTGTCTCTTCTTACTAGATTTAATCTCTTAAAAAAACCATAATCAAAATAGGTTAAATTGAAGTAATACTTTTCCTAAACAACAAACACAATCAAGGTTGTAGGGTCCTCCAGAAAGTAAGTTCCGTTTATGATGAAAAATATGATTGAAAAGTAAATTGTAACTAAGAGGCTTATTGTGCTATAATTTCTATATCTGTACATGATTTTTTTAAATTAACAAATGGAACTTACTTTCTGGACGCACCTAGTGCATTAAGAAACATGCTATTAGAAAATTATCAGCTGAGTGTGTGTGTATGTGTTTTTTGAACCTAAAACTTTATTGACATAAAATGTTAAATAAAGCTAGGTAGTTCATAATGTGGTCCTAATTAAGGTTCGACCCAAATCAGCTCGAGTTAAAGGGCTCTAATTTTGTTTTAAAATATACTAGGCGTTTCATTGCTAATGGAAGAATCGGTGAGGTTGTAGGTAAATTTATTAATAAAACAAAAGTAGCATAGATAATTGGTAATAAGAATTAGGTGCTACTTTAAGTACATTACATATAAAATTCGACCCAGAATTCTTTCAAGAACTTCTCGCAGAACTTCTCCCCGGAAACAACTTTTTAGTTGTTAATAAAATCCCTTATTTTTATACACATAAAATTTAATTCCCTCAGTGACATTATAAACCCATTGCAAATTCCATTTTTTTTAAATCGTGAACGATTGAACTAATGGTAAGTTGGATAGTTGCGAAATGAACAATTTAATGTTTAATTTCATTTCAGTTACCCTGCCTCGTTGAAACATTTGTTGGAAAACGGATACTTGAGGAAAATTAGGCGTGTGTATAGTTGGGTCACTCTAAGTTTGAACACCAAGCCGAGTTTATTCGTTTGGTGTTCTACCTTACAGTGAGCGGACTGTACTCATACTCACCAAATTTGTCTCTATCTCGATATACTCCTATTCCGTAAAAATTTGAATATACCTTGTGGTAAAGGTAAACGCATCTGCAATTTATATTCCTCTTTGGATAATTATGTTGTTCTGAAACATTTCGTTTCTGTTCGAAATTAGCTTTGTTTACTTATAGATTTTGTATATTCCTTATCACGTTTTTAATAAAAGAATAATTAATTACTTTTATTCGTGTTATTTCCATTATAAATCTTCATCATCCTCTTTGTGTTGCACCGTTTCTCTTTCTTGTTTTTTTTGTTTCGGTAGTTGTCTTCCTTAGTAGTTATCCATTTGGAATGATAAATCTTCTTTTCTGTACCAAATATTAACAGCATTGGTTTATCAGTTTTATTCCCTGTATATTCTGGTTTTTGGAAAAGTATATTCTCCGCTCTTTTACTATATTGTACTTGTTATATATCTTCTCCTCCTCTTCATCTTCTCATATAAACCTTCTGTAACAACGTGTCTGCATGCCTCTCCTCCGTCATCCGTACCAAACGTTCCAACCATTCTGATATTTATGTTAGATCATTGCCACATGCACGATCGATCATGAGTTCAAAAATGTGTGCATAAAATCTTTTGTACTTTCTTCTCTTCATCTTCGTCTTATGCGCCTTTCAATTTTCCAGACGAATTTTGCGAAGAATTCCCGCACAACTTCATCCCCACACCTGGGTATTGGATAGAATGCTCCAGGCAGAAGATCACCTCTGATACCATTTGGGATGAAAGCGAGTCCGAACATGACAACGAAATTCAGGAAGGCGAGGAGGACGAGGAACTTCACAACAACGGCATGGATCACGATAATTCCAGTGGATTTCGAAGAAAAGATAGAAGTACGTGATCAATGGTGCTTAGTATCTCTAAACTTATATTGATGAATTATAGGTTGTAACGATCTATTCGAAGACGATGAAGATGACACGTCTTCGCCGAAAAAGAAGACGACAATAGAGGAGCAATGGGAGAAGAATCAAGGCTTCGAATTAACGAGTGTCGAACAAGAAACGTACGAGAAATATTTTTACGGAACCGAACATTGGAATTACTTTACGAACGATGAAGATCTGGGACCAGTTATACTGTCGATAAAACAAGAAACGCTCAACGGGCGCGATCAATTCAGGTAGTTATTCGAACGGTTTTTTCAAAATCTTCTGTTATGCATGGCTTTCGTATTTTAGGATACTGGTGCGTGCTATTAGTTACACCGTGCATGGATTAATTCCGGCCAGCTGCGTTTTCGCCGATCGTTACAACAGAGAAGAAGTGGTAAGATCATTGGGTAAGGAAGTCAACATAAATCCTCCTCTTATTCTTGGACAACTGCCTGATACACCCGAGGAATTGCTTAAACTCGATCAGGTACATTCATAAAATCATTATTTACGCCCTTTTCAGTGTGACATTTTTTTCAGGTGTTCATCAAATCCGAACTGAAAGTCGGAGTAATCTACGTGAAAGAAGGCCAATACACCGAAGAAGAAATACTAGACAATAATGACAACTCGTTCCTTTTCGAAGAATTCCTGCAAATACTGGGCGACAAAGTTCGATTGCGCGGATTCGACCGGTACAAAGGCGGATTGGACACCGTCCACGACCTAACCGGACTGTACTCGGTGTACACGAATTGGAGAAACATCGAAATAATGTTCCACGTTAGCACTTTGCTGCCGTACGAAAGACACGATCCGCAGAAACTGCAAAGGAAACGGCACATCGGCAACGACATCGTTTGCGTGGTCTTCCTCGAAGCGGACAACACTTCATTTTCGCCGGCTTGCATAAAGAGCCACTTTCTGCACACTTTCATTTTAGGTAATTCGATGTCAGATAATTGATTTCGAGCTAAGTATGCATCAACCAATGTTGTTTGGTAGTTGGAATAATTTGGAATTTGGATGCAAAAATTAAAGAGAACAGAAGTTAGGTAAAGATGACAAAATTGCCAGTGGTGCAGTTCTCGGGTGGTTAGAAACTGATTTATTCTTTAATTGTGTAAAATCTTTCTTCCTCGTTTGCGCGTCTAATGCAAATTTCCAAGCTACATTTGGTGAGGTGTAGTTCATATCAAGTATCTAATAATTTTTTTATGTTCAGTACGCACATCACCGCGCATAAAAAGAAAACCCACCCACTACGAGGTATCGGTTGTAACAAGAGATGAAGTGGGCGCCTACAAGCCGTACCTTTGGGAGCAAAGTGTCTTCGACAAGGGGCCCATGTTCAGGGAATGGCTGCTGACGAAGGTGGTAAACGGCGAAAGGGCCAGTTACTCAGCGCCGAAATTCGCTCGAATGCAGGAAAGAACTAGATCCCAAATGTTGGAAGACATTGTGGCCAATCTGCAGAATCACGCCGAAACTGGACAAATACCGAAGCCTTACAGACGAGGTTAATTAACATAATAATTAGCTCTTACCCCTACAGTCTACAAAGCAGGCTTATTGTTCGTCCCTTTAATTATTTTTATGTAGGTACTTACCTAAGTAATCACTTCTTCCATAGCGTAGAGTTTCTTTTCAAATGCCCATGTTTTTATCTGTAGAGGTTTTTCTTTGTAGGTGGCTGCTTTTGTACAAAACTTATAGCAAGCACTTCATCTACGTTTGGCACTAGTGTTTTGGTTATTGTTATTGCTGCATATTTGGTAATTCTTGACAAGTTATAATATCTTTCAAAAGCCTATTTATAGCTTCACACAACCGTACACAAAAATTTTTATTGCGTTTTTTTAATACAACAGCTTCTACTATTTTCTTTTCGTATTTCCGGATTTACCCAGCTAAGTTAACTTTCTCTAGAGACCTTCCTATAACTTCATGCATGTATTTTACCTAAAACGTTTCAGGTTCTTGGAGGCCAATAGGGCACATGCGTCCTTCTTCACCGTTGTTAGATAGCGTTCGTGATCAATTCGAAGATTACGACCAAATCGCCAAAGATTTCACCAAGATGTTTTTGAACACAGAGTCCAATACTTTAGCTAATGCACAACTATTCGACGTATCGTTCCTCGTAGGTCAATCGAAGCAAAAAATTAAACTGGTTGGTGTTCGGGCCATACTAGGGGTAAGTGCCAATGCGTTGTAGAAGCAACAAGTAAACGAGCGATTATCTTATCTTAGGTCCGAAGCCGAGTTTTCCAAGAGATGTTGTACGGAATCCAAACGGGCTTCGGCTCGCCGCAAGTACCCGTCGCGGAACTACTAGCTCGTCCTGTTCCCACTCTTCTCAGTCCCCAACAAGCGCGCCCCAAAAGTAGCAACTTCTTGCAGGTTCCCGATATCGAAACTCCCCGACCGAAGAGCGTGCCCAGCTCGCCGATGGTAAAAAGAGCGTTTACTAGACTCGGTACGATCACAGCCGGTTGGGGACGATCCATAAGGAAGCACAACGCCCAAGCGCTGTCTGCTGAGGATAAAAAGAAATGGGCCAGTAGCCAAGATTGTTCAAGTATTCCCTTTCCAATGTGCCCAATCGCATTCTAACTGGTTCTTTGTAATTCTAGATAAGGACGGCAAGGATAAAGAGGGCAAGGAAAAGCCGTCACTGAGCCAACTCCCCGTTCCGCGTTTGAGCGTTTGCGCGGACGCTCAAAAAGTCGATCGAGCCAAATTAGCTCAAACGGAATTTTCCATAATAGAATTCGACGCGGACACTTTCAGAATACTCCTAGACTATCTACACACGGGATCTTGTCCGTTAACTTGTTCAACGATACCGGGTCTGATATGCGCAGCTGAGCACTACGATCTACCTGAGTTATTGCAAGCGTGTTTCCATCACGCCAAGCAATTTTTAAGGATAGAAGTTGTATGTTGTATGTTGTGTTCGTTAGAGAATTATTACTGGAGGTACACGTCGGCTTCGGAGCTGGTAAATATGATACTGGCTTTCGTGGAAACGAGGTCTACGGCTCTGTTCCAAACCAGCGAATTTTTGAACCTGAGCGAATCGATGGTGCAGATGATTATGTGCAGGTAAATATTTACCCGGCATAAATTCTATTTGTTGCAGGTTTACACACACGGAACGAGCTTTGTCAAGAAGTAAAATCCTAAAGAAGTCTGTGTTGAAACATGTCTTAATATTCGACTTAAATATTTATTCTGTTTTGATTTCCTTATTATTCTAGAAACTTGGAAGTAGCTGAAGTTTTAAAATTCGAGGCCATGCTTGCATGGGCGAAGCACAAAATTCGAACAAAGACTTCTAGTAAACTCGATGCCAAATTAGAGTTTAAGTGTATCATGGAAAGATTAGCTAGGGATCTCAAATTATACCGTATTACCCCACAAGAGCTGATTAAGGTATGTATTTATAAATTTGTAGATATTTTTGCTATCATCATCTTCGTTTTTTATGATAGGTTGTGCTACCATCGAAAGCTATTAAAAACGAGCGAATTTTGGAAACTTTGATGTTCCAAGCAAATTCGGGCATGTACAGGATTCAGGATTCATATCTGAAAGAATGCACTCAAAGACTGCAACATCAAGACTCCCGATTTTCAGAAATGGAGTCGTTCGATTACAGCAACTAAGACTAAACATATTTAGTATAAAAGACAATCATTCCATTCATATTTTTTGTATAAAACGCGTACATTTTTTTGGTTTCGATCTAATATATTTATCTAACGCGAAACTTGGCTAAATCTTCCACGGCTTTATATTTTTATTTAATGTTCCTTCTTCACTGTGTTTAGTTAACTGGTAGGAATTGAATAAAGCACTAGTGCAAAAATATATCTAAGCGCAAAATGTGTTACTAAATATTTTTAATTGTGAACTTGTGGGTTAATCATGGATGAATTTTTAATGGGGATGTTAAAGTTAAATTTGAAATTAATCAATAAAAGTTTAGCAATATGAAAAGTTCCAAATAAGGCAATTCTAAGCAATTTTTACAATTTAAGTAATATTTTTTTATTATTAAAGAAAAAAACTGTTAATTTTTTAAAATTATAATTATAATTTTAAATAGAGGAATAGTTAAAGAACAATATTTATAAAGCAAATAAATAAAGGTTTGGGTGGTAATATCAAAAATACAACATATCAGAGCGAATACAATTTGATAATAAAACTTTAGATAATTTTAGAAATTAGAATTATTTTGTATCTCATTCCATTGATTAACTCATTGATATGATAATGAAAATACATTTTTTCAACTAGTGTTTTATCCTTTGAATAACACTGGCATTATTATTTCTTTTAATTTCAATTTTAAACTATTGGCACTCTTAATGGAATGGACGGACAATCTCCCTAAATATATATAAACATGATAAATAATATATATTATATATAACAGCCTTAAGTGTTTCTATTTTTATATTCAGGTCGAGTTTAGATGTATGGAAATATAATTTTGAAGTATATCTATCAATGCTGCAACTGAGGTAAATTCTAACTTACAATTAATTATCGAGGGAAGTGAATTAGGTAATTGTTTAAAGTGTGCAATTAGGATAAATAAATATTATAAAGGAATTATAAGTCGCGCAAATTTAATATTCAGAATGATACAAAGAACATTCAGGGCGTATTTTACACATAATAATAAATAGACATTTCTTTCCTATAAAATTGTCTAATTTTTACGTCTAAAATCTACCTTGAATGTTTTTACATCTAATTTAAATAGGTATGTCATTTCCTTTGGTTCTTAATATGATGGTGTCTATTTAGGAAAAAAAATAAAACGACCAAATTAATATTGATACACCTAATATTATTGCTGTGTATCTAATCTATGTGTAATAAATGTATAAAATATTTTATGAGATTCAGGCTCGTGCCAAATTCTGCGTTTGCCTTTTGATTGCGGTTCTGATAGATATTACAAACCTAGATAAATTATAGAGAATCAAAAATATTTTGTCACGTGTTACGCACATTGAAATTGTTTTATGAATCGTTGTTTCTCTTTGAATGGAAATGGTGATTTTTTACTACAACATTTACAAGTACAAATAAGGGAATTTGATAAATATCCCTCGCTTGATGTGTTACTTTGTGCTCTTGTGATTGATGTCGAGCTGATGACTTGAAATTTGTTTAAAATGATATTTTATTTTTACAGAAGATAGTTCTTGTTATAAATGGAGTAGATAAACTGTTGTTTTAATTAATATTATGTAGGTACTGTAATGAATGTTGTAGTAAAACTTATTATAATAAATTTAGCGAAAAATGTATATTGAACTTGTCGAAAATGTTCAATTACTTAACAAATGATATAAATGTGTTGAACACATATATTTATTTTAAATTCTCGTAACTGTTTGTTCTGGGTGTAGAGTAAACCTGAATTTACATACATGTTTAATAAAAATGTTGATTCTGTTGAAAAGGAAATTTTAAAACAAATGTTGTCTGCTTTGAAAATCATATAATAAATGATATTATTGTACAATAACAGCTTACTTATTTCCAAAATCTATCCAAAATTTAAAACTAACGCTTTATGGACACTTCTGACAAAATAGTACCCGGAAATTCTGATTTAAATGACCTGCACTTGATATTTTTAACTATTTCAAGTTCTGTTAAAATAGGCACCCTAGATACATCACCAGTTTAATCATATTCGTATGACAACATTTTTGTAATATCAATCACATTTTCGAAATGACATTTTGATTTTGACTTGTCACTTTTTTTCTCTACAAATTTCACATTTTTGTATTATGGTAAAAATAGGCACAGTAACATTTTAAATATGTATAGAATCCTACAAAGACGACTATTTTCCCTAAAACCAATCAAACTTGTCGAGCAAAAGCGCTACAGTACTTGCAGCGAAGGCGGAGGCGAAGGAGGCAATCAATATGATTCGACACGTAAGAACATGGTTATAGGTAAAGATACCACGGTAATAGTACAAGGTTTTACTGGTAAAAGCGCCACTGAACATGCCAAGCTGTGTTTAGCATACGGCACGAAAATAGTTGGAGGTATTAATCCGAAGAAAGGTGGTCAAAAGCATTTAAATTTGCCGATATTTGCGACTGTTGTTGAAGCAAAGAAAGCTCTCAATCCACACGCTACCATTGTATTTGTACCGCCCCCTGCCGGAGCAAAGGTAAGATTTTTTTTCCATTGCTCACTCACCATTTACTACTTAATATGTCAAGGCAATAATGGAAGCTATCAAAGCAGAAATCCCTCTGATAGTTGGCATCACCGAAGGTGTACCTCAACACGATATGGTTAAAGTCAAACATGCCTTGCTGCGCCAAAACAAATCTAGATTAATTGGTCCGAATGGCCCTGGAATAATTGCATCTGAAAAATGCAAAATCGGAATCATGCCGAATCATATACATAAAGCAGGTATCACGTATACATTCTGGTCAATTCAACAAACTCAACAAATATTAATTAGGTATGGTGGGAGTAGTATCCAGATCTGGTACATTAACGTATGAAGCAGTTGATCAAACAACAGCCTTAGGTTTAGGTCAAACTATCGTAGTAGGAATAGGCGGAGATCCTTTCAATGGTACCAACTTCATCGACTGTTTGGATGTCTACCTGAAGGATCCAAATACAAAAGGAATTATCATGATAGGTAAACTTTAAGTTCGTTCAATAGAATTTTCAGCCGTGCCGCAGTAGCTATAAAGGGAACTTCCGAAATCTATGTTATAGAGATGCTTTCCTAGACAGCCCTGTTAGGAGTCCTGTTATCTTTTTTAACCTACCTCCTTGGTAATTATACAGCATGTCCTTAGTGGGCTGCCTAAAGCCCTGCAGAGCACTTCATTGAACGAATAGCATATTTCTCAGCAAAATTCCTTCCTTGCGAATCGTTTATTTTGTATATAAAAATTGTAGGGGAAATCGGAGGCGACCAGGAAGAGAACGCAGCGGAATTCCTACTGAAGAACAACAGAGGAGATAATGCTAAGCCCGTGGTTGCTTACATTGCAGGCCTTAGTGCACCGCCTGGCAGGCGAATGGGCCACGCAGGGGCCATTATATCGGGAGGCAAAGGCAAGGCCGTCGACAAAATCAAGGCTCTGCAAAAAGTCGGAGTCAGAATATCGCCATCGTTGTCACAAATGGGAGTTACATTGAAAGCCTTTATGAAGGAGAAGAAAATAATTTAAGTTTTATAAAATAGAGGTGCTTTTAGAATTAGCTTGCTCAGATTTTTTTTCTGCAATAAATTATCAACGGAATAACCACGAATTTTATTACTAAACCATCGACCAAAATGATTCTTCTAATTTCAACACATAATTTACATTCACTAATTTACTGTTAAGTTTAAGTGTGTTTAAGTGATTTTCCCTATAAATTTTGATTTAAATTTGTAAAAAATTGTCTATAGCCAAACGTCCGTTTCTTGACACTTCAAAACGACCCTTCAAAATAAATTTCCAATTTAGATGTAAACATAATCTTCGATTATTATTTAAAATCCCCGTAATGTTTCAATTTAGACCTGCATTAAAAACATGGTGCAGACAATACCATCAAAGATACGTAGCAGACACGAAGGTAACGATATTAAATGCGTGTTCCTCGACGGGCACGTACCTCTCTCTGCTTCTGAAGCAAAGTCCGCACGTTGGAGAACTCCGACTGTTCGACAATAAATGCAGCGTGTGTAACATAGCAGAAGATTTGAGTCACATTGATACCAGCGCGCAAGTGAGTTCGTTTGAAGGAGCGAAAGTTCTTAAAGATTCCATACTTGTAAGTAACGAGAAAATTAAACAGTACCCACGCTCATTATTATTATTAAAGGACTCAGATGTTGTCGTGACTGTAGGAGGCGACAAAAGATTGCCTGGCGAAACTCAAGAATTTCTATTTATGAAAAATTGGCAGGATGTATTAGAATCGGCGAAACTTATGGCTAAACACAATCCCAATGGCATGTTTTGCGTTGCCCGACCGCCCGTAGAGGCCTTAGTGCCTATGGTTTGTAAGGTAAGTGAATTATTTTGATATTGTTGGTAATAGATGTATTTATTATATTTTTTAAGGAGTATACAAGGAACGGAATTTATGGTAGTAAAAACATTTTTGGCGTCACATCCACAGCGTCGATGATATCGCATAGTATTATTGCTAAATTGACTAATGAAAATCCTTTCAACGTATTATGCCCTATCGTAGGCGGTCTTAATTCACAGTGCCTTGTAGGCGTTTTATCGCAAGCTAGACCAAAAAATTTGCCATTGGTAAGCACAATGGTTTTAGGTACTTTATGACTTTATTATTACTCATTGCTTTGCAGAAGACTATAGTAACACAGAAGTTAATTTCAAGAGCAGAAGACGATGTTCTACACGCTCACAATAGAAAAGAATCGATGTCCTTAGCTCACGCTTTGGGTATTTCAAGATTTGTAAACACCTTATTGAGAGCTATACAAGGCGATGAGAATTGCATAGAATGCTGTTTCGTTCGGCAGACTGGAAAAATCGAAACAATTTTACCTTACATGACATCCGTTGTTCGTTTATGTAAATAATTTGAGTACTTTTAGGATAACTAATATCATTTAATCATTTGGTCTTAAATTCAAATGATTAATTCTTTGCAGGTAAAGACGGGGTATCTTCCATTCATTTTCCTTCGATTAATCGGGACGAAGAAATACGCCTCCAAAAAGCAACCGCATACATGAAAAAACTCATTCATTTAGGTGAACAAGTTGTACTCACTAAACTGGAAAGCAAGTCTGATACACGCAAATCTGATGATAGTAAATCGATGTGAATCGATCAATGAAATAGTACAAATATGTTAAAACCGAATGAACATGTATGTAAAAAATATCATTAAAATTGTGTGAATAAATTTGTACTACATTTATTATACTACTACTTCTATTATACCACTCAATTCATCTAATTGGTTAATAAATATGTTGGTGAGTTTACATTATGAAGCACATTGAATACATTAATTAACAGTTATTAATTATATTTATATCGTTTGCTCCATTTCCGATTGCAATATGGTCATTTCTATGAGTGGAACAAAGAAAGATTAATAAAATAACAGTTGTCAGAGTGAAAAGTTGCAATGACACAAATGTCACTCTTTCCTTTTCCTTTATAAGTGTCTAATGGAAGTTGTCTTTATCGCACCTATAGCCTATATAACCTATGTTGTGATCAAAAATGGAGCAACCTGTATAACTTCTTCCACTCGTAGTTCATTTACTTTTGTTTTTCTGTCAACCAGTAAGCCTTCATATTGCCTTTCCCCTAAAAGTAAATTTCAAAATTAAATGTCTTTTGGAGATATATTATTAGAATTACCTTAATTGTAACGAGTCCTCTGCTTTGGGTTTTGTATTTTTTAGGCAACAGCTCTTTTAAAGAATCGGAAATATTAATTCTTCCCGGCTGTAAAAATTGTTTAAATAACATAATACAGATGTATGTAAAATAATTATCGATGTCTAATTTATATAGCTAGCAGCTCAAACTCACCTGGCTGGTGGACTGCATTCTCGAAGCAGTATTAACAGTATCACCAAAGAAACAATATCTGGGTACTTTGATTCCCACAACACCAGCCACAGCGGGCCCAGAGTGAATACCTAAATAATAAAAATGAAGCGAGCACTTTCAATGGAATATCGTTTTACCTATTTTTACTTCGACTATAGTGGATTTCACATTCAATTTTGCTATTTCATCCAACATAGCGACGGCCAAATCGGCAATATTTTGGGCATGCAAAGGCGTTCTTTCAGGAGCTCCACTAGCCACCATGTAAACCTGGCCGACAGTTTCTACCTACAAAACGGTATCCCGTCAAAATAACCGCGACAGAATGAGTGATTTTCTTTTTGGGCTATTTTGTCTTTGGGCTATTTTGTCTTTGGGCTATTTTGTCTTTGTGCTATTATGTTTTTGGGCTATTTTGTCTTTAGGCTTTGGGCTAATTTGTTTTTGGGTTACTTTGTCGGGGCTATTTTGTCACACTATAAATAAGTTTCAAATTCAGGTATCCTGACAAATCGTTCATATACTTTTTTTTAACTTTTGTTACCATTTACTGTACCTTATAAACATGGTAGGTGTCCATCAGTTCATCAAAACAAGAAAATACCTTGTTCATTGTTGAAACTACTACCATTGTTTCTTTGACTGTTTTCGATGTTAGACCAACTAATTCGCAAAACAAAATACTAACCGAATCGAACGCCTAAAAAATTCCTAATTAGATCCCTAATCCTTTAAAAGAGTTCAATAGGTGTATTTATAATAAAAAATATACTTCGCAAGTAGTTAGGACTGAGAATTTGGTAGATCTCAATCTGTCTGCCACAGTTTTAGGGATCATCGAATACAACAGATCATCGCCTCGGGATTTCCACGACTCTAATAGTTGATAATTTTTATCCAATTCATCAGATCTTTGTTCGGCTGAGTCAAACATTACTTCAAGCCTGCAAATCATTATCAATATATTTTTTTATTTGCAAAATATTTAGGAGATTATTGAACGTACTTTGAATTATGTTGCCATCCGGCCAAAACTAGTTCTTTGCTTAATCCATGTGGATTTAAATCGTTTAAAAATAAAGCTTGATCTGTTAAATCTTCCAAATCATTTATGCTACAAATTTAACACTCATTAGGTCTTTAGTACTTTTTAAATATTCTTAACGTACACTGGGCTGCATAAGAAAATAATTGCTTCGATGTCTTTGACATACTTCATTTGACCTTTCAGTAGAATATTTTTTAATTCTTGGGGCGATGAAGCCCTGGCATCTTCCTTTTCAGCGATAGCGTTCGTTTCTTCGGTGATTTCATTAAAATTTTCTATTCCTCTGTTACACTCCATTTCAAACATGACTGATTGGAGATTCAAAGTCTAAAAGATTTATTTTGAACTCTATCTTAGGAAGCATTTAAATTATTATCTACGTTTTTCCAGGTGAACGAAATTCCCTTTGGTCTCCGCAATCGAAAATAATTCGCGATGGGCTTGTCGAAAAAATTTTCCTTTCCCTTCCATATTTCCAAAAACCTTTTTCCGCAAGCGATGATATTCATGTTTTCGTCGATAATGAGGCAAAATGGAAATAGGTCCAAAAGAAGTTCGCTGGAAAAAGGAGTCAAGATTCCACTTCTGTGAAAGGATTCTTTGCGGCTCTTGTGAAGCATCTGAAATAATATATGGAGTATATGGATTAATAAAATGTATTTCTTTGTAAACTTACATAGGGTCTATTGTCGTAATTGAGTCGAAAAGTAACGATTACGTAATTTTTGGGTCCGCTAGCTGACGAAGCCTTTTCTAATACTTTAACATTGAGCGATAGTTTAAAAAAATCTTTCGCTATCTGTACCAATTGGCCTAAAAATTTTCAACGTATATTTCATAAAGACCGTAATGTTTCGAAATTGTATACCCATTATGTATTGCGTGAAACCATGTCTACCGCTTCTGTAAACCAAAACACAACCGTACGCATCGATGTCTGTTAAATACATAGAGGGACTCTGCATTTTTGGATAAGTAAACCGAAATTGTGTATGAAGATTGTCCACACTTTCCAAGAAGTCAGTAAAATAACGACCTGTGGCTTTTATGATAACGTCATATCTAAAAGCACGAGCGTTATTAATGTTCATGAAAATATTAATTTAGTCACGTACAAAATTAGGCAATTATTGAACTTCTTGAAACTTTAGAACCTACATTATTAAATTTATGAGACCTCAATGAGCAATATAAGTAGAGAATATGAGTATTCTTTTATTCTAATTTCATACCTACCCTAAAGTGGAAAAGAATCTGACGAAACAACGACCGAAGAAATTCATAAAACTATCGTAAGATGTCCCTAAAACCGAAGCCGCTGCCGAAGCGAGATTACTTAAGAGATTATCAGGATACACTTGATGAGTATTGAATACTTGATATTCGCATCCTGCTACTTTTTTTATTTCATTCCATATCTCTTCGCCGTACTCAATCTATAAATTCAAACGCAATATTTAAATTATTTGATATATCAGCAGATCGCAAAATTAAAGGACACTTTAAATAAGCAGCTCTTAAAGCAAAAAACCTGAGGCAATAAATTACATACCATATTTCAACGAATGATTGTGCATTTAAAAAGTGTGTCTAGTTATTTTTAGTGAATAAGTTGTTGTAATTGCAGAATGAAAATAAAAACTTACTTGCATAAAATGATGAACACTTTCAAGAAGCATTCCATACATTTCTATAAGTATAAGTAGACGTGTTAAGATCTTAAAAATACTTACTTTCTAGGTAAAAATACGTACTTACTAGGTAACTTAACTTACTTACTTATTTGGTAAGATTTTTAATTAATAATGCAAATAAATTTTCAGTGGTGGCTGAAAAGCACCCTACAAGTCAAGAGTTTGGTAATCAACTGAAGGAAGATCCTGCAACAGTTGTTTAGTAAAATTTTACGTCCATTATTAACTGTGTACCTGTTCGTGGCAAAATAGCTTTATTAATATTTGTCACGCAGGGCTGGAAGAACATAAAAATTGGACTTAATTGAAAGGGACAATAACATATCATTAGATGAATTGCGTTTCATTTAAGTCACCAAAATTATTAATTACTGTCGAAGAAGAGGGAATGAGTCATTTTATTTACCCACGAATTATATTATCTAGGTTTCTTGGTTGGCATAGTTTAACAGAGTGCGTGGATATTGGTAATTACATAAATAGATATTTAATTAAAAGGCAAAATGTGTATTCAATAGACTATTTTATTAGTGTGTAGATTAAATATAATATCTACTCATTAATTTATTTTTCATTAGTTTTTTCTTCTTCTTCTTCTTCATCATCTTCATCGTGATAAATATTTTCGAATACCCAATAAGCTCGCATATCTCCCTTGCCCTAAAAAATTATATTAAGAAAGATTTAACAAAATTGCTGTTTCTAAAAATAATTCACTAATAAAAATATTATGTAAAACTACAGAACGTGGGATTAATAAGTATACTTACCTTCAGTTTAACAGTTCCTCGACTTGTTAAAATATATCTTCCTGTTGGTAAATAATTTCGTGTAGTTTCTGATAAATGTACCATGCCAGGCTAAAAAAAAACAAATTGATAAAACTCGCATTAAGATTAAGTAATAATAAATAAATAATTAGCGAACCTCGCTAGTAGACTGCATTCTAGAAGCCGTATTTACTGTGTCTCCGAAGAAACAGTACCTGGGCAGTTTAATCCCAACTACTCCTGCTACTACAGGACCTGAATGTATGCCTAAAAATTATTAAAAACTATTATTTAAATGTTTTAAAAACACCTATTTAATATACCTATTCTAACATCAACTTTTTTTCCAGAAGGAATTTGTAATTGCCGAACGTGACGCACCATCTCTAAGGAAACATCAGTAATATTTGAAGCATGGTTGTCATTTTTATTGGGTGCTCCACAAACAGCCATGTATATTTGTCCAACAGTCTCCACCTATTAGGGAAAAATTCAAACTAATTGCAATAAGCAATAATTAGTTCAACATTACCTTGTATACATTAAATTTGTCCATCAAGGAATCGAAACAAGAAAAAACTGCATTCATTGTGCTAACCAGTTCCATAGCATCTTCCGCCGTCGATGAATTGAATCCCACTAACTCGCAGAACATGACCGTTATTAAATCGAAACTCTGAAAAGAAAATTGAATTCTCTATAAGAATTAAATAACGAATAATTTACCTTGCAAGTATCCAACGGATTATTTCCAGCTCTCAAACAATCTGCCACTGGCTTAGGAAGCATCGAATAGAGCAGATCGTCTCCTCTCCTCTTCCACACGTTCAAAAGTGCGTAATTGTTTTCCAGCTCGGATGCCCTTTGTTCCGCTTTGTCGAACATCAATCGTAATCTGGAAATGGAGTAAAATTCCAGTCCAACACTTCAAAATTATCAGTATTAATGAGTATAGAATTACCTCGAACTGCTTTGCCATCCTGCCAGAACCATTTCCTTGCTCAAACCGTGGGAGTTTAAATCGTTTAAATATAGACCCTGGTCTGGTAATTCACTAATGTCGTTAATTCTAAAACGAGTATAAAAAAATAATTCGATGTCTTAAGACAATATTCGATTATTTTTCTAATCCCTTATGACACTACATTTTACTTACACGGGACTGCAAAAATAAATAATCCGTTCAGCGTCGCTCAAATACATCATCTGTCCCTTCAGAAGGATATTTCGTAATCCCGGTTGGCTATCCCTTCTTAAGGCGTACGGGGAAATACTTTTTCCATCAATTTCTATCTCTCTGGTTGTTAAATCATCTTTTTCTCTTTCTTCGGGCGTTTGTAGCGATTTCATGTTCGATTTCATCAACTCCGATCGCAGAAATTCGATTTCGAACGTGACAGACTTGAGATAGTACAGCTGGAATTAAACAGCTTATTTATTAGAATTCCAGTGTTTTCGTTAAATTTCGTATCGAGGAGATTGTAATATTACACTTGATTTATTTTTTGTACTGGCCTAAACGCATTAACAGCTCCACACTTCTCTGTTAAGTAATTTATTTACCACATAAGTATATTGCTGTTATAAAGGCGTTTTATGAGAAAGTGCGTCAAATGTACTTCCTTCAGCCTAGTTGATGTCGTTCCATTGTCACGCGCGAAATATATGAAAAAACTTTTTACTTTATTTCTCTTTTTTTTTTCGTTCTAATACTCACGCTATTCCACTTTAGCGATATGCCTTTGGGAGTCCTTAATTTGAAATATTTCGTGAAAGGTTGGCCTACCAACTTTTCCTTTCCTCCAGCCACCTCCGCCAACTTTTCGCCGATGCCTTTTATTGTGAGCGTAGAGTCGAGCAACACGGTAAACGGGAATAATTGCCTTAACAAACTACATTCAAACGGCGGAAGATCACATTTGATTTCGTTCGCTTTAGCCTCCTTTTTTGTTGCCATCTGAAAGAAATTCCATGGTTACCTTATCCGTAGGAAATAGCAAATCGCAAATCATTAATTCTTGTTTGTTGGAGATTGTTCAGCATCCGGCGCATTTGTGTTTTCGAATGAGAAACCTTGGAAAACGAGAAACATGGTTTGGGGATTAATTAGGTATATACAGAAAATTTGTGTCAACCCTAAATCGTTGTTGTAGAGAGATTTTGTGTACATTGAAAAATATACCTATTAGGGGATTAGATGGCAGGAAAAAAGGGAAACTCAATAAATCACTGTCGATCAGAATTAGAGTCAAATTCTAAGCTCCCGAATTTAATGGTGTGTATAGTATTGCTCTGGAAGCGGTTTCTACCCTCCATCGTCCGAAATTCCTAAAAGGCCGATCTCCGATAATTACTTTCGCAGAAAGATGAAGTAAAGTTTACAATTTAGTTAAAGTGAAGTAATTAACTCTTTTGTGCTGTTCATTATTTAGAAATTAAAATTTATTATTAATCAAAGTTATATTAAAAGTCAGAAAGAAATGGCATCATTTTTTGTTAAATTGAAACAACAAAATTTGTTTTTTCGATATTAACTTGGAATATTGATCGATATTCACGAAATTAATGATACCTATTTTTCAAGTCAATTAATTCACATTCGTGTTCTGTGTCAATTGGTTGTAATACTCCCTAATACGTAGGTAACAGGTGAAAATCTAAAATCATATTCAAAACAATTTAGAATTACCAGTAAATTAACTTACGTATTGGGTATTATCAAAATTTAATCGCAATTTTACAATAATCAACTGTTTTCCTTCTGTTGAGACTTTCTCATTACTTTCTATCACGTTCGTTTCCAATTCCAAATCAAAAAAATCCTTGGCTATTTGCATTAGCTGGCCTAAAATGAGAAGAAAAGTTGCCAAAAAAACTTTATAAAACTTGGACTTATTTACCCATAACGTAATGTGTTAAACCCGACCTTGTACTTCTATACATCAACACGCAACCGCCTTTGTCGATATCCGTCAAATACATCGAGGGGCTTTTCATTTTTGGATAAGATATCCTGAATTGCGAATGAATGTTATCGATACTGTTCAGAAAATCCGCAAAATAACGTCCGGTCGCTTTTATTGTCACATCGTAACTGGAAAAAAGGATTTTCTTTTGTTGAACAATCTATATTGCATGATTAAGATTTCCAAATTTGAACGTAAGAAAAACATTTACCCGAAATTACTGAAAAATCTGACGAAGCATCTGCCAAAGAACATCATCGTGTCATCCGCTGTTTGATTAGTAATTGAAGCTAAAGCTGAAGCTAGCGAAGACATTGTGCTATCTGGATAGGTTTGGTGAGTGTTAAAAACGGAAAATTTACAATCGGCCATTGTTAATGTCTTCTGCCAGACATCTTCTCCGTACTCTAACTAAAAGATTTCCCGCATGATCAATAAACATATTTGGAGTAATAGGAAAATTATGATAGAAAAGTTATTTTTTTCTAAAATTTTAACACCCTGTAGTTTGAAAACTAAGAGGTTTAGAACATACATTGATATAAACTTTTCTTCTTAAAATCATCCAAATTTTCACATCCTAAAGTATCGACAATCAATTAATTAACACCCTGTACATATTTGTTATTATTAAATTGATAACATTAATAATGTAAGTAAACTGTATTTTGTGCATAATAAGATGTCCATACTTACGAATTTAAATTATCCTTAAATATCCTACCTACTATCTACATACTTATTTAAAAGAACTTTATCGATAAAATAAAAGATTCGCAATCAATTTAACGATTTCAAATAAAATGCACCCGGTTTAAAAATTTAATTTATTTAGCCTCCTGAAGTAAAATGTTAAATTTCTTAAACATTTATTAATAAAATTACAATAATCACAAAACAGAAACTTACCCGTACAAAGTGTTGCACACTTTCCAATAGCATTCCATACATTTTACAAATTAAATATATCACCTGTTTCTATTAAACCGTAAAGTAAAATCTATATTTCACAGTTCAAAGATCCGGCCTATTCGCCCAAATTTAGTCCCGAAAACGCGTTCGGCCCGGTAGCGAATGAGGAAGGAAGGAAGGAAACCCTTGGCGTTGAACTGAGAAAATGCAACGCAAAATCTGTGAAAATTCAGACTCAACGGTAATGCGCAACAGGTTGAGGTTGCTATGAGGCTGAAGGGAAGGTCGAAAAATGTAGCGAGCGGCCCTGGAGGTTTATTTACAGGATGCTCTACCTAGTTGGAATTTATTGCTATTGCATGATGTCGGGAGTTGAATTCAAATTATACGATATCATCCGAATACGGCGAATTTGTGCAATTAAAAATCACAATTGATCATTTAAAATAATGCAATTTTTATAAGTATGTAATTAACAATAACGAAATCATAACAGGAAGACCCAATTGATATTTATAGGTACTCAACTTGAAGTAAAATCAATAACCCAATTGATATTTATAGGTACTCAACTTGAAGTAAAATCAATAAGTAGAGGAAAAAAATATTTCAAAAGAAGCATGTGAAAAATTAAGAGAAATCAAAAAAACAAACATTCATACTATTTGTTTTAAATTATGCTTAAAACCAGAAGGTCCTAAACGAAATTAATTTACTCACTTCACATCATGTTTATGAGAAACGTAAATATAAACAATTCATTACGACGTAGTTAACGTTAACCAAGCATTTGCAGTTAATCAAATTACATTTACGGTTAGCCGTGCTTGTGACGAAACTATGAAGAAGACGTCCAATTTTCGGTAGTACCTAATAATGCTTTATTTAAGTTTTTTTGTTGGTTTGTGTCAAATTTTAGTGTGTAACTGCCAAACGTTCAAAAGTCCGGATTCGTTCATAACCAGATTTCCTTCCGGTGGTGCAATGGGAGTAAGTGCCTATACTATTTATAAATATACATCAATCAATAAGTTGTCAACGAGCAGAATTATTTTTTGAAAAAATCTCAGGGATTTAGAAATTATTATTACATGTCGATTGAGCCCCTATGTAAGCTTTGCATGCAAGCTTTGCAGGTGCAAATTACGTGACATATCACATTCAAAATTTTCTTTTTGTGCGAATTAAATCTCAAAAAATCTCAAAATAGAAAACAATAATATAAAAATACACCCTCTATACCATCTTATACACTTAAAACATAAAAAATAGGCTTATGTTTGGATAAAAATTCATATTTTTTAACAGATTTACGTAGCCGTAGTCTTTCCCATAGATCTTCCTGGTCGCGAAGCGTCGTTAGGTTGGTTTTTTGAGGCAATCCATCCCTTACCTGACAACAACACTCAATTCACGGTGCCTGTGTTGGAAGGGCGAATGGATAAAATTGATAGAAAACACGTTTACACAGTTGTAGAAAACAGAATCAAATCGTAAGTTATAATATTTTTTATTATTTTATTATACAGCTATTAAAAAGTAAGCTCTTCAAAGAGTAAGTTTGAGGGTACTTTTGGCCACCTTATGCACTTCTTCATTATAACATAATATCCATGCTTAGTCTTTGGGAAGCCCTTAGTTACAAACACGAATGGAAAATGCTATACTATATAAACTCTTTCCTTACAGAAAAGGATATTCGGGCAAGGAATGCTTATTAAGAGCGATTTGTGAAGTAGCAAGCTATCCTTTGCAGCATTCCAATGGACTCATTGGTGATTTATTGCAGATTTTTTTATCGTAAGTTGCTTCCGAATTGATTATGATTATATGGTATGGCCCAGAACCATTGTATAACAGCATCCAGTACAAACATGTATTTAATTTTGTAATTTTTTTATTTTCAGGCCTTCATCATCGAAGAATATCGATTTACCTTCAGAGTATACTAATGCCGAATTATTAGGAAAAAGTAGTGATAATTGCACGAATTATTTTAAGAACTGTAGTGTAAGTTTAATGGAGTTATTTACAAAATTAAGCACATATTAATTAATCAGACTGAGATATGCTTAATTATTAAAATAGTAATTGACTGATTGACTTTAATTCGAAGAATCTTTCCTTATTTTTCGTAAAATTTTAGAGGAAAGTTTTTATGTATAAGTATAATAATATGTATAATATTATTATGTAGAATAAAACTTTTTTATGAGTTTTATGAGTTATGAGTTTTTTATGAGATCTTACCTAATAAAATTTTATAAGTAACTTTGGAATTTTTTATTTTGTTGAAAAATTAACGATTCATTAAAGCCACATACATAGTATGTAGATGTAGTGTAACAATAAGGTATCAAAATATTTTAAGATAAAAATAAATATATGTAGGTAAGCCTTAATTGTTGTTTTTAACGAAACTTAAATTCATTAAACATTGCACTAACATTCACACATCATTACGAAAATTTAATAATAGAAATGTAAGTACTATTCCTTAATCAGTAAAGTTATTAGAATAAATATTGCCTGTACATAGTTAAAACTTACGATTCGTTGAAAAACGTTGGTTGTTTATTATATCGCTTCGTTTAAATAAAAATATGTTATTTTTTAAACAAGCTACTATAGAATTGCCGCTGTTATTAGTTTATACAGCTTTTACATTGACGGGTATGTAGTTAATAATTTTTCCTATAAACTAATTTCTATAAGAAGTATTTGCCATAATTTTTTGTGGATTCTGTAAATTATTTTATAGAAAATAAGATAAATAATTCTAAAAGAAACTGCATACATTGTTCCACGATAATTATTATATTTCAGGTTCATTGTTTATCAATCTTTTTATTTACCGCACCTGTTATGTTACTTTGGGCTACAATGAATCGCAGTGCATTTTATTAGGGCAGGAAACGAGTGACGAGTTGCAGGAATTGGAACGTATAGTGCAACCTGCGGCGAATCTTCTTACTTTGGTGTTTCAAATATTTTTTAACGTTTTACCTATATTCGTGTGCATTTTTGCGGGTCCTTGGTCTGACAAATATGGCCGTTTACCCCTTCAGTTAATGTCATTAATTGGTGAGTTTATAAAATTACTTATATTTGCTCCCTGAACTTAAAGAAATCGCAATTAAAAGTTTTGATATGTATATTAGTTTAATTATGAATTACTATTTCGCATGTTTAATACACTATACAGGGTGGCCCATTTAAAACAGTACACCTGAAATATTTGACACCGCTGAAATGATCCGAAATGTTTGGCAACTTAAACATTTAATTGATTTAAAACTTGGTTGAAAACTTTTTTCTTCGATTTTTTTCATCGACACTCCCATGCACTGTTATTGTTTTAAAGTAATTTTAACACAGGCCAAAAATATCAGCATTTTTCAAAATAGAATTGAAATACCTTTAAAATAAAATGTCACTTGAAAGTTGCCTCGGGGATTTTCCAAAAAATTCTCCTACGAAAATATTTCAGGTGGACTGTTTTATTTGGGCCTCTCTGTATAAGTACTGTTCTATACATTTTTTAATCTATCATTAGGTCTTATCTATAAATGTTTTACGTTAAATGAAAAATACCATAGATAGGTACCTACTAGGTTCGCAACGAACAAATAGGTACCTAACAAAATAATAGGTACCTTCCTGACTGGTTAATATAGTTAAAATGAACCTAACGAACTAATTAAATATTATAAATTTTACAAAAATAAGTGGAATTGAACCATACATTATACAGTGTATGTCATAGGTGCCTCTCCACCCAATTAATTTTGTCAGTAAATAATTCGTAAGAAAACGTTATTTGCTTATTTACTTAAATTAAATTAAATTATTTACTATTTACTATTATTTATTAAAATAAATTTAATTTATTTTAAATTATTTACGTAAATTAAATTACAGGATTGACGCTTAGTTTAGCATTATTATCACTACTGCTGTGTTTCAAAAATCTTTCACCATGGATGTTTTTATTGGCATCAATTCCTGCAATACTAACTGGAAGTGTTCCAACATATTTTACCGCTGTTTTGTCGTACCTTAACGATATTTCGTCAGATGATACCAGAACTGTAAGGTAATTAATTTATTTTACTATATTATTACAAATTTAATGTACCTACCCTATTCCGTATGGCTACATTTCAATTTGCTCATTTTATCGATTTTCACATTAAAAAAACCTTTATTTTATATTTAATCTTTTAATAAACCAAATATTGATTGTATAGTTGCAAAGTGCAAGTTGCAAATTTGGCTTATGGAGAAACGTGACAAAATAATTAGCAGGATTTGTTTTCAGAATGGTTATATTCGAAGCCCTTATAATTTGCGGTACTCTAATAGGGTCGCTTTCCAGTGCTCCTCTACTTTATGCCACCAATTACGAATTGGTTTTTTTCATAGGATCGTGCCTGGTCGCTTTAGGCACTTTATACACCATGTTCTTTGTAAAAGAGTCCGTCAGTATTAAAGAAAAATATGAGGTAATTTTACTAAAGTCTGAAAAGCCAGTTATATTAGTTTGTTAAATTTTTAGGGAAAAATTCTAGATGTGATTAATTGCAGTTATGTTGTAGACATGTTCAAAGTAGTGTTTAAAAAAAGAGAAGATTGGAACAGATTGATCATTATTATCATTTTCTTAGCTATCACGATTATCGATTTTACATCGACTGGATCCAATATAGTCAGATTTCAATTTTTGAGGGAACAATTCTCGTGGACTCTGCCGAAATTCAACTGGTTCAATTGCGTTTCGCACGTAATTACTATTTCAGGAACGATTGTAGGTACTGCGATATTGAATAAACTTTTTAAAGTTCAAGAAACCGTAATAGCTTTGATCGGATTGTTCAGTTCGGTAGCATATTGCTTTCTATGGGGAGTTGCAACAAACGATTATTACATTTATGTTGGTAAGTACTACTTGATATTCAGACCATATAGAGCGTTTTCACAAAATGCATTTTATTGCAGCAATTTATTATTGCTATATAAATTATTTTATAGGAATGTTTTTATTAAGTGTACATATTTTATTATTTATAATTACTATGATTTTAGGAATAGCAGTGGCCGTTTTATCGGAAATATCCCGCCCTATGCTAAGAACCCGCGTGGCCCAAATTGTTCCAGCAGAGGAAATGGGCAAAATATTTGCATTAATAATCGGCGTCGGTGGTTCAGTAAGCGTCGGATCGACTTACTTATTTACCAAGATCTACAACGCAACCATTCAAATACATCCGGGAAGTTACAATTTTTTGGCCGGATTAATTTATTGCTTCGCAATATTTTTAGTGGGGTAAGTTCCAAGTTTTTGGGAAAACTTTCTTTCGAAGAGCGTATCGTAAACATGAAAAAAAGTTGTATGTGGTCGGAGATAAAGTTCTAAAAATAAACTTTTCTATTATTTTTTTAGGGTAATAATCACTTTCGAAATTTGTTCTCCAAACAAGAGCGGAAAATATCAAGTGAACACAAAAAATGTGATTCAATCATCGCTTTAATTATTTTAACTGCAGATAAATAAAAACCATCAATTTATTTTTAATTTAATCTAAGAATATTTATAAAGTTATGTGAATAAAATACTTCCCTTTCTACTACTGAGGTCAATCTATCAATGTTTCAAACTGTTGGAGGTGATATTTTTCTGAAGAATTCTAAACTTTTAGAGCATTTTCACACGGTGCAATATATTGCAAGCAATACAAAATTATTGCAAGCGATAACGGTCAATTTTGGACACCCTTTACCGGAAATTAATGATATTGGTGTGCCAATTTTGACATTAAAAAGACATTTGTGCTATAACCGAGAAATATAGGTTTAAATTTAAATTGAATAGTTAAAACATGGCTAAAACGTTGCACACCAAACCTCATGAAGTTCTTTACTGTCCCAAGGAATCCGTAAGTTCTAATTCATGTTCTGATGAATGTAACACCATTAGTCAATAATGCTTTTCGCAGGATTGGGAAGGCTACGCAAAATACAAAGATATTAATTATGATTGGGCTGATATTTTAAGTATAAAGAGAGCAAGGAAAAAAGCGGGTACGTGGAATACGTACAAGAAACCACCAATGCCGAACGAAAACGCTCACCTGATATACAACCACCGTTTCTTAAGAATACCAAATTTGAACCCCAGCCTTTTTAACAACACGATTTCGCTCAACACGTACCTGCAGAATCCGAAGAAACTATTGAACAGGATGGAGGAGACATATTGGTCCAATTGGAAACCAAATAAAATCAAATCACCGCAGACGATTAACAGAAAAACCAAGCGACAGCAAAAAGAGCGAACGGAAGATAAAGCGCCTCGTCCGGAAAAAGAACCCACCCAATTAATCGATTATTTCGCCAAATCCAATTTCTCCATCAGCACTCAATCCGAAGATAACCGCCCGATGCCATGTAGACCAGAAACAGACAAGTGCGACTACAATCACACAGCCCAAGATCCATCTTCACCCAACCGATCTTTGAGCAGCAATAAAACCTACTGCGTACGTTCCACCGCATCCGCAGAGGTTCTGAGCGCGAACAAACAACAGTCGCATGTGCTGATTCCGGGGGACAACGAAAACGACAGTTCGACGAGAATAAAAATTCTCCAACACAACGATTCGTTGGTGCTGGCTAGAAAGATGCAAGAAGCGCCTAAGGTGCATTTGCGTCAGCCGAAGTGCATCAAACTTTACAAAAACAAGCCCAAGGGTGGGTCTTACCCTCTCGCGCCTGTTGGGAAAAAGAATCCGAACGTTAAGGGGAGTTTCAGATTGGCGGCGCCCGGGAGTCCCGTGTTAATAACCGGGAATTCTTTGGGCGGGAGTAGTGGTAGACGGAGGAACAAAAGCGGATATTAATTTGTTTGTTAATGAACGATAGTTGAATTTGAATAGTAACTATGAGTGTGCAGTGTTTTTTCCTCCTTATTTGACAGTAAAAAGTAATTAAATTTGTTATGTAAAGTTTCATATAAAAAACAAAATTTACATTAAACATTGTTTTGTCCATTTGTAGGGTTTTTAAAACTTCATCGAAGCATTTTATACTCTTTGATAAAAAAAACCCAAAATACTCCTTGTTCGTTATTTTTGTCTAATTATTTTTGTGTATTGCATAATTGGCAGAGCACTACTGAGATGAACTGATTCAATCAGCTGCTACAACAAAACTGATTGAGAAAACTCTCTAATTTTTTTTTCATGCTAATTAAGAACAGTGTTACCCACATACAGAAACTTGAAATAGTTAAAAATATTAAGTGTGGGTAATTTAAATGAGAATTTCCGGCTACTTTTTTATCATAAAGTATTCTTTCTAAAATGTTTTTCAACTATTTTTAGATAATTATCTCACAATTTTATTCGGCTTTAAGATTATTTAATATTTGACCCTTTTATAAAACTTTTAAACAGTTAGCGAATAGAGTATAATATTGTAATTTAGTAATGGAATTCTCATTTCAAAACTAACGAATGTATGTAAGACAACGACAACTAAAGTTTACATCTTCAAAATTACATCAGATCAAAAAATACAGTTTATATCTTAATAGCTTCAGCTAACGAACAGGAAAGTCCAGTGCCGTCAGGCTCTACTTGAAGAGATGTGATTTTACCATTATCAATTACCATCGAGTACCTCTTGCTTCTTACTCCGCCTAAAAAAAATAAAACAAAAAAAAAACATTAATCTATAGATGAAGCATAAAGTTGAAACAAATCTACCTAATGGGCCAATTTCAACCGTTAAATCCAACGCTTTAGCTAAAGAAGCTGACGGATCAGCCAGCATTCGGACTTTTCCTTCGGTTTTTTGGTCTTTTCCCCAGGCGGCCATCACGAAAGGATCATTGACAGAAACGCACACGATTTCGCTAATACCTTGTTTCTTCATTTCATCGGCTTTACTTACATAGCCAGGCAAATGAGTCTGCAAAGAGATATTTATTTTAATACTAATTTAACTATTAAGTTAAAGGCGTAGAACCTTGACCAAGACAGGCTCAGGCCTAGGGACTAACAGGGACTAACAGGACAAAGATTCTCCTGTATAGCACAGTCCAATGCTAACAGTCTAGGAGGAGGACATGGTCAGATGTTTCATTAGCCATACCGCAGCCTTCCCTCTAAACCTAGGTTATAGAGGTATTTTCCCAGACAGCAGTGCACTGTTAGAAGTCCTGCTATATTATTTAACCTACTCCTTGGTAGGTCTACAGCTGCCCTAGCATATTCCTAGCATAGTGTAGGTACTCGTAGAATCTGACATCAATAAAAAATTGCACAATTTTTGAACTAATGGGAGTATAAAAATATTTCTTCTTTTTGTGAATATTACAATCTCATAAAGTGGTAAGGTACATTTTTTCTCTTCTCATGTAATAACAAACACTTTTCACTTGCATTTATTAAACAGTCTATTCAAATAGAGAAACATTTAAAAAATATATTAACTTATTCAGTTGATAAACCAATAAAATAAACCTATAGTTATTAAATTATACAGTTATCAATTGTAATTATAGCAAGTACAACCTTCAATAACACTTTTTTTAATCGCAAATCAAGCAAAGAAAGGCATCGTCAAGGCCTGCTTATCCGTGCATATATTAATATACAGGGTGTCCCGCGCAAAAACCGACACAGAGCAGGGGACTGTAGGGGAGATTAAAATACGTTGTTTAAGCCAACTTTAAAGCCAAATACAGCTAACTTTTGAATTATCGATGATTTAAAGTGACATTGATAGTGTATATGAATATTTTTTAGCGTTTTCCATCAAAACGACAAAGGATTTTAAGAAACAAAAAGAGTAAAAAAAGCTTTAAAATAAAATTACCTATGAAATGACCTAATAATTTTTTAAATCATCCATCAGGTAAAAAAATCTGTAACATTTTAAGGGAGTATCATCCCTGATGAACTCTTTATAATACATCAATTGATCTCTCCTAACTATCGATCAATGCTCTTAGTACTCTCATAAAGTATACCAAATTTAATTATTTTAAATTTGAGGTATTACTGAGATATTACTTTTTGTTATATTTATTAACTCCATTTTGAAGGCCTGTAACTTCTCAGGAATGTAATTTTGTAAGTCAAGTTATATTAACCAACATAGTTTAGACTCCCCTACAGTCCTCTGTTCGATGTCGCTTCGTATGCGGGACACCCTATATATTTTTTTATTTAAGATTTTGAATGCAACTTACTTTGGAACATCCGGGTGTAAAAGCTCCAGGTACAGCAAACAAGACCACCTTTTTTCCCTGTGACAACTCCGTTAGATTAACTTTATTTGTCGGTAGATTCTCGAAGAGATCTACATTGGGTACGGAATCGCCTACCTACAAATAAATTAGTAAAAACCATGTAAACTAACTTAACTAACAATATCGGCAAATAAACAGATTCTAACCTGTAAATTGGACTAGTTATATAATAAAATAAACACTTACTTGAACCATATTTGCGGAAGATGTCTGGAAGAACCTCTTTGTGAAATTACTCAAATGTCTTTTCAAAAGTCCGGCTGGAAGTCCCTTTGCTGTCAGCGTGACATTCATTTTAAAAGATTTCTGTTTGACCTTCACCTTCCTTCCCCCTTTAAATTCTATACTATAGTTCTTTCTTCGTTTCTCCTATGTTATCACGGGTATTGATTACATGACAGTGAAAAGTGAAACAGAAAGAGAGAGAAATACTGGAGATTCTTAACTGATTTTACTAACCTTTGACAGGAGACTGCTGATTCAATCAGATTGTATCAGTTATTCAATATTTTTTGATGTTAAACATAGATTTATTACTAAAACGTATGCTTTGCTCTATTAGTTCCCTAATTATTATAATTTTAAATCGGTTAAATTGCTTTAATGATATCTTTATTAAGAATGATGGAATATATGCAACCCACATTATTATTCATTTCATTTAGTTTGCAATACACATTACAATGTACAAGAACTGAACATTTTTTCCAATTTCACAGTTTGTTAAACGTGTAAAATATATCTCAAGTCGGCGCAAATTATATTCCGTTGAATTGTAGTTAAAGTGCAAAATAATTCAATTTGAAAGGTGACAAAAAATAATTGCGGTATTAGAAATTTTTATACGATTATTAAGAAAAGAAAGCATCAAAAATATTGGGGAGATGTACTTGAGGGATTTTAGAAATCATACAAATATAGAAAACTATTTATTACAACTAGAGCTTGGAAAATGTGAACTAAAAAATAGCAAAATACGCATGCAAATATGCACTAAAAAACCTTCAAATTATGCACTTATCCCTATGCTCCATGAAAAAATGAGAATCAACCAGACTGAACCAGATATTAAATAATGTTTTTGAAAATTTTCTTGCAGGAAACAGATAAGACATAATTATACACATACTACTAAGGTAGACTGGGGCAAGTCGGTTGTAAAATTTGTATAATTCAAATTAAATCCTAAAATGTGGCTTTATTTTTTCTCTTATTAGAAATGCTGATACCACATTAAATTCACAACTTCCTAAATTACAGAATCGAGGTATTAAAAAGTTTTTAACCCATGGTACGGGGTAAATGTAACAAACAGTTCTAAAGTGCAATACAATTATATGTATAGAAAAACATATGGGGCAATTGTAAATACATATTTGGTTCCTATAAAATTTATTATGCTGTTTATTTATTTATTTCAAAAAATAACAGAGCTACAAAATAATAAAGAAAAAATAAGAAACAAACCCTGTCTAATGCACAAAAGAACTATAAAAATAATAATAAACATTAACATAATAGGTAAAAATATTACATTTACCCCATTTTTACATTTGCCCCAGTCTACCTGCAGACGCGGTGACCCCGTAAAAAGCACTTTAAAAAATTCTCTTCTTTAAAGGTAAGCTTTTGGGACACCATGTATAGAAAATTTGCACAAATCCTGTTCTTGCGATGATTGGTTGTAAATTGTAAACTGGATTTCGAACAAAAGAATGCCAGGATGTACTTACAGTACATTGTGTTTATTCATCAATGTAAATAATTGGCTAATATTTGAGTTTTCAAAACCAATCCCAGAGTTCACAAGGGTGCGGTTGTTTTTGTATTATTTTGGTTTGTTATTGTTTGATTAGACCATAATTTTTGTAAATTTTTAAAGAAAATCACCATACAATAATTTCATACTAAACTATTCTACTGTAGACATTTTCATATTTAATCAAAATCTAAAAAATTAAAAATAAATTAATTTCGCACAGCAATGTCGATTAGATCATTGTTTTCTTTTCAAACCGCAAAATTTTTTACACTTAATTGAACCTTTCTTTTCTCAAGTAAACTATTTTATAATAATTAGACGTTCATTTTATTGGTGACCAGATAAAACACGATATTCAATGGACAGTAAACGTTCAATGTTCACAAACTATACACTTTCTTATATTTTCTCCATGAATCGAATTATTGTAAGCCACTCCGTAAAATTATCCGAATTCTAGCAGATCTTTATGGTTAAACGTTCTCATGAAAATTTAACTTTCTATTTCCTCGACGCGTTTCAATTAATTTATTATAGATACTCGCACTCTCACGTTCTTTAGACGGTTTTCTGTAGTATTGCAGGTCTGGTTTCAATGCTTTAATACAAATTAATGCATCCAAATGATATACACTATTATAGTTCATCTGTATTAAAAACAAACAATGATCAATTCTAAATGGTTATGCAGCGTTCTAAAAGTTTCTAGACTAGACAGTTCTAAATGGTTCTTTGGCTGCCTACGAGTAAATGGTTCTGGAGCATTCTAAATCTTTCTAGACAGTTCTAAATGATTATGCAGCGTTTTAAATGGTTCTAGGCAGTTCTAAATGGTGTGCTAGAAGACCTGTTGTTGGACATTAATACGCGAAACTAAATATGCGAAACTGAATATCAAAAATTAAAATCATACAAAAAAAACAAAAATTTAATGCCCAACATATCTAATTTGTAGATTCTTTTCATGCATATTGCATAAATATTAAATTCCAGTAAAGCAAATGATTTTATTAGTATCTATATTTCGGTTATGTAACGTGCCAGATTCTTTACTACAAATGTTTGTTCATTAGCCAAAAATCTGTCCTAAATGTATTAGTTGTTGCATTTTTTTATATTCGTTTCCTTCCGCATCTTCTTCCACTTTTGCTAATGAAAATATTTCATTTAATTTTGTAACAAATGCAATTCCTAAATGTAGTTTCAACAGACATACTTTTTAACTACTCTCTTGGTTACTGCACTTTATCGATGATATTAAGTTGTTATAAAGTAATAAATCTCGAAGCAATAAAAAAGCGCGAATGCTAATCGTAGGTAGGTACAGAAACATCTACGTATTTCTAAACGGTAATAATTATTGGATATAAAATTATAGACAGCATGGGTAAATGGATTGGTGATGATTCAATAAACGAGGACAACATAGTTGGAGTAATAAATGTTTTGCGTGGAATTTTAATGAGCTTGCAAGGCCTGAACGAATGTATTAGAAAAATTTTAGGACCTTCTATTGGGATTTATCTCGGGGGATTCAGCAGTTTTGTGCGAATTACATTTTATCGATTCGAAATATAAGGTTTTTAAAAACAATTATATTTACTGTTATACAATGTATCAAACCTATAAGAAAAGTTTCAGGAAGAGTGAATTAAAAGTGAGCAATTGCTAATGCCCTAGACTCCTCTGTAGAGTCGGCCTTATCTATGGCAATTTTGCATTTTTTGTAGATATACTTGTGCAGACATTTTTACCCGAAGAACTTGAATAAAATGCGATGTATTTCTTGAACAAAATTAAACTAATGTATGGTATATACGCTATATCTTGTTTAATTTCTTTTTATTTTGGTAAAATAATGTTGGAACAAAGGAGTGACTGAAATTTTAAATAATTTGTATTTTGAAATACCGAATCCTGTACGAAGACTTTCCCTTCTTAGACCACGTACGCGTTTTAAGGATAGTCTTAAGTGAAAATATATTTATTTATAATTATTATTCTACTAGCACGTGTCGCAACTTTCGATTTTTAAAAACAAATACCCTAAACTTCAATTAACGTTTTTAAAACGCTAACAGGTAATAAAATAATGGAGAAACTTAATCGAAACAATTGCATTAAATGACAATTTATAAGACGTTTGGTTTACGTTAAGCTTGCTAAGTAATTAAATGAAACTTTTTATTAACCATACTCTTTCAATATTTTGTTGTGTACGTATAGGTATGTTTGATTTCTATTTGATCTATTGAAAGATTCGCACCTTCAATTTTTGATTTTTTAATTTATTCTTATGTTTATCTCTTATTTTATTACATACAGTGTGACAATTTAAACCTTTACAATGGGTCATATCTCACTAACAAAAAATGCACCCTTTGTATAATTATTATTTATACTATTATTAGATAGTATTTTTAAAAGCTTTTTAATGATGTGTCACAAGTAGCGGTTTGCTATTTAAATTTTTTTAGTCGGGCAAAGATTGTCGATGGGGGTCAGTTCTCTTTTATGTCATTTTAGTTCCCCATTCATATCCTAGAAATAGTTTTAGGCATTTTTTTGATATAATCTTTCCTTTTTAAATTTGTCACACTGTAGGTTATAATATTTCTTATTTGTGCATTAGATTGGTTTGTAATATTGATTTGAGAAAGATTTAGGTACATTGCACCTTGTATACACATCAAAGTAGTGCCTTCATCTCAACAATTTTAAGCGGTTTTAAACTGTCGCAATCGAAACATGGAAAAACACCATCATTGACACAAAAATTCGTTTAAAAGATCTACATATAGTTGGTTTAATTGAATTACCTGATACCTTGAGAGCCGCTACACTACTGAAGAATCAAATAAGGAATGTGTATTAGACTAATCATGGTTTCAGCCTTGTCATCCTCGTGAAGGATAGAGCGATGGTTTTCAGAGCGGTAACTTTTTAGATGATACACACAAGAGAAAATTTGGAAATCGATTTTATATTAACAATAATGAATCAACTTAAATATGTGCTTTCGTGTGGGATAAAAATTAGAAACAATGCTAATTACCTACAAATCGATTAGATACTAGCTAGGCAAAGTGAAGTATTAAGTTCATTTATAAGCTCCAGGTCTAAAAGAGGAGTTCTGCTAATATTAGGTATACAGGTCGTACGAACTGATCCGCTGCAAGCATTAGAATTAGAATCTCAATCAATACTATAAGATAGTAAAGAACAGAAACTTGTTTATCGGTTGCCGGCCGATATTAGAATTCGTCAATTCGCTTCGCTTCGTCCACTAGCGAATAGCTCTCTTTATTCCTTACATAGCAAAAGTTCAATTAGTTATCTCATTATTCTCATTGTATGCTTGCAGCGGAATAATTCGTACGACCTGTATACATTTACTTTCTTGTGATTTGGCGGTATTTTTTTTATATTTCATTCTTAATTGTTGAAAATATTCCTCCAGTCCGGATCTGCTGATTTTCTTTTTCGTATTTCACGATCATCCAATGTTAAAATCGACATTAACCAAACCCAGTGCCGAGTTACTTGATCATCGGAGATCATCTTATCTGTAGGACAGGGTCTTCAACTCTATAAATAAGTGGTGTTCATTTACTAATAGATAATGGTTGGATAAACGTGAATTACAATTTACAAGGAATTTTAATTTGATCAATGGTGATCGCAAATTAAAAGTAATTGTTAATTACTATAGCGATTGGGTAAATTATTTCGATGGATAAGTGATATTTTTGCCTTCTGCGAAAAATTAATTTAATTAGACTATTCGAAAAATGGTTGTTTTTTATATTAACTTTCAACTTATGTTATTTTATTGTAACCGTTTATTTAATTGTAAGTTATAAAATTTGTTTTTATCATACCTAAAAAATAAATTTAAAATAGCTTTTTTTGAGTAGAAAGATGAGCAGGAATAGTGTGATTAATAAAAACAAAAACAAAACTAGTTCACCAAATCATAAAAAAATTAAATTCGTGCGTGCCTATGAAGAAAAATGCGTCCTGTTCATTCACCTCTCAAAATGAAGAAACGAGGTTACTCGATCACATTTCTCAATTAAATCATCTACACATATTTTTAACAATTTATTTATTTTTTAGAGGATTTATTTCATATATTATATTATTTTTATACATATTAAGATTTTTGAAAAAGTATATATTCTTTTAACTTCTTACATTTAAATTTTATTGCATTATTACAACATAATATTAATTTGGAATTAATTGGGAAACCTAAAACTATTCTCTTCAACACATTATAATATACACACACGAGATAAATACAAAACAACAGAAGAGAAAAGAGCATTTCAGCATTTCAGCATTTATCATTATTTAGTATATAGAAAAAGTTAACAACACATTGTAATAACAGAAGAAGATAATTGCTTAAAACTCTTATTTATATCCAACACTTTTATAAGCAAATAATTGAACAAGCCTATATTTATAAATCTATCGGAAATCTTGGATAAGTAGTTTCTAAAATAACAATACTCGATATTTCAAAAAATTATTGCCGATGATTGAGATACCTACGCATAAATTACAGGTAACAACCTGTACCCACATCATAGATTCCCTATCGAAGTTTCTAACACACAATTTTAACAATTATTCTTAAAAAAAATATGTAAGAATCGATAAGTAGAATCTACTGTTACTTTCGTGGTAACTTTCCATTCAATCGAACAAAAGTATTTTAGCCCACACGTAGGATTATTAAATTTGAACTTTATAACACCATCATTACATGTGGATGTATAAAAGTAATTGTAATTGTATAATCTTAATGACACTTTTTTTAATAATGAATTTTTGACCCACTTCCTATGAAGATAACCATTTACAATTAGTAGTAGAGGATTATACATGTGGTAGGTACATATTATTTAATGTGAAATAATGAGGGAATTATGCAATAACAATATTTCGTTTATTGTGGTGTAAAATGTTCAGATGAAAAAAAAATTAATTACTAGTGAATATTTATAATTTTTGCAAGCCTTGATGGACCGAACATTTGCCAGTATAGTGCTAAGATATAAAATAGGAAAATCCATAATATTAGGTCACATTGGTAATAACGTTTCATTCAGGAAGGTCGATAAATAAAAAATATAAATATTAAACTTATCTTTTAAGTAAATAAACTAATAGAGTGGTGCTTTAAAATAATCTGCAAGAGCTCGTTAGAATTCCATCAAAAAATATTGACCTCAAGTTTCAAACTTGACACAATAATGCCACGAATACTTCCATCATCTGCTACAAAATTATCTACTCGTATAGTATTTTACAAAATAAAAATGAGATGAATTGAAATACGCTCGGTGGCGGCCATCGGGTGCCGGAGTGCCACACTTGACCATCAACAACATCACGAAAACAAAGCACGATAGTGATAGTGGTCGAAGCCCAGTGGAAGACCCGGTCCGGGCGAGCGTGGGGGGCTCTTCCCCCTGGGGCACAAACGTCTCTATGTAGGTTAGAGAGCCGTGGGGATGTAGGCCGACTATATACGCGGCTGCCAAGTCGATCTGACAGTTTATTTAAAAGTGCTTCTTCGCTGTCTACGGTAGAAATATCAATTGGTAAGTTCTCTTTTTGTGCACGTTCAACATAGAGTGCCTCGGAATCTAACAGTGCCTGTTCGCTTTTGATTTAACGGAGTATGAGCAGGCGAGAGGTTACTGGTCCGCGCGATCGTTGATATCCTTTTTTATACGAGGGATGATCGGAGAGTCTTCCACGAAAGTGAAGTGGTGCTATCGGATTACGTGGCTTGATTGCTTAGTGAATTTTATGGAATTTATGTACTTATACGCGGGGATTTTTTATTAAAAAAATATTTGGTTGTAACATCAAGTGTTTTATAAAGTTTTCGTATTTTTCTTTAGTAAGGTTTAGAGTAAAATTCGATTGATTTTATAATTTATGCTAATTACAATTGATGTTTCATAAATAAAATTAAAAATGGGCTACATAATAACATTAATAACATGTAACAAAAATTACAGTACCTACAGCACTTAAAATATTTGATGTTATAAACTCAATATGGTACATAACATTTTATAAATAAATAGTCAATTAAACGATTTTTTGCAAGCAGAAATTAATTTCAAAATTAACTAAAATGTCGATTGATGAATATTGCCAACCATCTACTAGATTTTATATCATTTCCAGTATCTATTAATATCCAGAAAGAATTGTTTTAATTGTTATTACCGTATATAATCGCTTTGTACAGTTAAAGTTAGTGTCAAAAAGCGGTTCTTCTGTTATTTACTGTAAGGTTTCAAATTACCATATCTACCTACCTACTGAATATAATTAAAATTTTAAATTTTCACAACACGAATCAGTACAGTTTTTTTAGCAAATCGGGATTTTATTCTGAAGTTTTATTGTTTTAAAGAAACAATTCTTTAATTTTCTTCCTTCTTTTCCCGATCGTTTCATGAATATGCGTTAGTTTGAAGTAATATATTTTATTAATTATGAATTTATCCTTATAGTCCTGTGACTCTTTATTAAAATAGCAAATGATGATGTTCATTTCGAGAATAATGCCTACTTCGTTGCGGAATTATCATTATTAACAATTTCATTATTAGCGTTTCATGCTCATCATTTATGACTTGTCACTTCAATAGATTATTTTGTAATTAAAGCTTAAAAAATAGAAAGTTGAGTCAAGTCGAATTTAATGCTATTGCAGCTACCAGTTGAATATTAACAGCGTTTAACCTCCCCAAAAATCATTGATGATGCATGAGTATGAGTATTTCTCTGGGAGATAATTTAACGAACAAATAAAATCATCTGCTATTGCCACACTTTGATGACTTTCGCAATGATTTTGTTAACAGCCAATTTAACTTATTTCTTTTGTTCGCACTTTGCAGTTAATTTTTCAAAAAATTGTGCAACATTTAAAGAGCGACAGATGTTTACAATAAGTGCCATGGGAATATCTGGCAATTGCATCTGTATTTAAGAAAAAACAAGGACATAGGAAAATTATTCGCTAAAAGAGTGTTGTAAAGCCCTGCTAGATTTACCTAGATTCGACGAAGGTAATGAGAAAAAAATAATTAACTATGTATCTACTAATTTGAAATTACCAAAGTTTAGTCTATAAAAGTTGCTAAATTTATATCTATTTAACTGTAAATTCAATATCCCTCTATCATTAAGTTCACCCTGTATTTATGTTTTGCTATATCAAGGGAACTTAGCTAAAAAATGTATAGCTTGTCCCAATAAAAGTTACAGATTTGATTGGAAGCTATTTTATGCTTCCAGTCTTTAATTAAATTGAAGCTTTAATAAAGGACAAGGAATACCGAGTGGTACATGTTAATAAGGCACATATCGATTTGTGTTTCGTCTATTTTTTCAAAAATCTTTGTCCCAATTTACAGCAAATAGAAACTTGTTTATACTTTGCAAACAATGACCTGTAAATAATATCCGGTATACTATCGATATACATTTCAGTGGAATCGCGCCTTTGAGGTCACTGTTAATTTTAATATAATTAAGAACACTTTCTCGTACATGACCGACTCTCATTTTCTTCAACTCTTGTACCGACCATTAGCGTTCCTTTTTGCATATTTGCATCGAACCGTTTTTCCACTAAATCTCGATCTTCCATTAGAAATTCAATATAATTTTCAGTGCGGCGATTGCGGTATTACGAAACCGAATCGCCGTGTAATGAGGACTTTCGAACCAAATAATTGTTCATTTCAACACAATTAAATGAAAAATCTGCGTTTAATAACTGAAATTAGCGTATTTAAAATTACAAAACAACCATTTCCTCTTTAACGCTTGCAGGGAGATAGTGCATCAAGTAATATACCGCAGGCTTGAACATTAATTGCGCTATTTTGTTTTCATGAAATTTGTTTTTTCCACCAAAATATTTTCTCTTATTTTCAATTTGTAACTTTATTACCGGTTTTACGAATTTTATTTTATTGTACCAATTTCTGAGCCAATATGTTTATAATAAATTAATAAATTATTTTCTACCAATAGACGTTGTGCAAGTCCTTTCGGAATAAATAATGCGGGTGTTTTCACGATTTCCTGATTTTAAACAATTACATACGTCTCTTGCCGTAACATCCTGCATAATATTCGTATACGCTATTCACCGTGCGTTAATTTCGAACGGGTTGAAATTTTAAATAATATAATGGATATAATTCAGGTTAATTTAGGATTTTGCAAGAACGCGTTTTAAAAACAAGGTTTAGCGTGGGTTTTAATTTTTGTTGGTTGTTTTATTGTTAAGCATTTATTGCAACGACACTTCATTTCATAATTGTACCTGCAGAAATAGGTATTTTCGAAGTCATCCGGCGTCCAGCTGAAATCGTAACGGCTCAAGAACGGTTCAAATTCGAGTAAACAGCAGGATTGACGACCTAGACTGTTAAATCCAGTCTTAGAAGCACATCACCGTGCAGTCTACAACGGATTCCGCGTTACGTAATGAAGTAATGTAACGTGAAACTGGGTTATTGTGTGAAACGTTCATTTCTGCGGGTTATTAAACTGATGCACACTATAGGAAGATTAAGTGATTGGCATACAATGCGAATGCGAGCGAGCAAAAACTCCATTGGCTTCTGTATGTTTTATGTAACGGATTGTAACTAAGGATATATTTTTGTAATATTGCAATGGATTTAGGTAACAAATTTAAATTCCTAGTACGTGGGGGTGTTTTTGAGCGCATATTGGTAACAAATTTAAATTCTTTCGGAATGATATTGAGAGCAGCATATCACAACTAATCTTGTATTAAGTAGAAAATCTTTTGAAACAACACGTATTTCCTATAAGAGATTAGCTTCTTGAAGCTTTTTGTGGGTGATTTTTAAAGCTTTTTAGTCACCATTTTAGTACATAAACTAGAAAAATTGAATTTTGCAATTAATTTTCATAACATGGACCACTAGGTACTATACTTATTTCCCAACACTCCGCTTCGACTGTTTTTTTTTGAACTCGCAATCAATTTGAGATTCGCAATAGCTTTCAATGAGATAACGTGATGTAACTTCCCATGCATTATGCTGTGTGCTCGACGTAGATGATGGTACTAATTCACCGGTATAATATCTGTCAGGAAGAGCTGGGATTTTGTTTTATAGCCTAGGATGGTGAAAAGTTACATTATAGTGAGAATCTTAATTTGATTTGCGTAACTGCGGTACTTAAGTTGTTGTTAAATTTACAATTTTCGGTTTAGATTAATTATCTTTTAATTAAGAGTGAAAGTAGGTTTATTTCATAATTGAGAATCTGAAGATTCATGTATTGTATCTTCGAATGCATTGATCTTTTAATACTCAGTCCACGAGACAACTCACGACTGAGTGCTAAAGAAGTGTTAGAGAAGCATTTACTTTTTATTAACAATCTCAATTACAAGGTGAACTAAATACTTTCTTCTGTTGAAAATCACTTACACTAATTAAAATACGAAACAATTTACTTAAAGCACTGTCCAAGTCGGTACTAATCGCGTAGATTTCACTGCCAAATACCAAAACAATGTCAAACGGATAAGTTTACATTGTCAAAGGTGGAAGGTATTTTGTGAAAGTTTTCTTCGAGATGGGCGGATTGAAAATATATTTACGCAAAGAATTAACAACAAAATACATTTTAAATAATAAAAGATTTAAATATATAAAAATATATTCTTATTAAGTCATTTTTTGTAATAATTGAAGATTCCCTTACAATTAGTAGAAAGTGCTAACCTTTTGTTTCTATCATATGCTTCGCTTTTTTTTATTCTAATTTATCTAGGATAAATTTTAGTAGGTACATTCAAATTGCATCAATTTTGTATTACTTTGGAAAGTGAATTATTATCATTTTCTCTTCGCTGGTACTTTGTATGCACATTTTTATGGAGGCAATTTTTATTTCAATAATCAGTCGACTTTATTTTTCATTGTTATTACCTGCACTATACGCTTATGAAGGTACTTTGATATTTATGGTACTTTCAAATTTAGCTAAATATTGCAAAAAAATTAATATCTGTGATGAACTCTTTAAAAATTCGAGCAGAGTTAGTTAATTTTTAAACTAAAACTTGTAGTAATTTGTTCCGGAAACTCTCTTTTAAAAAACTAATCCAATTTGTCCAATTTTATTGCTTATTTATTCTATTAGGTAGAATACGTCTGCTGGCATTCCCGGATATACAATACGTTTGGGAAACCTTTCTAACCGATTTACATAATTAATTTCGACCTCAATGATTTCACTGCAATTTGAATACGTCAACCTTGCGTTAATACAACCATCTTCGAATGATGTACAACCGATTCCTAAAAATAAATAACAATTTTACCTGGTTCACATATCGAACCGAAATGCTTAATTTATTTTAATTTCCATTAGGTCATGTAACACAAAGAACAGGTGTTTTGGTTATTATTTGGTCATCGGTCGGACTATTTCATTATTCCGTGTCAACCGTAGATCTGGTATTCCACCCGACTGGCCCGGATCGCGGAAGGAGCTCGTTTACAATTCCACAAATCAGTAGCGTTTCAAACTTATGTTAAAAAGACATTTAAAAATGCATACAAAATTAATAGGTTGATATCTGTTTAAAGTATTAAAGTTAGAGTGCTTTAAATTTTAAGTCTGTTATAAGTCACCCTCTGATATTCATGTAATTTTTTGATAAATAGCCAATGTATTGTAACGTTCATATCGCCTAATTGCGAGTGAAAGTTTCTCTTATCCATAATCTCGCGCTAAAAATCGTGCGCAAAAATCTTATCAGCGCGCCCCTGCGGCCGGCGTCGTTGTCGCTCGGTCTACCAATGTATCTGGGTCAACCATTGACCTCAGGCCAAGTCAATCGGCTGCTTTCACGGTCACTCCACTTTTGTCTCTTTTCTCCGGTGGTTCTTCGAATAGCAATTAAGATGTTCGAAATTTCGTTGCATCGCGCGCTTACGAAATCCCCGGCTCTAACTCCGATTCCGAGGTCCCAGGTGTTTCCTTCGAGCCACATTTCACGGTCGTTTCTTGTTTGCAGCGCAAAACATGTGGCGACAATTCACCTTGCTCCTTATAGGAGCCGCTGCGGTAATGGCTCAAAGGAGACTGGCTCTGCCGGATCCCAGGAGTTGCGTGAATAGTAAGTTTTGTATCAAGCGGCGAATATCTGCTAGAGTGTATAATTTTCGTTAATTTCAGGGGTGCGCCACGCTTCTTACAGGGACGCCAGAGGTGTGACACACTCGTACTTCTTCAGCTGGGAACACGGACCGACCAGCAGACTGGAAGTCGACTGGTTGGACGCCAGGAACATCTGCAGAAGACACTGCATGGACGCCGTCTCCTTAGAAACACCCCAAGAGAACGAGTTTATCAAACAGAGGATAGCCAGAGGTAAAATCACCTATTCAATCATACAAAATTGCTAGTGGTCCAATTTAAATAACTCCACAAGTTTCACTCTCAATATCCATTGCAATATTCTAATGTAACATATTTACTACTACTATACTGCTACTAAAGGAGCAGACGAAGGCCTCAGTCATCCTCGAGTCGCCTCCAGTTGCCCCAGTCTTGTTAGGAGTCCCGCTATCTTTTTTAACCTACTCCTTGGTAGTTCCAAAGCAGCCCTAGCATGTCCATATATCCAAATAATAAATTGAATTTGCAGGAAACGTGCGTTACATTTGGACATCAGGAAGGAAATGTAACTTCGCAGGTTGCGAAAGAGCCGATTTGCAACCCCCGAACATTAACGGATGGTTCTGGTCTGGATCCGGAGCTAAAATTGGGCCCACCACCCAAAGGAATACTGGAGATTGGAGTTTCACCGGCGGATTTGGACAGGCTCAGCCCGATAACAGAGAAGCTGCTCAGGTAAAGATGATTGTAAAAAACTAGATTTTAGATCCTACCAGTCGTAGACTACACGTAGAGGTTCTGGTAAACCTCCAAAGAAGCTAAGAGACAAGATTTTGGAATTTGAATGGTGTAGAATAGAATTGATCTCAATCTGTATTATTTATTGCAGGGTAACGATGAATCTTGCCTTTCTATACTCAACAACTTCTACAACGATGGTTTGAAATGGCACGATGTGGCTTGTCACCACGTCAAACCCTTCGTATGCGAAGACAGTGAGGAGCTCCTTAACTTCGTAGCGTCCAGAAACCCAGGAATACGTCTATAAACCGATGGCTTTCCGTAGTTTTAGTATAAACACTGGGTACCTTCAAAATGACCAAAAATACGAAATAACTATCAAAAAAATCACGTAACAACTAATTTATTATTTTATTTATATTATGTGATTTGATTATGTCGGAGAAACTATATTTTTGTATTACATCAATTTATGAGTATGAATGTACCTGTATTAATTTTGTGGAAAATTTACAATTGGTCATTTTTTTGAATATTTAAAAAATTCCAACTTTCTTTTTCTACTCGAGATCCTTATATTAGTTTTGTATCTATTTTAAATTATGTATAATATAAAAATTACACCAGACGATTACGATTTTTCTTAATAACTCAAAATTATTACTACAAAAGAAATGTTGATGCCGGTCTAGTATGCGGTCTACCCTACCGCATCTGGTTTAGTATGCGGTCTACCCAAATATATTTTATACAAAGTATTTATTACAAAGTATAACAGCAAGATTTTGTAAATTGACCCTTTATTATTATTGACCGGATCGTGTTTAATTGACGTTTCTTACTTCTTTCTGTAACGTGTACTTCGATTAAAAAGATTTTTTTTTCTTCAATTTTACGTTCTATTTTGTTATTAAATTGAAATATCTCGAAAAGTGTAATCATTAGATATGGGGAATGTTTAATAAGAATGAAAGTACTTCAAAAATACTTCCTGGTAATAATATGAAATACAGGGTGATCCATTTAAAATAACTAACAAAATGTTACTTTTGCGTTTGGATCCACCCTGTAAGCAGTATGATTAAAATTGACGAAAAATATTCATTTTGCACATTTTCACGATACAATTTAGTGAAACCTGAAATTTATTTTCAATTCAATCCATTTAGTTTCTACATAGTGGTAAACTTTAGTACCACTTTCATAAAAAAAGTGGTCATAACTTTTTAAACCGCTCAGTATAACATTATAGTATATTTTTGGAAAGCTGAAAACACGCTAAATTTAATTTTTGAATAAAAAACAGGGTGCACCATTTAAAAAAGCATAACTTTGGTCTACCAAGGAAAAACGGGACACTGTACAAATGTTACTAATTTTAAAATATGCAGCTTAAAAGATCTACAACTTTTGTAATGATGTTTTTTAATCTAATATGCTACCCTGTATGTAGGTAGACCGCAAATAGAATAGTAGAGCGCATAGTAGACCGGCACCGAAATTTTCATATCATATGAAGGATTGATAGGATGTGTGGTTTTTCAATTATTTAACAAAAACGTCATGAAAATAAATTAATTTACTCAAATATTCAATACATAACAGAGATTCACTAACAATTGTATTAGTAATACCCAATTAATTATTATCACATTTATTTTTTAGTAATGTATTATAAATCACATTTTCCAATAACAGCTATTAGTACAATGAAATTCTAAATACTGTTTATCAGTTAATAGGGGTAAAACGATATTCCCTGTATTATAGTACCATAGACCTCATAGAATGCTAACAAACAATCTTTGTTTTCATTTAATAATTCATTACTCATGTAACACAAATGCAAAGGTGTGGTACCTTTGTCGGATGGATTATTAAATGAGATTCGGAAATTGTATAAATCAGGTTCAAGTACAGCTAAATTATAGAAATTCAAGTAAACACCAGGCGAATTGTAAGGTATTAACTTGTTAAATTTCATAGGCTCTACAACATCTCTTTGTGATTCCAATAGGCAGATTCTGATACATATTTCACCATCGTAGAATACATTTTTCGTGTTCGAAGAAGGCACCATTGGAGTGTTTATAGACAAACCGAAGATCATAATTTTTTTATTAACTCTGACATCGGAAGTAAATTCTTCGTTTGGCATGAGGTCCATTCTTGAAGCGATTTTAAATGATTTACGAAGTTGACAGAATTTGGGGATAATCACATGGGATATACTGAGATCGAAGGGTTCCTTGGGCCATTCCAATTGATCGCCAAGAAGAATTAAAATATCCTTTATTAATTTATCGTTGATTTGCTGAAATTTTTGGAAATCGAGACAGTCCTTCTTGAAGAATTCGATAATCTTTTCTTGCTTCAACAGCTCAACTGCGGTACCGGGAGAAACTTGCTTTTGGCGATTCTCGCATTCTAAAAGACTCCATTCGATTATTTTCACTAACAACTCAAGATTCGGACTGGAGATTTCCCCCAAAACAGCTCGTAGCGTAGAAGACTTCATATGATAATCACAAAAAAACAGCCCGCTTATATACTTCACCATATCATCAAAGCATTTCTCTTTTATATTAGATAAATCGTACATTTCGGCGTACTCGTAACTCAACACTAAAGTATTCATAGTTAAATTACTTCTTACGTACTTCAGGCATTTGTAAAACAGATCGTCCAATAAATATTTATTAGCAACGTAGAATAAATTCCAAGCGTTTAGCACTGAACTGATGTGTATATCATTAGTATAAATATGCTCTAACGTTTGAATAAACACCTCCAAATCGATATCGGGTATCTCGATTGTATCCTCCGACATGTCGCCGAAGAGCATCTTTTCGAAAACGGGACTACTACAGGCCAAAATTAATTTGTGTGCTTTAACTTCTTTGCCGTCTATTTTGAATGTACAATCTACGAACTGTTGGTTTTTAAAGAACGATACCAATCGATCTTTGCTATTTAGAACTTTCCTCTCCATCTCGATTACTCATCCGCTACAATGATGTAACAATAGTTTTGATTATATCCAACGCGCACTACTAACTTTATTTAACTTGAACAACGAGCTTTGAGGCGCGCATATTACATATTAAACTTTTTTATAAACCTTGAACCATGACTGTAGGACAAAACCAAGGACATTAAAACTGTAAACTTAATATAAGCATAGAAATATAAGTATTTTATGCTAAGTTACCTCCAATTTTAGATGTTAAAACAAATTCGAAATTTATAAATTTGTAATTATCCAAACAAACAGAACACTGGCAAAATGATTATTTAATTTTTGAGGTTAAATTTTAAATTGTTGTTATGAAATTTATCTTCTTTTTCAACTATATTTGACATTGACTTTGGAAGGAAATACGGTCTTACATACGGGTCTGGAAACTTTGCTTTTTGGGCCTAGGGTTCAAGGGGACTCCGCTTGGAACGCTATTGACGGATATGGTTAATTTTGGATTTCCTGTGTTTTAAATTATACTGTGTCATACTTCGACACGATACGCGAATATAGCATTGTCAAATTAAATTGGGAAGGCAAAATAAAAGAATAGAAATGTAGCGTTTATGTGCGTCGTCTGTCGGGTCACATCATAGACAAAATAATTTTCATTCTTTCTCTATGGGTCACATCATAGACAAAATAAAAGAGACTGTTTAATGCATAGGACAGAGTCGACAACATGCCTTTAGAACGAAGACCAGCCGTTAGAGGCGCTGCTATCGAAAAATTAAATGAATTTCGATTGTTTTGATTGGCTAATTTTATATGAGATCCGTATGGAAACGATCGCGATCGCGGGTCGTCGGTCGTCGCCCGTCCGTTGTTTTAATTAAGTGAGTTTCGTTAGTGATGTAGACGCCATTTTAGTGCTTAACCTAAATTGTGAGTATTTTTATTTTTTATATTTATATTTGTTTGCAAATTTAAAATGTCAACACCAATTCGAAGGAAGGCTCGTAAATGTGCATCACCAAGATGCAAAAATTTGTAAATTTGTCCCCCCGAAGATAATCTTCAAAAGCGTTTTTTTTAAATTCCCTTCAAATTTGAGTGAAAGAAAAAATGGTTTGATATTATAGGATTATTATTTATAGGTTTGTCTCATTCATCCAAACAAATGAGACTCTGTGAAGATCATTTTTCTACATAGCTATCTACTTATAATATTTGATTTCTATGTTTTTCTAATACATCTCGCTGTTTTTGTTATTTTCCTAAATTAGATGCTGCTCATATTTTTTTCTGTTTTAGTTAGCTCTACAAGAATTGGACGCTGTAGGCCCTGGGAACTGAGGGATCTGACTCATCTGACTTCGAAGTAACAAGGTTGTATTTGTTTTACGTTTCTATTTATTCTATTATATTTTCTATTCCACATGTATTATATACGTATTCTATTTATATTTTTGTTATTAGTGTCAAATGTTATTAATTTTGTCGAATGATGTTCAAATGTTGAATTGTATGTATTGTATTGTCTATTTAGGTTATATGTATGTATTCAATTTTTTATATCTTTAAATAAATACATTTCTTATTAACAAAAGTTGTTCTTATTTTCTAATTTGCAATATAGCAATATTATAAAAATAAAATTGAATATATAACCCATTTTTAATTTTGAAATATAGAAGAAATCTACTCGATATTTCATTAGTTCGTGGGACCAGCCACTAGGAACAGCACCATCTACGCGTTGCCAATTTTTAGTAAGAGATCGAACTCTCTCATCTTTCTTTCTCTATGGGTCACATCATCCGTAACACCAGAAGTCGAGTTTCCTGACCTGTTATATACGACCATGGAATGAAGTATTTGATTAGGATACATAGGCAATTCATTTTACATGTTGGTAGCAACTGCAAAAATAGTTGAATACGCAACTTTTTTACACAAGAATGGGAAACTTAATAGAGTTAAAAAGCAAATTATACAAAAATACAAAAATTAGACTATTAAATATTGCAAACATCTTATTGAATAATACAAATAATTATCAAATTAATTAAACGACATTGAAAATACAGAGTAAGAGATTGCAAAAAATAAAAACAACTTATATGGAGTAAAATTTTGAATTTTCGGTTATCAATGATTAGGAATTTTCAAAAACATCTAGAGTGATGGTATTTTCTTGTTTAGTAGAAACATTTTGTTTTATGGTGCCTTCTTCTGCACTGTATTTAGCAATAATAGCTTTTCTCTTCCATTTTAGAACTTCTAATTTAGCTTCAGATGAACACTTGGCATACATCACGTTATCTCGTGTGATTCTCGTCAATGTTTGCATCAAATCTTTCTTTTCCTTTCTAAAATAGAATAAAATCAGACAATATAAGTAACAGAATTTAAAATGAACTTACTCCAATTTAGTTTTAAGAGATGTTACACTCATATTAACTGGCACCTTTGACGAAGCTAGTTCTGTTTCATATTCTTTTACAGTATTTTCCAATTCTTCTATTCGACTTCTAAAATCAGCAAGACACAAATAATAATTATACAAATAATTATGTATACAGGGTGTCCCACATAAGGACCGACACAGAGCAGGATCCATAAATATGTTGCTTAACCCAACTTAAGTTCTGTAGTACATTTCTGATTTTAAAGTGGAATTACTAATTAAAAAAATAATGTCTCTGTAATACTCAAACTTAAAACAACTAATTTTAGAAAAAAAGATAAGACACTAAGGGCCGGTTGCTCGTACGCGGATCAAGCTCGGGATCAACTAATCTCGTATCAAAGTTAGTACGGGATTAACTCTTTACTCGGGTTGCACAAAACTTTTTTGATCTCGGATCAACTGATCCCGAGCTTAAGCCATAATTCGATTATTTTGTTACTATTATTTCGATTAATCGAATGAAAAATGGCAGAAGTGACATTTCTAGACAACAAAATTTAAAATTTAACTTAATAAAGTCATTTAAAAAGAAGAAAACGGTTTCATAACCTCAAATAAAACGATTTTATTTGTTATAATTCCTGATTCCCGGTTTTTTCGGCTGAAATTAATGCCTTTTTGGCATTCTACGTAATTACAATCGTGCCGTGAACGTGCCCGTTGGAAGTTGTAACAATGTCAAAGCGAGCTACTAATTTTTCCTTCACGGATAAAAATCAGCTATTAGATCTAGTTAAAAAGTAAGTACATACAAATTTCTTACAGATACTTTAGTATTTTGTTGTTTAAATTCGTTAATTCTTTACCAGATGACTTTCCTACGGTCCTATATCTAGATAAATACCTTCCTAATTATCACATCTTTTCCCTCCTGCTTAGATATAAACATATTATTGAGGATAAGGCCTATTAAAGGCCTAATTGCTATTAAAAAAAACCAATTATTATCAAGTACAATTTAATTATATTTTTTTATTTTTTAGTATTATTTAAAAGGATTGCGGCAAGGGCGAAGAATACGACGTCTCACTCGATGTGCAGGCTCTTCGAGGTCGCTCAAAGACGAGAAATTTGATAAATCGGACATGTTCTAAAATAATTTCGTGTGTAATTAATTATGTTACATATAAAATAAATATAATTTACTTACGTTTACTAGAAACCTTTTCTTTAATCTTCAAATTGGATAATAATAACCGGAATTCGTTTAATTTAACCTCAAAAGCACCAACAAATGTAAGTCAAAATCACGAAAATAAACGCTGTCAACGCTAGTTCGCCAGCTTAATCCCACCTTGGCCACGGATTAATTGATCTCGAGTTGATCCTGCGATTTTTGTTTCGAGCAACGCAAAATGTGATTTGATCCAGGCTTAAGCCCGGATCAACGAAGTCGGATTAAATTCCGAATTTTTGACGTTTGAGAAACACTTGATACGGCGGCCATATTTGATCCCGGATCAAACTCGGCTTAATCCCGGATCAAAATTTGATCCACGTACGAGCAACCGGGCCACAATGCCGACTATCAGATTAAATTATTTAGTAGAACATTAGAGAATGGGATAAAAAATCAGAACTGTCTAGAATCATTTAGAACTGACTATAATCATTTAGAACAATCAAGAATGATTTAAAAGTGTCCAGAATCATTTAGAACTGTCTAAAATTCATCATCAGGCAGATAACTTTTCATCTTACCCTTGACACTATAAATGGTTACTTAATACCGTCCATAATTCAAAAGTTGTATGTATTAATCTGTTGGGTTAAACAACATATTTTGGACTCTAATACAACTTCCTTCTCTGTGTCGGTTCTTATGCGGGACACCCTGTGTAGATAAGAAAATCTCCGATGACGCTTCGTTACCTTAAAAAACGTTGGGATCTTTGTTGTTCCAGTTCCACAGCATCGAGATCAATCTGCCATTTTTCTACCAGGTTCAAATTTTCTAATTTCAATTGGCGAATTTCGTTTTGAAACGACTTTTTTTCTTCAATCGCGGATAAATATTTCGATTGAATTTCAGTTAATTTATCTTCCAAATATACTCTTCTGCATTAAAAAAATATATCTTGTTAAAACTGTAGACAATAGATTAATAATAAAAGTAATTTTCTACCTATCGTTAACTTCTGCAAATAATGAATTTCCTTGGCCATCATTATCATTAGCGATTGGTTTCTTTAAAGTATCCAATTCGGCTTTGTAACACATATTTTCTTCCCCTAGGAAACTAACGTTCGCTTTCAGTTCATCATATTCGCTTTGTTTTACTTCTAACATTCTCCTCAAATCGTGGACTTCTTCAGAAAACTCCTACAAATTGGTATACATTGGATAAACTGCAATAAAATAATTGAATTTATAAAATTACCTGTAATTTTTTATCTTGATTTATGTTGATTTGTGTAAGTTCCGCTAGTTTACTTTTTAATTCCTCATTTTCATGGTAATAATCGGTGCCTGTGTTATTTAAAATACCATCAATTATATCGGTTGTATTGATGTGTCCGTTAACTGATCGGTTGGGACTGTGGTTTTTGTAGACATTCAACTCTTCTTGTAGTTTCTCTATTTTCACATTCATACTTTGGATTGAATCTTCCATCGTGCGTTTCTCATCCATATGATGCATTCTTACTTTGATTTGTTCTTCCTCTAGTTTTTTCAACATATCCATTAATTTTTTTTGCTTATCCGCAGATTCTGCTTGCACTATATCCAACTCATTCTTGTATTCTAGTTGAATATTTTCGGATAATCTCAAATTTAGCTTGCACTCGTGCAACTCCTGTTTGGCATTTTCTAATTCACGAAGAACTTTCTGAAATTCTTCCACATTCATGTGACTGGAATCCATGGTTGGCTTGTTACCTTGCACACTGATCTTCAGAATGTTATTTTACACTTTTACAGAATAAAAGTCTCACACAACAATTATTTTAAAACAAATTAAATAGAGAAATGACGAAAATTGAACAGTAAACCAACGGCTAACGTCAAAATTTTAAACTTATTTTGACGTTGACAGTTGACACATTTCAAATAATTCTTATTAAATGGACTAAACCTTGGGAGAATTCAGTTACCAATTCCCCACGATTCTTGACAGTTCTTGAAATAATTTGAAAATCATTCTTACTTTAATCTTTACAATGTATTATAAAACTAAGATAGGCAACATATTATATTAATAATAATTGATAATTATTATTAAAAAAAAATGTAACTAACTTCACTTCTTAGAACGGCGTTTTGTACGTTCTGTAATTTCCTACTTACCGGCAATGTCAAGTCAAATGTCAAATTGAAATAAAAGTGACATTTATTTGGTTATCTAATTTTCAATTTCCAAAAAATTGCATATTATGTATTAAATAATACCGACTACACTGAAAAAAGGCGAACAATAAGAAATACATATGGAGCATTTACTCAGAGGACATTTTGGGTAGGTGTCATGATAATTTTTTATAACATAGGTTATGTGTATAATTTTTTTCAGTCGAATCGTAATAAGTACTTATACACCTTTAAAGTACGGGTCCCAAAGGCATTGCCAGAGAGGGATATGTAGCACTTGGAGTGGAAGAGCCCTGGACAGGTCTAAGCCTCTTTTAAAACAGCAATATTATTACCAAAGGAGAGAATATGGAATGCTAGTTGTTAAAGCACTTCGTGGTGTTTTAAAAATTCGTTACTTGCTTCTTGGTGGTGCTGTTGCCGGTGGAAGTGCTCTGCAAAAGGTACAATTAATTCAAGATTTAAAAATAATAATAAGCACACTATGAAACACCTTACATTTTCCAGAGATATACTGACTGGAAGGATGGACTACCAGATCTCAAATGGTTAGATGACGTTCTGCCGGATAACGAAAAGTGGCATCAATGGAGAACAAACCTGGTTGAATTTAAGGACAATGTTAAAAACAACATTGAATTAGGTATTTTAAGATTAATTACTTGTTTTGAAATTCGCTTACTAATCCTCTTTTAGATCCTAAAATTAAAGCAGTGACCGAGGCGAAATATAAAGAGTTGAAAAACTGGTTCGATCAGCGACTCGACGATGCAATCGCAGCAGCAGAATTGCAAGAAGCATCCGCGAACAGCCAAGGTACAATTTAGTGTACACCTGAGTACAATCTTTATCATTTTTATATGTTGCTATTGTTTTTCTTTTCTTTAGGTGCGTTAACTGCCGTTCCCCAGTTTTTATACAGACTGTACTCAGGTACGATTTCCCTCCGAAGCCCTGGATTGTCCCCTTAGTGATTTAATTCGTTTCGTTCCAGAAGTAAAAAACGACATTGTTCATAAGGCTACAGTACAAGCAGCCAATCCTTTTTCGAACGACGAAAGGACGAGGAAAGACGCGCAGGAAAGAATCAACACCATTCAAGAGGAAATGATGCAAACCCAAATCAAATACCAGCGGGAGCTTGAGCGATTGGAAAAGGAAAATAAAGAATTGAGAAAGCAGAACTTGCTGTTGAAGCAAGGCAAAAAACCGGTCACTAGGAAAATTAAACGCAGCCTGATCGATATGTACAGTGAAGTATTGGACGAGCTGGCCGATTTTGACACCGGTTACAACACTCAGGATCAACTTCCTCGTGTTGTCGTAGTGGGAGATCAAAGCAGCGGTAAAACGTCCGTCTTAGAAATGATTGCACAAGCTAGAATTTTCCCTCGTGGCGCCGGGGAAATGATGACAAGGTAAAAAAGTTTGTAGAGATATTTGAACATTTCCTAATCTCTTAATGTTCAAGCGTTGATAGTTTATCTTAACGTTACAGAGCACCTGTTAAAGTTACGTTGTCGGAAGGCCCGTATCACATAGCGCAATTTAGAGACTCCTCGAGGGAATTCGATTTGACCAAGGAATCCGATCTGGCCGATTTACGGCGCGAAGTGGAGTTGAGAATGAGAAACAGCGTTAAAGGTGGAAAAACAGTTTCGTCAGAAGTGATTTCGATGACTGTCAAAGGTATTAATGATAACATAGAATTAGGTGACAAATTTTTATTGTTTGCGATTTTTAGGTCCGGGTTTGCAGAGAATGGTATTGGTAGATTTGCCAGGAATAATATCTGTGAGTTTGTACTCTTTAATCGAAATTTTAATATTAAATAATACCTGAATTCTAGACACAAACGACGGATATGGCGGCAGATACAAGGGAGAACATCAAACTTATGACTCAAACGTACATGAATAATCCGAATGCTATAATATTATGTATACAAGTAGGTGCAATAACAGCTTTGAAAATAGATGCAAAATAAAGTTCAATTTGTTTTAGGATGGATCCGTTGATGCGGAACGAAGTAATGTTACCGATTTGGTCGCTCAGTGCGATCCGCAGGGTAAAAGAACAATTTTCGTTCTGACCAAGGTTGATATGGCAGAAGAAAATCTAGCTGATCCTAACAGAGTAAGGATCGAGTTGCAGTAAACTTTACGGTATAATTACAATATTTATTGTTTGTAGATAAGAAAAATACTATCCGGAAAGTTGTTCCCGATGCGAGCATTGGGATACTTCGCGGTCGTAACGGGAAGAGGTAGAAAAGACGATTCTATACAAACCATAAAGGACTACGAGGAGAATTTCTTCCAAGGATCAAAATTGTTCAAGTAAATGAATTAATTATTTGAAAGACCAGTTAACCAGGTCAATATGCCGACAAAATATATTCAGCAGTTCTAAATCTAATTTCTAAATGTTTCTGGAACATTGTAAATGGTTTCAGACAGTTCAAAATGGATCTAAAGCGTTCTAAATGATTTTGCAGAGCGTTCTAATCGATTCTAGACAGCTCTAAATGTTTTGGAGCGTTCTAAATGGTTCTAAACAGATCTAAACGATTCTGAAGCGTTCTAGATGGTTCTAGAATCCTAGACAATTCCAAATCGATATTGTAATTCTACAAATTTTTGTTCGTTAACCAAAAATCACTCCCATTATTCTAAATTCTTTGTTAAAAACCTTGTAAACTAGTTAGTTACTGTCTTATTTTTTTTTAGGGATGGCGTTGTTAAATCTACGCAAGTAACTACCAGAAATCTGAGTCTCGCCGTAGCGGATTGTTTCTGGAAAATGGTGAAGGAAACCGTCGAACAACAAGCAGACTCTTTTAAAGCTAGAAGATTCAATTTGGAAACTGAATGGAAAAATAATTTCCCCAGGTATCTCATTAATTATCACTGTAAACTTGAATAAAACTTAAAATCATTTATTTTGTGATAGGCTTCGTGAACAAGACAGAGACGAACTATTCGAAAGGGCGCGCACTGAAATTTTAGACGAAATCGTCAATTTGTCTCAAGTCAGCCCGAGGCATTGGGAAGAAATTTTGTTGAAAAATATCTGGGAAAAAGTCTCGACGCACGTTTTCGAAAACATTTACATCCCCGCCGCACAAACTGGAACGTCAGGTATATTTTTTTTCTTAAAACGCCACTTGAGGGTATTTTTAAATGGGTAAACATCAGTTCAGTAATTCCAGTAAGATTCAAATTTGTGTTCTTCAGTTGATTTGAATCATTTTTTTCCTAATATATATAGAGACTACAAGCAATATCTCCTAGTTTTAATCTCGCTTACTTCATTGTATATTTAAGAAAATAAAATCAAAATCTATTTGCAAAATTTATTTGCAATGCTTTTTAAACGGCTAAACGTAATTCTAGTAAAACTCGAGTTTCATCGAACGAATGTGTGAATAATTTTAGTAGGATGAAGAATAATTATTAAAGAACGAAGTCTCTTAGTTTATGTTGATCCACAGGCTGTATTAAATAAAAAAAAACGAATTAAAGCATTTTAGCAAATGATGATGATAGATTACTGCAAAATTATGGTATCGCCTGACATAAATGTCAAATCACAGAACAATTTTGCTAATTTGATTAGCAACAACGTTGCCAGTGGTCTCCGTTTTTCAGATATAAAAATAAGGTTCACTGGAATTTTATCTATTGACCAATCACCCATTCAATTATGAATTTGAGGGCGGACTTTGGCGGCCTTAAATACCTCTTCTATTCGGGTATTAAACGAGCGATTACACTTTTTTAGAAACCTTCAACACATCAGTGGACATCAAACTCCGCCAATGGGCCGACACGGTTCTTCCATCGCAGTCCGTTCAATCCGGCTGGGAAAGTCTCAAGACGGAATTCGAGAGTTTCATGGCTAAAGCCGCAGAAACCCCCTATCACGACGATCTCTTCGATCAGCTGAAGGAATCCGTGGTGAATGAGGCCATGAGACGTCATTCATGGGAAAATAAAGCATCGGAAATGCTTCGTGTAGGTTCATTCCACATCATTGTAACTTGAATTATTTTTTATTTAAAGCATTTGCGCAGGTTATACAACTTAATACTCTCGAAGATAGAACCATAGGAGACAAACGCGATTGGGATCAAGCCGTCAAGTTTTTGGAGAGCAGTATTAGAGAAAAATTAAAGGAGAGTGAAACGGCATTGAGACATTTACTAGGACCTTCGAGAAAAGAAAGATGGTTATACTGGATGTACCAAAGCGATGTGCAAGCGAAAAGAAGAACCATAAAAAACGAAATAGACAATATATTATATTCTAATGATGTGAGTTTTATCGCTTCATATCTTAGATTGTATGTAACCGGAATTGATCAATTTTAGAAACATCCACCCATTTTAAGTTACGATGAATTGACAACCATAAGAAATAACCTTCAACGTTCGAATGTAGAAACCGATAACGAATCGATCAGAGAAGTGTGGGACGCCGTGTACAGAAGGCATTTCCTAAACAAATCCTTGTCGAAAACGTACGATTGCAAAAAGGCGTTTTTCCTGTATCATCAGCAAGCCAGCGACGTGGATTGTTCGGACGTGGTTTTGTTCCACAGGATACAGCAAATGATGAAAGTTACTGCAAATGCTCTTCGACAGCAGATTACTAATAGAGAAGGTGAGTGATTTGTAACTTGTTTATTTCAAAATAGATTATCTTAAATAAGATACGAGTAAGAACTAAAGATTATTCGTTCTAAAAGGACAATCACGTATTTTTGGTTATTTAAAAGCAATTCTACGTTTCCTAGTGCCAATGTTAATTCTGCTATTTGAATATGGGAATTTTACGATGCGCGGTTGAAATGCCGATACGTTGTTGCCATACCGTTACTCTCAAAATTCCGCTCTTTGTAGTTCTCATGTTTTGACTACAATTTGTTATTTTTGTGACTTTCCCAGCGATTTTTGTCTTTTTCCTGTTTTTTTTTAAGTTTGCTAGTAGGTTTTACGTTTTTCGTTCGTTTTAGATAGTTTTTCGTGCGGTTTCTACACGTTTATCAACGTTTTCTATAGAGTTTTTCTTATTTTTCACTTTTGTAATGATTAAATAATCAAAATGTTTTCATAAATGAGAATGAATAACCAATATAGTACAAGTGCCAAAAATAAGAAGGAAAGTCTAAGTAGTAAGTAGACTTTTGACATTTGACATATCTAAGATTTTGTAGGTTATATTTAATTGTGAATTTTTCGAACACGTTTTCCATAATTTATATCAAAAAATGGCAAAGTTTAATTTGAAAAAGCAATCCAAACGGCAACCAGCCCGTTTGCGGTACAAAATAGAGAAGAAAGTAAGAGATCACAACAGAAAAGCGAAGAAAGAGGCCAAGAAAAACCCGAAAAAGGGAAAAAAGATCATCCAAGTGCCGAATATTTGCCCGTTTAAAGAGGACATTCTCAAAGAAGTAGAAGCTCTTAAGAAGCAAAAGGAGGAGGAGAGACAAAAGTTACGCGAGGCGGCGAAGTTGGAGAAGCAGAAGAAGAAACAGGAAAAGCTGTCCGAAGGGCTGCAAGGATTAGTTAAAAACGCTGAAATTAAAAACAAATTACACGAACATTTAACACCAGATACTTCGCAAAGGCTTTACGAAAAAAACAACGAACAATCGCTGAAACAATATTACAAAGAATTTAAGAAAGTCATCGAGGCCGCTGATGTCATCCTCGAAGTAGTGGATGCCAGGGATCCGATCGGTACGCGCTGTAGACAAGTAGAGCAAGCAGTTTCGGACTTGAAATCGAGTAAAAGGCTCGTTGTTGTTTTAAACAAAGCCGATTTGGTGCCTCGGGATGTTTTGGATCAATGGTTAAAATACTTGCGGAAAACCGTGCCGGCCGTTGCTTTTAAAGCTTCCACCCAAAACCAGAGTAAAAAGCTGGGGCAAAAGAAGTTTTCCAAATCAGACAAAGCTTTAGTGGGCTCAACGTGCGTGGGGGCAGACCTGTTAATGACTCTCCTCGCCAATTATTGCAGAAACAAGGGGATTAAAACCGCCATTACAGTCGGAATTGTTGGATTACCCAATGTAGGAAAGAGTTCGATTATCAACAGTTTGAAAAGGTCGAGGGCCTGCAACGTGGGAGCCACTCCTGGCGTTACGAAAGCCATGCAAGAGGTTCAGTTGGATTCGAAAATAAAGCTCCTCGATTCGCCTGGAATAGTATTCGCATCCGGAAATGATAGCAGTGCTTCTTTGAGGAACGCCGTCCGTATATCCACCTTGAGCGATCCAATTACACCGGCTAATGCCATATTAGAAAGGGTTTCGAAGACCCAAATGATGGAAATGTACAATGTGCCCGATTACAGTACTCCTGAAGAATTTTACAATTTTAAGGCTACTAGAACCGGGAAATTTAAGAGAGGTGGTGTCGCCGATATCGAAGCCGCAGCCAGGGGTTTGTTAGAAGACTGGAATAACGGTAAAATTAAATACTACACGGTACCGCCCGAGGAAGACCAAAGTGCAGTACACATAAGTTCCGAGATTGTTAGCGAAATAGCAAAAGAATTCGATTTGGATAATTTCGAGGCTATGGAAACCGATGTTTTGAATACTATTCAAAAAGAAACCAAATCAGCAGATGAATCAAAACCATTCGTTATAGATAGTTTCGGTTTGGTGGATTCGATAGATCACGAAACCGAAGACATGGAAGAAGATGTAGAAGAAGAACATTTAATTAGCACCAGAACGAAAATTCAAGCGGCGGGTAAGAAAACCAAAGCAGCAGTTCAAGCGAGAACGAAAAAGGTAGATCCTGAAATGGAGCTGGAAGGTAATCGACAACTCAACCGAATCAAGAAAAATGAATTTAAAAAGGCTAAGAAAGACAGGAGGAGACGCGAAAAAGTGTCGCAACAATTGTCTGACGGTTTAGAGAGTTTTTCATTGGGCAATGATAAAAACGCTTCTGACGGTTATGATTTCAAAACGGATTTTGTTGAATAATTAGTAAAATGTCGTTTGAAATGTATTTTTACATTGAAGCAATAAAGTTTATTGACAAATAGGTGTTTTATTTAAATAAAGGCATTTCAACTAGCATCTGAACGTAGTATAATAATACTTGTGTTGAAATATTCAAAATATTTCCTCCAATTTCAGCTAGAAGATTAGATAAAGAAATTAAAGAGGTCTTGGAGGATTATAGTCAAGATAACGAAAAGAAGGTACAATTGCTTACTGGCAGAAGAGTCACATTAGCTGAAGAATTGAGTAAGTATTTTCACAATATTTTAGGTTTTTTCGTTCGTTTACAAAATTCTATTTTAGAGAGAGTCAGGCAAATCCAAGAAAGACTAGAAGAATTTATACAAGCACTAAACAAAGAAAAGTAATCTTAGAATAATTTGTTTTTAAGAACCAATTTTTTTTACTGATTAAAAGTGTTGTTCATCTGGAATTTATCATTCGAATATTCCATGCTCCAAAACAAAATTAGTAGCAATCATTTAAAAATGTATTTTTAATTATTTATATTAATTTTTTACATTATTCTACATAAAGTCATCGATTTTTTCCTGTAACAAGCCAGCTTACACCCGGGCACGGATTTTATGAAATTGTTACCAATATATTTTTGTTTCAATAAAATACATTGTTTTATTCAATTTGTCCCAACGATAGCACAGGAGAAATAAAAATGGATTTTTCAATCTTCTCGACAGAAGAATGTATTTAACCCAATTACTTATCTATACCCCGATTCCAAAATAACTGGCAGTGGCTCATTTTTCAATTATAGGATAATTGTGCAGAAGCAAGGTGTAAAAATATCGCTGGTCAGATTGCTCTTGCACCATTTTTCAAAAAGATGAACAATGAGTCACTGCCGGTTATTTTGGAACCAGGGTATAGTTACGAAAAAACAAATATATATTTCAGTCAAACAACAAATTAATCTACCAATTGTAAATTATCAAACTTCTCGCTATCATAAAATGTAGCCTTAACTTGCCTTCCTCCGAAAAATCTGCCGTTCAAGTCAACGACTGCCTTTATAGCACTTTCAATTCGCAAAAATTCGACAAATATTCTCACTGCTTCTTCATGATCGTCATGAGGAATTTCGTGGATAATCACACTAGCCACAGGGCCGTATTTAGTGTTACACTCGTCTTTTACTTCTGGCTCTAAATCATCATCTACTTCTCCCGGTCCCACCATATTCTTTAGTAGCACAATCTACAATTCTCCACAATTAAATACTGTAAGTAAATCGTATAAAGATATACATTACCTTGCTAGGATTCTTCATAATTTCAGTAATGGTGGGTTGAACTTGGGGCAATTCGGGCGTGGGAGGCGGCAAAATCTCCTTCTCGTGTATAATTCTACCACCCCTTTTCGAAGTTTTCTCAACTTGCAAAGCGCTGGACATACCCTGTTCCAATCTTCCCAATCCTTGGCCTTCTTTAAAGCCGTACCTGGCCATAATTTTAGCAGCCACAGAACCGCCATAGGAGCTGACAGGCTGTGGTTTGTTCGGTACTATCGGAGCTACCTCGACCGGTTCTTGAAGGCTAGGAGGTGGAGCAATAGCAACTCCTCCAGTGGGACGTGCTGGTTTCTGTACTGGCTCATCGTCTTCATCAGCCCACCTGCCTAAAGAATTGGTTTATTAATCTCAATTAGTATATACAGTGTCTGTTCGTTAATAAAATACCTGCAAATCCACTGCCGATAGGAGGTTGGCTCATTTGAGGGGCCGGAGGAGGAGACATACTTTCCTCCGGATCACTAAACCTGCTCTTTCTCTTTTTCTCTCTTCTCTTCTCCTCCTTATCGTTCCTATCTCTTTCGCGAGACTCGCGACTCTCTCGAGGTTCCCTGTCCCTATCCCTGTGATGTTCCCGGAGTTCTTTCACCACTTTTTCGTACTCATTGGGCCATAGTGGGTCGTATTCATCGACGACGTTCCAGTCGTATTCGCTGCTAAAAGCTGCAGAACTGATGATCGGTAGCCTGGACTCGGTTTTAGTTTTGGCGAACGGGATAAAGTCCTCTTCGCGTTTAGCCTTCAAATCTATTACGGGCGCTAGACTGACCGTTTTTCTTATGTGGTCTCGTTTCGGCGGGGGTACAGTCGCTTTTTTTAGTTGCAATTGCGACTGCAGTAATTTTATGCTGGAAGACCAACCTTGGACTTTTTCAGGTGCTGTTGTTTTTACATCGTAATCGTCGTACAACGACATTTTTTATTTAGTTGTGGTGTGAGTTTTAGAATAAATATTAATTTAATTATTAATTTACGTACTTATAGGTTAAGTTTTTTCAATTGACATTTTCTGACACTTGACAGATGTTCTTCTTTTCTCATGAATTACTTATATTACTAACTACCGATAAGTAAGAGTCAATTTTTTACGTCAGAATTTCAAAAACATGGCCGCTTTGAGACACATTTCTCAAAGTTTACTAAGGAATTTTCTGAAAACCGAAATTAGACCGAACCCGGAAACATGCTCAGTTTGCATCCGTCTTTTAAACTACTCTTCAATCGATTACGGTAAACAAATCGCTCCAATTAACTCGAATCAATCTATTTGAGGTTATTTTTTAGACGATAAACATGATCCTTCTCCGAAATTTTTCAATAAAGAAGTCCAGTCGCTGCTCAAAGACCTCACCAGGATCGATTTGGGCAAGGTTAACAAAAGGAAACGGTTGGGATCTGATAAATTGGAAGAGCCGGTGTATCAATTCATGACTGATGAAGAATTGCAAAAGGCCACTGAAGCAGCGATAAAGAAGTCAGAAGAGCTGTTGCAAATACCGCCGGTAGTGTCTGTACGGAAGCCTATAAACCGAGTGCTATCAGAAGATCCCGCCCTGCAAGGCTTAGAACAATCAACGATGGTCTTTACCGATATTACTTTCGGAATTAGAGATTCCGATAGATTGATTGTGGTAAGAGAACCTAGTGGAATTTTAAAAGAAGCCGAATGGGATGTTAAAAATAGAATGAACCAATTGTACTTTCCTAAAGAAGGAAGATTGCTAAAACCGCCTAAAATGTTTTTCGGTGAATATTTCGAGAGTCTACTGGAACGAAAAGAATACGAATTTATACTAGATAGGGCGTGTTTGCAATTCGAGCCGAACGATCCGGATTATCAACGAGTAACCTCGATAACTTATCAGCATGTAAATGATAAAGGTGGATTCGAAATGCTGAGGTCAACGAGGCATTTCGGTGCTCTGGTATTTTTCCTGGCGTGGCACAAAAATATAGACAATTTATTGTTAGATTTGATCGAAACTTCTTACATCGAAGAAGGCAGTAAATTATTAGACTTGTATTCGAAATTGCACGATGTCAATTTTAAATCTTCAAATGATTTAGAAAAGATCGAAGAATACATCAAGAATTTTGCCAAAAAGAAAGCCGGACTAGAATTGGGAGTGCAAGCTTACAAAGACGTTTTGAAGCAGAGGCAGGAGTTAGAAGAAGGGATAAAAGTAGCTCATGGATTACGATAAATATGTATTATAGGTTTTGTTAATATAGATATAGAAAATTGTACTTTGAATTTCCTAAAATTGTAGTTCTGTAGAATCATCTGTTTATCTTAAAGTATCTAATTCAAAATCTTATTTACTCGAAATTCAAACGCCTCATATAAATTTAAATACAATGAATCGATGAATGGTTAATGGATTGAAACAACCTTAACATTACATAAACTTGGCGATTTCTCATTCAAGAAAATTTTACATAAGTATGCTAATTTTTCCGCGTATATCATTATAAAATAACTTTAGTGTGTGCTACAAAACGAATCACCCTATGTAATAAAATTAATACACAGGGTGTATAATAAAATTACTCAAAGAGATAAAGTAATCCAAGACAAAACAACCCAAATACAAAATAGTCCAAAGACAAAATCGCCCAAGACAAAAAATAGTCCAAAGACAAAATCGCCCAAGACAAAATAGTCCAGTGACAAAATCGCCCAGACAAAAATAGTCCAATGACAAATGCCCAAGACAAAAATAGTTCAATAACAAAATCGCGCAAGACAGAAGTCCAAACACAAAATAGTTCCTAAAATTAAAAGCAAGCAATATTTATTAGATTTCTAGAGTTTCTAAGACATTTTTTCATTCTGTTCTATTTTATGGTAAACTATAATATCATTTTATTTAATGCAATAACAAACTTCTAGTTGTATTAATACTAGAGATATCGATTATAGAATAGATTTCGAAAATTATTGAAAAAAATTAAATAATGTCTAATAATATGTTAGTATCTATCGGTCTGTAGATGGTTTTGTATACTGTCATCATTGCCTTCTTTTGAAATTTCTTATTTCATTTTATTCAATGCAATATTGTACATAATCCGTTTAATTTTTTGTGATAATTCTTGGGTTACTATATTTTTCTCCAAAGCTATTTTGACGGGGTACCGTCATAAAAATAATCTTAAATTGTACAGCTTGTGTTAATTCACTCTGTACGTATAAACCTAAACACACAGTGTCCTTCATCAAATGATATATTCATGTTAGGTAGATAACAACATAACGGTGAAAAATTAATTACGTTCACGTGCCCAATTCAAATTAAATATACCATATGGAAGTACTTGTGCAATTAATGAGTACTCCGCTTTCCCCTACGACGTGTACCAAATAAATATCCCACTCGAATGAAAAGTAGGGGACACGTAAGTTCAAAGGCCGATGAACAAGTTCAATAAATGTTGTCAACAACACGAAATAATCATTTGAAATTCATTATTCCGATAAATTATTTAGCGAGTACAAATATTTAAAATCCCTATCACCTCCCATAGTGTGTGCGTGTCTATTCGACCGATACGAAGAGAAATCAACTCGTCCTACTTGTATTTGTTGAAGTTAGCGAAAAACTACACCGAATGATGGATATAAAAAAAGTTTTCGTAGCCGACGCGGTCGATTCCGCTTGCGTTGAACTTTTAAAGAAGTTTTCCATACAAGTGACTTGTAAATACAAGCTGCCCAAAGACCAATTGAAAGCCGAAATTGCGGTAAGTCCTACTTTCCTTGTACACAAAATGATTTCTACAATATTTTACGCAATCCTACAACATTTTTTAGACCTACGATGCTTTGATTGTTCGCTCGGATACTAAAGTTACAGCAGATGTTATAGAAGCTGGTAAAAATCTCAAAGTGATCGGTAGAGCTGGCGCCGGAGTGGATAACATTGATATCAATGCTGCAACTGCCAAAAATATCCTTGTACTAAAGTAAGTATTAATACTTACAGACTTCCTAATGATAACTAACATTTTTGTTCTTTTTCCAGTACTCCTGGAGGCAACGCAATCAGTGCTTGCGAATTAACATGCTCCCTTATAACGACTCTAGCTAGGAACGTTGTTCCAGCTGCAGCATCCCTGAAGGCGGGAAGATGGGACAGGAAACTTTATTCTGGCCATGAGCTCTATGGCAAGACTCTGGGAATCCTAGGTTTGGGAAGGATCGGAAAAGAGGTCGCGCTCAGGATGCAATCTTGGGGAATGAGAGTAAGTAGGGATACTCTACAACAGTAGTGTAATAATAAAAATTAATTTCCATGCATAAATATTATCTTATCGTGGCCCCCAGCAAAGTCAAAAACATCACAATATGTTTTCGAAATATATTTTTCAACGCTCTATCTGTTTGCGCATAGATATTGCCTAAAGCAGATAAAATTCATAAATAATTAATCGTACATTATCTGTTATTATTACACCAATAATCAACACGAATTACCTAAAAGTTTATGTAATATCGAAATAATTGGAAAACATTTTTTTAAATTTTATAACAAGAAATTAAATTTTCCAGACGATCGGTTTCGACCCAATAGTACCAGCAGAGGAAGCCAAGAAATTTAACGTACAAGCCTTAGAATTGGAACAGATTTGGCCGCAAGTCGATTACATTACTGTACACACTCCTCTAATACCAGCTACGAGGAGTAAGTTGCAATTTATACAGGATGTCCCTTATATATACAGGGTGTCGCAATAGTGCGGTAAAGCTCACTTACTCAGTTATTATAATAGATACGAGAAAATTGAAAATAGGAAAAATGTTAAGCACCTTTAGGCGCATAATTTAAAATTATTTCGAAATATACAGAATGGCCCATAAATCGAAGCCATACCAAACATACCTTTTTTTAAAGGCAATGATATATTTTTATTTCATATTCAATTTCTGCTCGTTTTATGACCATTTTTATGTTCAAATCTTCATGACTTCAATATGACTTTGATCAAGAGTCACAACTGATTTTGGCAGATTTTGTTAACCCTGAAAGTGAAAAGGACATAGAATGTTTCGATTTGATTTGAACTCGTACTGGGATTGGTCGATATTTACCAAAGGAAAAACTTTTTCATGTTTTTGACTGCAGTTTTGGCATCTCCATTGTCTGTTCAATAAGGCATTTCCCGGTGGGGCGTGAGTTCTGGGCCACCCTGTATAAGAGACACTCTGTTTAAAACGAATCACCTAAATTACCAATTACAAAATTAATTATTTATGAATATTATAGACCTCATCAACGAATCAGTATTCAAGAAATGCAAAAAAGGCGTTAAAATAGTGAACGTAGCCCGAGGAGGGATAATAAACGAGACGGACTTACTGCAAGCCTTGAGGTCCGGGCAATGCGGGGGCGCTGCGTTAGATGTGTTCGAAGAGGAACCGCCCACGAAACCCATCACGTTGGAGCTCATCCAGCACGAGAAAGTTGTGGCGACTCCCCATTTAGGGGCGAGCACCGCGGAGGCTCAAATAAGGGTCGCGGTGGAGATATCCGAGCAAATAATCGCGCTTACTGGAAAAAGCAGCGAGTACACAACGTATCCGGGCGTTGTTAATCACAGCGTTTTGGAGAAAATTAGAAAATAAAAATGTGTTGTAAAATGCAGCAATAAAGACAAATATATACATTGTAACCGAACTGAATTGAATTATTAAATAAATTTTATTTTAACGGGTATTTGTATTTTCTATGTACACGCTCTAAATTTGAATTGTATCGAATCTAATCCCAATGGTAGACATTTCCGGGCGTGATACGTTTGAGGGATTCGGTTTTGTCGCCGGCTCCGATTTCTTTGGGTTTCGGTGCGACTATTTCTGGAGGGCCAACTTCCCGTCTGGCATCTCTCGTGAAATAGTAATTCGCAGCTAATTTGTGGGCAGGCCCGTCCGGTAGGGCGGGCGCAGGCTGGGTTCTGGCAGCTATGGTATCCTGAAATCTACCCCACAAAAATGAACATTATTTTTATTTGTAAATTTGTTGGTAGCGATTTTGTGTGTAAATGACGTAAGTACCTTAGAGCTAAAGTATGTTTTCGTCCTAGTAGAAACTCTCGAATTCTTTGGAAAAATGGATTAACATCGTGTATTCGAATATTTTTTGCTGCTTTCGACATTTTTTTTGTAATAAAAAATGTTCTTTTGGGGCTGTTACGAAACAACTGGAAATTTGGTTATGTTTTTGTTTTTGACAATGACAGAAAGGAAAATGACATACCAAACGTCATAATTTTTCTTCTTCTTTTTATAATTTTAGCCTTAAACGTTGGAGTTCATTAATTCCTGAATTTCTAAATTTCTTTTCAATGTGTATTTTATAGAGAAAGAAAGTAGTTAAACGGGGTGTTCATAAAATAAACGGAGTTTTAGACGGAATTTTAGAGGGTTATAAAATCGTTAAAAAATATGAAAAAATGTTTACATAATCATGGGTCCGGAAATGGAGACTTTTCAAGATACAGGATGTTAAATACAAAAATATTAATATGTTAAAAATATTTACTTGATTCTGTTCAAATTTGGCAATGTTATTTTATTGTATTAAGAGGCTAATTTAGCCCTAAATAGATTAAAGTTACAAAAAGTCAGTGGCGTACGTTCATTTTGTTTCCAATAATTTCGCTATAAGGTACCCCCGGTACGCCACTGAACTTAATTTTAATTTTTTTAATTCTATATAATATTCATAGAATTCACTTAGAATTCTCCACTATAGAATAAATTTCAAATATTCAACATTGTGTATTTACGTTATTATAAACCACAGTAGATTTTTAGAAACTCGGTGTTTCCCCGGAAATCTTATTTTAACGAAAACAACATATTACCTAACATCAAGGATTAAAATTTACAAAATGTGTACATTTTCCATATATATTTCATCTATTTGCCTTGAACACATTTGATTATTGTTATTCAAGGGCGCCCTGAAATGTCTAATTTAAATTTTCATTAATTTCTTGAATCCTTCAGGAATCATCCCTTCTTATCACATATCAATTTGCATTTGCTAATTGGCTATACTATACATTTCCTCCATTACCCACCCATTTGTCTCACTGCTCTTCTAATTAGTCCAGAAGCTTTTTAACTTTCACTGGAAAACACCATCAAGTGTGTAGGTACTCGATACGCACTTGAATAAAAAATAATAATCTCCTTCGTTACATTTTAATGTGCTATTCGACTAATCAATTGAACACATTACCTAACATCATTGAAAAAAGAAAAATACTAAGGCCTCACCTATGATAAACATTTTAAGTTACATTCAGTATGCTAATAGGCACCCAAAGCTGGTCTTATTTTCCTTTTCATAAAACACAAGTACCGAGCAATATAACAATTCCAATTGCCCAACGCGAATATTCCATTGTACATTCTAACCTTGAAAGAACGTATAAACATAATAAGATCCAAATAAAGAAAACAAAAATACACTTTTGATACAGTTCGGCGACTTCTCGCATTTCAAACAAGGACGTTCGCCGAGCCGCCGGCCATCGCGGTTGCGCCATTTTTTACGCAACTTTCCCTGAATTATATGTGCTTAAGGAAATTCGAATTTTTCGTTGTTCTTTATTCGGTGTGCGTATATGGCAATAATTGCGACCGTTATTAATTGAGGAAGTTTGCACGCAATTGGTCGCCATACTGAATTCGTAACTAACGTTCGTGAAGACACGGGATATTGTTATATAGAGACATTATTTTACAATTTTTTTATGGTTTGCGGTTGTTACGAATTTTCTTTTGGTTTTCACTTTTCTGAACTTACTGTCCTAATCTTAATAATGTGCTTCATTCGCGATGAACATGGGCATTTCTATGAGTTGAACAAAGAAAGATTATTAATATAACAGTTGTCAGAGTGAAAATATTATTACTCCAAATATTATACAACTTCTTCTATTCGATCTTGTTGAATATTTAAACAAATATATCTTCAAGTAATAATCCCCTATAGTCTATAAACAATAACATTGGTTTACAAGATTTTGTGCAAAGAAAGCTTTAAAACTTTTAAGAACTGCTTACAATTACATTTAGAGAGCTGCAGAAATATTTAGAACTGTCTAGAACCATTTAGAACGTTCCAGAAACAATTATAACTGTCTAGAACCATTTAGAACGCTCCCGAACCATGTAGAACTGTTTGTAACCATTTATAACGCCCCAAAATCATTTAGAACTGTCTAGAACCATTTGGAACGCTTCCGAACCATCTAGAACTGTTTAGAATCATTTAGAACGCTCCAGACCATGTATAACTACTACTGTAAACTGGTGTTATTTAACGTAACTTTTCTTTCCAAAATAATTTATACTGATCTATTTTTCACCTATGTATATCTTGTCCAATACTTTTATAGTTTCTTAAGCCGCCGATAAAAAAGTTAATTAACAGTTGTCATGCCGAAGAATAAATCACGGTAAGCCGTTATATCGAGCTGCTTGCTGCGATTTACATGGGTTTCAATTAAATTCAGGGACGTACTTGTTACGTTAAAGGAAGCTGAATTTATCCTGCAGAACTAATTGCGTAATATTTGCTCAATTAAGTTAAAAAAAACCAAATCTTTTGCTCCAAAAAAAATTTTCACTGGACGTATATTTCTCGTGATTTTAAATCACACGCTTGAACATGTTCAGGAATGTTTCTTACCAGCATTATTATAAATTAAATTGTACTTAGTATTAGCTGTTGCGTATCATTTTCTAAGTGAAAATTCGTTTATGGACTTGTTATATAATTTTATTCAGCGTAGGTGTAATAATACGGCAGTAACTGGGCATTTTACATGATACTTTCTGATCATAAAGTAAATATTATCGCACTTAGCGTGTTTAGCTGGGCTATAATAGTCCAGTCTTTGTTCTTTTATTTGTATAACTTCCTAAAAATCGGTTGTATTGCAGATTATTATGTACTTACCTAGTGTTAAATGTGAAATATGAAATTTGAATTCAAAAATATTTAGGTGCAATAATTTTCTATAATAGGTAGATGTTTAATTTTATCTATAGTAGGGGTATAATTTAGGTCCTTCTAACGCTGCTCTAAATATTTAGAAATAGATTTCAACAAGAGAAAAACAAGAGGAAGAAACAAGAGGAAGAAACAAGAGGAAGAAACAGCAAGAAACAAGAGGAAGAAACAAGAGGAAGAAACAAGAGGAAGAAACAAGAGGAAGAAATAAAAGGAACAAACAAGAGGAAGAAACCAGAGGATGAAATAAGAGAAAGAAGAAGAAGACAAAAATTATTGAGTTTAGACTTTTTTTATATAAGGTTATTTTTTCTCGCTTATATGTTAAACTTTCGTAAGTCAAGAACATTAATGTGTTTTTGTCAAATGTGGTATTAAGTAACAATCACAAGAAAGTCGATAAATCGCCACCAATTAATTTTTTATCAGAAATTATTTGTGAAACGCGTACATTACCAAAAAACAAAAGCCATTTTGCTTCCTACAAATGACCTAATGAAAATGAACCCAAGGCGAAGTGTTCAATCACAAGAATTAGTTATTAAAAATTATTTAGGTGTCTACGGCAAAGTGATTTGAACGCTTGAACGGTTCCTCGATACCGATACGAGCTAATTTCGAATTGCCCATTGCCCAATATTAATTTGCATTTCCTAATAATACCTAAGGTTATCGACGAAGTGTCGATTAGTTCATTAATTCGAATTGAACTTATTATCTCGTTGAATGTTAAGTGGCTTAGACGTGATAAAAATCTAATTAGATCATGTATAAAAAATTCAAGCCCATATTTTCATTCAAAAAATATGTTAATAGTTAAACGGATTTGAATACGACAATTTTACAATTTGAATAATTTCGAAAAAATAGTCAATTTTCGAGTTATTTCGGAATTTTTGATTCCAAAGTTGAATGTTTAGTACAATTTTTTTTATACAACTCGCGAGTAGGTCTTGAGATAAAATTATGAAATTATCTCCCTTTTCAGGGTAGAAATGGGTAGAGTAGGGTAGAAGGAGGTAGGGAGGGGTAGAGGAGGGTAGAGGGAATATAAAAATTCACACAACATATCAAAAGTTACTTCCTCAACTAAGTTTCTGATTCATTATTTTTAATTTCTTATCTTCTCATATCGTCTTTAGGAATATTTTTCTTATTTGGATAATTTTCCATTATTTTTGATAGCTTTTTTGTTATATGTATTTAAATGCTGCTTCGGAACAATTATGAAACTTTGTCACAATCCTGCGAATTAGGCCCACCCTCATTCCATTTCTCCAAACTTTTATGCCACATTATGAAATTATTTATCGACTCCATTGTTGAAATTTGCCTAACCAGACACTCGATCATAATTATTAATTATGCTCTAATCAGATAAACCCGTTAAATTATAACACAATGAAAAAATCAATGAAGTATAACGGATTTTTTATTAGGAGTAATTTCGACAATAATTCGTCGTTTATCATAGTCGTAGAAAGTGTTATAAAAAAGGGAAGAAAATTATTCAAATTGAAGTGTACAAGTACATACCAAGTAATACTTCAATAAATACAATATGCATTTATTTAACAAAATTGTTGGTTTGTAAATTTTAATTAAGTAAACAAATTGTATAAAAAAATCATGAAAATCTTGTTAATCACTAGACCGTGCATACATTTTTTTAAACAATTGTAAAGTTATTCAACAAAAAGTCCTAATTAAGTTAATTGCTAATTGTGGTATAAAATTCACAAACAATTCGAAGACATATTTACAATTTTTCTCGTTTCCTGAAGAAAATTGTCCTTATCTCGACCCTTGCATTTCCTGATGCCTTCCAGCACCTCCGTCCTTGTGTCATATATCAAATTCTTGCGTTTGGGTAAAAAAAATTCTAGGCCAAGCTTTGAAACACACTCACAATTTCATAATATTATGTTATTCGGTTATTGTTATGATATTTTGGACGGAAAGACACGGGAGCTCAACTCAACCATTGCAATGATATAAAAGCCAAAAATTGCTCACAACAATTCAGTTTGTGTTCTATAACTGAACTTGTAACAATACAAAAATGATTGCAAAGGTGTGTAAATTTTCATTCATTAATGCATAGTGTTGAATAATTAACGAGCGTATTATTTGCGTGTTGATTTCGCGCCGGATTGGATTAGTGTAGTGTGAAAAAGAGTCGCTTTCGAATTAGGAAAATAAATAACTGTCTTTAATTCAGTAATATGTCTGAAAATATGTATTTTTTTAATTATTTTAAATTTGAGCATAAATTATGATTTATTATAGGCTATTTAAGGCTATTTGAGGCTATTATAAATATTTTATGGTACATGAATGACTATTTTAAATATTTGAATTAAATTAAATTAAAATAATGTAATTATCAATTGCCATAATTATTTAACTGTAATAAGTATTTATTTCATATAAAATCATCGAAAATATTAATTAATTATTAGATATTTTTTGACATTAATTTATTTGTAAAAGATGAGACAGCAATAGGCAGCAGTACAATAAGCCCTTTTGGAAAATAGGCCAGAAAAATATTTTTTCCATTTTTGATTTTATAATAAATTAGTTATCCTACACTTATTTAAAAAGATTATTGAAGACTTTGGGGTGTCACTTCGTCGAGTCGACCTATAAAAAATTACACACATCGATCGGTTTCTCAATCGATTGACTTTTACATAATATGTTAACTTATTTCCGCTTAACATTTGTTTCCTAATTCGTGATTTCTCAATAGCAATTACAGTCAATTACGAACAATACATAACTTTATACATTTTACATAATTTTGGTACATCCTTTGCTTGTACAGTTTAAAGTCAATTGAACCTAATCTTTACAATATTCCATTCATTCTACCAACTCATCTATTATACTTCTCTATTTTATTCTTTCTTCTATTCTCTAACTACTATCCTCACTCACTTATTATGTTCTATTTTCGTTCCAGATTCTATCCCTCTCAGCCCTCTTGGCAGCCACCCAAGCAGGTTACTTAGACCACGGCTACTCGACTTCCTACGCTTCTAACCATCTATCAGCACCGATCGTCTCTCACGGATACGCTGCTCCGGTCGCCTACGCTGGACACGGTGACTACTCTCACGACCACCAGGATTACTACGCCCATCCCAAATACCAATTCGAATACGGGGTAAAGGACCCCCACACCGGCGACCACAAATCCCAGCACGAAACTAGAGACGGAGATGTTGTTAAAGGGTACTACACCGTCGCTGAGCCCGATGGTACCTTGAGAACCGTCCACTACACCGCTGATGATCACAACGGCTTCAACGCTGTCGTGGAGAAATCTGGACACGCCGTACACCCTGAAGTTTACAGCCATGGACAATACCACCATTATTAGTAGGTCTTATACTACTTCGATTTTGGACGTTTTTGTATCTTATTTATTGAATGTGATTGTTTTGTATACAAAGTATTAAATTTTTATAAATGTTATAAATCTGCGTTACTTTCTATAGGTATCTACAATGAGAATAACTACCTACAAGAAGCATTGTAAAAGGGATAATTGGCATTGCTTGTGCTTAGACATTTTCTTGAACTTGGTTTGAATCAGTCAAATCGATTTCATTGAATTATAATTGTGAAATATTTTTTATGACTACGCCTCCAATTATTAGTTATTAATTTGAGACTAATATGGCAAATCCATCGATTTTTAAACCTTTAAACTGGAGCATTGCTATTAGTAGATAATGCGACATTGGCTGCCTTATAGTCTATGAACTCGTATGAATACCGCTGAGAATTTATTTGAATTTAATTTAAATAAAGGCAATTCAAATAATTATTATTTAATAGATAAAGTAAAGTTTTATACAAAATTCTATAATATTGAACTGATTGAATTGTCTGATTTGTCTTCACATCAAGAAATAGGTACTTAATGTCATTGTAAACGAGATCATTCGTGAATTTTAAAGCCAAAAGATTTATTGGAATTACAACTTGTAAGCGCGTCGACTATTACAATATAATTCAGCTCCAGATTTATCTAGACAATCAATCACAATTTTTTTATAATGATATACCATTTCTATGTAATCGTTGAGATTTTGTAATAATCGGACTTCGAGAATGCTTATTGATTTAATGCTTTCAATACAAATATGATAATTTGCTTATTTCAAATGGGAAAGCATAAATCATATTCAAAATGAAGTTATTTAAATTATTTTCGTTTTAATATAAGATATACACGGTGTTCCATGATTTTTGGACTCCAAAAATAATTATTATTTCAAGATTAGGCAGTAGCGTACCATTTTTTTCTCAAAAAATATTCAATGCAATACCCGTACGGACGCCACTGTTGAAAATAATAAAATTGTTTGTACATCAGAAAATGCATCTTGAATCATAGAAAACGTGTGCCAAATTTCATAATGATATCTACAATAGTATCACAGTTATTATAAAAAATATTTTTTTTCAGAAAATTTTACAACCATAGATTCAAGTTTTTTTCTTAAAATGGATCCAAGAATCACCCCCCTAAATATTAACATGTCATTATGGAACACACTGTATTATTTAATAGAAGCTTAGGTTGCTAACAATTATGTAATATCTAAATCGTTCGGTGCATTATACAACGTAATAATACACATTTTAACTATTCATTTTAGGTGCACGAGTAAAGTCAAACAAGTGTTTAGAAAATTTAATAAAATGTATCGTAACTAATCTGCCAATTTCCTTTGAAAAAAATCTATTTCAAATTAACTCACCCGAGCGATTCCGTTTATAAGATATGGATTATGGATAAATTAAAATATTAAATAAACGCAACGCTTTGGAATGCTTATAAATTGTTACTCTCTAAAAACCAATTTTATCCAATTTTAACCAATAGTACAATATAAACTATTATGCATCATACTCTCTTACGACTTACAACCAGTCTTTCAGCACCTCTGGAATCGGTTGGTGTGGAAAATCAGTTAAAAGTTAATGAATGCCTTTTCGAATGCCTTTATTAAGTGCCCAATAAATCTCATTAACCGTTAACTGTACATCCATACTTTTAATATATTACACCAACATTTAAACAATTTGTTAATATAATTTATTACTTAACACCGTTCGGTAAAGAACCAGTTCTCGACTAACAAAAACCCGACTTTCCTCTATTACCGATTTTCCTTAGATACCAATATTTCTCGGTGATCAGATAAATCACAGTGAAATATTAATTTTGATCTCGCCGCTATCGGCCGTTCTCGACAACAAAAAATCATTGTTTAATCGGCATTGCACATTGCAGTCGGGCTCCACGGCTCGAATTCAGATTACTCGCCGCAGATATGGAACAACTCGTTCACAATCACAATGCGAGCGGATTCAGTGAAAGTCCAAAGTGGATATGTTTGTGTGTGCTCGAATTGTATAATGCCAAAACCACGCCTCGGTTCATAGGCGAAGAAAGATTGATAACTAATAAATGTATAAAAAACGATAATTTGAAATTCCTTCGAATATCCAGATACTGCTCTGTGGCACTATTGAATCACAACTTAATTTATGTGCGTCTTGAAAACTCACAAAAAATTGTTTCAAAATGAACGATTAAAATCTCTTTATCCATTCAATCGATCGATACTCGTAGGAAGATAATATTGACAAGACAATAGTAGGTAGAAAATAAAAGAGAGGAACCTTGTATCACTTATGCATGTACATACTAGAAGATAGTAGGCAGATAAGACTCAAAATATTAAAACTGATGCTCAATCTTATTAAAACGCAACATCCTGTACATAACAAATGCGACAAAAATAAATAAACAATTCCCAATCTAGTCATTTCTAATCCAAATTATTTTTGTCAAACATCAATGACGGTGAATATTTAAATCAGTCGTCGAAGGGAATCTTTTTGGGGTATTTGAATTCACTTTTATTTTGTTTTTAAATCCATCGTGCAGAAAAACAATCAGCAATATGCCTGTTTACCACCAACCATCTTACCCGCCGCCCTACTGGGTCATGCCCCCGGTCAAACCCGTAATAGCTCCCAAACAGGAACATTGCGCGATATGTGAATTGAAAGAGTTAGTAGAAAAAATTGGGCAAAATGTATGTATACCGAACTGCGCCCAATGCAAACAATCATCCAGAAGCTCGAGACCAGCGTCAGGTACACACGAATAGTTCAAATTTAGCTCTAAATGTTTTAACAATGTTTTCTATCACAGCCGCATCGGTAATGGTTCAGCCGCCAAGTTCACCGTGCGGCGATTCACCGATGGTAACGCAACAGCAACTCCAGCAGATGCAGCAAATGCAGCAGATTCCTCCCTGCCCGGCGGGCGTCCAAAACCAATTGGATTGCATCAAACCCGTTCCGACTTACCAATGGCCCGCGTACACCAAAGGCGTTACCTGCCCGCCGCAAAACCCTATGGCTGATTACTTTTACCACATTCGCCAGCACCCTTACCTGCCGGTGAAAATCGACACTTTGAACAAGGACCCGACGAAGAGGGACCCGAAATTGCAGCTGCAAAGGGCCAAGTCGGCCAGCCAAGTTTTGGTCAAACGCGGCGCAGAAATCAGGTCCGGCGTGATGGTGGGATGCGAGTGCGTCAAGAAAAATGGCTTGCAGGACACTTGTCCAAGGTTTAATGATTACTAAAGTTCAACTTTTTGACTAAATTATCTCCGTTTGTTGAAGGTTAATATGCAAGGATATGCCAAAAGTGGCTCCTTGGGAGCCGTGCAACGTACCGTGCAAGAAGAACCCGTGCAAGATTCCCCGGAACAGCATAGTGGAAGAGGACGAGACTGAAGCTCCGGCAAAGCCGGAAAAAGTCGAGCCGTGCTGCAAGGAAGAGCAGAGTAAACCCGAAAAGCCCCTTAAATGCGAACCCATAAAAGACGAGCCACCGAAAGAGGAAGTCGTGCCTTGTTGCGCTTGCAAAACGCATTAAAAATTAATTCAAGTAAGAATTTATAGAATAAATCACTAACATCCGGTTTCACCAAGGAAAAATAAGACCCTATTTATTTATTCATTCGATGAATAAATTTAACTGCCCAATAAAAATACACAATTTTGTTCCAATAACAAATAATATGGTCGACGATAAATCTTCGTTTAAATTAACCAACGAAATTTGGACAGTTAAGTTTAATTTGATGTTTTCTAACCTCTAATAATATCTTTGCAAGTGTTTTTCTGATTGTGAATTTTTATTTTAATTTATTGGTTGCATTTTATGTGTATTTTTAGTTTTTTTGAGAATAATTTTTTGAGAACAGGTAGGTAAGATAATACATAGATATTATGTAATTTTTAAGTTATATTTCAATATTTTTCAAATTTATCTATTAGATCTTTAGATTTATCATCTTCATCATCTTCTTCGTCATCATCTTCGCCACCATCTTCAACATCATCTGATGAAGATTTTCATCATAGACGACCTCGAATTGTTTTAGACAGAAGGATCGTTATTAAATTTTCCTTCTCGTCTTCCAAGTAATTTTTGATTCTTTTAAATCAATTTCAAAATCACGTTTCCTCAATCTCAAACTCCAAATATAATAGTGTTGGTAAAACGTCAAAATATTTAACCGGGCATAAATTGTTCACTTAAATTAAAACTGAATTGTATAAATTACTACAAAACTAGAGTTGAACAAGAATCATGTAGTGTAGAACGCTGATGGTTAACGAAATTGCAGGATTTTAGAAAATTTGAATTGGACTGCTTAATTTTGAACATATTTTGGTCATATATCGTAATAATTTCTTTGTCCAATTTTTGATATTTTCCAAAGATTTAATTATATTTGATACAGATGTTTAAGATTTGGGTCGAAAGCAGTTAAACAAAAGCAGTTAAACAAATCTTTTATGGACAAATACTGTTTTGTAATTATGTATATTTACAATTGAGTTAGCAATTTACACGGTACGGGCGTAATTAAATTATTTTTTTTTTTTTTTTTTTTTTTTCTTAAATTGGTTCACTGCATCTAAAATGCTAATTTTATAAAAAAAACACTTTCAAACTGTATATCGCTATTGTACCACATTCGTGCCAATAAAACACAAAATGAAAGACACGCCCAAGACGGATTTCAACGGCACAGTTGAAAAATGGTCAGCAGCCTCCAGTGCGATGAAAATTGCGCGACCTTGCTACCATTTTAACGTCTCAACTTTCGATATTACACCCGTATACCTTATACCTACGGAGCGGATTTTTTCCCCTGAAAATCGAACATGGTAAATGAACGGTTTTTTTTATCGATTGATGGATACATATGCATTGCCGATTTTAATGGGGTACTTTTGTGTATATAAGATAGGATGGGATTGTGGGTTTGTCCAGTGCACGTTAGAATTCAGTTGCAGTTGAAACGTCAGTGTCGTTGCACAATGTTAGCTAAGGTAGGGCTATAAAAGTTACGTAAAATGTGCGAGAAAATTTTTTAGAATTTGGCGGAATTTTTAATTCGATCGCTTTATATTCGCGTGCTGTTACCTGTATTTTTTATGAATGAAACTTGTTTGGTGTGTGATTGATTGTATGATTACTAGGCATGAAAAATCTCTTTGCTTCTACGTAATTGGTAATTGATAATTGTAGATAATTAATTAAAAAAATAGTGATGCGTAAGGATCAGTATAGGGCATTTATAATTGACCCTTAGATAATATTTTTGCTTGTTATTAGATTTTAGAATTTTTTTCTGTATACTATCATTAACCATCGCCTCAAAATAGTAGAGCAGAAAACATGCCGTCTATGTGGGGAGGCTGATGAGGACAGCATACACATACTGTGTCACTGTCCAGCATTATCCTTGCGCAGGTATAATACCTGGGGAAGGACCTCATTAGATCCTAGCGATCTCAAAAACACAAGGGCATCCGAACTGCTGAGGTTTGCAAATACTTGCGACCTCTGGCAGAATCAATGACCTTGGGAAACAGCGGGAAACTACAGAGGATCATTAGATCTAGGTGGTCACGGGGCTGGGAAGACCGCCCGCATAAAAACAACAACAACAACAACATCATTAACCATCTTCAGTGTAGGATAGTATAATGATTGTTTGGTTACGTATTATTAAGTACTTTAGTTTGAATTCAATCATCTTCAGTCTAGAATAGGATGATGAATAATGATAGTTGAATATTTTTTTAGTTATTTTCCAAAGTTGTTAGTTTCAATTCTAGAAATAATTGAGCTTGTGTATAGTCGAAAGAAATTAAATTAAAAATTTTAATCAATCAATGAACTCTCTTATAAGAGTGCCAATTTATTCAGCGAATTTAAATCGAAATTACCAATGTTAATGTTAATGCTAATCTACCAACTATGCATATTACATAAGGAAACTGCAGTAACACACGAACGTTTTGATAATGACATTACATAATTTTTATTAATTAAATTCATCTAATTAAAACAAATACTTATGGAATTATAACGAGGTTGTAATTGACCATTTATTAGTAATAATGACATTAGAGAAATCTACCTTGACTCGGTTTATTATTTGAGTCCATAAACTAAGTCAATTTTATTATGAAATAGAGTAAATGTTGAGACAAAACTGCAGTTAAAGAATCTCAATTAATTTTATTAGATTGTAACGATCCATCCATAATGCCTTATATCGTAGTATAGGTTCATCAGGAAAGTAAGTTCCGTTTGGTACATTTAAAAACTCCCGTACTGATATAGAAAAAAATTATTGCACAATAATCTACGATTCTACAAACAATTTCATGAACTAGTTTTCCTGGAAAGATTTGTGAAAATTCCATCATAGAAAGATAATGAATTGTAAACTGAATGCTAGTGGAAAATCTTTATTTGCAGCTGATAATTAAAAACAGGCGGCAAACATCCATGAGAATGGCGCATACAATAACTTGTGCCACGCTTTGAAAAATACCTGAAAAATGTTGGGACTTGAATAGAAATGTACATAGTTTAGGGATCAGATTATTGTGCAATAATTTTTGTTTGTATCTCTGCATGATTTTTTTAAATTACCAATCGGGACACACTTTCTGTACCCACTTACGCATATATTCACCAATTTCGGTTTATCAACTGTTAGTAAACAGTTTCAATAAAAATAATTAAAATTAAGTTGATATTACCTTATATGTATGTAGTTCCTAACTTCCTAACTAGTATAAATGTCAAATTTGTATACCTAGTAACAGAAATAAATAACAGTATTACAGCGGTTATTCCATCTAACCGGAATTTTTCTTCAATCTGAACCTTTTTTTAAATTGTATTAATTCCATCATATAAAACAGGTATAAAATTAAAATGTCACTGTAAAATAGTCGTAAAAATATTGACTTATCTATAAAATAAGAACTTATCTCTTTGTTAGCAATTTAACAGACATTGGTCATTGGTGAATATGGCCGTTAGTATAACAAAATTAATAAATTTTCAGGCGATGGAGATTTCCTATTAATTTATAATAAACCTTAACATTTCAGTTATTAGTCTTAATTGTCTTAATCGCGTCGACTCGAGCGGGCCTCCTGAGCGCCCCGTCCGCCTATTCAACGATCCAAACGCACGCGCCCGCTATCGCTGCGCCGGCATACGGCGCCCACTATGCCGCTCCCGCTTATGCCGCCCCTGCTTATGCCGCTCCCGCTTATGCCGCCCCTGCCATATCGTACGCTTCGCCGGCGATAGCGACGCACGCGATCGCCGCTCCCGCTCTTCCAGCTCTTCCCGCCCTGCCTGCCTACGCTCCGTCCATCATCAAAGCCGCCCCCGTGGTCAAAGCCGCTCCTGCCGTTGATTACGTGGTAAGTTCACATTTTTTAAATATATAATTTGGAATCTAAAATTAAGCACCGTTTCGCAAACTTTTCTGCTTTATAGGCGCGAAATAGCAATAGAAAAACATGTATCGTATAATTATTTAGGATCATAGTGTATGCACAACTTTATTTTGTTTGATTGTAGACCAGATTTCTATTTTATTGGCTGTCCATATAAAGAATTGCGCGCTTGTTGTAAATTACCATTAGGCCTTATTCGTTGCACATTCCAAACATTTTTTTACTATATCTGAATGCAGAAATAGTACTGTCTTATCTATTTTTAGGCATATCCGAAGTATCAATTCAATTACGGAGTAGCGGACAGCCACACCGGGGACCAGAAGACCCAAAGCGAGGTTCGCGACGGGGACGTGGTCAAAGGGCAGTACTCTGTGGTCGAGCCCGACGGTACCGTTCGCACGGTGACCTACACGGCCGACGACCACAATGGATTCAACGCGGTCGTGACGCGATCGGGACACGCTGTGCATCCGGCTGCTCCCGCCGTGGTCGCTCACAAGGTGGTGGCTTCGCCTTATATACAGAAGGTTGTCGCCGCTCCGGCCATTGCTTCGCCAATTGGAATAGGTTAGTGCTCAAAAAATGCTCAAGAAGTATTTACATATTGCTTAGGTATGCTGGTATAAAGGATACTGTTATTCACCAACTATCAGTAAAGCTAATGATACTTGATGTAAAGATACTACTAGAAATACAAATATTGGATATAATGAAACTGGAAGTAAAGATAATGAAAGTCAAGGTAATGAAAGTAAAGGTACTCGAAGTAAAAGTACTCGAAGTAGAGGACTTGAAGTAGAGGACTCGAAGTAGAGGACTCGAAGTAGAGGACTCGAAGTAGAGGACTCGAAGTAGAGGACTCGAAGTAGAGGAACTCGAAGTAGAGGAACTCGAAGTAGAGGAACTCGAAGTAGAGGAACTCGAAGTAGAGGAACTCGAAGTAGAGGAACTCGAAGATACTTGAAGTAAAGATACTTGAAGTAAAGATACTTGAAGTAAAGATACTTGAAGTAAAGATACTTGAAGTAAAGATACTTGAAGTAAAGATACTTGAAGTAAAGATACTTGAAGTAAAGATACTTGAAGTAAAGATACTTGAAGTAAAGATACTTGAAGTAAAGATACTTGAAGTAAAGATACTTGAAGTAAAGATACTTGAAGTAAAGATACTTGAAGTAAAGAAACGTGCAACCCCTAAGAGGGTTTGTATTGGATATTAATGATACATACACAGTAATGATACTCATATTGGGAATAGTAATACTGGAGGTAAAGAAATTATTATTAAACTTACAAATATTAATGACAAATAGTATTGATAACATTATTGTTAGTTGATGAATACAAACAATTTTTTTATAAATTTATGAATGTGCTTACGTGTTTGTGTTTTAGGACATGGACTAGGCGCTTATGGAAGCCCTTATGGCCTCATCAAGGGCTAAAAACGGATCCCAGCGATTTAAAATAAGTGTGCATTGCCTTTGAGGTTGCAGCTGGACCGAAGCCTCGACTGCCATATTTAACTGCTTTCTTCAGCTGTAAAGCTCTAGGCGAGCTTTTGCCTTACATTAAGGTAAAAGCACGCTTAGTGCCGAATGCGCATCCTCTCGAAAAGCCAGGGAAACCGACGGAGGATTGGAGCCGCTCATTTTTCTTACTTCAAACTTCGTTAGGTTTTTTTCTTTGGATGGATAACTTACGGATACGACCGCTATGCCAAATGATTAGTGATTTTTTTAAAATATATCGTGTGTTGTTCGTCTGCGTGCTTGTAATATTTAGGTATGTAAATATAGTAGTACAACTATTATTGCATTATTTGCGTGTTTTTTTTAATTTAAAATTCGAAAACCTGTGAGGAAATTAATGGAGTAAACAAGATACAAGTTCCAGTGTAGAATTTGTTCTAATTTATGCTAGTAAAAATATTAAAATTAAAAGGCAATTAAAGAAAATATTGCACTTTCACTTTCTTGGTGCTTGTAGATCTAATTAAATATTTGGTTTATTTCTGCTATTAAATTTTAATGCGAAGTAAGCGAAGTAATATAATCCTGAATAATATTAAAATTCAATATTAATGTATTTACACTTCCAAATATCAAAGTAAGGAAACTTTAACTATCAAAATTTTGTAAAATCAAAATAGAATAATACTTGTGGGAGAAAGTTCCTCTCACCGAATTCACCAGGATAATATCAAACTAACGGCAATGAGAAATACATAAGTAGTTTTCATCGAGTTATTATACAGCACAGGTTAGTCTAATAGACATGTATGCGAAATAATGTATACATTATCCATTATTTTGGACATAAACATTCTGAATCCTGCTAAGCTGCAATTTACATCACCTTAACATGCAATTCTGCGACTCATATTTGGAATCGTTTAGAATTTAGCGAATGATAAATGCTTTTGTGTGCTCATTTGCACGAGCCGCAATGAACTTCTCGCATAAGCTATGCCATTATTGAACAGGCATTGATCTGATATTTCAATAATTAATTCAAATCGCTGGAGAAAATTACTATGTTTGGAGCGGATATTGCAGAAACCATCGAATCAATTTTATATTGAGGTGTACTCGTATAATATATTCCTGCTCTTGCGACACTGTAGTAATATCAATAGATGCGTGATGTGGATAGATAATATTAAAAAAAACATGTTTAATATTCGTGTACAAAATCAAATGGTCAAGATCCATAGTGGTTAATCATCTAACTGGTGAAAAATGCGTATCAATTCGCTCTCTTTATACAATATACTTTTACAATTCATCAATCCATTTCACGACTTTCATCGTCTATATCTCGATACGGAACCGTACACTCGGTTTACATAAAATCGCAGTAAATATGGTAAACCTGCTGAATGATAAGTACCTACCTACCTGCGGTCATCTCCTCGTCGTCTGCGCCGATTCCGAAACCGAAAGTAATCTCCATTCGTTAAGAGGGATTACGCAATCAAGATATGAAGTTCATGCTTCATTTACCATTATGCGTTCCAGCATTTGCGGGCTGTTGTTCGCCGAGAACCGTTACGAATAAATACCTCGTTTGGCGTCTAGCTGTTGCTCGTTTTTTCGTTACATACGGCACCTGTACTGGTCCGCACAATGCCGGTAAACGTCGAATAAAAAGCTCCGAGCAAAAAACTAGTTTGGGAAGTACGAGTGAATTTATGTAACGCGAGTTTGCGAAACGAAAATGAAAATCTGGTCGAAAAAAATTACTTTCCAAAACGTCTAATAGACGAAGCTTTGATGATTTGATGCTCGATCGGCGAATCGATATTAATATTTTTAAGAGGGAAAATGGTGAACGTAATTTCCTGAATTTTGAAATAGATTAATTACTATTGCAATTTTAATAGATGAACTTAACTGTTTCTAGATGATCATTAACCTACAAAATATTGTTTACTTGTACGTCCTTTGGTGTTCTCTAAAATTTCAAATTATGGCCGAGTACATATTATGTGTGTCTTTATTAAGTGTGTCTAATATTATTGAGTCTACTAGAACTACTTTGAGATGCCATTAGAAGTTACCAGCAATGCCTGAATTCCAAATTTTGTTTATTAAAAGATTTTAGTTTCACAATTCATGTATTTTTGTTAAAATCTTCTACCTTCGATATTTTAAAAAGTAGAGCCGCTGTTGGAAAATGTATCTACTTAAAATCATTTAGGACCAGCTGTGAAACTTCATAAAACAAAACCTCTGTTCCCCAGTGTTATTTAATAGAATAATGATATTTTGTTTTGCTAATAAAAAACTATGTAGAATCCGTTACAAATCTAGGTTGCAGTCGATCACGTTGGCAATTTTAAATTAAAGCCAACATTGTTTATGAAATTTGTGTATTATTACAATCTCATCTAAATCGAATTAAGATCAAGTATTTTTCATTCAATCCGAGCGTTACGTAGTTTTTCGATTTTTTTTCTGAGGTAGGTAATACGCAAATGACCAAGTAAACCGATAGGTGCTTTGCACAAGTACCTATTTAAGTTACGGGATTATATAATTTCAGAATTAGCGGAGAGCAAGTGAAGCGTTTGACGCGCACGTGAGTCCCTTGTCAATCGAAATGCTTTATTGCAGATAATGATCAAAAGTAACCCGATATCTTCGTTGCATCGATTTACTTTCACGTAAAATAGGAGAAAATGGTTCGCTGAGATAATGTTTAAGTTATACTGTAAATTATTTATTAACTTGGGCTAAATTATAGAATATAGGTAGAGGCACTACAGGCAAGTATTTGAACCATTATCACATGGAAAGCAGCAGTATGGAAATATGGCAATTATAGCATTTTGAACTCGATAAATATTCAAGCCAGTATTCAAAAATATTATTTAATGCAGTCACATCATTACAATGATTGTGAATTACAAACATCCAAACTTTTATCATATGCTGAACTAAAGATGTTTATTTGAAGTAAAGATGCTTGGAGTAAAGATACTGGTTGTAAAGAATACAACAAAAGTTGTTATAAATAATTACACGTATTTGAGTATAATTCTCTAATAAGTAATTACCTTTACAAGAACAGTTATTTTTCTTTATTATGGATCTATGAAGCGTTTCATTTGTTCCTTAACATTATCAACACAATGCAACCATAACTTGTGTATTTAGACACATTAATGACATTATTATTTCAAAATTGGATCCAAATTTTTATTTCCAGCAAATTGCTTCGGCTATAATTAATATATTACGTGAGATATTACATGGGGATTTTTAAGGGGAATTATAATGTCTCAACATTCTCTTCTTATATTCTCCCTAATACGAAATGGCGATATTGGTAGGCTATAATTTATGGCACTATTCTTATGCAGACAATTCGCCATTAGAATATTAATGTATCATGATATTATAACATTAAATTAGTAAAAAACACAATGAATAACTTCATAATTTTACTACATCACGACTGTAACTTTGAAGAATTGAAGCTGTTACATTAAACAATGCGCAGGTGTCGCAAAAAGTTAAATATCAACGAATAGGTCACAGAATTAGAATATAGACGTGAGACTGTCACCTGTAATTTTACTAAATTATGTTAAATATGTTAAAAATTTGATATGAAAGCATATTTTAAAACTAATTTTTCGTAACGGATATGCGTACGTGAATTTAGTCCAATTAAATGATTTTAATTGTTGTTACAAAATGCAATAATAAGCTGAAATGCGTAGCATATAATTGCCTAATTAATGAGAAAGGTGTATAAAGAAATCGTTTAATATTCATTGTGTTATCACACACCAGGAAGGCCGTGAAAAGCATTCTTCAATATTCTGGCAAAACAATTAAATTGTTTAGTTAATGATTAGGTTGCAAAAGTTGGCTTGTTTCAAAAATTCGGTGTCTGAATGTAATTTTCATAATTGACCTACATTTCTAATTCGGAGCCATAAATTTTTACTCAACAGGAAAATTTCCTTAAAATCCGTAACGTCTTTCATAACTTTTATAAGTCACTATACTAAGGGAACTTTTGATGAAGGATTTTACACAAGCAAATGAAACGATAAATTTCAAAACTATTACCTCATAATTTGGATTTTTAAACATCTCAAGGAACTCTGATCTGTTACTACCGCCATTACTACCACCTATAATGGATTCCATTCGTGGGGGTCACGCCCGTTTCGCCTTAAACAAGCACCTTTGAATTGATCATTTTCGATCAATCGAAAAAAAATTAACGACATTAAGAACGTAATTTATTTCGTTAGTCAGATGGCCGAACGTGCTTCAGTACGATTTGAAAATTAAGACCTTGTGTTTTCACATTCTAACACCAGGGACGCATTTTCTACACAACAATCTCTTCAAAAAAACACTTTAAAATTAATTAAAAATTTGGTTTAAAAAAATTCATACTAATTCATTAGATTACTAGAACTATAGCGAATTTCAGTAGTGTGAGTAGACTTCATCATCTATAGATTTAATTGGAAATTTCATTACCAAAAGGGCAGCTAACTTTCAGTCCGATCCTGTCTAAAAGTACCTACATATTTCAAAGGTTACTCACGAATATTGTAGGTGCTATACCTATTCTAAAAGAATTAAAAGTTCCTTCTGACCCAATTATTTTTTATGGTTGCGTGATTTCTATGGGGTTAATTAGCGGCTACACCTTGAACTGCTGTTAATTCTTTGTCTGATGGATTAATGGCTCTACCAGTTAATGGTGTATCACTAATTAAATTGCTTCCGAGATTTTGATTGATCCGTGAAAACAATTATTATGTAGTTAGTAAGTATCCCTCTTTGTGTACGGCGTTTTATCTAAACGATCATTGCTGTAGGCATTGCAAAACACCAATTAATTGAGATACTTTGTATAGTGTGTTGAAGTCAATGTGGTTATGACGTCATAAGATATTGACCACCAATTTAAGCAATTTAAAACATGAATTATTTTTATTGCGTATATTAGGTAAATTTGAAATTTCTCTAAAATGAATGAACTATAATAGATATGAAAAATTTACCATTTACTTTTAAAATTACGAGTATAATACTAGTGTTCTTAGTTCTTCTTAGTTCTTCTTAGTTCTTCTTAGTTCTTCCTACAATGAGTAACTTAAGCAAACCTTAAGTAAACAAAAGCGTCTAATTAATCCGGTAACGAATAAGCAAGACATTTTCAAAAATTAAAAAATACTTGTCGAATATCGATTTCTAGCGGAAAATGATCATTTCCTCTTATAACGCATGGTTGGTTCATTAAGAAATTAGAAACAACAGAAACCTTCGCAAACAACCGCATTACATCATTAGCTGCCAATTAGAATAATAATGAGGATTTCAATTGGAATAGAAGATTTTTCCAAACAGATTGAACCGTTTTCTCCGATTATTAGTGTAAAATTTCAATAACACCGGAGATTATTTTTTACGTTGAGCGAATTTTCGATGATAAAATGAGATAAATAAGAGATGTGTAAACCAATATTAGAAAATTTATATTAAGAAATTAACGAAAATTAACAAAATTTTCCTGCTCAACAATTTTTTACATTACCCAATATAATTTATTAAAATTAGCTTTAAAACAATTCCAAAAAATAATTATGTAATTAAAATATTTCGAAAATTTGTATCAATATTAAAGCTTGTTACAAAAAATTAAGTAGGTACTAAAAAAATACTTAAATTATCAAGTAGTAAAAATTATTACATAAAATCATATAAAGAAATAAAAAATTCTTGTCGTTTTTAAAGCCCCATTTTTGTTACCAAATTTTCAATAAAAAAACTAAAATTACAAAAAATATGAAAATTATAGGAAAGCGTTTTAAAAATTGCACTAATAATATTCCTTTTCCTTACTATAGAATTTTACTATTCCATATTTAACGAGCTACAAACAGCTGATCCTGCTGACCTGCTATAAATCTACTTAAGTATAATGGTTGAAATTCTCTTAAAACAACCGCAAATTAATTTCCCTGCAATCCGAAACAAACTAAATTAACCGCGGCGCTGAGCAGTCCACACATCAATTAGGTTCCATCCGAGTGAACATTCGGTACCAAAAAAGCCGGTAGGCGGGTACCGAGTCACTGCAAAAAATGCACATTTGCTGCAGATCAACCTTGCTATTGTCGCAATATACACTTTCGAGCATGCTTTGTATACATAATAGTACTAGTGGGTACTAACTATTGCTATTTTTTTACATTATAATTGTGGTGAACGTGCACTTGGTAAGGGATATTTAGTATATAAAGTTGGAGATTTCGATCCCTGGTTAGTATTGCATATAGTACTCACCGGTACAACAGTAAACAAGTGTAATTAACAATTATGTTCGCCAAGGTGTGTAATAGTGTTTTTTATTATAAGGGTTGGATTTTTAATTAGTGTTTTGTGGAAATAGTCTAATTTAATCAATTTTAAATTAGTCGAACTAGTGCATATTTTTTTTTAATTTTTGCTATTTTCTAAAATAATCTGCGGGAATTAATTACTGTTTTTTATAAAAAAAAATCATTTTGAAATATTTGACATAATTATCAGGTTAATTAAATCTGCGTTGAGCTAGAAATAACATTAATAAAAATTTAATGATTTTAACAAAAAAGGAATTGTACTAAAATACCTAACTCAAAATTGCCTAAAGGTAACTTACATATGTTGTAATATTATAAAAAATGCACGAATCAATATCAATAAAATTTAAATTGCATCGAACATTTCTCTACATAATCGTTTAAAATATTTACAATTTAGATGACGCCCTAATTTATGATAATTTGCCATTTTTTGGCATTGATAATTGGTAAAATAGTATAAAATGGCATTTTGGAACATGATTTAGTCTTTAATCTTATTGTCTTTCTTATATCGTCGTTACGATGCAATTTGAAACGCGATATCTCATAAATTCAATCGATAATATAATTTTTATAATTTAATTTTTTTCGTGTAAATACTGTTTCAAAAATTCTCAGTTTTAGTGATGTTTGAACTTACTTCAATGTATCATTGAAATGCTTTTTATTTTTTCAAATAAATTTCATAAAATCTTTTAACTGCATTTTAAATAAATTAGTTTAATAAATTTCATTTATTTCCGATAAAAATTGCCGAAGAACCCTTTTCACATAGAATTTTGATTACCTCAACCTATAGTGCATATTCATTTCAACATCCCTAGTAACCAGCAAATTAACCAATATGTTTAATTGATTTTAAATATAATTTTCCAGATTGTAGTGTTAGCCGCTTTCGTCGCCTGTGCAAGTGCAGGATTAATCGGAGGGCACGGTCTAGGATATGGAGCAATATCAGTAGCCCATGCAGCGCCGATTGCAGTTGCTGCACATGCACCTGTTCACGAAACTGTAGATTATTATGTAAGTATACAAAAAATTAGCACAAACTATTATTTGTTAGCGAGTTTTAAAGAAGAAGGATTATGATTAGTTTTTCGTACAAATAACATCATTATTTTTGATACCGCGTTGAAATAAAAACCTAAATTCCTCAATAACACTTCACTAACACCGGTTGCGAAATTGGAGGAAACGCCTGAAATTTTTCAATCGTTCCACTGAACGATTTTAAAGAGGCATTTAAATTCTGCCGAATGGAGGTCGCACGTTCGCAATCGCCAAAGTGCATTTCCTACCGAGATTAGCGCTCTTTAAATGCACAGTCAAAAGGAAGATAGCAATCAGGGCAATTACACGTTTCGGATCGTGTACTGAATGAATTCAATTAACTGTATCGCAATTACATAAGCGCAGCGGTGCATCGCTTGGGTAATGCCTATTGAAAGGATTTAAACGCCCGTTAAAAATATATTATTTGTATTTTAGAGCCGTTTAATTTAACGGGGCACTTGTTTGGATTGATGGATTTTAAATTGACAGTTTTTGTATACCGCGCCCATTAATTTTAACGGGCGATGCCGTTTAATAGACGTTGTAAATCTTTTATTTTATCGGGAAACTTTGTTTCAGGCGTACCCTAAATACGAGTTTAATTACGGAGTAGCCGACGGCCACACTGGAGATCATAAATCCCAAAAGGAAGTGCGCGATGGAGACGTCGTGAAGGGTTCTTACACCGTCGCCGAGCCCGATGGTACCCTCAGAACTGTCCATTACACCGCCGACGATCATAACGGTTTCAATGCAGTAGTAACGAGGTGGGTGCCATTTTTACATTAGAATTATTCGACGTTTGGAAATCAAACAATTAATTCGCTTTTTCTTTTTAGATCTGGACATGCCGTACATCCTCAAGTGGTCCACAAAGCTATCGCCGTTGCCCCGGTGGCGCTTTCCCTTGGACACGGACACGGACACGGCTACCATTGATGATCTCGAAGGCTTATAGAATCTGTTGCTCATTAATGTACATACCTCATAAGTTGTTTTTTGCTAGTGTTGTTCTTCTTTGTAGCATTTATTGTATCTCATCTTCGCCATATTTATTATTTTTTTGTATTCAAATAAAAGACTATCGTTATTGTGAATGGATTTGTTGATTTCCCTCTAACATCGCAATTATTAAACATCCAACAAACAAGAACATTGAATATATCTAATAGATCTTCCTTTCTAAATCTTGCCTGTATTTCATCCATAATGGTATCGTCGTTTTGGACAAACTTCGTACACGTGATTCTTCATGGGAAGCATCGTGGTGTTCAACGGGGTGGTCTCCATGAGCAGGGGAATGAGGACAGGTTTGGTTGCCTTCATGGAAATCTCTGTAACATTGGAACTTGAGTAAGGCTGATAAATGCGTCACGACTATGGTTAGCGTTAGAATATAGAACAAAATCTGAACGATTATCCAAAATAGGAGCAAAGACGATGGTGTTAGGTTATCGATTAGATCGCACAGAGCTCCCCATACTGTCTTTTGGTGATACGTTACGAATGTGGGTTTTTCGAATGGATCGTCGTCTTGAATAGTTAGAACTGTTGAAGTCATTATTAATGACAATTACAGTGACAATGAAATTGAGTTGGATAAAAAGGTTTCATTTCAAAAAAGGTTGGTAAAAATGAAACTGTAGCATTAGATAAGTTGATTAAATATACAGGTTGCTCCATTTTTGATCGCAACATAGGTTATATAGGCCATGGGTGCGATAAAGACAACTTCCATTAGACACTTATGAAGGAAAAGGAAAGAATAACATTTATGTCATTGCAGCTTTTCACTCTGACAACTCATAGAAATGACCATGTTGCAATCGGAAATGGAGCAAACGATTTAAAAAAATTGGACGCATATTTAACTTAGTTTTATCGATGCTTGAATAAAATGTTTACTACCCCATTCTATATTATAGCTCTTCAACTTTGTAAGCCAGACTCGGATCAAAACAAATATATGAATAATTGTCTTTAAAAATAACCAAGTTTTCTGTTTGTACTAATTACACTTACAAAACTCTTTTATGAAAATAAATTAAATTGGAATATATGCACAGGAGTCAATGCTTTACATTAATATTACTTATACTTACAAATTGGTATACACTCTGTATTATTTACGCAATCATTTATTTTAACATCAAATTCTTATAGTTATAAATTATATTTTAATAACAATGTTACATTTTTTATCTTCTAATCACATAATTATGGCGAAAGTCTTCTAGGCATACGTCTTGAACAATATTTTATTTGACCGTGACACTGATACATTCTTAAAAATGTGATTAGTGGACCGAAACATTATCGAAATATTTCTATCGTAAGCTGCACATTAATTGAAAAATACATACCTATGTATCATGTAATAACGTAGAATTAATCATAATTAATTGCAAATAATTAGGAATGCGTTAAGCGTAATAGTATAATTGTCGGAAATCAAAGAGGAAATTTTGCTACCTTAGAAAACTATTAATTTTGAAAGTTAAAGTTAAATTATGAATAGATATTTAAAAACTTTATTAGTGTAACTATTTATTAATCTTCCCCTATAATCATTGAAGAAAATGTAACAATTTTTTTTATTTTTATAAGTAATCTAAGTAGATACGCATATTTGAGTACAGAGTAAAAAAACTACCTAATTAGTAGTATTGCAATTGCAACAAAAAATTATTTAATCCAATCTTTATGCAAATTTCAAATTAGAAAATGCATTAAGAATTTAGCTAATTAATCGAATACGTAATTAATAGCACCTATCTACTATAACAGATCAACATAACGTGTATCATTAATTCGTTTAATGATCGATTTCATCGTCGGTATTCTTCCTTTTCCGCGAAAACGGTAATTAAATCCGCCCTTGTAGATGGCCAGAATCGTGATAACCAAAACACTTGTCCATTGTGCGGTACTAATAAGCCAAGCACCGAAACGGGGTCACATTCTTTTATTTCATAATAAAGGTCGATTCATTCTAATATTTTGGCATCGAGCTCTTAATGTCTTGTGGTCCCGACTACTCCCATCTTTGGCAATAGCCGTATATAAAAAGACAAAGTGTTCACTGTGCAAATCAGTCTAATCTCGATATTAAAATTAGTAGTATCAAAATGTTCTCCAAAGTAAGTACAGTTGATTTATTCAATTATGAAAAATTGTAATTAAAATTTTTATTATTAATGTGTAAGGTAATTGGGGTTGTTTCAAGTGTGTTTATTTATAGAAAATTTCATTCAAAAAATATTTACAAAGTAATTTCAATATTCTCCAATTTTACTGATAAACTTACTATAAACAACATAAAACTTGGGAAAGTTCAAAAAATAGTACTAAAAGAAAATTAGGATTCGGATAATTTATCAGTTTTCACACATTAAGTAGGTACCCAGTTTTACATTTCTCCATAATTTTTCCAGATTTTCGCTATTGCCAGTTTCGTGGCTGCCGCCAACGCAGGTCTACTGGACTTCTCCTCGCATCACGCTCCAGTCTCCCACGTTTCCCACGGCTCCCAGATAACTCACGCCGCCCCCATCGCTCACCATGCCTACGCCGCCCCCCTCGCTCACCATGCCTACGCCGCCCCCGTGGCGCACGCCTACACCGCCCCCGTAGCCCACCATGCCTACGCCGCTCCGATCGCTCACCACGGCTACGCCGCCCCCGCGCTCATCAAATCCGCTCACCACGCTGAAGATTACTACGTAAGTTTTTTACCCCTTGTTGAAGCCGATTAAAAATACCATACGGAATAAAACTGAACAACAGGAAAAAAGGACAAGAAAATTATTAATTAAATGATGCGATTTTTGTAGGCTCACCCCAAATACGAATACAACTACGGTGTACAAGACGGCCACACTGGCGACCACAAATCCCAGCACGAAACTAGAGACGGAGATGTTGTTAAAGGGTACTACACCGTCGCTGAGCCCGATGGTACCTTGAGAACCGTGCATTACACCGCTGATGACCACAACGGTTTCAACGCTGTCGTGGAAAAGTCCGGACACCCCGTGCACCCTGCGCCTGCACCCGTACACGCTAAGGTCCTTTTGGCCGCTCCCGCCCACCATCATGCTCCGATCTACCACCATTAAGAAATTAATGATGTTGCCATTGATATATTTGTTTTTTGTTGTGAAATTATGATTTGTGTGTAATATATTTATTTTGAAAAATTTGCAATGGACTGAAAAAGTTTTGTTTCATTCAATATTGAGTTTTTAATTGAAGTAGGACTTTACAGTGTTACGTTTAGTTGTATTGTCTTTGCGTTCGATAATACAGGAACAAAAACTATTAAAACCGACATTAATAACATATCATATGACAGAAATTTAATAAAGGTGGGAAACAATTTTTTGGATAGAGGTGCAGTAACGACTGCTTCAAAAGAAGCGTTACTTTACTTTTCAAGTAACGTTCGCTTGATTACTCTATTCTATTCTGATGCTCTACTCGAAATTAGGTACTACTTTTTTGCGTTGTAAGCGAATAAGTGGAACTTTAAGATGTGTTCGATAATACATGAACAAAAACTGTCAAAACTAACATTAATGATAATTTCTGTAACAGAAGTTTATTTTTCAAATATCGTTCACCGGATTACTCTATTCTGCTCTATTCTACTCTGCTCTACTCGAAATTAATTTATATCCAATTTACAAATTTTCAGCAACTCATTTAGGTATTTTTGTTTTTTATTTATTCAACTACTTTAGAATAAAAAATGTTTAGTTTCCTGTAAAGATGACATTTTGAGAATAATTGCTTGTTAATAACGTCATATACAATTAAAAAATGGGAAAATAAATGGACACCCCTTATACATAAGAAATATACCAACAGATGTACCGACAAAGAAAAATTTTTAAATTTCAAAACCTAAATATTTGTCTTTATTTAATATGGCGCCTGAATAACTCTTTGATTGGTTTCAGGAATTTGAAAATTCCTTTCTTGGGCAGACGAAATTGAATTTCTTAGTAAGAAAGGATAATTGAATAAACCCCATAAGCCAGGTAAATGGCCTAATTAGAGAATAAGCAATTCGTTCGTTCAAACAATGGGAGATTCTGCATTGTCTACCCAACTCTACCTTTTAATACCATATTACTGGACTATTTAAAATAATTCCTCATTAACGTTTGTATTGAAAAGCGCGCCAGCTCCAGATAATCCCAAATAACATCCCTTATTATTAATGAAATTCTTAAAAATAAACGAAACCCCAAAAGAAACTACAAATAATGATTATAATATGACATTTTTTCCTATACATACTATATACCCACTTTTTTAAATTTTAGTATGTATTACCTAAGATTCGTTTGGTAAGTGAGCGAAAGGAACTGTATGTGGGCGTCGTCTAAATTTCTCATGGACAAAGTCATAAAAATACTTGGCAACTATGACTTTGCTATTGTGCAAAGAGTAAAAATCAGTTCGATTCATGATACTATCGTGCATAAACATGGAACACCCATGTAGCACCGGAGATAACTAGGTAATGATAAAATTGCAAAATTCAACGAAACCACGAACTTAAAGAATGAACATTTCCAAAAACCTGAGCCAAACGATTATAATAGATTTAAGTTATTAGATTTTTTCTAAAAAAGTACTGTAGAAGAGATGATAGTTTTTTTAGAAGGGCACACAAGTTAAGAACAATACAACCTATCACTGGTTTTAAAAGCGAATTCAAAGAAAAACTAAACAAGAAAAACCAAAAAATGGCAATAATGCATATATTTTTCAACAATAATTTAACTATAACTAATCAATCGTTTATAGTCCATTAAATTAATGATGGTAGTAGTCATGGGGAGCGTGATGAGAGGGAACAGGTACAATAACTTTTCCGTGGGTCGGAGCAGGATGGACTGGATGACCGGATTTTTCCACGACAGCGTTGAAACCGTTGTGGTCATCAGCGGTGTAATGCACGGTTCTCAAGGTACCATCGGGCTCGGCAACGGTGTAGTACCCTTTAACAACATCTCCGTCTCGCGATTCGTGCTGGGACTTGTGGTCTCCAGTGTGGCCGTCTTGTACGCCGTAGTTGAATTCGTATTTAGGATGAGCCTAATGTTGAAAAAAATGTTCTAAATGAGATATTATCTTCCTAATCGTACCGAGGTTCAAGCACGATAAATTTAAAGGGTATACTTCTCTAGAGGGTAAATATACATACATTGTAATCTTCATGATGAACTCCTTTGGCGTATAAGGGCGCGGAGTACGCATGAACTGCTGGGGATGCTACATGAGATGATGAATATGAGCTGGCATGACCGTAGTCTAAAACACCGGCTTGTGCTAATGCAGCCAAGGCAAATATGGATAGAACCTGTATTCAAATACACATTATTTTAAATGGTCTTTTAGTCATGTATTTTAAATTACAATCCAGTTATCAAAGACACTAAAAAAGTGATAGATATTTTAATTATTACCTTTCTGCAAAACGATATTATTCAATTAAATTTTAGTATTCTGTCAGATGCATTGAACTTGTTAATTAACTCTTAATTAATTAAAAGCTAATTTCATTGTTATTACACTACTTTCATTTTTTAACGGTTTTAAAAGTTACTAAAGTCGATTTTGCCCTTTTAGATATCTGGAGAGTACTTCAAAAAATATATTCTAAATTTCTAATTATTGTAGTTTTCATTATACTTACTTTGGAGTACATATTTTTTGATATTGACTGTCGAAGCAGCTATGAAACTATGATGAATTCACTAATTGTTGCGAGCTTTTTATAGTAAAAGTTAAGCAGTGTCATTCGCTAATTCCTTTCATACCAAATTAGATCAACATTAAGGTTGAAACGTCGCTTTGCAATACCTAATACCCGAAATTCGACCTAGATATTTAGCAGATATCGCTGTTGAACAACCGCGCGCAAATATTCTAGTAATTTCTTAATGTTGAATCGAAGTATGGGATTGTTTATTTTTATTACTCATTTAAAAAGTGCCTAATATTATTATATTTAACTGATATGTGTAATAGACATTTCGTTAAGGGCAGCTGCTCACAAAAAATATTAAAACGCATCTTTGAAATTGGAAATAATTTAGAAACTGATTTATAGGTAATACCAAACATCGAAAATTTTCCTTTTAATGATAGCCATTTAAATCACAAGAATATTAAAAGTTAGATGCCATTAGAAATCTGTTTACAATGGGCAACTATTCCAACAACAGGTAACGCCCTAGTAATTCCCCATTGGTTGACAACATTTTGATCGGTTTATGCAATTCCAAGGGTTGAAATTATTTAAACTAAAAATTTTAAATCATTACCAATATACAGTTCATTTGCGTTTCAACATTGTATCCAGTTATGAATATATCCCGTACAAAGTCGACCAAGGCTGCCCTAAATAAAGGGTATCGCATAGACGAACTGGAATGCTCTGCATGCTGCAAGTATTTGTCTGTGAAGCCCATCAAAGTCTACGAAGGCGACAAACTGAAATGCGGGAGGTGCAGTAAAGAAGATGACGGTGGAATTTTCAGCGAGCTGAACAGTTACGATGAAAATCAACTGTTCAAATGCCATAACCGATTCGCCGGGTGCCGCAAACTGCTGACCAGCTCCCAGGCGAGGGCCCACGAAGCAACCTGCAGGGACTACATCTACTCGTGTCCCTACTGCCCGGGACTGTTTATGCAGTCGTTTTTGCTGGAACGGCATTTTCTGGAGCGCCACTACACGTACGTGTTGAAGCAGCCCGTGGTTCTAATTTCCTACGGTTTCCGAAGCAGCTCGTTTCTCTACAAAATTAACGATTTTCTGTTTTTGATCGTTTTTAAAGTGGACCTGGCTTTGGGGGTATGTCATATCTTCAACACTCCGGTAGGCGATAAATCAGTCGCTTTAAAATACCACAACATAACTATGGAAACTTCCAACATTATTGAACCGATGGAAGAGTTGCACGTACCGACGAATCTACAGGCTATGCAGCTACAACTTAATCCCAAGGCAGACCTAAAGTCATACTTAAAAGTTGTATTCAGGTATGATGTCGTTGATATCCCTTTCTACGAACCTCTTCCTCTCGATCCGAATAATGAAATTTTGTCGGAACCTCCGGAGTTGCTGGAGGAATTGAAAATTGTAAGATCTTTAGAAATTTTCCAAAATTTATGCGCTAGGTTCGGTATTGCTTGGCCTTTTGCTTTCGATGTAACCGAATTACCTACAAACATCTTTACGAACGACGATTATTTTTACATCACGGAAATTGAAAATTTGATAAGTACGAAAATCTACTTGAATTGTTACAAATGTTTTACCAGCTCTTACAACGGTCCGATGAAGGGCGTTTTCGTCAAAATTAATCGCAGCGCATTCTTTTTGTGTTGTATTTGCTGTCAGATAAAAATAAAGGAAAACAGGAGGATCAAATACAAACAATATTTCTGCAACAGCTTGAGGAATTTTAACGTGCGCTTTCCTGATGGTAAGGACTGTTACAGTATTCTTCAATTATCAGATTTTATTGAAGACAGCAGCAAACGTTTCGATTGTCCGTTTTTGCTTTGTAAAATTTCCGGAACGTACCTGGAAATTAGTGTTCACATAGGTAACGCTCATGGTGTTGAATTAAACAATATTCCATTTCATACTGTTGATCTCAGATCTGATGTTCACGAAATTTCAAGTGCTATCCCAATGGTTCTTTTGGTAATGCCATTTTTTGTTATCCTAAATTTTGTGGCCAAACCAAAGGGTTGGGAATTGCACGTGAAATTTGCGCACAAAGAAATTGTACCTAAACAAATTAGGCTAAAGGTTGTATTGTACAATGCGAAATTGCAGTTAATCCATATTGTAAACGAAAATTCTCAGACTGGTTTAATCCCTATGGGGAAATTTAAATTTCGCGGCCAATTAGAATATGTGAAAAATAAATAATTGTAATGTATCGTAATTATGTTGTATACATGTGGTTTATCTGTTTTCAAATTTGCAAAGTAATTTGATTGTAATAATTTTTTATTGAATAAATTATGTAATATACATTATTCTTTCATATGTCGTTATTTGAATAATAAAATGTAGTTATAAATTATTTTTTGTGTTTTTTTTTCTTATTATAGGCATCGCCTGAAAAGAACATAGCAAATACATAAACAGATTGATAAAAAATCAAGTAAAAATTCTTTGACAATTCTTTGAAATCTTTCAAAACTTTTTGCAAAAATTTTTAAATTAAAAAAAAAGAATCCAGATTTTACTGAAATACCTAGTAGTAAGTTAAAGCTTTTCACTGTGATGTTTACGTTTATTTGGCATCTTCTGAGACCTGCAGTAATTCGTAATTAATTAACTGGGCTATTCAAAAAATAATTTGCAAGGATGTAAAAGAAAGGATTAGTTTCTTAACTTTCTTAGAAACCATTAGTGACCATCCAGCACAGAACGGGAAACAAAATTAGACGTTGTTCGAAAAATTACGAAAAATTATTATAAATACTTTTATCTTTTCAAATTGCAGATGAACTGAATTTGAAAAAAATCTAAAAAGGATTTCTTATTTTACTTTGCTGAACGTTTGATTTTATGTCAAATGTAATCAAACACAGAACATCTACTAGTTGAACTATTTTCATCCCATCTATAATAATGGAAAGATTTTACTAAAATTCAGAATAGTTCTATACAGGTTATTCTTAAACATCGTGCACATCCGAAAAGGGGTGATTCCTTGGCTCATTTCAAGACTAAAAATTCATGTTAACATAAGTCTGCAAAGGCTTCGTTACCGATCTACAGGGTATTGGCATTTCAAGATTTTTTTTGTTTTTTTAAAGCTCCATCTGTTTTAAAGATATTTAGCTCAATAATAAATATATTTTTATTTTTCAACAATAATTTAACTATAACTAATCAATCGTTTATAGTCCATTAAATTAATGATGGTAGTAGTCATGGGGGGCGTGATGAGAGGGAACTGGCACAATAACTTTTCCGTGGGTCGGAGCAGGATGGACTGGATGACCGGATTTTTCCACGACAGCGTTGAAACCGTTGTGGTCATCAGCGGTGTAATGCACGGTTCTCAAGGTACCATCGGGCTCAGCGACGGTGTAGTACCCTTTAACAACATCCCCGTCTCGCGATTCGTGCTGGGACTTGTGGTCTCCAGTGTGGCCGTCTTGTACGCCGTAGTTGAATTCGTATTTAGGATGAGCCTAATGTTGATAAAAAAATTAATGAGATATTTTCTTCCTAATCGTGCCGAGGTTCAAGCACGATAAATATAAAGGGTATACTTCTCTAGAGGGTAAATATACATACATTGTAATCTTCATGATGAACTCCTTTGGCGTATAAGGGCGCGGAGTACGCATGAACTGCTGGGGATGCTACATGAGATGATGAATATGAGCTGGCATGACCGTAGTCTAAAACACCGGCTTGTGCTAATGCAGCCAAGGCAAATATGGATAGAACCTGTATTCAATTACACATTATTTTAAATGGCCTGTAAATATTCATGTATTTTAAATTACAATCCAGTTATCAAAGACACTAAAAAAGTGATAGATATTTTAATTACTAACTTTCTGCCAAACGATATTAATCAATTAAATTTTAGTATTCTGTCAGATTTACTGAACTTGTTAATTATCTCTTAATTACTTAATTAAAAACTACTTTCATTGTTATTACACTACTTTCATTTTTTAACAGTTTTAAAAGTTACTAGAGTCGATTTTGCCCTTTTAGATATCTGGAGAGTACTTCAAAAAATATATTCTAAATTTCTAATTATTGTAGTTTTCATTATACTTACTTTGGAGTACATATTTTTTGATATTGACTGTCGAAGCAGCTATGAAACTATGATGAATTCACTAATTGTTACGAGCTTTTTATAGTAAAAGTTAAGCAGTGTCATTCGCTAATTCCTTTCATACCAAATTAGATCAATATTAAGGTTGAAGCGTCGCTTTGCAATACATATTACCCGAAATTCGACCTAGATATTTAGCAGATATTACTGTTGAACAACCGCCCGCAAATATTCTGATAATTTCTTAATGTTGAATCGAAGTATTGAATTGTTTAATTTTATTACTCATTTAAAAAGTGCCTAATATTATTTATATTTAACTGATATGTGTAATAGATTTCGTTCAGTATAGCTGCTCACAAAAAAATATTAAAACGCATCTTTGAAATTGGAAATAACTTTAGAAACTGATTTGTAGGTAATACCAAACATCGAAAAATTTCCTTTTAATAATAGCCATTTTAATCATAAGAATATTAAATGTTAGATGTCATTAGAAATCTGTTTACAATGGGCAACTACTCCAACAGCAGTCAAGAAGATGACGGGTAAATTTTCAGCGAGCTGAACAGTTACGACGAAAATAAACTGTTCAATTGCCATAACCGATTCGCCGGGTGCCGCAAACTGCTGACCAGCTCCCAGGTGAGGGCCCACAAAGATACCTGCAGGGACTACATCTACCCGTGTCCCTACTGTCCGGTACTGTTTATGCAGTCGTTTTTGCTGAAACGGCATTTTCTAGAGCGCCACTACACGTACTTGTTGAAGAAGCCCGTGGTTCTAATTTCTTACGGTTTCCGAAGCAGCTCGTTGATCTCAGATCTGATATTCACGAAATTTCAAGTGCTATCCCAATGGTTCTTTTGGTAATGCCATTTTTTGTTATCCTAAATTTTGTGGCCAAACCAAAGGGTTGGGAATTGCACGTGAAATTTGCGCACAAAGAAATTGTACCTAAACCAATTAGGCTAGAGGTTGTATTGTACAATGCGAAATTGCAGTTAACCCATATTGTAAACGAAAATTCGCGGCCAATTAGAATATGTGAAAAATAAATAATTGTACTGTATCGTAATTATGTTGTATACATGTAGTTTATCTGTTTTCAATTCAATTTTCACAGTAATTAGATTGTAATAATTTTTTATTGAATAAATTATGTTATAAACATTATTCTTTCATATGCCATTATTTGATTAATAAAATGTTGTTATAAATAATTTTTTGTGTTTTTTTTCTCTTATGATGGGCATCGCCTGAAAAAAACATAGCAAATACATAAACATATTAATAAAAAAATCAAGTAAAGTATTGAAAATAATTACGAAAATTTTTTGATTTCATTAAAAAAAATGAATCCAAATTTTAATGAAATACCTAGTAGTAAGTTAAAGCTTTTCACTGTGATGTTTATGTTTATTTGGAATCTTCTGGGACTTGCAGTAATTCGTAATTAATTAACTGGGCTATATATGGACCATCCGTAGAACAGGAAACAAAATTAGACGTTGTTCGAAAAATTACAAAAAAATATTAAAGATACTTTTATCTTTTCAAATTGCAGAAAGAATTGAACTTGAAAAAAATCTGAAAAGGACTTCTTATTTTACTTTGCTGAACGTTTGATTTTATGTTAAGTGTAATCAAACACGGAATATCTACTAGATAAACTATTTTCTTCCCATCTATAATGGAAAAATTTTCATTATAGATTATAGATTATGCATTATAGAAATAATTCATTATAGATTATATTATAGATTATATATATATATATATTTATTTTTATATAAAAATTCAGAATAGTTCTATACAGGTTGTTCTTAAACATCGTGCACATCCAAAAAGGGGTGATTCCTTGGCTCGTTTCATGACTAAAAATTCATATAAACATAGGTCCGCAAACGCTTCGTTCCGATCTACAGGGTATTCAAATTTCAAGATTTTTTTTAAAGCTCCAGTTTTTAAGATATTTAGCTCAATAATAAATATATTTTTATTTTTCAACAATAATTTAACTATAACTAATCAATCGTTGATAGTCCATTAAATTAATGATGGTAGTAGTCATGGGGAGCGTGATGAGAGGGAACAGGTACAATAACTTTTCCGTGGGTCGGAGCAGGATGGACTGGATGACCGGATTTTTCCACGACAGCGTTGAAACCGTTGTGGTCATCAGCGGTGTAATGCACGGTTCTCAAGGTACCATCGGGCTCGGCAACGGTGTAGTACCCTTTAACAACATCTCCGTCTCGCGATTCGTGCTGGGACTTGTGGTCTCCGGTGTGGCCGTCTTCTACACCGTAGTTGAATTCGTATTTAGGATGAGCCTAATGTTGAAAAAAATGTTCTAAATGAGATATTATCTTCCTAATCGTACCGAGGTTCAAGCACGATAAATTTAAAGGGTATACTTCTCTAGAGGGTAAATATACATACATTGTAATCTTCATGATGAACTCCTTTGGCGTATAAGGGCGCGGAGTACGCATGAACTGCTGGGGATGCTACATGAGATGATGAATATGAGCTGGCATGACCGTAGTCCAAAACACCGGCTTGTGCTAATGCAGCCAAGGCAAATATGGATAGAACCTGTATCAAATACACATTATTTTAAATGGTCTTTTACTCATGTATTTTAAATTACTATCCAGTTATCAAAGACACTAAAAAAGTGATAGATATTTTAATTATTACCTTTCTGCAAAACGATATTATTCAATTAAATTTTGGTATTCTGTCAGATGCATTGAACTTGTTAATTAACTCTTAATTAATTAATTAAAAGCTAATTTCATTGTTATTACACTATTTTCATTTTTTAACGGTTTTAAAAGTTACCCGAGTCGATTTTGCCCTTTTAGATATCTGGAGAGTACTTCAAAAAATATATTCTAAATTTCTAATTATTGTAGTTTTCATTATACTTACTTTGGAGTACATATTTTTTGATATTGACTGTCGAAGCAGCTATGAAACTATGATGAATTCACTAATTGTTGCGAGCTTTTTATAGTAAAAGTTAAGCAGTGTCATTCGCTAATTCCTTTCATACCAAATTAGATCAACATTAAGGTTGAAACGTCGCTTTGCAATACCTAATACCCGAAATTCGACCTAGATATTTAGCAGATATCGCTGTTGAACAACCGCGCGCAAATATTCTAGTAATTTCTTAATGTTGAATCGAAGTATGGGATTGTTTATTTTTATTACTCATTTAAAAAGTGCCTAATATTATTATACTTAACTAATATTATTACATATGTACAGGGTGTCCAAAAAGTATGAAAACGGTCGATTTTCCGGCAAATGAAAATGGACAAAATGAAAAATTGAAAAAACACGTATCCAATAATTTTTTAAGGGCTATCCATTGATACCAATATCAAATATATACCCCACCCTTTAAGGGCGCAACGGGGGAAGAATTACTTTAAAAATTTTAATGAAAACCCTTTTTTTTTTTATTGAAGATTCGGAATCCTGGCATGAATATAAGCTATAAAATTTCGAAATTTTTCGAAGTAATTTTATAATAGCTATCTATCGACGCTAATAACAAAGACCTTCTACACCATCCCTTAAGATTGATTCTGTGAACAGCTTCAATATATTGAATTTTCAAATTTTTAGCATTTTTTTTCAAGTATCAAAGTACTTTGATACTTGCTCACGTATTCATTTACACTTCAATGTACAAAATTTTATAGAAAAAGTTAACCCTTCTATCACACGTAAGAAACCAAGTTTAAATATTACTTAAAAAAGTTAAATTTAAAAAAAAAGCTAAAAATATTGTTAATTTTAGCTTCTTAAAATCTAAATTATTGACGAATTTTCTGCTGTCTCCATACGTTGATCGGTTCCTGGATTTTTAAACCCATCAAAGACTCATTAGGGTTCACAGGTAGGGGTAGCCACTCAAACAACAAGTAACGCCCACCGCTTCCACATTGGTAGAAATTGGATTGTAAACATAAATAAGTACTGCACTCTTTCTAAGGGTTGCAATTATTTCAACAGACGTTCAACAGAAGTTCATTAGTGCTCTACCGCTCCGAGGTGATACAACGATCTTCAAGCAAAGTCTGTGTTCGTCAAAGTGCTCATCAAAGTATTGCGAGTTTCAAGTTAAACATGGCTACTGCAAGCTCCTTCAATCATCCTATAGAAGATTTGACCTGTGATGTATGTAGCAAGGTTTTATCTGTGAAACCCATCAAAATGTACGGCGACATAGTGAAGTGCGGGAGGTGCAGTCATGAAGGCGACGGTGGCGTTATCTGCGCATTGAATAATTATGATGAAAATCATCTCTTCAAATGCATCAACCGATTCGCCGGATGTCGCAAACTGCTGACCAGCTCGCAGGTGAGGGCCCACGAAGAAACCTGCCAGGAATACTTTTACCCATGTCCCTACTGCCCGGGGTTGTTTTTGCAGTCTTTTTTGTTGGAAGAGCATTTTCTGCAGTCCCACAGCCTGAGTGTTTTGGATAAGCCCGTGATTCGTATTTCTTACGGCTTCATTTTCCGCGTGTTTTTGTACAAGTTAAACGATTTTTTGTTTTTCATCGATTGTACTGTGGATCCTGAGACGGGCCTAGTGGATGCGAACTGTACTCCAGTGGGCGATCCTTCGGTGGTTTTGCAATATTTCGATATCTCCATGGAAACTTCAACAGTGGTTGAACCCATGGAAGAACTGCATTTGCCGGCTAATGAGCAGGCCGTTCAGCGGAAGTTTGACCCGGAGTCCGATTTCGAGAAGACTGTCATCGTTACATTCAGGTATGATGTTGTTGCTACGCCTCTTTACGAACCCCTTCAACTCGGTCCGAATGAAGTTTTGTCGCAATCCCGGGAGTTGATGGAGGAACTGAGAATTGTAAGGTTTTTCGAGAATTTTCAAATTTTATGCAACAGACTTGGATTTGCTTGGCCTTTCAAGTTCGATGTACCCTTTTTACCCGATAACATGTTCATGAACGATGATTTTTTGTACGTAACGCTACTTGAAAATTCGGTGTGTACCAAAATTTTCATGAATTGTTTTAAATGCTTTACAAACACTTGTAACACTCCATTGTTAGGTGGGTTTACTGAAGTTAATGGTAATGCTTTCTTTTTGTGCTTTGTTTGCTATTTGATTGAAAAAAGGGAAAACAATATGATCAATTATGGCGGGTATTGCAGCAATAATTTGGTGCATTTGAGAGGTACCTATCCTGACGGTATGGATTGTTACAGTGTATCTGAATCAACAGATTTTGATCAGGACTGCAACGAATGTTATGCTTGTCCTTTCTTAAATTGCGAGGTATCCGACACTTACAAGAATTTAGGTTACCATTTGCGTGACGATCATTTTATTCCTTTCAACACTTTTCCATTTCGCACTGTTGATCTCAGACCTTTTGTTCATAAAGTTATAAATGTTTTCCAACTCGTTGTTTTTGTTATGCCTTTTTATGCTGTTGTAAAATTTGTTGCCAAAGACAACGGTTGGGAGATGAAAATTAAATTTGCGCACAGGGAAATTGTACCCAAACAAATTAGGCTTAAGGTTGCTTTGTATAACATGGAAACTGCATTGACTCATATTGTATACGAAAACACTGAATTGGATTTTCTCCCGATGGAGAAAATTCAACTCAGCTGCCAATTGGATTATTGTCTAAATTAATTTGTACTCTAACTTTTAATTCTGGAATTGGATCATGTAAACGGAAATTGAAATTTGTACTGTAACTTTTAAATCTGGAATTGGATCATGTAAACGGTGAAACAATTTTTTATAAAAAAATTGTAAAACAAATTTTATTGTAAAAAACAAAAATGTATTTTGTATTGTTATGGTATAGACTAAAGTTGTTCTTTTTTTCTGTAGTGTAATTTTTTTCTCGTGTAATTTTTAATGCAGGATTCGATGGTATTTCTTGTGTGAAATTTTAATTAATAAATGTTCTAGTAATTACAGAATTTTCTGCGTTTCTTTTCTTCTATATAATTTATATTTACTAATATTGTCTAATGGATAATTTTCATTAAGAACTGAAATATGGTTAAAGAGTAATCTACAGAAGCATTTTACAAGGTAAGTAGTTTATTATATTTATATATCTGAAAGAACCAAAAAAAAAATCGTCAAAATATTTGGTTAAAAAATGTCAACTATCCTCATATGTATTACAGTAAATTAATAAAATTAATTAATAAATAATAAATTAATAAATGTTTTAGTAATTACATAATTTTCTGCGTTTATTTTGTCTATGCAATTTATATGTATATAGTATGTAGAACTAAAATATGATAATCAAGTAGGTATCCCTCAGAAGCATTTTAAATGGTAAGTACCTACATAATTTCTTATCTTAATTTATTGAAAAAAATAACAAATTATTTGGCTATTATCAAATACTCTTCTATGTAAGGATTACAGTATAGGTAACACTTTGTTTTATTCTAAACGTATAATTTTAAAATTTTCTCATCTTCTCGCTAAAATGTTAGTTCATTCGGCCGGCAAATTTGCAACAATCCATTGAGAGAACCAGTGAGAAATGTGTTAAATTGTTACATTTCCCAGCGATTTGAATAGTCTTGAAGAGGAGTTGGATATGCTCGTTAATTCGCAAGATATGACAGAATTGAGAAATGTGGCTGTGTCTTTAATTTAATTGCTTAGAAGAAAATTACATAAAAGCTTATTTCTATAATCGAATTAGAGTATGAGAATGTTGCGTTTCAAACGGCCCGAAGTACCTATATAAGATTGTTGTTTTTATGGAAATTAGTTTATTTAGTGATCTATTGTTAAAAAGTGTAAGCAAGCATTGTAATATGATAACTAAGGTTGGTTTTTTTATATTTTTGATTTTTGAAATTTCGATAAAACTGGCGATTAATCCATAGAAATTCATTTTTATTGTGATACAATTTTAGCATTCACTTAAATTACTTTCAATATAGATAATTATGAGATTAGGATTATTCAAATGCTAAAATTTCAGGAATTTATGATTGCATCAGGTTCAGAAATCCGATACTGTAATGATATCTAATGATGTAAACAGTAACTGTAAACTGTAAAAGTTGAATTCATTGAAAATTGCATAAAATAATCCTTTAGTAACCATCAAGTTGTCAGAAAACCTGACAGATCCTTCAACACATCTTAAGAAAATTGTGATGACAAAATATTTATCTCGTACATCATTAGCTATAATCTGCGAATATTAAAGCTTTTGGGAAACTTTTTTCTATTCGAAATAACAAATAAAAATAATCCAAATAATTGCAAAATGGTTTAGATTATAATTTAGAGATATTTTGAAAAGATTTTGTTTTCTCTGCTTATTTACTGGTAATCTCACTTTAGGCCCTACTGGTTTTTGGCCTTTCCTGCTCGATCAAAGCGGGCTATGTGGACCACCACAAAGGTGTGGTTTCAACCACTTCTTATGTGACACATCATACACCCCCTGTGTACAGGAACCACCAAAGTTACAGCAGAGGGGCTCACTCAGGACATTCGTACTCCAACACTTACTTTCACAGTTCCGTTAACCACGGTTCATATGGTAAAGGGCCAGGACATCACACGGGTTACGAAGGCAACCACGGAAGTTTAGTGGATTACCATGGATACAACGATCATGGAGGTTACGATGAGAGCCAATTTTATCACGTAAGTTCTAGACAAGTCACTTTTCTGATAATTCCAAATAATTATTATTGAACCAACATTATTGTATCAAGAAATATGTACACTTAATAAAGCAAAGGGTTTCAGTAGTAATGTATGCGAGAGTGCAAATGTATTACTTCATTTGTATAAGAAACTGAATAAAAAAATGCAAATATCATACTTAACCAAATTATCATTACAGTGATTTATCAATTCGACCTCATTTTTTATAGAATTGTAAGACTAATTACAGCATTGTCTTGTATTGATTTCTCTTACGATAAGAACGCGAATTGAATTATAAATTTGTACCTACATATTTAGTTATTGCTATTATCTTAATCTCAGTTTAAAGTTTGATGCATCAGATAGTCAATGAGTCAGCATCTTCTGACTATTTCGAAAAAGAACTCTAAAAAATAAATACTAAATTTCCCGAAATAATATTCCATTTTATTTTCAATTATGACAATATAAATTTTTTATGAAAAAATTTATAAAGTTCTAGGTTCTCTTTCCTTAGGTACTACCTAAATCAATTTGTATTATACTATTGTGAAACGTTTTTCAATATGCCTACATTTCAAGGTTCAATAAACCATACTCTATTAATAAATTCTATTAATTATAATAGATATTCATCAATTCATTTATTAATTTCTAACAAACAGGCAACCAAAGATTGATCATATAGCTTCCAAGGTTGAATATTTAGTAATAGAGTTTAGTAATGCTCATTTTATCTTCAATGAGAAATTCGTTGTGGACAATTAATTAGTAAAAAAAATAATAAATATCTCGCGTAAATTGATATTTGAATTGTTACTTGTGTAGGCGACCGTATGCAGATGAAATGATTAAGTAATTTATAAGGTGTTCTTGCATTTTAGGATCCCCCGAAATACGAATTCAAGTACGGAATCGAAGATCCCCATACTGGCGATGCAAAAAACCATTATGAAATAAGAGACGGGGAAGTGGTCAAAGGGCAATATTCTCTAATAGAGGCCGATGGAAGCTTGAGGACAGTAGAATATACTTCTGATCCTCATCACGGATTTAGAGCTATCGTTCATAAGTCAGGACATGAGTCTGTTTCTTATGGACATTGAGAATAAGATTTAGTAAGGTATAATCGAGCACAATGCAATTTGCAGTTAAACAAGAAGTAAAATTGGACTTTTTGTATATGTAAAACTAATTTTTCGAGTATTATAATCGAATGTATACGTTTTGCATTAAAAATGTTTTGTTGAGCAGGGCAAAATGTTGAGCTCATGTAATACCTATTGGGAAAACGTGTATTATTTTTAATAAAAAATGAATATAAATAATTGTATAAACTTTTATCTCATATTCTAAGTGAATGTATATTTATAATAAATTAGTATTGTATAACACTAGTATAATAAATAATCGCAATTTTTTACAACCCTATGTTTTAATTAATAGTTAAATAGATACTTAACTTTTTTATGTAAGTTTCAACTATGTTACTGGATCAACTACAAACGCCTAAATTTCGCATAATTAAAAACATGTATGTAATCAGATAATGCTGTTACTACTCGTAATTAATTGATAGATCTTTCTTTTTAACTAGACATATTCAGATCAAATTTATTTGAATTTCTTCGGAGATAATTCTGTTACATAATTGATGCATGCTAATAGGATACAAAAATATTTTGGCTGGGTGTCGACCCTCTTCCTCATAGGAGAAATTTATCTATAAATATAATTAATAATGTCACTTTTTTACCAGTGTGTGTCGATCGTTTAGTGAGAAACTTTTAAAAAATTAACATGTTTATTAAGGTAAAAATATGAGTTTAAGATGCTTTAGTTTTTATTAATTTTAATGTTAAATTTGTATTCTTCGATTATTAACAAGTGCATTTTTTCTGTATTTCTTTAAGGTGGTAGGAATTGTTCTCTTTGTGGCATACTCATTAGCTGTAGAAGATATACCTACTTCCTATACAACTTTCAATAAATACCATAATACAATCAAGCATGTACAATCTCATTATAATACGGTTGGAAAAAGCAGTATCTCAGCTCATTACAATACGCAAGTAAAAACTGCTCCATATCAATATAATGCACCCCATCAACAGTACTCAAAGCCAGCGGGATATTCAGAGTATTCAGCACCATCTCAAGGACTGTCAGCTCACCATTCCGTACGCTACACATCTACACCAGTTGATAACCATGGTCCCCAGCAATTTTCAGTACCATCTCATGGTGTAAAATACTCCCCAGTTGCAGATCAACATTTCCAATACACCACACCTCAACATGTGCAGTACGCTGCACCGGTACCTCACGGAGTACAATATGCATCACCAAATTACGATTCAGCATCGTCGAAGGTGAGTCAACATGGTGTTCAGTATTCTGGAAATGGACAGTACTCTTCAACTTTGCACCATTCAAGTAATGGTCACTACTCTGGAAATTCAGGTCACCATGGTGAAGAGTATGTAAGTATACAATCTTTTTTATTTCGTAACTTTTATACCTATCACTTATTTTGTGATATTTATGAACACGTATTTGTGTAACATTTTTAACAACCCGTTATATCATTGGTTGACTACCCTGTATAATAATTAATTGGAAATTTAATGCCTTGTGTTGTCGATTCATAATAATTATCTATTGTATTAGCAGGTTGCAGTTAGCAACTTTATTCTCTTTTTGCACTCAATTTTCAAATCATTATACTCGTACAAAACAAATTATAAAAATATTTTATTACGAACAAACATTATTAGCTACTAAAACCGTTGTTATTACCTAATTTATGGAGATGTTGAAAGATACATTTTAATATTACAAAACTAGTTCACATGGAGTTTTTACTGAAGCGGTCTTTGGTAGGTGAAAGTGAAGAAAGTATTTTATTTAATTATCTCATTAATTATTCATTTCCGTAATACAAATATAAAACAATTTATGGATATCATATTAATCGGAAAAATTCATTCAGCAACATATCTACTCCGTTTGTTTGTTACACTTGATTAATTTTCAACATTTCCATCCGTACGTAGGTACATAACAGGAAATAAACATAAGCATAAACATAACTTTAATTTTTGTTACAGGCTAATCCCAAATACGAGTTTTCCTATGGCGTAGAAGATCACCACACGGGTGACATCCACTCTCACAAGGAAACCCGCGATGGGGACCACACACAAGGGGAATATTCCCTGCACGAACCCGATGGTACCGTGAGAACTGTTAAATACAGCGTCGATAAACACAGCGGATTTAACGCTGTGGTGGAAAAATCGGGACATCCTCAACATAAACATCAGAAGAACTCTTACTATTGATCTCCATAATTATTATTAACTTTGTTTTTGTTTTATAATGTAAACGTAGATAGAAAAAGGATTTTTTAATAAATAAAAAAAAACTTAAAATTCGAATTGTTTTTTAAAATATACCTATAGTTTGAAAATCGTTAGTGAATTTGTTAAAGGGTTGGTTTGATGGTTACTAAGAAATAGGGAAGTATTTAATAGAAATAGAATTTTTTTGATTTTTATATTTATGTTGGTTTTATGAAAGATACGGAATTTTTATTTTAACGAGATTTTTCTTCATTTAAGATAAATTCCCTCTGTTTTAGACCTCTTATACCTAATTAGTGAGAAACTTAAAAAATACATCAATAAAAATAATCCTTTTAAAATTATTAACAATAATACAAAAATTTAATATAGTTAAAATATTCTTCAAAAAATCTATCTGCGATATTTAAAAAAAAATATATATAATATCAAAGTACTTTTTCAACGTCTATTCTCATAAATTTAATACGGAAAATATCAACTCAACCTTTTCCCATATGTAAACTCATTTTTATGTTTTAAGACACTTTTGTAATAATATTTATAGGTAGATATTTATTAACTCGAAGAAAGTATATTAATTAATTCGTTCTTGACAGTGACTCTTCGAAATTACATCTATCCACTGAAATCGAAAACCTGATCTACCACTCTATAACAGTAAAATCATCTTCATTCATTTATCATCTTTCTACCAGTCGTCCTTCCCACAAGCGTTCTTTCACATCAGAAGGTCAATTCTACTACATTCATCTCTTGCATACACACATAAGGACTACGACAGACTATTGTTTACATCTAAACGATCTCTTTGTGTTTTCTATTATGCAATGCAACGAGAACTGCACGAATAGTCCGTCCCACTAAGAAGCAGGAATCTAATTAAAATGTAGGTATTTGCTGCAAATTTGCCATTTACTCAGGAAATTTTTCTGAAATTTTTTACCAGAATTTTTTAAAGTTTATAATTTATTAACGAGTAAACAAGATGAGTAATTATGTGTCCAACAGATGCAAAGTAGGACAGGAACAGTACAGGAACAGTACAGGAACAGTACAGGAACAGTACAGGAACAGTACAGGAACAGTACAGGAACAGTACAGGAACAGTACAGGAACAGTACAGGAACAGTACAGGAACAGTACAGGAACAGTACAGGAACAGTACAGGAACGTCGAGCTCACGAAGCGAGCTGTGTAATAAATTGATATACCGTTCCAATGTAGGTGTAAAAATGTGTAAAAATGTGTAAAAAAGTGTAAAAATTTGTTACAGACCTCTAACTAGACTGCTATATGAGGTGTACTATAATTCTATACGGTTAAAACCTATACTATAATATCGAGACGATTACATAAGGTACGGGGTGTGTCTTGTGGAGGTGTGCTTGTCGCATGTTTTGCTTTATTGGCCATCAAAAGCGTATACTGTAAATCAGATCGGATTGTTCAAAGGTTGTTCTACTTGTGTTGGAATTTTAATGTTATCATTCTGGAAAGAATTGAGAGAACGAGAAAAATCGAGTGCAAAGTAGAAGGCGATGTCGAATAAAAATGATATATACAATAAGAGATTTAGGAAGGTTAATGCGTTCATTAAAGCTGTAAATATTTATAGTTCCTACGAAATGTTGCCACTATATGTAAATTGAATTGAGGCTAATTAAAAAGAAATTCTTATTACTTAATTATGGTAGGTATAAGATGAAGTGTCTAATAAAAAATGTAGGTTTAAGATAAAGCAATTTACACGAAAAATTAATGAGAATTGAGGCAGATTTTTATAAAATTCTATAAATCCTATGAACTAGACATGTATTATACAATGTACTATACTGAATATACAGGGTGTTAATTAATTGAGTGCCAATACTTCAGGATGTGAATATTTCGATGATTTTAAGAAGAAAACCTCTTAACATCTTAGTTTTCGAGGTACAGGGTGTTACAGTTTTAGAAAAAATAAACTTTTCTATCATAATTTTCTTATTAGGTACTACAGATATTTTTATGAAATCTTGTACACACTTTTTAATTATTAAGGAGCATTTTTGAGGCAAACGATTTTTAAAAAATTTTACCAGTAACGTCCGTACGAGGTTTGAACTGAATATGTTTAAAGAAAAAATGGTACACCACTGCTTTTTCTAAAAACAAAAAAATATTTTTATAATCCTCATTAATTTTGGAGCAAATTCGGTCAGAAGACTTCGTAAGTATGACGCACCATTTTCGCATAAAAAAATAAAAACCCAGCATTTTTTCCCAACTTCATTAGAGACTGCTTTGATATTTTGTTGAAATTTGGTAGGCGCCCACCATGCATGGAAACACTTTTTTTTGAGGGCCAAAATTAATTTTCTACTATTACCAGTGACATTCACTAAATTTCATAAAGATATCTGGAATAATAAGAAAATTATGATAAAAAAAGTTATTTTTCTAAAATTGTAACACACTGTAGCCCAAAAACTAAGAGATTAAGGACATAAATTAATATAAACTTTTCTTCATAAAATCATCCAAATATTCACATCCGGCACTCAATTAATTAACACCCTGTATTAATAAACTATTCCCAATCTCCAAAATCTAGATCAAACATAATCTGCTTTACTGCTTCTAGACATGGCAATTATTAATTATATAATGGGTTTGTACTTAGAACTTTTTATCGACTGTAATACGAGCTACTTAAAATTTAATTAGCATACACTTGTAACAGCGCGGTACTTTATCGAAAAAATCGAATTGCTCAATGTTATAACACTGCTCCGAATCTATCAAATTTGCTCCGAATATTTCAATTAGGGTCACAATTTTCGGTGATAAATTGCATAAGTGCGGCCGGAATGGGACAACACCCATGTGATTAGTTTTGCCCATGGGTGTCCGATTTTTCATTACCACCAATTGTCGGTGAATGCTAATGCGATCAATATAAAAATGCGTTTGGACAATTTTTTAATCAGTATTAGTTTAGTACTAGCCTAATAATATCATATTAACTAGTAAAAATGGCGTGTAAGGTGAGAATTATATTTTATATTATCTACTGTACTTAAACTTTTTATTGGAATTTCCGAAATTTATTTTTCAATTTTCATAATTTTCACAATCCATTTAAGGATTTTACTTGTAAGATTATCATCATTTATTGCATAGTTTATACTTATTTTCTCAATGAATTTTCCCTTTAAATTTGTTTTCTTCTCTATTATTACTAATTATGAAACGAATTGAAATTTTTAGGGAAAGCAATTTATTTTTATAGAATCCATTTAACTCAAGCTTCTTCGCCTTCTTTAAGATTATTTGTACTTTATTTTTGAATATCTAAGTAATTTTCTATTTAAAAATCTATAATCTGATTTATATTAATCATTTTTTTCTTTTTTTTTTCAAAGATAATTGCTCTAGTCCTCTTCGTAGCTTGTGCTCAAGCTATCCATTACGACGGACACGCAGCCACCTCATCCATCGTATTCAACGACAACCACAACACCGTCCACCACATCCAATCCGCCTATGCAGCTCCCGCCCACGGATACGCCGCACCCGCCGCCCACTACTCCCATCACGCCGCCCCGGCCGTCCACTACGCGGCGCCCGCCGTCAAAGTCGCCGCTCCCGTGCTCCTGAAGAGCGCGGCTCCCGCCCATGGACACGCCAGCTCCTACTCCAGCGTCAGCTTCGGCCACGACAACCACTACGCAGCTCCCTCTCACTACGCCGCCCCCTCTCACTACGCCGCTCCCGCGGTCGCCAAATTCGTCGCCCCGGTAGCTAAGGTCGCCGTAGCCGCTCCCCATTACCACGACAACTCCTACTCGACCTACGCCGCTCCCGCTGTTGCTAAATTCGTTGCCCCGGTAGCCAAAGTCATCGCTGGACCTTCCTACCACCACCACGAAGAACAATACGTAAGTAAACCATCCTAGTAATCATCTTGCTATATAAATATTTGATGATAGTGCTAGTGTTTGTCATGAATTCATTTGGATTATAGGCTCCAGCTAAATACGACTTCGCCTACGGTGTAGAAGACCACCACACCGGCGACATCCACTCCCACAAGGAATCCCGGGAGGGCGATGTTACCCACGGCGAGTACTCCCTTCACGAGGCTGACGGTACCATCAGGACTGTGAAATACAGCGTTGACAAGCACAGCGGATTCAACGCAGTCGTCGAAAGGTCCGGACACGCCGCTCATGCTCAACCAGCCAAAGCCATCATCGCTGCTCCGGTGATCAAGACCATCGCTGCTCCGGCTCCTTACTACCATCATTAGAGATTAGAGTCTGAGTCGCTCAATCTCTCTTGTTCTTGCTTACTGTTGTAAGTTGTATTTGTCGCGTTGTATCTTATTTATTTGTAATATAGTTTTTTGCAATTATTCATAGAGTTTTCAATTTTATTAGATGTTCCTATAGAAGGTATATTATTGTGGTAAGTATTTGGCGTAAAAGAAACAATAAATACAATAATAAACGATATATTAGATATATTGCTTGCATAAAACAACTATAATTGGTAATAAACTTTTTAATTTTAATAGTGCTGTGGCCCATACCCTGCATACGCGTTATTGTAATCATAACCGTAAGGTTTCTCGTAAATAGGTTTATCATAAACTACTTTTTCATAAACTGGTTCTAGAACCACTTTGTCGACGGGTTGCAGGAATACTTTTCCAACAGGTTCGGGGTGAATGGGGATTCCGTCTCTCTGGACAACGGCGTTGAAACCATTGTGGTCATCGGCAGTGTAATGAACAGTACGAAGAGTTCCATCAGGATCAGCTACGGTGTAGTAGCCCTTGACTACGTCTCCGTCTCTTTCTTCGTGTTGAGACTTGTGGTCTCCAGTGTGTGGGTCGTTGACACCGTAAGAAAATTTGTACTTTGGGTAGCCCTTAAAATAACTCACAAATTAGAAGGAAACAAGAAGTACAAACAAGGGTAGATATTAGGAATGAACGATGGATATGAAGGAACTAAGTAAGTACTATAGCTAAGTTTTAAAACATTTTTACATACGTATTCATCATATTGTTTTCCATAACTGGCCGGTCTGTAACCATAATCGTAATCCTCGTAATTACCGCCTTGTTCGTATTTAGGTAAACCATAATAACCATTATTGATTTTATTAAATGAGGTAGCTGCACCGTAATAAGGAATATACTCAGCTTCGCACATAACAAAGAATATTACAATTAAAGATATCTGAAAATTGAGAAGAAAATAAAAATTACTAACAATTAATGATTGTAAAAACACTAATTTAACTAGAAAATTGCACTTTTCACTCACTTTTGCCAGCATTTTTCTGCACTTAAAATTGTCAATCGTAAAACAAGCAATAAACTGTACTGAAATAGTGCTACAACTTCCTGGTATTTATATTTCATATCGTTCACCCTAGACCTTCAAACTTTAACGAATTTGAGTCAAAAAAACTCATCGTCACAGATCACAGGAGAATTCTCTAATTTGAATGTTTACCCAACATACACAGCGAAAAAATCTATTAAATATTAACCCAAATCATTGAATATATGCAGAGGAGAAACAGTGGTAGCTCAAATATTAATACATATGAATTGCCTTTATCCTTATCATATAAACGCCACTTCCAATTTAGAAGCTGTATTTTATTAATTTTACAAACTACTATATTGAGATTTTTTTAATTTGTTTTAATTTTGGTTATGATTTTAAGGAAGTAATATCCATTAATGCACGCTACTGTTATCTAAGGTTAATGTGGTTTTATTAAAGTTTTTGTTAGCGCAAACTAGGATAAGAATGACAATGTTTTTCACGGCTAGTAGTTCAAATTAAATGTGGTGATTTATGTAACGGTGTTATATTATTTTTCATTTAAAATCTGTTAATTGCACATTAAGACATGCGATTTTAACAAATAATTCTACACGTCAATTAAACATGTGAATGGTAATAATAAGGTCAATATCAATTATTATATTGCAATTTATGAAAATTTGTAAGCTAACTAATGACAGTAAGACCGTGCAACAAGCAATTACAAAATAGCCTGGTAAACACAAGAATTTTACGGTTATTAACATTATTAATTACTGGGGTAGAACATTTGGGTAGGAATTGTTATCAATCTTTGTTTGCACTACTTGCAGACTTCTTTGAGCCAAGATCCCATCATTTCGTTCATTGTGAAGAAATATTAAAAATATTTGTCAATTTCTTTCATTATTAGTAGATTGATTTCGATAAATAAAAATGATTTTACTTCTTTTGTAAGCAACAATGTAACAGTATAAACGATTTATTGAATTGTGAACATTATTTAAATAATTCTGGAGTACTTTCTCCTTAGAACATTTTGAAACTACTCTTAAGATATAGTACAATCTGATTTACGAAATCGGTAATAATAATATTAATTTATTGTATAAAATTAGGGAGGAATTTTAACTATTAATTACGAATTCTTAATTGGTCATTTCAAAATATTGTATTATTTATTCTTATTTTTAAATGGTAATAAAAATAAGAATTTCTAATTCCCAAAAAAGTTAAAATATACGTATGTACAAGTACTTTATAAACAGATAAATAATAAGGATATAAGAATTAATCAAACTGATTAATACTATAGTTCCTTCAATTATTATATAATTTAATGATAGCATACCCAGATGTAGGATATTCGTTTTTGCTAAAAACAAGATACAAGAAATAAGGTAAGCAGTAAAGATTTAAATTGGCTCCATTGAAGCGTAGAAAATGAATTTTGGTTTTAATGCTATTATTTTTAACTACTATATTACGTAATGGATAGCTATTATACATTCATTGATTACACACTGAACTCTCTTTGAAGTTATTGTTTAACTATCTCACCATTTTTAATTAAATTAACTGCAATACTATTTGTGTAATTAAATTGTAGTAAATTAACACTAAAAATTGCATTCATTTACGTGTTAAACAGTGTTATAGTTAACGAATCTAGTACTTACTAATCCTTTAGAAAATTATTTTTTTATTAATAATAGGTATTTTTTATTAATAAATTTATTAATAGGTATGAATTTTTCACATTTTTTATACAGTATGTAACAAATGAAAGGAATAAATTCATTATAATAAAATTGGTTGGTTTTTCGAAAAAACGCTCGGACAGGTCAATTTTGTTTACTAAAAGCGCAATTTTTCAAAAAGAATTTAAGTTTCCTCCACTTACCATTCTTGGGCAGTGACGTCATTGACGATTTTTTTAAATAGTAACACCAATTTTTTTTTTTGATTTTGATACATCTTGCATTTTCCTACTCGGAAACATATTATTTGCAATATCTTGCATAACAATTTTTTGAATAAAAGTCATTTAAAAATCGGACACATAAATAATATGTTTCCGAGTAGGAAAATGCAAGATGTATCAAAATCAAAAAAAAAATTGGGGTTACTATTTAAAAAAATCGTCAATGACGTCACTGCCCAAGAATGGTAAATGGAGGAAACTTAAATTCTTTTTGAAAAATTGCGCTTTTAGTTAACAAAATTGACCTGTCCGAGCGTTTTTTCGAAAAACCAACCAATTTCATTATAATGAATTTATTCCTTTCATTTGATACATACTTTATAATAAAATTAGTGATTAAGTCATAATTAAATATTTAATAATCAACAATTTACAGTACATTTTAAATAGTATCTAAATCAACTAAATAATAATGGTGTTAGTGTAAAAACTAAACTCAAAGAATCTAAAATAGAATCTGAATTCTGTTCCTGTTACTAAATCGCATAGGCGTCTTTGGAACTTTAAACTGCTGATATTCGATCAATCCATTTTATTAAACGCGTTCGGAGTTCCTTGCAAGTTCGATATTTATATAAAAGGAAGTCAGTCACATATCAATTCGTGTATTTCTGTGACAACTAACCAAAGGTCTATAACAACAAGCAAATTAGTTAAAATGATATCAAAAGTAAGACATTTTATATAATATTTAACATATAAAACTAGTGTGTATATTTTACAGGTCATTGGGGTGCTTATTTTGTGCGCAACAGTGTACAGCGAGACTGAATCTTATATTAAGTCTACTACAGACGGGTATTCAAACTATGGACAAAACTTCCCACTAGCCTCAGGTAAACCTATATTCCGATGGGTTACTCGTAGCATCCTCAAGCTAAAAAACGATGGCGAGCCGGAATATCCCACCTATACTCCTCTGGCACACGGAAAAATAAAGAAACGCGAAGTGCGAGATTACTTCTTAGTATGTATGAGTGTTGTTATTTGTTGAATATTTTGAATATTGCTTATTTGTAGACGCCAGATGATAACGGCATCCCGCGAAGCTCGCAGAATGATTATGCCGGTGATACCAAGGAACAATGTAAATCATCGGAAGAGGACTCTAATAAAGACATGTTTTTAGTTATTGAGCCGGATGGAAATATTCGAATGGTCAAGTATGTGAAAGATGATCAAAGCAACATGATAATTATCAAGAGGATTGACAGCGAAAAAAATAGCGGGTCTGGCAGTGAAAAACCATTTGTACCGATTCTAGCGGAGTATTTAGGTTTGGAGGAATCCTTGCATTAATTTTATTGTGATGTGATAACCTTTATTTAAAATTTTATTTTAATACGTCCAAGGAGTTCTGGAGATTCTTAGTGGAGTTCTGGAGGATGTTACTAGAGTTTTCTACCAAAGATGTATTTCAAGATGAGAATGATGCTAAATATTCATTGAATAACATGTATACACTTATAACAATTAAACGTTTGGTATGAACTTATTTATTTAATTAGCAAATAGTATAAAAATTTATCAATTTATTAAACAACAAAAAAGTCTGCTAATCTGGAATCCAGAACAAACGGCAGACCAAGAATTATATCACTAATTAAACTAGAATCCCATTAACAGCATTACAAATCCAAATTATTAACATACTCTATATGTATTTTAAAACACGTTCGTCCACAGCCGATATGTTAAACTTAACTATTAGGTAATACCTGAAAATCAATCAAATACTTGTTACACATTTTCGAAAAATTATTACAGGTTTTAAACCTGCTGAAACCAAAAAAATAGTGCAGCCTGTTTTGAAGTTCTTATTATGTGACTATATTAGTGTCCCAGTGGTGTAGAAGGAAGAGTCGAAGTTATTAAATTAACGAATGGATTTTTTTTTCATTCGTATGCTTTCATTTCACATACCTCTTATATTATTGGGGTACTTTTATTAAGATGCAAAGGACTATTGAAGAATATATGATAATTTAGCGTTAATTAAAAACTAAATACGCTCGCCTTTATTGACTCGAGCCACCTATGTCTGTACTCGTTTTGATCAAGTTTTCTAACAACCACAATGCACTTATTTATTATCAAATCTATTAATAATGTAGTGAAGGTATTTATTCAAATTTGGAACCAGGTACTACATATATAAGCGGAAAATCGCGTCAATGATAACAGTATCTGGTGAGATATAGCAAGAACAAAACCATGTTTGCTAAGGTAAGTTATCCAGCTTTAATTTTTATGTATTTAATTTATTAAATTTATTTTGCAAATTCAACATAATAAAGAATCTGTAGATAATTGGGAAAATGCAGAAATATGTGTTTAGGTATTTTTTATAATTCTTTCAGATTGCAGCAATTTCCCTGTTAGTAGCCGCTGCTAATGGACTTGCAATTTCGGTAGCAGGCGGTGGACTAAATCTTGGAAATGGTCTCCTTAATGACGATCTCCTCGACCATGGACTCTCTATTTCACAGTCACCCATAACCATTGCCCACCAACCCTTAACTATTGCTCACCAGCCAATAGCTATTAGCCAGCCACTCGCCATTGCTCATCAACCTCTTGCCATCGCTCATCAACCTATTGCCATTGCTCATCAGCCTGCAGTAGATCTTCATGTGAGTCATAACCAAATTATTCATCATACTTTGGTTAACAAGCATTTTTTTAATTTTTAGGCACCAGCGAACTACCAATTCAAATATGGCGTGCACGATCCTCACACAGGAGACAACAAGCAACAATCGGAATCTCGAGTTGGCGATACAGTTAAAGGGGAATACTCCTTGGCAGAACCTGATGGTACGATCCGAGTTGTGAAATATACCGCGGATCCGCATAATGGTTTTAACGCTGTTGTGAGTAGAGTGGGACACGCAGCCCATCCGCAAATCCTTCGTAAATCCGTGGCTGTTGCTGCTCCAACGTTGGTTTCTGCTCATGGATTGGGTTTGGATTTGAGACTGCATTAATTCCAGTTTGATAGTATGCGTTCAAATTTGAATATGATCAGTTTTTTTAATTATGCTGTATACTGTACCTATCGATTTTATTGTAGTACCTGGTTTTCGATGAACACTTTTTCTGTCGAATATTTATAGCTTAAGTGTAAAAAATATTTGCTTACCCATCGTTGCTTATCCCAGTCTTAAGATTTTTGTATTTATGTACCTACATTTTTTTTAATAAATATTTTTTATGATTGATATGGTTTGTTGAGTTGCTTTACTCGATATCTTTATCCAATGATACTTTTATTAAGGGAAAATTATTAAATTATAGATCATAATATACCTACAATCTTTAGTAATGAGTCTAAAAGCCACTCTGATTTCCATCGAAATCTAAAACCTTGAAAGCCTTATAAACTGAAAGCAGGGTTCTCCTACTATGTAATTATTATTTTTTTATTATGCAATGGGCTCATTCAAATCAACCCGAGTAAATAGCTTTTGCCCAATATAATTAGCATTGTATGAACAATATAATTACCGATAAAATATTTTCTCTAAGCGAAACGTCTACTTGCTGCTAAAGATCGGTCAATTATTTTTTTATAAGAAACAAACTCATCTAGTTTTATTTATTTTTTACACCTAAATCTTTTATAAGGTATTATTGGTAGATATGTACCATAAAAGCAAAATCTTTTGCAATATGGTCATTTCTATGAGTAGAAAAAAGAAAGGTTATTAAAATAACAGTAGTTGGATTGAGATAGTTGCATTTCCACAATGTCACTCTTTCTTTTTCCTTTATAAGTGTCTAATGGAAGTTGTCTTTGTTGTACCCATAGATCATATTGAGTAAAAATTTACACTTATCTGTATATAGAAATCAAGTAAAATCAAGTAAAGTGTGAAAATATTTGAGGAACTATCATGATTTACGATTATGACATATGTATATGTCGGTAGTAATCAATGCATAAATATCTAATAATTGAAACTAATTATTAAAAAAAGAAATTTTTAACACGTAATGCGTGTCTACAAAAAATAATATTCTTGCCTAATCAGTAACACGAAATTTTAACGCACATTTAGCAAATAGTGTAACTATACGAGGGATATTAGGAAATGTAGAAATATGTATATTTTCGCTTTTTATAAGTAATTGTTTTAGGATACAAAAGGCGTATTTTTAGTTAATTTTCATTAATTCAAATATAATTTTAATAAAAAAATCTGTTATCAACCGTCTAGGTGAAATATTATACAGGGTGCTTTATTGATAAATAAGCAAATTAATTAGGTTGTAGAAGGTTGAAGATGCATGTGTTATTCCAAAGAAATACCCTATACGAAATATTATATTGTTCAATATGAACTTATACATTTTTAAACACAAAATTCTTAATATTCTACTTCTTCAGATATTTTTTAACACCTGTATACAAAAATATATATAATTTGGATCCATCAAACCGTATCGTCGATCATAATCACCTCCTAATTTTGTTAGAAATTATACGAAAACTAGGTAAGTATGTGAATGTTTTACGTGGTTATCCGGCCAATTTCATTCGATCGAAAAAAAAATCATTGGGTGGTTGCGCGTTGTGTTGTGTTCATGTTCCATGCTCAAAAAATCATTGCCGGTATTTTTAAATAATGAGCAGAAGGAAATAGTGAAGGGGCGTTTGCAATATGCAATTTGCATCGCTGGGCATATAAAAGCATGATGGATATTGGGTTAGGATCAGTTTAGACAGGTAGTGCTTATTTTGCAGTGCAAATACAAAATGATCGCGCAGGTACGTTGATAACTCGATATCTAATAAGAGGGTTGCGTTAAAATATTTATGCTATTTATATTCAATACCTACCGGTTATTTAAATAGTATTTTTTAGTGAATATTTTTGAAAACGTTATTTTTCTACAGTTTGTTACAGAAAAGGAGAGATGAAATGAAAAGTAAAGTCATTGTTCATGTTTAAGAGTGATAACATTTCTCATACACTAATTTGTTATTTTACAAGGGTGCGTGATAAATATTTATGACTTGATTTTTTAAACCCAAATTTTTGAAATGTTCATTTCATTGAACCCTTTTTGGTACACCCGTCACCCTATACATTTATTTTATATTAATACGTTCTTAAGACATTGTTAATAGATTGTTAATTGATTTTAGGTTGTATTCTTCACTACTTTCTTGGTAATGACGCAAGCAGGGTATTTTGGAGAAGGGCACGAAGGAGATTTAGGTCTCGAAGGGCATCATCATGCTACTTCCTATATCAGTGGACATGGCGTTGCTATTGCTGACCACAAATCTCACCCTCACGTTGAACACCATGTAAGCATTATTTTCCATACAATTTGAGTTGCCTGAAAATAAGTTATTAATTAGATAATCTCGCCCTACTTTACTTACCCTACTGTACAGTTTTGTTGATAAATGGTTTCTTGTACAGGCGCCTCCAAAATACGAATTCAAGTACGGCGTCGAGGATCTCCATACTGGGGACGTCAAGGAGCAGGACGAAAAGAGGGAGCACGATTTCACGCAGAGCAACTACTTCGTGGCCGAAAAGGACAGGAAGATATCGGTGAACAGGATAATTTCCGGAGCGGTGCCCATACCGATAGCGAAATGGTAGAATTAATCGTTTTTCGAAATGTGAATGAAGAAAACTGCGGCCTGCGCACACGTTTTCTGGTTATCGTCGTTGTTTCTGTGTCAATGGTACTTCGAATTGCTCAATTATTGTTAGCTTTTTTTGTACAATTACGTTTGTTAAACGTTAGATATAATATTTAAATGAATAAAGTTTCTTAATTATTATTTAGAGGATTTTTAAAAGAGAGTTAAATACCAGAGAAACTAATATGTTGAATACAATTGAATAATATTGTACGATTTAATAAAGTTTTAGATAACACTGTGACAAAAAAGTATCCGGAAATTCGGATATAAATTAGCTGCACTTAATATTTTTAACTATTTAAGTTTCTCTATGTGGGTAACACTGTTTTTAATTAGCATGCAAAAAATTAGAGAGATTTCTCAATCAGTTTTCGACCTCTTCAGACAATGATAAAGGCGAGACAATTAAGGAAATTGAGTTCAAAAATCATCATTATCATTGATCAGTTAATACCTTAAGGAACTACGAAGAATAATAAAGAGAATGCAAAATTCCAGTGTGAAAATTTGCAGACTTTAGATTAAAACATTCTATTTTATTTTTTAATGTTTATTATAGGTAGGTATGCGGTTATAAAACTATAAATAAGTAAAAACATGAATATAAGCTCAACAAAAAATCTATATCGCGATACATAACAAAGCAGTCTATTTTTGATGGTTGTTAACTTAATATCCACTCGAGTATCCACCCTTTGCCACTAAGGGAATGCTTTTACTGATAATTCTTGATACGGAGATTTTCCTGTCTTTTTCGGCCAACGAGTATTGACTTTTTGTTAAATCGTCTAATCGAGATTCGGATTGTTCTTTCAAATCGCCGGTGTGAGGATCTTTAACTGCATATTTGTATTCGTATTTTGGAGGTGCCTGTTATCAAAGAACATACAACATTTAATAAAATAATTCAAATCTTTAGAACAAGAAAATACAACAAACTTTGTTACACTTTTCATAGGGGATAGGGAATAGGGACACATTACATATTAAATATAAAATTTACTTACTATCCGCTCAATTACAGTTTCTTTTCCAGCAAGAGCAATTCCAGAACCTCCAATTGAAGATATAGCCCCTCCATAACCTCCTTCATCAAGTAATCCTCCGTGGACTGTTACTAAAAGAGCTGCTAGTACTACCCAAGCCTGTTACATAAAGTAAGATATAAATAAATAAAAAATAGAAAAAATTAATAATACATATTTGAGACAGATCGTTTTTTGGGAAATTAAAGAATAATATACCTAACTTTAAACTTCTACGTACAAAATTTCATTATTCAAGCTTGAAATATAGGTTAGCTAAAAATTTTTAACACCTTAAAAATAGACAAATATGTAAGTACAGGGAGGCCCATTTAATAGTCCAAGCATGTGGAGAAATAATCCGAAATGTTCGGGAACATGTTGAGAACATGTTCGAGAACATGATGAACAAAGACTTTATTACTGCATGGAAGTATAAATGTGTTTATTTAACTTGTTTGGAAACTTTTTTTTTCGGTTTATTTCACCGACACTACCAACTGATGTTTTAAATTAATTTTAACACAGACCAAAAATGTCAGCATTAAAAAAAGAATTGAAATACCTTTAAAATTAACAATATAAATAATGCAATGATTTTGCACGTTCATTTTTCGGTATTATTTTGAAATTTGCATCAAAAGGACCTTTTTTCATTTTTTTTGAGCATTTCAAAATTTTCACTCTTATTTTTTTCGCAATCTTTATGAAATTTGCATCAAAAAGTGAAGTAACGTTTAGAAAGGGCTCTTAGCTCATATTTTCATTAAAATTCTAAATTTTTCATTTTCATTTTTCGCTATTTTTTTCGGTAAATACGCCAAAAATTACTCAAAAATTGCAGGTTGTATATAACCCGAGCTTAATCATTCAACAGGAATGTCAATTGAATACTTCATTAAAGAATAATAAATTTAGATCAATCACTTACCTTAGCGAACATTTTCCTGTGTGAAAATTTTCTGTGAAACAACTGACTTTAACTACAAGAGACTTTAGTGAATACTGATATAAATTTTCAGATTTGCTTGAATTTATATAGTACCTACTAATTTGTATTCACATTCACTCTCAAAATCTAGTTTAAAATAATTGGAACTTGTAAAATTTTGTGTTTATGACGCAGCTGATGCAACTTTTCAGATAACTGCAGTAATAAGCCATTGATACCGATGGACATATTTGAGAAATTTGTCATGAAATCAAAAAAAGTCAGGTCAATTTTTGGTAAACACATGAAGGTTTTGTAGATAACAAAATTAAATCTAATACTTTGAATTTGATTTTTTTAATAAATGAGCATGAATTTGGGTACCTAGATATGTATTAATTCAAAATTTGTTTCTTATGAATCTGATCAAAATTTTGGATTTTTGATGTGGCTGATGCAATACTTCAGGTAACAGTAATAATAGAGTACCTACTTTTTGTTATCTAAATTGTTTTACTTAAATATTCTTTTTATTTATTTTATTTTTTGAATATTAAGTTTTGAAAATAAAATAGGATATCTAAAATTTATTTTTTGCTTCAGTAAAAAAAGAATTTAGTTAGGTCAAGTAAACGCAAAGATATTTTGGTGCTAATGCATAATTACATCCATAATTGCACTCGTTATTTCTCTAAAAACGTTAAATTTTCAAATAATTGAATAAATTTAGACATTTTAGTATCCTTATGTTCACTGAAAATCTGATGCAACCGATACATTTAAATCGCCATATCGATCGCATACGCCGCTTTAACTAACACATCAAATCTCTCTCTTGATATGAGGTAATTCGACAATTTTTCATTTAGAACCACCTGCGATTGCATATATAAAGCCAAATGGGTTCGAGTTTGTCAAATTACTGCAGTACCCGCCGTGAAGTACACACGCATTTTCAAAACAAAAATTTTGTGTTCACAGTACCAAAAAATGATTTCTCACGTAAGTGAAATATGTTACAAATTTTTAAATTACTTCAGCTAAGTTAAGTTTGCTAAAAGCTTTTTTATTGTACAGAGTGTCCATAATTAAAAGACAACGATAATTGAGTATCAAAAGTTGTAGTTTTTCACAGGCCTATGTCCGTTCTCTACTATTAGAAATATCTAAAAAATAACTATTAAAAATGTACCAAAATATCTTTACGTTTACTTGACCTAACTAAATTCTTTTTTTACTAAAGCAAAAAATAAATTTAAGATATCCTACTTTATTTTCAAAACTTAATATTCAAAAAATAAAATAAATTAAAAAAATATTTAGGTAAAACAATTTAGATAACAAAAAGTACTCTATTATTAATGTTACCTGAAGTATTGCATCAGCCACATCAAAAATCCAAAATTTTGATCAGATTCATACGAAACAAATTTTGAATTAATACTTATCTAGGTACCCAAATTCAAGCTCATTTATTAAAAAAATCAAATTCAAAGTATTAGATTTCATTTTGTTATCTACAAAACCTTCATGTGTTTACCAAAAATTGACCTGACTTTTTTTGATTTCATGAAAAATTCTCAAATTTATCCATCGGTATCAATGGCTTATTACTGTAGTTATCTGAAAAGTTGCATCAGCTGCGTCATAAACACAAAATTTTACAAGTTCTAATTATTTTAAACAAGATTTTGAGAGTGAATGTGAATACAAATTAGTAGGTACTATATAAATTCAACCAAATAAATGGTTCTGAAGCGTTTTAGATTGTTCTAGATGGTTCTAAATGTGTCTGGACAGTTTTAAATGGCTTTGTACAGTTCTACATCCTGGTAGTATACTACATTTGGATATAGGCAGTTTTGAGTTAAATTATCAACCACAACCACAATTTCTCTTATAATATTTATTACATTGAATTTGATTTCTGATCTTATCGTCTTAGGAGTTAAGCCTTGTCCCAAACTTTTTGCAACACCCATAAAACACACCAATTTCATTTAATAGGTAACAGTATTGGCTGTCTTACTGGTAGCAGCAACACACTGTGCAGCTGTAGAATACGGATTAGGACTAGGAGGACTTGGAGGAGGATTGGGAGGAGGACTAGGAGGTCTCGAATTGGGAGGCATCGCTTTGAAATCCGTACCAATTCCGTACCAATCCGTACCAATTGCGAAAGCTGAAGTTATCGACTCATACGTAAGTTAATAAAGCTTATAATTTGATAGCATCTGTCACCGCCTGTTTCTATTCCAGTCTGTGCCAAAATACGAGTTTAAATACGGCGTAAAAGACGCTAAAACAGGGGACAACAAAGAGCAGTCGGAGGAGCGCGTGGGCGATGTTGTTAAGGGGAAATACTCATTGGTGGAGCCCGATGGCACGATTCGCGTGGTCGAATATACGGCTGATAAAGTTAACGGATTCAATGCAGTGGTGAAACGAATAGGCAAAGCGTCTCACCCTCAGGTCGTTCAAAAGCAAATCGCTTTACCTCTCATTTCGAAAACTTATCTATCTGGAGGAATAGGAGAACTGGGAGGAATCGGAGGACTTGGAGAAATCGGCGGATTAGAGGGAAGGCTTGGAAAATATTGAAACCTTATTTGACTGATGTTTTAGAGCTCTTGTTGTATTACTGATCACCTGTTCTGAATTTTGTTTTTCTATCGATATGTTATTATTTAATCGTTATTTAAATATATATGTAATCAGTTTTTTTATATAAAAAAGCGTATTTATTCATAACCTGCAAATAATCGTTTATCACAACGAACAGCTGGTTAACGCAAATATACCCACTGCAGGTACTAACTTATCCTTTGCTTTAGACACGCTTTTCAAATTATTTAATTGCAAATTATTTATAGCGCTGTATATCTAGTCTTGTCATGAGCGCGAACGTTTTATTTAGTTATTTATAAATACTTACAGCTATTGAATTAGTCCCACATGTGTTCATATGCTTTTAGTGGGTTAACAAACAATTTATCATAAATATTCATTTGGAAATAAAGGATTACTCCTATTGCAATAGATAAATCTGGTTCGTATATGTTAGAAATTAAAAAATTAAGTAAATTAGAACAGAACTTTTAAAATGTAGTACAGATAAATAATAAAAAAGATCGCCCGAGCAGGGACTTGAACCCTGGACCCTTGGATTAAAAGTCCAATGCTCTACCGACTGAGCTACCCGGGCAGATAGTTTAGCTTGTTTACAATCCGTTAAAGAGATAAATATTATTATGCAACTTTAAAATAAAAGATTATAAATAAATTTAAAAAAAATGCAATACAGGGTGAGTCATAATACTCCTCTTAATTTATGTATCTAGATGGCAATTCGATGTCATAACTACGAAGGTAATACACCGTGCTTCATTCGCGATTGCAATATGGGCATTTCTATGAGTTGAACAAGGAAAGATGATTAAAATAACAGTTGTCAGAGTGAAAAGTTGCAATGACATAATATCACTCTTTCTTTTTCCTTTATAAATGTCTAATTGAAGTTGTCTTTGTTACACCCATAGCCTATGTTGCAATGAAAAATGGAGCAATCTGTATACAGTTTCTAATGCACAGCCACCGTGGAAAATCCTGTATAAACATAAACAGGTGATCCCAATTTTGAAAAAAATTTAAAAGTACGAAAATTTACATTTTTAATTCAAGAAAACTTACCGAATGAGTTCTTCAGAAAACACTCTCATGAATATTAAAATTCAACTCGAATGGCACTAATTACGCAGAATTTTCTAAAAACTAAAATCTTATTAATCTTATTCACCCATACATTTTATGCGTTACCTACTTAAAATTCGTGTATAATAATAAATATCTTAAATGGTCTAACGTGTAATAAAACATAAAACTTTAAGGAAAAGCAGTTAAATTAGTCTTTTAAACATTTTCTAGCATAAAAATACCACAAATAAGTTCATTGTGTCTTGTTACACTATAGTGAGTAGGTATAAATGCGTTGATACAAGTTCTAATAGTCTGTCCTATCGTTTTACCATCTTTGCGGTTTTGTATCTCATTACTGAAAATAGTCCATAACGAATCGATTGTGACTATTAACGAAATAAGTAATTTTTATCTATTTATTACAGAAATTTCTTTAGAAATATCCGATGGAGATAGGTACAAAGTTAATTATGTGGTGGAGTTATTGGAGTAGACCCAAACCAAAAGGAAGAGTGAAAAAGGTCTTAAAATATTTATTTCGATCGGAACGGACTCGGCCCGATAATCCTGTTATTTAATTAAATCCTCAATATTTTCATACATTATAATATCTATTAATCATTGCAGTGTCCCTTATTTAGGTAGTTTATTGATAGAAGCTCATTGATCTATTACAATTAGGTAAAAACTTTATAGGTATACACAATTAATTAAAAAATATTTAGAAGTACCTATTCTGTAAGATATACTCTTTTACATTTCGAAAATTGTATTATTTGTATTTTATTCTACAAAATAAGGTGTCCCATTTGATAAAATTTGGTTAATGTGAATTGAAAAGAGAGGATTTTTGATTAAACACCCTTTATTGGTTATATACAATTTATATGTTATTGTAACAAAACGTATAACAAAATAAAAGATATCTGCGAAAACCGCTTGTTTTTATGATTAGGCGTTTAAAAATTATGAGCTGATTAAATGGGCTACTTTTCATTGGGACACCCTGTACAATTTTACTCCAAACAGGCACATCTTAAATCGAACTTAGGTCGTTGTAACTCGGCGGCTATTTCTTAATTTCGTATTCCGCACCCGTAACTATGTGGTTTTGTTTATAGATTATGAAATTATTAACTTTATTAGATTGCCATCTCTGTCACGTTCCAAGCATATATTAGATAACATCCAGCTAGTTTTTCCACAGTTTCGAAAAATCAAATGGTGTGGCGAATGCTATTGGTTCCGGAAAATGTTACATAAATTTTTTATATAAAATTATTGGGTTTGTGTATAACCTTCCAGTACCTGTGCTAAATTCGCCGCCATCAACACATCAATATGCGCGTAGTTTTGGTGTTACTAGTAAGTGTTGTTTGTTAAATTTGTGAACTCGATAAACAAACGTTTTTGTTATACTAGGTAACATATTTCCTTACAACGAGACATTTGGTATGGGCAGAAGAGTCGGAATCAGAACCAGAAATCGAAGGAGACGTCGAGGAAGATGGGGAATTATCAAATGAGAGAATAGAAGAGAATCATGTAAGAAATAATGATGAAAATGAAGATGTTCATAATAATGATGAAAGTGAAAGAGAAAGAGAAAATGAAGCGGAAGAAGGAGAAGAAGGCTTCTCTTATCACAAGCTGGATAGACCGTTCATTGGGGAAGCAAGGAAGGTTATAATTCCCAATACAAATCCATTGAGATCAGGAACCAATACTGTAGACTATGTGGTAAATTTTAAAAGAATACTTTAAGTTTCCCAAACTTCCCTAAGTTGATGATCTCGAACTATACTTTTCGGTAATTTTAATCGTTTTAGGGGAAGCCAGACTATTCCTTCAGTTACGGAGTCCACGATGATAAATCCAAGAATTCTCACGTTCGAAGTGAGAAAAGGGACGGTGATACCCTTCACGGCGAATACAGGGTGCTCCAACCAGATGGATTCGTTAGAATAGTTAGATATTCGGCACATCCTACGACTGGATTTCAAGCGCACGTTTCGTACGCTAAATATTGAAAATAATTTCACATACATATAGGTACACATAAGTGCAAATTCGTACGCAATATGGTCTATGAGCGCAACAAAGACAACTTTCATTGGTCTCATATAAAGGAAAAAAGGAGTGTTTGTTGTGGGATTGCAACTTTCTTACTCTAATAAATGTTGCTTTAATAATCTTTCTTTGTTCAACTCATAGAATTGACCATATTACAAATAAAAAACCTTCATGCACATACACATCAGTGCAAATTTGCACGCAATATTGTCTATGGGTGCAACAAAGACAAATTCCATTAGTCTCATAAAAGGGAAAAAACAGTGATGTGGGGGATTGCAAATGTCTCACTCTAACTGTTTTTTAATAAACTTTCTTTGTTCAACTCATAGAAATGGCCATTTTACAAACTTTTATGATGCGCCTACACATAAGTGCAAAATTGTACGCAATTTGGTCTATGGGTGCAACAAAGACAACTTCCATTAGTCCTATACATAAAGGAAAAGAAAAAGTGATGTTGTGGGATTGCAACTGTATCACTCTAACCACTGTTATTTTAATAATCTTTGCATAAATGACACAATTTGAGCACTAAATATTTCAGATTTTACGAAAGTTTTCTCAAAAATCTCACTATGTATACACTTTTAAGCGACAATTTATACTCAAAATTTTCATTCGCACTTTTAAATATATTTCAGATAAAGAAATTTGATGATTAAGTATAGTGAGCTCCTGAACATGTCCGCCGTTTAAGAACGTGATACATGAACCCCTAATTTTCAATTTGTTCTTGTCATTTTGCAATTTTTTGACAATTTTAGAAAATTCTTAGTTTTTGTAAACTCTTTAGAAGTTCGGCAACAATGCCTACTTGTGAGGTAGTAAATTTTAGGTGACGTGCAAGTGACTTTGTTTTGCACAGTTACACAATGTTACAAGGAACTCTAGTTTTAACAGTGTACTTATCAGTATTTTTTTTATTTGTTGGCAATTTACAATAATTTTTTGTTATTTATTTTAAAAGTAATTAAAGAATTTAATAAAATTTACTTATAAAATTATTTATAACACATTTCATTCACCCTTTTGCTTGCTTGAATATTGTTTAGATAATTGAAATATTTACAATTCTACTTATACTTGCATAATCAAATTTAAATTTGGAAAATAAAATGTAGAAGTAAGACCATAGACTATAAGAAACTTTAGTGTCGAGACTGCTGCCATCTGCCATCTTCTATTCTAACCATGGAACGCTAAATTCTCAGATTTCTCTAAAGAATAGTGGTGACACTTGACACTACTGACAGATACGTCAAATATTTTATGTGCAAGAGAGATGAGAGATGGAGTAGAATTTTAAGAATTTTAGAATAATAAATAAAATGTGTGGTGTCCAGAAGTGTATGATTTGACGATTTGAGAAAAAAGAGCGAAAGACTTTCGAAGGTTACGCATCGACTCTAACTAAACAAACACGTTTCATTGCTTCGAAGTTCGTTTACTCAATATGTGAAGTTTCTAACATTATCCGAAAGTAAGTGTCTTCTCTACGCCTACAAGAGGTTATATTTTGATCAATTTGTATGCTTCCTGCATAACAATAAATTTATTTGCATCGCACGTACTTAATATACAATGATTTAATGAATAAGTTTATTCGCACCACGTTCTAAACGAAATCATGACTTCCAGATACAAACTGATAAATTCCGCTTATGTTCATCTTCCAACAACTATTGTGATAAATAAATTGTTGCTTATTCCTTGTGAATCTCAGTTCTCAGTTCAGTATTGAACGTTTCGGTATTGTGTCAACATGTGCTCTATGTTAAATCGAAATAATTGAGTAAAGTTCGTTCCAAGGCAGAATCTTAATAATTGGATTTATATTTACTTTAAAGGTCTGTTGCACATACACAAGTTTAAAATATGTATTTGTGGGATGACTCTGATGAGTCTTTATAGCAAATATACAGGGTGTCCCGCATAAGAATCAACACAAAGCAGGAACATGTAGGGGAGCTTAAAATATGTTGTTTAATTCAAATTAACATAATACAAAGTTATACTCTTGAGAAGTTATAGTGCTTTAAAGTGGAGTTTCAAATTTAAAATCAACTTGATATCTCGGTATAATACTAAAACTTAAAATAACTAAATTTGGTATACATTATGAAAGTATTAAGAGCATTAATCGATAGTTCGGAGAGATCAATTGATGTATTTTAAAGGGTTCATCAGGGATGATAGTCCCTTAAAATGTTACAGAATTTTTGTACTTGATGGTTAATTTAAAAAAATTTTTGTTCATTTTGAAGGTAATTTCATTTTAAAACTTTTCATTCTTTTTGTTCTTTAATATTCCTGGCCGTGTTGATGAAAAACGCTAATAAATAATGTCATGTAGTTACACTATAAATGTTACTTAAAATCGTCAATAATTCAAAAGTTGGCTGTGTTAAGTTAAAGTTGGATTAAACAATATACCTATTTAAGGCTCCTCTACATTCTCCTGTATATTATCCCCTGTATATCACCCTGCATATTTATACACAAAATTAAATACTTATCGATTTTTTAAACAAATTGGGATGTACATATTTTTATAAGCTTTATTGGTGCCGGTCTAGTATGCGGTCTACCGTAATATTTGCAGTCTACCAACATATTTCGTCGCCCAAGTACATTTAAATATTTTGACAGGTGTCATATTTTGCAAAACTGAAGACTGGTTGTAAACATGTCCAAAAAAACTGCAAATATTTGTTCATTTAAACTTTTTTTTATCTCGTACAGTTTCTGAGATCATCCCGGTACTAAACATCGAAAAAAACTCACCCTGTATAATTCTGATACTTCCAAAATTGTCCATAAATGTAATACAATACCTGTAAAATTCTTTTTTTGCTTAAAGAAGGGTCAATTTTCGAAATATTGCTGTTACACTTTGTATAAAATAAATTTGGGTAGACCTCATATTAAACCAGATACGGTAGGGTAGACCGCAGACTAGACTTACTTATTAATCCACTTATGAACCATTTAAAACAATCGTTAAAAGAATAAATAACAATATAATTAAAATGCAAGTCTAGTCATAAATTAACAAAACCGCAGAACATCGATTACCCGATTAAATGTGTCATTTTTATTTTTCAGGTTTAGATTACTAATCTGGAGAAGCGTGAAGTAATGTATTTAAAATGCGTTAGTTTATTTAAAAGCTACAATGGCATCTTGGATAAGGCCCTTGACGATGGCAAGAAAATGCGTGTGTACTGATTTGCAAATTTGGAAGCACAGTAAATGGAGAGCAATTGATAAGCGCAGATAATAATTAGTAAAACGCTACATTCCACTCGTGTGCCATATAATCATACATTATATTAAAATAACCAAAGTTTAAATAAACAATAGTATTAAAATCCAGTGTAGGATGGCTGAGGACTCCAGGCCCCTGTTGGGCGCCGGCGGAATTTCCAGATTTCGCTCGTTCCATCAGAGAGTTCGCAAGAAGAACAACTGGATACTTAGACCTTCAGCTTTAAGAAAATGCGTTTTTGCCATTATATTTTTTTCAGTCATCCTGATTATTATTTATTCAAGACAAACTCGCTCACCTTATTTAACCAAGTAAGTCTGACTGTTGTTTATATTGCTTATCTTACGAGTATAGCTCAACATTTCAGGTTAAAATAAGGAAATACTTTAGAAATTCACGATTTTTTTGACGTAGTTTAATCTATTATTAACTGCATGTGTTTTATTGAATTTGAGTTACACTTAACTCTCATCACTATTTATTTAATTTAATTTAACAGTTAATTATAATTTATTAATGTCGTTGCTTATACAGGGTGTCCCGTGTAAGAACCGATACAGAGCAGAGGCGTGTAGTAAAATATCTTGTTTAACCCAACTTAACTCTAAATACCGTCAACTTTTGAATTTTATCGACGATTTTTCGGCGGTTTTTCATCAAAACGAAAAAGAATTTTAAAAAACAAGAAGAATAAAAAAGTTTTAAAATGAAATAATAATTTTTTAAATCATCCATCAGGTAAAAAAATGCTATAACATTTTAAGGGAGCATCATCAATGCTCTTAGTACACTCATAACCAAATTTAGCTGTTATAAGTTTTAGTGTTACTAAGATATTACTTTTTTTAATAACTCCTTTAAAGGCCTATAACTTGAAATCATGTTTTTCATTTGGGAAAATACGTTTATTATTATTTATTCTCATTACACACTACTGCCAGAGTTGTTTGTGTGCTAACAATTGTAATAAAAACGTTTATTAAAATACATTTATTCCAAATATATGTCAATATTTTGTAAAGTAAACTTGTCCCTGACATGTCCATTCAATAATCTCAACTATTTCAAATAGGAATTCATACATACATACATACATAAATTATTGCAATAATTTTAAAGTTACTGTGTATATATTCTGGCATTTTTTTAATTGGAAATTCTACTACGTGCCATTATATTAGTTATTCCATGCTTAAAGCTAGTTTAAAAACAGTGATCCACACAAACAGCTGTAATTGACTTGATGTTCTATAAAAATCTCTGATAATTTTATTTTTCTATCCATAAATACGTAATGCAATTTACGAGCTACTTTAATTAGATAAGCATTTGTTGATATTTACCTAACGAAACAGATGTGCATTTCATTTTTAGCTTTAAACTAATAAACACCAAAATGTTTCGAAATGAGATAAAATAAAAATACCATTTCGGGAAATAGCTGTTATAATGAAAATGTTTAATTAAACCAAGTTAATAAGCAATAAATCATTGTTTATTAAAATTGTTTGAAAAAATATTTGACATACTTTTGAATTTATGCGCTACTTATCGCTTATGCAAGTTAAATCAATTGTAAAGATTAAAGGTTATTGTAACACGACCATATGCAATTAATTTTATGTACTGCCAATAGACTTGATGTTTAAATTTTATATTTATTGCATTGTAATCGCTTGTTGGGCTTGTTTACCATTATCATTTAATTAAATTTTAACTTGGGCATATTATGATAACAACGATTTTAAATGTATCGTGGATGTATGGTGAATGCAAGTACAAGTTTATGATTCATTTCTTTCTGCAGATTATTCAATTATGCTATTTATTTATATTATTTTACATTTGATGAAATATTTTAAATTTCAAAAGTGTCCTGAATAAGTTCTATGAATGCTTCTTTGATCATGCCAAGTTTATCAGAATTATATCAAGTTCAAGGTTGAATTTTAATTTATTCAGTAATATGAAATTTGTTTATAAATTGTACTCAAAGTATCCTTGAACAATGGCATATTGTAATACAGAGTGTTCATGTACAGGGTGTCCCGCATAAGAACCGATACAAAGGATGGCCATTTAGAAGAGCTACAAATATGTTGTTTAACCCATCTTAACTTAATACAAAGTTATATTTCCTAAGAGGTCTTCAAAGAGAAGTTATAAATTTAAAAAGAAAAATTAATATCTCAGTAAAACAAATAAATTTGGTATAAGTTATGAGTGTACTAAGAGCATTAATTGTTAGTTAGGAGTCATCAACTGATGTATTCTAAAGGGTTCATTTTTTAAAGGGTACACAATTTTTAACGTGATGGATGATTTAAAAATTCTTTGTAGCCTTGATGAAAAACGCTAAAAAATAAAGTCATGTAGAATGATGACCACTACGATGTTTCGCCAGAGATTCACGTTCCTTTTCTTGTACACCCCTCCACTCATATAGATAGTTAAGGAGCGAGAGTTCGGGGTGAGACATCGTAGTGGTCATCATTGTACACTATTAATGTTACTTAAAATCGTAGATAATTCAAAAGTTGACTGTATTAACTTAAAGTTGGCTTAAACAACATATTTTTGGCTCCCCTTCAAACCTCTGCTCTGTGTCGGTTCTTATGCGGAACATTCTGTATATATCCGTATATTACTACATTTCTTGAATTCTGTTTTCTTATAGATTTATTCAAAGGTCCACGCGACCTGAGCCTAATATTCGTTGCGGCGTGATGAATGGTCCAAGAATAGTACAGAACCACGATCACAAAACCGATGCAAGACTGCGTAGTTACCCTAAAGTTCTAGTTTTCGTAGAAACTATTTATTCGCAATTAGGAAAAAGTATCGCTGAGCTTCTGGTCCACACCAGATTAAAGTAAGCAAACGATATTATCATTTTTCTCTCACGAAGAATTCGATTTTTTTATACTATGGGCGTCCAGAAAGTAAGTATATGAAAATCGTTCAGCCGTTTAAAAGTTATTAACATTTATTTGTCACAATATCCAAACAACCCCCACCACTTTATTTTAAAAGATAGAGTCAAAAATATAGACGAGAGCCATTCTTAGAGGACCACCCTGTACATGATTTTTTAAATTAACAAACGGAACTTACTTTCTGGACGCTCCTAGTACATATTTGTCGAATAGATTTGTTAAAATTGCGGTGTTTTTTTAGGTACAAAATAGAAGTCAGCGGTAAAAGCGTACCAGTGCTCACGAATTTAGACAAAGGCCGGTATGGCGTTATTGTATTTGAAAATTTTAACAAGTACCTTCAAATGGACAATTGGAACCGGGAATTACTCGACAAATATTGCCGCGAATACTCGGTGGGCATCATCGGTTTCATAACGCCCGAAGAGGAAACATTCGTCGGCACGCAGTTAAAAGGCTTTCCATTGTTCATTCACACTAATTTAAAATTGAAAGTAAGCGACTAATCGTTTTATTAAATTTGTTTATCCGATTTAAATTAATTATCCGTGAGCTAACTCGTTAATGGTTTCCTAGAATAACGTCGAATTTATTAACTCTAATTGCTGTACATTATAAATATGTATGTGACAAAAATATATTTGTAGGATGCAGCTTTAAACGCAGCTTCGCAAATACTGCGGCTCACCCGGGCCGGTGAAACAGTTTGGGGAGAATTGCCCGGTAACGATTGGACAGTATTTCAAGCTAATCATTCGACGTACGAACCGTTGGAATGGGCAACCAGGAACGATCACTTTCAACTGAACGACAGTAAGATTCTATATTTTATACAAAATAATGGTACTCCGACAAAATAGCCCAAAGATAAAATTGCCAAAGACAAAACTGCTAAAGGCAAAATAGTCCAACAACAAAATAGTCCAAAGAGAAAACCGCCAAAACAAACAACCTCAAAGACAAAATTGCCCAAAGACAAAATAGCTTTGGACTATAGTTTGAACTATTTTGTCTTTGGACTGCTTTATCTTTGGGCAATTTTATCATTGGACTATTGTAATGAATCACGCAAAATAATTTATAATATATAATAATATTTTTGAAGGTGGTTCGAAAGTCCCTCTACCAACAGTCATCCAGGATCACGGGCTCTACGACAACATCCAGCGGGTTATATTCGGTTCAGGTTTGAAATTCTGGCTCCATCGGCTTCTGTTCCTGGACAGTTTGAGTTTCCTCAGTCACGGCCAGCTCAGTTTGTCCCTCGACAGGAAATTCTTGGTAGACATCGATGATATATTCGTCGGCGAAGTGGGAACGAGAATAAGACCGGAGGACGTCAGTGCTCTGATCGATACTCAAGAGAGATTGGCTAATATGGTGCAGGGATTCAAATTTAATCTAGGTGAGTTCGGAAATGATCATACATACCCCCGTTCAGAAGTTTTTTTTATAACCAAGTGGTTTTGTAACCAACGATAATGCGATAATTCTGATGCGTTCTACATGGTTCTGGAGCGTTCTAAATGATTCTAGACAGTTCTAGATGATTCAGGAGCGTTGTAAATGGCAGAAGAATATCAAAAAATTAACCTCACTTTCATCTTGTTCAATATTCAAATAAGCAACGTTGCCACGTTTAAAATTCGGAAATATAAATCATTAAATGTGACTTATACAAATTGGTCAATGCAGGTTTTTCTGGAAAATACTACCATCATGGGAACAACGAAGAGGATAAAGGTGATGATACGATACTCGAGAACATCGATAAATTCATGTGGTTTTCGCACATGTGGAACCACCAACAGCCGCATTTGTACGATAATTTGACCCTTTTAATGGAAGACATGATGCTGAATAAAAATTTCGCTAAGGACAAAGGTATGTAAACAATTTTTATTTATGAAAATTTAGCTCATTTTATTGAAGATTATAAAATTTTAGCGTAAAATTCCACCCCCAACCCCCCGAAAAAAATGTTGGACTCAGGCACCCACTTTAAATATTATTTTTTTTGAATGCCCTTTTCTCCGAAAAGAGTGATTAGTTATGGAAATTATTGCTTTCTCAAAAAATTATACACCATTATTAACCATTTCTATATATTCAAAATTCCATACCATTTTAATTCGATTACGGAAGCTAAATGAGCGTATACATTTTAGGTATACCAGTAGATTCGGGGTATTCCGTGTCCCCGCACCATTCAGGAGTCTATCCGGTCCACGAAATCCTCTATACGGCCTGGAAAAAAGCCTGGAACATTCGAGTGACGTCCACGGAGGAGTATCCGCATTTAAGACCGGCCAGATTACGCCGAGGGTTCATACACAGAAATATAATGGTGCTACCTAGGCAAACTTGCGGGTTGTTCACTCATACGATGTTCATCGATAGATATCCCGGTGGTCGGGAGAAATTGGACGAATCCATACAAGGCGGGGAATTATTTCAAACTATCGTTTATAATCCAGTAAGTTGAATACTTAAATAGCTTGTTTTGTATCAAGGGCGACTTAAAAGTACTTAAAGCTTGTCCGTTTTTAAAAGACAATGACGTCACGAGCCCGCCTGTTGCAATGTTGCCGGGTTGTAATTGTAATCCTTTAAATATTTCATTTAAGGTTGTATTTACTTTCAACGTTTATGAATTAAAAAAGTTATAAATAGATTAATTTTAAAGAAGAAAATGTAGTTCAGGATGAGATATGAGCTTGCAAATATTTTTAATTGAAAATAGGGTGTTCCATAATAACATCCTAATATTGAAGGGTGTGATTCTTGGACCCATTTTAAGAAAATAAACTTCATATAAATATAATGGCCCGTATTCAGCTCCTCACTTTAAATTTAGAGTGACTCTAAAGTCGCGTCTTTAACTTAACAGTTGTACGTTGTTGTTATGGAGTTAACTATAGGGACTAGAGACTTTTAATATCTATAAATTTCTGTTTTTAGATCAACATCTTCATGACGCACATGTCGAACTACGGAAATGACAGGTTGGCCCTATACACCTTCGAATCGGTCATTAAATTTATTCAATGCTGGACGAATATTAGATTATTATCAGCGCCTCCGCTCCAACTTGCCGAAAGTTATTTTAAACTTTATCCCGTCGAAGCTGATCCAGTTTGGGGCGTAAGTAACTCAAATTGTTTAAGAATTTTTGCGAGCATCTCGATCGATCATCTCTGGAAAAACTTCCAGACTAACGTACAGCCTATCTATTTAGCTAATAACACTAGTTTACAAGGTTTCGTGAAAAAAAAAACTTAGGATAATGGGATATATTAGAAATGCTAAGCATTAAATTTTTGATTTTGGATCGGTTTTGCATAATAATCTTCAACAATAGTCTTCCAACACACAATTTTAAACTGTCTAGAACCATTTAGAATATTCGAGAAACATTTAGAAAGCTCCAGAACCATTTAAAACTGTATAGAACCATTTATAACGTTTGAGAACATTTTAGAACTGTCTAAAATTATTTAGAACGCTCTAGAATCATATAGAAAGGACATGTTGGACAAATTAAAGACACTAGACGTGATGAATTTTTTTCGATAGCATATTTCAAATAAGCACGTCAAAATATATTAAAAATAGTTGATTTTATGTCGTGCACTACAAAAAGTGTAAAATTTGTAAACTAGTGTACTCATTTTAATATCGTGAAACTTTGAGTTGCTCTAACTAAATACACTCTAAAGTGCTCAAGAAACTTTCTAGATAAACAAATAAAAATTAAATGAGTTGCTTTCGATGGCATAATTTATTAGGGATTAATAATTTTAATTTTTTGTGTATCTTCCAGAACCCTTGCGACGATCCCCGACATCAAAAGATATGGTCAAGGAACAAATCGTGCGATTCCCTTCCGAAATTCTTAGTAATAGGTCCCCAAAAAACTGGCACTACGGCCCTTTATACGTTTCTATCCCTCCATCCGGCCATTGCTAGTAACTTACCTAGTCCTACCACTTTCGAAGAAATTCAATTTTTCAACGCTCACAATTACCTTAGGGGACTGGATTGGTAAGTTACAAACTGCAATAGTAATTAATAACGAACGTACAGTTTACGCATAACAAATTTAGTACGCCACCTAAATATTGAGTGCCGATACTTCAAGATGTGAATATTTGGATGATTTCCTATTCTTTGGATGAAACCTATTCTATTTTGTGTATTTATTTTTAAAAGTTGGGCACAATGCTTGCCAAGCGTGACGACATTGACAAATTTGTTTTGCATACACTGTATAGTAGACTTTACTTTAATTATTTTTTATTGTAATTCTCCTCCAGGTACATGGATTTCTTTCCTACGGACTCGAATTCATCGGCTAGGTATTACTTCGAAAAGAGCGCTACTTACTTCGACGGCGAATTAGTACCGAAAAGGGTGCACGCGCTACTTCCTCGCGCTAAATTGATAACCATACTAATTTCGCCCGCCAAGAGGGCGTATTCTTGGTACCAGCACACTAAAGCCCATGGTGATATTATAGCGAACAATTATAGTTTTCATCAAGTTATTACCGCCAGCGATACTGCTCCTAAGCCGCTTCGGGATCTTAGAAATAGGTGAGTTCGGTTTTAGTTATTTCCAGGCAGTTCGACATTACCGTAGTTGCCAAACTGTTAATTCTTCCGTATTCAGGGGTTCACTATAATTAATCTATTTTGTGTATTTGTTTTTAAAAGTTTGACAGAATGCTTGGCAAGTATGACGACAGTAGTGACGTGCATTGATATTTGTTTTGCACCAACTGTAGTTAACGAATGAATTAAATTTTAAACCTATACGATTGAAAACGATTTCTATTTTTTATAGATGTTTGAATCCTGGAAAATACGCCCAACATCTCGAAAGATGGATGACGTACTTCCCTTCTACCTATATCCATATCATCGATGGCGAGGAATTGAAAAATAGTCCTGTAGAAGTTATGAATGAGGTTCAAAAATTTCTGAAAATAATGCCGTTTTTCAATTACACCGAACATCTAAGGTAAAAGGATTTATTTTATTTCGTACTTTCAATGTAGCAATAAATGGATGGGTGTGAATTTGGGCTCAGCTGAAAAATGCATTTTGCAAAATAATGAAAAACACCGTATATTTATTAAAAAATCCAAATACAACGTTCAAATTTTTTAATAAAATTTGCACTGGAAAAAATGATATAAATGCTCGGTAACTATTATAAATAACCCTCTTCTACCTTCCTCTCCCCTACCTACCCCTGATTACCCAAGCATCTATGATCAAATATTTATTATTTTTACTGATCATGTTAATTTTAAAGTGAGCATTCATTCAATTACCTAGGGTCTTTTATTTTAACCGAACATTTATTTCCTAATCATTTGGATAAATTACTTGGAAAATGCACCTTGTATTTCGATTAATCTGCCAATCGTTTATAATGATCCTTAACAAATTTGTTTCTCGTCAAGATTCGACCCGAAGAAGGGCTTCTACTGCCAAGTGATAACCGGCGATCACACTAAATGCTTGGGTCGCAGTAAAGGCAGGCAGTACCCTCCGATGGAAGAGAAATCCCTGAAATATTTACAACGGTACTACTTGAGTCACAACACGGCTTTGGTGAAATTGTTCAAAAAGAACGGCAACAGAAATATTCCGAATTGGCTCAAGGAGGATTTGTCCGACAAACCCGACATGGACAACTAATAGTCTACATCTATTTTTTTAAACGATAGTCAATACTAAATTATTTTTTATGGGCTAATACTCGAGTTATTAGAGCTCGGAGTGGCAGTATTTATACCTAATTTTTCTATATTGTTTAAAAAAATCTTTACTTACGATCGTTAAACCATTATTGAGAGCAAGTTTATGTGCAAATATTGGGATTTACGTACATTTCTAGTGGTTTGGATTTTAGTTTTGGGTTTTAAATATTACAGGGTGTCCCGATGAAAAGGTCCCATTAAATCCTTAATTATAAAAACATGCGGTTTTCGCAGATATGTTTTATTTTGTTACAATGACACAGAAATTTTATATTACCAATAGAGCGTCTAATCAAAATGCTCTTTAACCACCCCATATTTAGAGGTATTCTGAATGATATACTCTTCTACTTTTCAAAAATGTTTTATTTGTACATGGTATTCTACAAAAAAGGTGTTCCCGATTTAATATTGTAAGCTGATTAAATGGGTTACTTTTCGTTGGGACAACCTGCATATTAATTGTGTTTAATGTAAATAATTAACTCTCTTAACTAAAATTTGGACTTTTTTGTTCCAAATTCCAAACTGAAATTATCTTTAAATCCAAATCATTAGTGTTTATTTTCCAATTGCTCATTTTACAGCTTTAATTTGCAAACGATGTTTACTTTAATTGCATTGCAAACATAGCTGTTTCTTGACGGTTTTCCATTATACGGACAGTAGAGTTTGGGTTTTATTTTAGTTTTCTGGAACCTCGAGAACAAAAATAAAACTGATAAAACTGAAACAAACTTAAAACTCCTATTTCCACATTGTTGCTTTGGTCTTTTCCGCAGGTTGTGGAGTCTTCGAAAAGTTTGCGAAAAATTTCAGTTTTGTTTTCTTCGACACGAGTTTAGGTTTTGTTTCTGTTTTGTCCGCTTAATGGAAAACCGTCATAAAACTCATTTTAGTGAAGTCTATTTAGAAATACGAAGCAATTATTGCGAGACGACCTGTGTATTTCTATTTAGACTTTTTTTCGATTAACTCCTTTAGTACAAGATAGATATTTATAAACGATTTTGTACATATTTCCTGTATATTGATTAGATTTTATTTTTGTACTTAATTAGTTCGTTTCGCTCTCCGTTTTTCGATGATTTGAGGATTGTGATTTGTGGAGTAATATCGGGGGTTTCAACGTGTCACATCATTGTTTCATGAGTTGAAAATTTTAAAAAGATAAAAAATTTCCATGGCAAATAAGTCGTAATGGTGACATATCAACTCGTAGTGGCAATATTATACTTTTTGTAAGAGTTAGAAAACTATTTTGGGAAAAATATTTTTGATTACCTGCATAATATGACAAAAATTAAATAAAATTGTAATTGATTAAGGTTAAAACGAAATGTAGGTACAATAATATTCTCACGTTAAAACAATCATATTAAATTCATATTAATTTGAAATGTATTTTAGAATCTCGTTCAAGTCGCTTTATGTTTATTCCTGTTTAATTCGAAGTACATTTCAATGTATAAACAAAGCTCTACAACTAATTATTAATTAATCATAAAAATCGATGTGCAATAGTAATTTTCATTACGTCCAGTGATAGAGCTTGAAATGAGTAAATTCACAACATCTTGTGCGTATTGTAGAAGTAGTTCGGTGTTTCATTCACATATGCATATAAAAATTCCCTATGTACCTTTTTTATTCAGAAAATATTTAAAAAATCTGGACACCTAATAACACTGGTTTACAAGGTTCCATGCAAAAAACTGTCCAAAGCCATTTACAATAGTCTAGACCCATTTAGAAGGCTCCAGAAACATTTAGAGCCCTTCAAAATCATTTAGAATTGCACTAAAATAACTGTAAAATTTGTAAACTAGTGTAATTATTGTAGTGTAGGAAATTTAAATAAATAATTACCCATTTAAGTACCATTTTGAACAAAAAATATTTTCTGAATAATTAAAACAGTTACATTGTTTATTCGATGTTTACTTCCGTAAAATTTTCAATAATAATAATAATAACATATCTATATGATTGAATGTTGCAAGTTACGCGAATTTTAACTTGAAGATTTTGTGTTATTTAGTGCCATAAATTGTATTTACCACGTACAGTAATTTCGACATTACAGATCAATGTATAATTTTCAAGTTAAAATTCGAATCATAAAATATAAATAAGAGTACGTAAATAATTGAGTGTGCCATTAATGTAAAACGTGTTTCCTGAACGCCAGAGATTGTTTAGTTACAGTTACGGTTACTCTGCGTTACAGTTCCGTAGAAATTACAATTTAGAATGACGCTTTCAATGATGGAATTGTTATTTGGGTTGCGTAATTGTATAAACTTCGAAGTTTCAATTACATTCAAATGTTTGTAGTTTGATTTCAAATTATTGTAATTGTAAATTCGAATGTTATGTTACCAGCTTCAAAAGACACTTTCACCAAATAATAGAAAAATAAAATCCACCTGATTGACGGTGTTATTATGTTTTTGTTCATTATTCGAATACATTATTCGTTTTTATGGAATTTATGAATGATCTTTATGCAATGAGTATGTTATATTTATTATCATATTTAAAATATTCTTTCTTTGTAAATATTTGTCTATATAGTTGTTAATAAACGTAAATATGACAATAAAATATAATGACTAAGTAGTATTTTAATGTACCTACTCATAAAACTTAAAAATTAGTGCTCTTAGTACATTTGATTTTTCTTAAACAAGTGTAAAAAGAATTGCCTATTTATAAATTGTTGACACTAATGACATATTGACACGTCAGACTACTTGACTTTGACAAGTACTAAAAGTTAACCTCACTTTTTAAAAAACAGAAAAACTTATGGAATAGACCAAAAAACAACCCATAAAAAGTAGAATATTCCACGAAGCAAAATGAGCGGCCAAAGGAAATTGAAAATCGCCTTCATCCACCCGGATTTAGGGATAGGAGGAGCGGAAAGACTTGTTCTGGATATAGCCGTGGCATTAAAATCGTCCGGACACCGAGTAAGATTTTTAACGAACCACTACGATCCCTCTCACGCATTTGATGAACTGAAGACGGGCGAATTCCCGGTGGAAGTATATGGAGATTGGTTGCCGAGAAGCATATGCGGAAGATTCCAAGCCTTCTGCGCTTACATCCGCATGATTTACCTCTCTATAATGTACCTTCTTTTCTACAAACACGAGCATAAACCGGACGTATACTTCACAGATTTAATACCAGTTGCCAATGCCTTTTTAAGACTGTTCAACGAGAAAGTAGTATACTATTGTCACCATCCGGATTTGCTTGCCAGTGCTCCAGGTGGAAGCCTTAAAAAGTTGTACAGGATGCCAATTAACTGGCTGGAAATGTTCACAACAGGATTAGCCGGTGTAATATTAGTTAATAGCCAATACACTGCTTCAGTTTTTCGAGCAACATTCCCAACACTTACAAATGACATTCAAATTTTGTATCCCACTATAGCCGATTCCTATCAGAAGACTGTAAGTAGATTAAAGAAACCCAAGCCAATCGAGAGCTTAGTGCCTGAAATCAAGAAACCTGGGAAGAAAATAGTATTCCTGTCGATAAACAGGTATCATCCTGCTAAGAAACTAGAGTTTGCTGTGCTAGCATTAGATAAGTTGCGACAATTAATTTCGAAGGAAGATTGGGATGTCACTTATCTTATACTAGCAGGCGGGTACGATCCACAATCCGGAGTAAATGCCATTACTTACCTGGATTTAGTCAACCTCACCAAAGACAAGAAATTAGAAGGCAAGGTCGTGTTTCTCAAGTCCCCGAACGACAACCTTAAAGCCGAATTACTCAATTCCTGCACTTGCCTCGTGTACACTCCGGTCAACGAACACTTCGGTATAGTTCCGTTAGAGGCAATGATGGTTTCAAAGCCGGTTATTGCCGTCAACAGCGGGGGCCCCAGGGAGACTGTCAATCACGGAGTGACGGGGTATCTTTGCGAGCCCACTCCGGATAGTATGGCCGAATTCATGGCTAGGATCGTCGATGGAAATAGCGAAGAAATGGGAATTAAGGGAAAAAGCTGGTTGGAAGAGCAATTTTCTTACGATCAGTTCAAAAGTAGCCTTTTTAAGGTGTTGGATAAACTATGCAGTGGTCCTAGTAGTAAAAAAGATTAAATATTTTTCTTAACTTTGTTTAAATAAATGTTTTATAATTGTCTTTCAATGGTTTTATTTCTCCTATATTAAATAAAAATTATAAATATAATAAATCCGTAATTTACAACTTAATCTGTATTCTAAAACAAGTGTTAAAAGTTATTTTGTCCACGATACTTTAGGTATATCAAAGTGCTCGGTAAGACTGTCTAGATGTTGATTGAACTTCTCTACTCTCTCTTTGTGAGTTTGCGATGCTTTCTCTAGAATTCTCTTCATTTTCTGAAACAAAAAGGGTTCTTATTCGAAACATTATCTATAACAAACATGCTACAGGACAGGTTCTATTTCAATAACTTGAAACTCGATGTCACAATGGACCTAATTTTTGATCAATAATAATTACTATTTTATTCATTCCAGAATAGTTATAAATATGATTCTTACCATCTTCTCTTGCTGCTGTAGGAACGCTAATTCTGCTTTAGTTTTGTTTCGCTGAGGTTTGGGTTGTTCCACTTTTTCCTGAGTTTCCAGAGTTTTAGATACTTGATCCACTGTAATCTTGTCCTTCTTTTTTTTCTTTTTCTTGATCGTCGTATCACTTTTGAGTTTCAATTTACCTTTTGCAGCTGCTGCGTACGGATCGTCTTCAGATGCACCCATGTCTTTTATTTATCAATTATATTCTATTAATTTCTATTGCCTTTTTAAACTTATGAACAAATTGCGTGTTGTGATTATATTCTTTTCAGGCCAAAACAAAATTGACGACAATAATGACATCTGTCAACTCAAACGTCAATGTCACTGTACTTCTTTTACGTTACGCCTAATAACGGAATAGCTTAGGCCTCAAATGAATAAAAAAACGAAGAAGTTTTTTGTTTGAGATATGAGATGATATATGTTACTTAGGCAACCACCATTGAGGAATCCGAAAAATTTACAATCTTCTTTAAAATAGTGAAGATTCATCGAAAAGCGGTCAAAATAAGCAGGTAATATAAAACATACTTCACAATTGAAAAAATATGATGAGGAAGATGCACACAGTTTATTATAAATTTATAGTATTTCCAAAGACACTAAAAAAATTTCAATTAGCAATTTACTTTTAACTTTATCTAGTTGAAGAGTATTAACAAAAAGTACATACTTATATCCCTTTATACACCTAATATTACTTGTTAATGTCGCCAAAGCACGCCCTAAAAATTATATATAATTCAGTGGGTAATACAGAACTATTCCGAATTTTGGTAAAATTGGAAAAATGAAAATTGGTAAAAAGGATTGCAAATAAATGGCAGTTTTTGATTTCAATTTTCTTAAATTTCTAATAAAGTAGGTGAAATTAAAAATAGGAATCAATCGAAATCAAATCGATTCAAATCAATCGACGTAGCCAAATTAGAATCTTACTAAAATTACTGAACCTATGTTTTCCCATTTAAAAGTACCCTGAAGTAGCGCCCTTAATAAAAAAATCTATACGTAATTGCTCCAATCAAGAAGTATATAAAATATATTTCCGCCTATCACTAAAATTATTGTATTCTTCCTCATATTGTTTATATTTCAATGCTTTGTAGACGTTTATATTTTATTCAAAACATAAAATTTATTGTCAATTAAGGAAGAGGATGATAAAAGTATATGCAGAATATAAATAACCTCTGGTTAGAATAGAATCTCAATAAATTATTCAAATTTAGAATTAGTAAGACAAGCGAAATCGAAAGAACAGCTTTAAAAGCAGAAAAAAATATTCTCACAATTTTAACAAATTATTAAATTTTTTAATATCTATCAACCATTTTTTAAAGGACGACTAGCCAGACTTGCATTATGAAATAACTTATTTACAGTTAACAATCGATGCTTGCATGTCATCATTGTTATTTTCTTTATTTGGACGAAAAAACCTTCACATACAACAAAGCTATTCTTTTTTCAATGAAATTATTTTCGATTTAAAGTAGATTCACGTAATTGATAGAATTAAATCTATACATACCCATTTACATTATTACAATAAACGATTTCTATCTCATAAACTTCTCTTCGCAATTTTTATCCAATTGAATTACTTATTATTGATTGATAGCAGAATTATTGTTCCTCATTTTGTATGTACTTTATAATATCAAGGACTAAATGATTTTATTTTACCCAACCTCTTCTTGTACCCGGAGCCACTTTAAGGAAATAAAATCTCATCTACATTTTGGTGAGCATTTCTTCCTCTTCTATATCTTTATAAAATACATAAACATTTTTGAGCTTGAGAAAATCCGATTAAGCACTTATCTATTAGATACCTCGTCGATTAATTCTAATACCGCATGTCGTTTTTATAATAAAACGCCTATCTAACTGCAATTACTACGATAGATACGAACGGCGCCCGAGGCGAGACATAATTCTATTAAAACCATTAAGTGGCCTGCGACTGTGAGGGCACGGAGCGTGAAAAGATTTATGCGGTTTTTCGATTGTCTTCGGTCTTTACTTCTGCCAACAATCTAATAATGTACAATTATTATGAAACGTCTGTTTGAAAAAGAGCGAAGTCCTTGCGACCAATCCAATACGCCACTTGAAGTTATATCAGTAGTGTTTCATTATTCGCATTTAATAATAATTACAGTCGCAAATTTGTAAGCAGTATAAAGAGGTAATCATTTATTAGTAAGTGTACTCTTCTAAGCTCGAGATTTACAGAAAATTTCGAAATGCAGTTGCCTAGACTCAGTTTTACGAACAGCATTTTTGTATCGAGTTATAGTCGGATGCCTAGATGTTTTATAATTTTCTATTACCCAATAATATTCAGCGATGTAAATTCATATTGTATTGTAGATTGTAGAGATTCAAATCTACGATGACTCTAATAAAACTATCAAAATATAAACTGGAACGGGGGTCAAGGGATCGAAACGAAGCATTGTTTTTATCATGATCTAACAATTAGAATTCACTGCAAGGCCTCTTTAGAAATCTCTTATTATTTTACTGTACGTGTAATTTTTCTATGGTTTATCTCATGTCGAATTCACGACTGCGGTGTCGTAAATCCATTCACGATCCAGTTTGCGTTATTAAAGAGTTTTGAGAGAATTAAAAATTCGTTTCAGTGAAATCTCTAGACGTGGAATTGCAATAAGTAACACGACTTCATAACTGAGACTTTGAGAATTTTCTCTTATTTTTTTTTGCATTTAGGTGATAAGTAGTAAAATCTGCGAGTTAATTCATACATATTCAAGTAGATTACAAAGTTTTGTATTGTAAGCACATGTACCGAGTGTCGTGAATTTAAAAGAAGTCGTTTAGTAAACTTTTCTATTACCATTTGTATAGAAAATTAATTATACTGGAATTTGGCAGAAAAATTTCTTTTTTTCATTAGTAGGTACACCCAATATGTTTCCATTCACAATTAAAAGCAGGATTAAGCGTACCTATTAATTACTAGTCTCGAAAGATTTATAAATGGGACATACTGTAAAAATATGCTGAAAAAATACCAGTTTCAATGTTATTTTTTTCCAACATTATTTGTGTTACATCAGCATTTTAAAATCCGTCCTAACATCCGCATCCTTACTATAATATTTATTTAATAGATTCTGCTGGTATCGTTTGGAGCTTGACCATATTGAGAAAGTAAATAAATAGTTTTAAAATGAGAAAAAAAATCGCACTAATGCAAAAGATAACTTACTTTAGCGCTCAAATAATGGTTTTAAATGGGCGAGAGGTTTTCTATATAATTTCAAAATTTTCCAAGATATAGGTAGGTAGTTTTTTTTTCTAACAATAGTTTTCTTATCATATTGATATTATTCTACTGTATTGGCTAATTATCGTCACTATATTGTTAAACATAATCATTTCTGAATGCCGAATCGTTTTACAAATTTATCAACGGGAAAAAATATTTTTTTCGAATCCCTCGGAAAATAATTCGAAATTTGCATAAAATAATTAGAGAGGTGTTCAGTCCGCTGGCTATTATCATAATTAGCTGTAAACCTTGGTGGATGGTTAGAATTGCATTGCAAGGCCCCAAAAAGTAACATCTCCTTCAGTGGCGTAGATTTAATTGATTAGGTTAATTACCGTAATTTCTTTCAGTATAATTTGAATAATTCGAGTATTTTATTACGTTGTCCTTATCATTTGACCACACTTATTTTAATTTATGGCTTCATATTCTTCTAGAATTTACTTCTTTTAACAGCTCATTAATTTGATATATTTTTTTATTACCCAAGAAATGGAAGAATGAAGCGATCCAAGTAAATTTTATATTCAAATGAAGCAATTTCTTGAGTAAAGTGTCGTTATAATCGTGTTTTACAGGCATTCAACTTTTTTTTATCTCGGCTTAATTGTACAAGTACACGTTGCATTTCCAATTTCTCAACGAATTTTCGATAAAATACTTCACGAGAAATCGTCGACTCTCATGATAAGTCTCCCTGTTTGACGCGCTTTTCGTTCGATTTCTATTGTAATTTCAAAAATAATTCCAGCTTCAACGCGCCGCCTGCACTACGCTAATGATGAATCGGCATCGGCATCGCATATTCGATCAGGATTAGAGCAAGGATGTTCGGATGCGTTTAGGTACACTTATTTAGCAAACATTTGCGTTTACCGCTTTGTGACTCGAATCCAGGGTCGCTGATAATGATTATTTACATTTTCGCAAGGTCGGAAAACGATCTTATACTAGATCAAATTAGTTAATTTCTCATGTCATACTCTCCCACAGGACCGGAGTTTCCTATATACTAATTGAATGGGTGATTGGAAAAAGAATAAAATTCCAAAACTAGGGCGAATTAAAGTGAGATTGCCATTTGAGATAGCCTGATAGATTAGATTACCTGGCCTCCTTCACTTCATAATTTTATTGATGAGTGGAAAAATGAGTCCTGGAACTTTACTTCCCCAATACTTCAAAAACACTGGTAAAAGATATTTAAAAAAAATCCAGTTTTTAATTTTTTAACTATTTTTAGGATTTTGAGTGGAAAAAGGAGAAAATTGTTGTACTTTCAAATGCCAACAGCTAGTTACAAAAAAAGTACAAACCGTTCAAATTTTGGCATCAAACGTACTTTATCATAGTTTATAATTGGCCAACAGTATTGATTTTTGTTGAATTTTTTTGATTTTACAAAAATAGGTTCACTGAATTTTTTCCTTTTTCCAATCACTCATTCAATTAAGCTTCATCCTGGGGCCTCAAGTTTAAGAGGGGTCTACATTAATATTGATTGTGATCATGCAATTTATGAAATTAATAATGATAGGTGAATGAATCCCATAAGTGGAATAGTCCAGCACCTCTCTTCATCTAAATTCAACGATGCATACTCTGTTGATTAAAATTGCTAAAATCTATTAATAATAAAATTTGGAACCCACAATTCCGCTTCAAAATGCTTCGAAAAACCCTATAACAATGTTGAACTGACAAGGCATCAGCATGTCAAAAATAAAACACCTTTCTTTAAAAAAATGGTATACTTTTAAGCTATAAAAACATCACAAAACTCCCATTTTAATGGTAATATACAAACAAGCATCACACTTAACAAGGCATTGGTGGACATGGTGGGCAAGGTGGATTTCCGAATGGCGGTACGCATGGGCCACAAGGAGCACACGGTGGACAAGGTGAACAAGGTGGACAAGGCACACAAAATGGAACGGGTAATGCGGGAGCAACGGGACACACTCTCCCGAGAGGACAAGGTGGCGGACACACTGCCGGACACGGTGGGGGTGGTGGTACGGCAGCGACTAATGGTACTGCGGGTGGGGGACAAGGACCGCACGGTCCGCAAGGTCCACAGGGTCCGCACGGTCCCGGACCGCAAGGACCACAAGGTCCAGGTCCGCAAGGACCACAAGGACCACATGGACCACAAGGACCGCTGGGTCCGCAAGGACCGCACGGAGGACAAACGGGCAGTCTGACGAACGCCGGGTAACACTGGTACCTTTCCAAATCAGGCATACCAGAGAAGTACTTGCCTAGATGCTTCCCGCCGGCAAAAGCGCTGGGTCCACATCGGGGCTCCGCCATTTTGCAAGCGGGCGATCCTTTGCATTCGAATCTTCGGCATTCGTCTTGCAGTCCATTCTTCTTTTCGCATTCGCAGCCTAATATCAATATGCTGGACCTTAATTCCCTAGACCTCGACCGGTAGATGGGGCAGGTTTTGGGCATCCTGTAGGCGACCATCATTTGGGGCGGGTTGCACGGCACGCAGGGCTGTTCTTCCGGGCACGGGTTGCAGACCGGAACGCACGGAGGCACGCACGGCTTGCAGATGGGCATCATGGGCGGCACGCAGAGGGGCGGGGGCGGCGGCATGGGGGTGCTCAGGCACACGGGGACCGGTTGAGTGGGCGCCGGGCAGGTGCCGGGCGCGCAACACGGCGACGGCCCGCAACAGGGGGGCCCGCATGGCGACGGGCAAGGGGGCCCGCAGCAGTCGCCCCCGATTTTGGAGACTAGGCATCGGAGGTCGTTCAATAAACATTGGCGCTGATCACACATGGTTAAAAATGATTTGGGGCACGATTAATTTGGGTATGGAAAAATGAACTTAAATTTTGAAAATGATCACGAAATTTTTAGCACAACAAATTCAAATTACAATTTTGACAATAATAATTTTGATACATAACTAATTTGATTTATATGAATTTTTGAGATGGATAATTCCAAGTTAGTACACTAGGTAAATTCACTAGTACTTTTCTTAATTGCACAAGGTATCTAAAGAAATTTTAAATGTAGGATAGAAATCAAAAGATAATATGTAATAGGTATTTTCATAAAACGTGAACAATTAAGTAATAATAATAAATAAATAATTATTTTTCTCACGAATACCTAATAAAATAAATAAAAATACATTTATCAATATGTATATTCTCACTATATCAATACCACTATCTAGTACAGTGTTTCCTAAAGTGTTTGCCAAACTGGGGCCCAAGTCTCACATAAAGTAGATCTTAATGAAAAATTAAATTATTAAAGGTTACAATTATAGCGTGTTTTTTAAAATACGACTAGAAAATACAGGAGGTTATTGAGACAAGAACAGAAATTAATATAAACCTATGATCCTTTAAAACCAAATTGGTTTACTCAATTATGGTATTAGATGAATATTAGATAATTTTTTTAAAGATATTCTTTGAAACGTTTAAATATCTTTTGTATCAAATACAATTAGGCACAATTTTTTCTACCTAGGAAAATATTTAGTGGATAAAAATGGTTGAGAAACGCTGATGTTGTAGGCATAGGCTCAACTATTTTTTATCATCATGACTTCAATACATTAAGACATTATATAACATAAAAAGTGTCTATTTGTTACTTTACGTGATTGAAAATAATTATTACATCGATAAATCAAAGCAGCTGCGGCTCATCCTTGACCTCCAATAATTGTATTCGTTTTTATCGACGGCATTCATTTCTCCAGGATGTCGCTGGTTTTCATATATGTATTCAATTAATTCCCAACCTAACGCATCTCATGGCTTGTGCACATTCAAAACGAATGCACACTAATTTCTTCGAATATACATAAACTTTCAATTAAACGTTTATCTCTAATTTTACAATAATTTTCTCTTATTTTAACACATCTGTTTTTATTACCCTTGAAAACGTGTTACCCACCTTGAACATTTACATAAACAAAATACCTCTAATAATTGATGTTAATTGTAATGTTTAAAATAACTACATCCTGTACACTATCGTCTGAAAAATCTCCTCTTTTGCTCCTAAAGTGTTATTATCTTTGCATAAACTTCTGGAGTAATTATAAAACTTTATAAAAGCATGAGAGAAGATAGATGATTAGAACAATTGCTTGAGTTCCATTCGCAATTTACAACAATACTGTATAATTCAGTGAAAAAAAACTGAATTAAGATAATTGACCATCTTGGTATATGAATGATTTTTCAATATAGCAGGTAAAAAAAACTTGAGTAAATAAGTCATTCAATTAGATGATTCTATTGCTCTTATTAGAGAGACTTTTAACTGTATTGGGTAATATTTCCTTGGTTAAATAAATGACTCTTCTATTTAGATAATTGACTGTATTAGATAAATAATATTTCCTGTTAAGTAAACTGAATGCAAATTTTCAAAACTGCAGCATGAAGAAAGCGACCAAAACGCCTCTCGATAAATCACATGCACACAAACCGAGTGGTAAAAATTTCGCGGTAGATGCGGCGTGGAAGATTTGTGTCACATCATCGCACCTTCGCAAATATAAAACACAAACGCTGTAATAACAGCAAAAGTTGAACGTTAATCAAGACAACAAAATGGACATTAACCTTTTCTTCTTCGTTCAAATGTCGATAGTCTATTAAGCAACTGCTAATGACTGAAATAATACAGGGTGTCTTCTAAAAATGCACTTCGTTTGTCCTCAAATTTTGTATGTTTAATGAATAATGAGTGGAAATTATACAATTTTTACTTGCTTACACATTAGTATTAATATAAAGGTATTAGATAGACATTATAACATGTATACAAGTTTCTTACAATTTATTTTCTTTCTCTCGAAGGCTGCGTAGAGTCTTCCTGTATACATAAGTACATCCTCAATTCTGATAACGATTTTATATAATAAGTGACCTTGTGCACGTACTTTCACAAAATTCTAGTTTCAATGTCAGGACGATTCAACTCCGAACCTCGAGGATTTTTTTCATAAAAAAAATCATGACTACTATTGTGGCACGACGTGCCTCTTGGCAGCGTCTGCCATCAGCTATCGTTAAGATGCGTTGCGATACGACAGAATCGAATTCTATTGTCCTTTTGAATACGGATTTACTCCGATGTGGATTGAATGAACTTTTAATGGCTTATTCATCCTACTTAGGCATTTTCTTATTTTATTGGGTAGTAATTCAATTTTCTATACTAAGTCTACAGGGTGTTAATTAATTGAAGGTCGATACTTCTGCATGGATGTGAATATTTGGATAGTTTTAAGAAGAAAAGTTTACATCAATATATATCCTAAACCTCTTAGTTTTCGAGCTCCAGGGTGTTACAGTAATAGAAAAAAAATAACTTTTCTATCATTATTTTCTTTTACTCCAAATATTAAAAAATATTATTATGAATATTAAAAATATTCACACCATGAAGTATCGGCACTCAATTAACTAACACCCTGTAAATGCCGTATATGAACGCGGGATTATATTTATCAAAGCGAAAAAAAAGTTTTTTTTTGTTATTTTTTAATTAGGCCATATTTTAATGAGCTGTATACCTAAGAATATGAAACTGTGTAAGTATTTGATGCTTCCCAGAATAGGTTATTAATATCTTTATTGTCTTAAATTTGGTTAATAATAGAATAAAAAATGATCATACAATTTCAAGGAAATTGTAAAATTCGTCCTTTTTCGGGGATTTAAAATTCTTCTGAAACATTATAAATTGCAGAATTTTAACAATGTTCCTAAAACAATCGGCGCCTACTAATTTATTACCGAATTATTTGTGTTCCTGTTGATTAAACTACGAAAACTGTAAATATGATTACAAAACTATAAATAAAAATAAACATAAACATTCAAGGTAGCATAAATAAAAAATAGTAATTGATGATCGTCATTAATAATTTAGAATCCGGTTATTGTATTATCGAAAAATTCTCTGAGGTTGTTATCTTATGAGCGTTTGGAGAATTTAAATCAGCTAAAAAAATACCACGGTTTAACACGTTGAATGCCAGTACGATCGCTTAACATTCAACGCTTTAATAACTAATTTGGCGTGAACTTTATTTCGTACCTAAAAGCTAATAAATCAAGGATTCGCGATAATAAATCGCTTTTTAAGTGAATTATCCTCGCGTTCTATATTATTATCTCTAAATTATGTCCTTAACATTAAATGCTGATATGCCTCATTAGAAATGAGATATTTCTGACATTCAACTGCCGTTCAATTATTTTCTTATCTCGCTTCTTCACTTTACATTAAGTCGTGTAAAAAAACATGAAACATCATTTCCTTGACCCCCTACAACATGCATGTTGTTTATTTCATCATTGTTCAAATGAAAAAATATGTTGTCTGTACTTTGTATACAAGCATCTGCTACAGAATCGTTTTTAAAATTGAATACCTATATTCCAATAACAATCCCAATAAGTTTAAGTATTAAGTTCTTCCTAAGAACCTAGACTAAAAATATTTAAAAATGCTCTATTCGCCTTATGTTAACAGAATATTCATTATACTAATTACATTTTCTAATAGAAACATTAAATAATTATAGTATACAGCGTTTATTTACATTAAAGATCTTTATGGAGTACCCAATAAAAAACTGAAAGGTTAAGTGGATGATCTGGTTTGACCATACCATTTAACATTCCATGGTTACTCGATTCGTTATTGAAAACGGACTTACCTCTTTGGGATAATTGATCAATTAGCGTTTATAATAGGTGATTCACGAGGTGATTTTTTTGCAGTCATCGAAAAACGTACTAATATTTGTAAATATGCTGTCAATTAGATTAGTGTGAAGAACATTTTATTTTGTCACAAGTATTGAAAAAGAAAAAATAAAGAAATACAGTTAATTTTTATAAAAGTTATTAGACTATTAGGTACATTTTTATCTTGTAATTATGTGAGACTACTAATCCTTCCATTCATTTTATTAGCAGACAAGTTTACTGTAAACAAACTTGGTTTTTATCTAATTAATCGACCTTAAAGTAGGTACCTAATAGGTAATAGAATAATAACTGTCTACTATTGTTTTATCCATATATTTTTTATTTTTAAAATAACATCCTCGAGAATAACAACCAATCTCCACTATAATAGCAAACAAACTTGACTCGATTTAACCGGAATTTTTCCAAAAAAATTCCGAAAATCCAACCGCATCTATGCAAATGTCCACGCGCGCGTCCGAGACCGATCCGAACTCAAGAGAAATCCCCCCGTAACACCGAATCATCAACATCTTAACATATAAATGAGGACTCTCACTCTCGCCGTGAAGATTCCGAGTTAAGTTACCGTGAAGACAAGGTAAGACCCGTATGCAGTGTGTTTATTTTTCCTTCTGTATGAGTGGGTGATTTTGTTACTTTCTAGTGCGAGAGGATTAAAGGTTTATTCGAAACGGTGAGTTGGTTATCCAGGAGAAACTCGATCGGAGGGTTCGCTGTCTGATCGGGCGTTGGTATCTTTTCGCGGTGAAATGTTTTTGAGACTGTACCTACTCTTGATCGTTATGTAATTGTCGATGTACTACATATACTGGGGTTACATATACTGATGTACTTCTATTTTTAATTCAATATGCTACTGTTTAAATATAAGGTGTATTTTATAAAATATTTAAAATATGAATACTTATTTTATGAATGATGGAAATGAAGACTTTTCTCGACACCTTTTGATGTGTTCTATAAATTTAAAAAAATTAAGTGCAATTTTAACACATCTTTTCTGTTATTAAAAGTATTTTTAGGCCATCACCGTTTCTTTTAAGTGCGTTATGAAATTACTATTTTATTAGTTAAATGGTGTTAGTATAGTTCAAATTTCATTATAGCTTGAAGTGTTGTATTAAAAAATAATGTCTAACTTTATATACACGACAAGTATCTTTCACAATTTGTTCATACCTTGTTATTTGAATACCTGAATATCGAAATATTTAAATAAAAATCTTTAATAAGTTTGAATATAAACATGCATGTTTTTAAGGCCTATTGCATAGTAACCTTAACCTAGAAACAGTCAAGGCAATTGGGCCAAGATCCCAAAAAAAATCAATTTTTCTTTTAAAAAATTAGTAACGTACAACACGATTAAAATACCTAACAGATCTCTCCTATAAGTCATAAATTGTATGCATCTGAAGTAATATGAAAGGTAATAATAATTATGAAAATTAGGTAGGCATTTACAGAAAATCATAGAGTGAAATTAGTTCCTTTTGTTTGAAAAACTGCAGCTTTGTTGCTGCTGTTTATGTATATGTACCTACGAAGTTTTGGTCGGAGATTTCACAATTTTCTCATAAAACGGTTTGCTTAAATTTTGTAAAAGCACGTACTTAAATGCCATGGAATAAATTGCCTAACAAAATTCATTCGAAATTTATGCACAATAAATTTAAAGGATTCACGTTTTACAGTTTCGACAGAAAATGACTAATTACATTTTTTTGGCCGTTTTGTGAAATTAGTTATTTATAGTAATAATATTAAAATAGATTGATTAATTTAAAAAAAATCTTTACATTGACTAATATTTTTCTGTGTAATCTAATATAGGCAATTTTCTGAGTATAAATTTTTTTGCAATAGAAATTTTTAAAATTTTTGTAGAAATACCTATTTCCTTATAAGCTTAGATTTTATTTCATATATCGGATATTTTAACCTACATTTAAGATATTATTGTGTTTAAAATTTATTACGGCGATTATTTTAATATCGAAAGTGAACAAGATCAGTGATCTAGAATGTGTGTATAATACAAAAATAATTGTTCAAGAACCTGAATCAATTCGTGGGCTGATGGATATTTATTTTTCGGTCAAAATTAACATTTTTAAATAATTTTAATATTGTAAATGCAATTACTTTTAATGAACGTTTTTGATTCCATTAAACAACTAAATGATCTATCTACTTTCTCTTTCTGCTTTTTAGCCACTATTTGATTTAATGAAGTCTCAAATATCGATTAAATCACATACTTATCTTTTACATAACCATTACCTAAGAACAAAATTCTATCCATGTCAATTTCGACCTTTGTATGTCAAATAATTGTAAAATCGTTAATACCGTCCACTAAAGTTCTATTACATATCCACTTATTTTTACACTAATCAACAAATATTAAAAGTTAAATAAAATCGTATTTTTCCTGCTAGATCCTGCTCAGAACGTTTAATGAATTTTAAACACAAACATGTGTAAAACTAATTAGCATTCATTTATGTCTATTTTTAGATTTGAATCATTTATTAATATTAGTTTTCTGAATTAAATTATGCAATGACTATTCAGCAGAAGTAGTTTAATGTATTATAGTTGAACATTTAGATGCAATTTGATGAAAAATATCAATGTTGAATCCTAATTTTGCCTCATATATGCATTGAATTAATAATTTATATTCCTAAGAGCTGCTATTATTATCCTTTAGAGATAAAGTCTTGTAAATCAGTTTTGTGATAAGTGACTTTCTAATTACTGATAGTTATCCGAATCTTATCTAAGCTGTTAAAATACTAGCCCTATTAAGTAAAACATTGATAAACATTTAGAAAGCACTCTTTCATTAGATCTATTGTTTTCTCATAATCTCCTTCGGAATTTACTAATACTAATCTCCTTATAAATATATTCGATTTAAAAAGTAATCCATCAACACCCAACTTATTATTCAACTAACAATTAATTGCAATTTAATACGATGAATATTTCAAACCAAATCGGCTATAAGCCTATTACGAAAAGTGACCATACAATTTTGACAATATCAATGATCTGGGTCAAGTATATTTTGCTACTGTCTCAAAAATATTGATTATTTTCGTTTGTCTTGAATAAAATATACTGGTCTAACCAGCTCGACAATCAGCGTACAGATTTACTGGAACAGTATTTTGTCAATATGTATGTCAACAAATGCTTGCTTGAAACGAATTGAAACACCTACCTTGTACAATGGAAAACTACTCCCTTAATATTCATGATATTCCGATCAAAATGCTGGATACCAGGAATAAACAATTTGTTTCTTTTTCAGATGAAAATAGTTTTAGTATTAGCAGCGGTGGCCTGCGCGTATGCGGCCGCAGAACCCGCCATAAACGAAGTTAGACCAGTTTCAAATAGGCCGGGAAGGTTCCTTTCCCTACCGGTACCTCAAAAATGCGCAAACCGTAAGTAACCCTATCAATTTATCACCCTATCATTTTCTACTGGAAACTATACACATACTAAAGCAGTTGCCCAGCTTTCCCCATTCCATCTTCTCTTAACTTACCTATCATTACCCTCTTTACTTTTTTCTACTATTTGAGTAATATTTTCTTGTTACAATTCAGTTGTTAACAAACCTTTTTACATCAAACCGAGTAAAACATGGTTGCTTACAACAGATAATAACTGTAATAGATATAAGTAGTGAATCACGATGTATGTTGTCTTAAGACAGTGCAAATATCAACCTATACACACACTTAACGTCTATAATAATGGTTACATAACTGAATTAGAGGTAATAGAATGTGTTGTGCTGTACCCAATGCAGGTAGGTAGCTTTAATTTAAAAATTAGGATCAGCCAACAAAAGAATTCTCGTTTAATTTAATTACTCGGCTTACTAGCACACATTTAATTGCTTACTTAAGTAATATGTCGATATGTATTTTTGTAATTTGTGTATTAAGAAAAAAATGAGTTATGAAAATAGATTGATAATCCAATCAATTTTTATTAATTTCTAATTAATTCAGATTAGGAGTTAATTCTTAATAAGCTATTATTGTATAGTTTGAATAATAAATCGTGGATTTTATTGGATTTACTGTCCAACGATTCCTATAAATTTGGTGGATTTCAATGTCAACAGGTTAAAATTCCTATATGTTTGTATACGTGGAATGGTATGCTACAAAACTGGAATTTTCGTTCTGACTTTCACGTATCAGATTTCGATTTCGTAAAACAATTTAATCAGATCTTCTCTTTCTGTAAAAACCGTCTCGGAAACCGATCGGTGAAATTTTAGAGAAATTAACGCTGAAAAATTAGTCTGCGATTGATTTGTCGCGAGACGATGAACTTCGACGATGAACTTCGACGATGAACTATTTTTTTATTGCAATTTCTTATTCAAATTTCGTCCTATTGACGCCCACGTGTTGGAATAGGTATACCAAAAACATTTGCAGAAAGGATTATTTGTTATTAGCATGTTTAATTATTTAAAGAGCGCCGCGATCCTCGAGTGTCCTTACTTTAAAATCTTCATTCAATAACAACTAAATAACAGTTTTTTGCGGATTTATTTTACTCGATAAAAATCGTGATAATTGTTCGTTAATAGATTTGTCAATGAAGAACATCCGCTTAAGTCACGCTGAAATTCTCATTGTAAATTCTAAATTAATTTGAAGTCCTGTAAGCCTACATATATTCATTTAAAAAGGATGAAAAGGTAAAAAGCAACTGAGATATGAATAACTTCTACTGTTTTTTTTGCATGTAATAATATTGTTTAATGCAGTAAGCGTCAGATGTATTAAAAATGCATGCATCGTTAAAAATGCAATTGCTAATTTGCTTTTGAATATTGCACTTTGGCATTACCGTGAGAAAGTTAACTCGTAAATTCGCGGTTACAAAAAATAATATGTCGTGTTAAATAAATAGAAACCGGGCGAAATTTAGGTTACAGCGCGCCGGCAAAAATTATATTACCAAAGTGAAAACTTAATTAAAAAAACCGATGTAAATTTATAATAATAGTTCGCAAAATCGGTTAGAAGAGAAATTCATTCCATTTGCTGATGTTTTTTTTTTGTTAATTTGTTTTAGGACCGAAGCAATTCTTCTTCAGGGGACACAATTATTTCTTCAGCGGTAGCATACCCGAATTGGCCAACAGGAAAGTCGACTGGTTAGACGGCAGGAATATCTGCAGGGAGTACTGCATGGATCTCGTTACCTTGGAAACACAGGAAGAAAATAACATGATCTTCAGACTGATACAACAAAGTAAGTTATAAACATTTTTATCATCAAAGACTTCTTGACTCTTGTCAAGAATATTTAGTAATTTTATTTAATATAGTGAATATAAACTTACCACATAGCTCTTATCTCATTAAGATTATTTTATAAGATTGGATTTTCGTATGTTTCCTTTATTATTTTGGACAAGACATTTCAAATTCCAAATTGAAGCAATTAATCAATCTCAAAAAGAAGGCTGACAAGATTTATTCGACTATTCAAATTATATTCTACCCAGCGAGCGTTAATAGAGTCTACTTTCTATTTCGATTGATTTAGTGAATACCAATTTTTGCATCGACTTTTCAGCTTAAAAACACTCGAAAGAGTAAACATTTTTTTTATTTTACAGACGATGTTCCGTACATCTGGACATCTGGAAGGCTTTGCGACTTCAAAGGCTGCGAAAACCGCCCAGATCTCGAGCCCAAGAACGTCTTCGGTTGGTTCTGGTCCTCCAACCGTGAAAAGGTAAGCTATTTATACTCAATTATACGCTTTAGCTTAAAGAGAACTGTTACGGAATACCGTCAAAATAGCCCAAAGACAAAATTGACCAACGACAAAATCGCCCAAAGACAAAATCTAGAATTTGTCGAGCTATTTTTAGGACAATCAGTCGTTATTTTCTCAGGCATCGGTATTAAAATTATACGAAATTTATAATATTGCATTAAATAAAATGAAATGTCAAAGAAGGCAATGATGACAGTATAAAAAACCATCTACAGACCGATAGATACCTACTAACACATATGGGACATTATTTAATTTTTTTCAATATTTTTTGGAAAAATGTTCGAATGTATAATCTATGATAATTATCTCTATTAATAATTTTATTTTACCGGAACTGTTTTGTCTCAGGCTATTTTTTCTTGAGCGATATAGTCTTTGGGCTATTTTGTCATTGGGTTATTTTGACATTGGGCTATTTTGTCATTGCTCGATTCAATTTTTGGGCTATTTTGACGGGTAACGAGCTGTTACAAATAAATCGACTTGGTGCCCACGTTAAAATTCCTTTCTACTTGCAAATAAAACATAAATGTTCATCTAGATTCAGCCCACGAATCGTACGCCCAACGGTTGGAGCTACAACCCGTGGTCCCAAACCGGCCACAAAAAGCAAAGGCAGCCCGACAACGCGGAATTCGACATCAACAGCACGACCGAGTCCTGTCTATCGATCCTCAACAACGTCTATAATGATGGTATCGCGTGGCACGACGTCGCCTGTTATCACGAGAAGCCCATCGTCTGCGAGGATTCCGACGAGTTGTTGAATTACGTGGCGTCCACCAATCGCGGACTTCGCTTGTAGATTTGAATTCGGGACTTACTCTTGCCTTCTAACCGCTCGAAATTTTGTTGATGTGGTTGTAGATACCGTTGTTTGGATATTTATACGAAAATTACTGGAAGGCACGAGAGTACCCATCATGATTTGTTATATTTTTCGTAAAATAAATTTGATTTTATGTGAAAATCTTGGAGATGTAACCACTGCCGAATTTGCTTATTCAGAACTCGAATTATGAAAAACGTACCAAATCTGTTTTGTATTAAAATTCCTAAGGTTTTTTTTTAGTCACGTAAAAGTTCTTTTTTCGTCCCTTCCCCAAGTCCCAGTCGCCCCCGTTCTGTGTAAATTTTAAACTGTAAAATATTTGTATATTTATTACTTTTTTAAATAGTTTTTGTATGTAACAATATTTGTAAGGTACTTACCTAATAAAAAATTTACCTTCGTTGATATTTCTAAATAGTGAAACCCTTTAATTGTAGAAGTAATAGCCAATTTCTCATTAACAAGTACTGTCTATTTTTAAATCATTGCATGAATTTGTTTATGTACACAAAACTAGTAGTTTAAACTTAAATAGTAAACCTAAATAGTAAAAAAAATCTGTACAGAAATGATCTTAACAACTACATGAGATTTATATGAAAAATAATTATACACATCTTAATCCTATAAATCTATAAATACTTTCTAAGAAAAGCTCACAAGCATGTAAAATGATTACTTCTTACCAAGTGTCGAAGAACAAAGGCATTTATTTAATCACATAAATATGTATATTTGACGATTTTAAGAGTTACATTGAATCCGAAACAAGTAAGACTTATTATTATTAATATTTGATCATTCAAAGTTCCGACTAATTAGACTCTCTTTGCTCTATTTGTGTTGTTGAAAGATCAAAAAAGATTGTATTTAAATATCTATATGACTTCATAGAAAGTAGAAAATTTAGTTACGTGAACATTTCGAGATTTAACCGTGATTAAAATTATAAATGAAGCACGGCTAATTTTAGAAATTTATAACATTATAGTTTTTCTTAAGCATAAAAATACTTTAGATATAAAAAATACCAAATTTTGGAGGAACAAATATTGTGTTCATAAAAAGAAAAAAAATAAGATTTGTTCCAATAAAGTTACTAAACATTTGCGCAATGTAGTAATGGTTTGAACCTTTTTTAATCAAACATGCGTTTCTTCTTCGACAGAAGGTAAAAAATCACAATAAAAATCCAAATACAATAAATACACCAAAAAAAACATAAAATATTTAAATTAGTAAAGTTCACAATTTTTTATGTTCTCTTTTTTTACATAATATTTAAAGAACATCGACATTATTGCACTAGAAAACTTTTGTAAATTTGTTTAGCAAAAAAATGAAAATAGTATACGGCAAACATCTGAGGTAGTACATTCGTAGAGAGAAAACAAAAATAGCCGAATTATTTTTTTATCCATCGAATTCGTAAGTTGTGAAAAAATGCTTGGAAGACTTTTAGCGTGAAAATAATCGACTCGTTTTTAAATTTCACACATGAAACCTACATTAATAAATCGAAAAGAATCACCATTTAAATTGTATTTTTTAATTACACGTTTTTCGAAAAAAATAAATAAATAAACAACAAAAGTTTAATGTGTAAAATTTGGTATGAGTTAATCCAGTTTTTATTAGTAAATTTTAAAGAGTTTTGAATTAAAGCAAGTCCAGTTACTTTTATGTCAAAAATCTTTAAAAAAACTCGTAATGAAAAAGGGGTTATTGAAGTAAAAGGGGGGGTGTAAAAAAAATAAAGTGAAAAAAAAATGCTAGTGATATGCTGCGAACGTAAGTAAATAAATAAAAAAATAAAACCTGTAAAATCGAGTATTAATTTCAAAAGAAGCTTAATTAGAAAGGCAGGTAAAAATGACAGTTACTTTGTTTACTGTAAAAAGTGTGACGACTAAATAAATAGTGTTAAAGCTTATCCATTCTAAAAAGAGGATGAAGTCATTTTTAGTTATATCCACATAGTTTAACATTTCCCTAGTGCCAATGTTAATTCTGTCATTGGACAAGGGGAATTTTATGCCTTTTTTCTGTTTTTTTTTTTTTTCAAGTTTACAAGTAGGTTTTGTGTTTTTCGTTCGTTTTTAATAAATAAATAGTTTTTCGTGCGGTTTCTGTACGTTTATCGACACAGTTTCTCCTGCGTTTTTCTGTGTTTTACACATTTCAATTACAACCCGGCAACGTTGCTGGCTCGTGACGTCATTGTCTTTTTGGAACGGATAAACTTTATATTCTACAATCGAAAGTATTTTACGTAATAAAACAATATTTCTTTAACTAATTAATAGCGCGATCGGATCCCAACATCTAATAAAACCCAAAAAAAATTATATACAATTTCGGTACAGAATTTCACGAAACTTCTTACTGGTTAAATTAGCATCCCTGCCATTTTCCCCACTACAACTTTATTTTTATCTTAACCCTTAACTATTATTTAAAAAAATCACTATTAACCAAGTCTTGTTGTTGCATTTCAAATACCACAGTACAAAATAGGAGCACGATAAGCCGGTAGGTCTTAAACGATCACTAAAAACTAAATATTTACACATCTTTATACACATTTTAATTTTGCCGAAGAGTGTACGAGGTACTTCATTTCAAATTTAATTACAACAAATCATGTTTATTTGAATAAATTAATCAAAATCGGTTATAAATAATATTATCTTTATAGGGCAATAAAATGAATCCATTCAATCGTATTTAGCGCTTTTTATTAATTATAGGTGCGTGTTTAACTGGACAGTTGTACATTGTTGTTATGGAGTTACTAAGTACATTGTTTACGTTAAAGAGACTCTTTAAACGATTGATAAGCCTTAAAAAGAAGCACTGAATACGGTCCAATGTGTATATTAAAAAAAGCTCCAATTTCCAATTGGTTGTACTTATAAAAAATTATACTGGGTGATTTTTTTGAAAAGATCCACCTCCGATATTTCCCGCAGAAATTTTTCATGCAAAAAAGGCAAAACACATCTAACTGGCGTGTTTTGATTCTTGCTCTTTCACCTCCCATGGCATGGTGGCTACTATTTTTAAAACCATAAATGGGACTAGGGATCGAGATGTACAGGGTGTTAATTAATTGAGTGCCGATACTTCAAGATGTGAATATTTAGATGATTTTAAGAAGAGAAGTTTATATCAATATATGTCCTAAACCTCTTAGTTTTCGAGCTACAGTTTTAGAACATTGTTAATCTAAGAAAATCTAAGAGGTTTAGGACATGCATTGATATAAACTTTTCTTCTTAAAATCATCCACATATTTACATCCTGAAATATCGGCACTCAATTAATTAACACGCTGTACATACAAGGGTGGTTTTGAAGACCATTTAATTCCCTTTTTGCTGGTGCATCTAAAATGAAAATCTAACCATCCCTTCCCAAACTACGAATTTTTATAAGCCAGGAACCTTCTTGGCCCCTACAAGTCCCATTTAAGGTTTCGAAAAGGTAAGCCCTGGGGAGGTGAAACAACATGATTGAAAACACGCTAGTTAAATCTCTCGCTCAAAAACCAAATTGACGTGTTTTTTTAGGCTTCTTTGCAGAAAAAATTGGCGAGGGAAAATATTTCCCAAAAACATTTTCTCGTAAAATAAAGTACCTCTACAGTCAATCAATCAAAATCACCGCCTACCGTTCATTTCGCAACCCCATTTAAATAAACGTACAATATTAATAAAAAACTTTGAATTCAATAAGTTAAGACTAAAAAATAATTAGCAGCCTACCGTATGAAGCAAGTACGACACAATTTGTTGGGTCCTATGCAATCGTCGTGACAGAAGGCCCCGCATTTCTTGCACATTACCATGGCTTTGAGGCTACAGGCGCAATTCTGTTCGCCCGCTACCGCCACCGCCACCGATGGCGCCGGCGCCGGTTTTTGTACGGGCGGTACCGCCGTAGCCGGTTGCTTTTGCAGCACCAGCTGATTCGGCATGGCGGCGCCCGGATGATCCACCAATACGTTCCCTTCGCCGCCTATGATCGTGTAATTTTGCAGGGGGGACTCCACGCTCACGTCCCCATAAACGACGCCTGCGAAACAATACAACGATTTTAATAAGAAACAACTAACGCATCAAAGATTGTGGCACCTAAATACCAAGGTGTTGAATGCAGGTCTGAAAACTCGACGAATTTTGTGATAGTGAGGGAGTAGCGCTTGTTTTTTTATGACTTTGGGTCGAGGATTCACGCGGAATCCGCTTGGAACGCTAGCGTCGGGTAGGGTACTCAGTACATTTCGGTACGATGCGCGAATATCCTCAAATTACGAGGGCGAATGCTAAAGCCTGCCAAAATTTCGCGTCGAGTAACAATTGTAAACATTGGAACAAAAGTAAAAATTGAAAAAACCTGGGGACAGGCCAAGGTACGTCCACGAAATTGACGTGAATATGTTTACGTGAATTGTGATTTCACGCAATAATAGGACACTAAACAAAGATAATCTGTACAAATTTTCATGAAAAAAATCTTCAGCCATTCTGGACCAATATCAAAAAAATATTTTTTTTATTTTTAACTTTAGCACACTATAATTTATTTGCTATACACTTTTGGACATAGGTCAGTTTGGTTAAATCATTATATTATCCTCCCAGAAGTCTGTAGTTTAGTAGTTAACCCATGTCCCAACCTTTTAGATACCAGCGCCATCTGTCGAGAGTCTCAACACCCCTTCCACAGAAGTTTCGAGTTTCCCGACCTGCTTTAAACGACTTTGTTAAACGCTCACCTGGCGGCAGTCTCTGCCTTCTCGTGACGGCTTGTACGCCGGGATTGGGACATTGAACGATGAAATCGTTGCAGGACTGGCCCTGCACGGAGGGATGGTCGACTTCCACGCTGGCGGGTCGACCCCGGCCGGCTCCGACCGAGACGATTTGGGACAAACCGCCGCCGCCGGCGGCGTTTACGGAATTGTTGATTTGCTGTTGCTGCTGCGAAGGGGGCGCGCTCGACGATCGCGGCGTGTTCAACGGATCGTGGACGCCGGTACGTTGGACGAGAATGTACTGGCCCAGGGTTCCCATTGGTGTTTGGGTTTCGATAACCTATAAAATCGATGTTGTTAAGTTCAAAAATTATTATTGATGTGTATTGATGAAGCTGATAATTCATTGGTAAAGCTGTGGTTTTCGTTTTTCAGATATTTTTGAATAATTTGCCCTTTTAAGACAGGTAAGATATGAATTAGGATATTTCAAATGCACCAGGAGACTTTTGCAGCACTTTAATGACTATTTTTAAAACCTTTCTATCTTTTCAAATTGCAGGGAAATGAATTGAATTTGAAAAATTCTGAAAACGATTTCTTATTTAACTTTGTTTTATGTCAAGTGTAATCAAAAACGGAACATCTACTAGTTAAAATATTCTCTGGACTGGAGGACCGATTAGAACAATGCCAGAGAGCCGCACGGAAATATCCACAAATCTTTTTAGTTAATGATGAAATCAATGAAAAAAAAGTCGTAAAAGCTTACGCAAAACATTACATTTAAAACGCCAAAAGGCTAATTTCACTACTTATGTTGCTATTGCTAAAAAACCATAGATCTACTAACTATGGACGCGGTGTAGACAAAGAGGTAGTGCTGTCGATGAATGAGAGAGATGCAGCTAGTTTGGGCATATGGCAATGAGAGATTGGACGATGCATTAGCCAATAGTAAGAATGCAAAAGACCACGTGAGTTACGTTTGCAGAAATGCAAGGTTTCAATGATAAAGAATACCCTGTATATATCTTATTTTTTTATTTGGTCCCGCCTACTTCTTGCCCCAATTAGCTCCATCTCTCACGGACCTTTCTCTCTATCATTGGGAACGCTGAATAACCTCAAAATACCGATAGTGCCGCGTCCATGATTAATAGGGCTTTGCTAAAAACCAAGTACCTCCGGATTAACACTAGGCGCGTGAGGCAACACGGCCATGGTGACGGGAATTCCTTGGCCAGCCGAGAAAATATGCCTGACGACGACCGGACCCGGTCCGGGCGCCCTCTGCTGTTGATAGGGCACGGTCCTCATGCGTTGCGCGACCCCTCTTATGCCGTTACCGCCCTGCGCCCCCATCGGATAGGCATTGTTTTGCGCCGGTAGCGGCGGAGCGAACGTCTTGTTAACGGTACCCCGACCGGCAGCGAACTGTTGCTGTTGTTGCTGCTGTTGCTGCGCCTGCTGTTGTTGTTGTTGTTGCTGCTGTTGCTGTTGCGCCGGCCTACCAAAAGAATATCTATTGAATCACGAGGAAATTGATTCAATAGGTGATATCGATGTTATTGTGCGATCGTGACTCGTGTTGTTGATATTAATGAAAACGTGATCGTTCGAGTTCGAGTTCGAGCGGCCGTACTCACCTATTCTCGTTCTTTTTCATGTTATTCGCTTGGGCCGCCGCCAGCAAACTCGGCGGCGGTTTCAGCTGGCACCTCAATTGGTCCCGGTTGGGACTGTTTTGGATCACAGCCTGGCAAATTTGGTAGCTTCTCTCCAAGTTCACCGCCCCGGGAGGCGGTTTGTTGCTACTCCTACAAAAAAAACATTGCTAAATTTCCTTAGACTCCTTTTGTCATCGTTTAAACCGTTCTTTAAACACATTCGAGATGATGGGTGGACTAGAATGGTAAGTTATTTACCATTAAGTTACTCATTTTACAATACAGCAAAATGAAAATAGGACAGAATTCCCTCATCACAAAAGAAAATGGGATGCCGGTCTAGAATGCAGTCTACCCTACCGAGTACCACATCTAGTTTAGTATGCGGTCTACCCAAAGTTATTACATACTGGGTGTTAATTAATCGAGGGCCGGTACTTCAGGATGTGAATATTTGACTGATTTTAAGAAGAAAAGTTTATATCAATATAAGTCCTAAACCTCTTAATTTTCGAGCTACAGGGCGTTACAGTTTTAGAAAAAAAAATAACTTTTCTATCATAATTTTCTTACTCCAGATATTTTTATGAAATTTCGTACACACTTTTTAATTATTAAGGAACATTTTTTGAGTCAATAGATTTTTTTAAATTTTTACCAGTGACGTCCGTACGGGGTTTGAACTGAATAATATTGAAGAAAAAACGGTATGAGACTGCTTTTCTAAAAACCAAAATTATTTTTAAAATCCTCATTAATTTTGAAGCAAATTCAGCATTTTTGCGTAAAAAAATAAAAACCAAAACAATTTTTTCCCAAGTTTATTGAGCCTCTGCTTTCGATATTTTGTTGAAATTTGGTAGGCGCCCACCACGCATGGAAAAACTTTTTTTTGCGCACAAAAATTAATTTTCTACTATTACCAGTGACGTCCACGTCCGAAAATTATAAAAATATCTCGAGTAATAAGAAAATTATGATAGAAAAGTTATTTTTTTAACTGTAACACTACAGGGTGTTCGAAAACTAAGAGGTTTAGGACAAATATCGATATAAACTTTTCGCCTTAAAATCATCCAAATATTCACACCCTGAAGTATCGGCACTCAATTAACGAACACCCTGTATAAGTAGACCGCAAATATTACGGTAGACCGCATACTAGACAGGGCACCAAAAAAAGAAATGGCACAATACCTACCGATTCCTATTACCCCCGCTCTGAGCGTTCTTTGGTTTGGCTTTACTGTGCGTGGATACCGCCCTAATGGGTTGGCTGGTACTCAAAGCCAGATACGGTACGGCGCTGGAGCTTTGAATGCGCGGTACTGCGGCGCATTGCGCTACTTCGTTAACCGCGTTAATAATCGGGGCCGACGTCACGATGCTGGGCAGGCACACGATCGTCGTTGGAGGAATTACAGTAGGAGGAACGACTGTGGGAGGAATTACGGTCGTTAGGGGTACCTACAAATTGCCTCAATATTTATACGTTGATAAGACATATACGATAAAAATCAAGACATTAAAAATTAGCAGTTTCTGATAAATATACAATTACTAGCTCGTATTCAGCGACTCTGTTTAACTTTAGCGTGACTCTAAAGTCGCGTCTCTAGTCCCTAGTTATTCCATAACAATGTACAACAAAGGTAATCAGAGGCGCTGAATACGGGTCAATGAATATATTCTCTTCGATTTGGTATCCTTCACTCACCCTACTGACAGGAGGCGTTATTGAAGGATCGGGCGAATTGTTGCTGGTACTAATAATCGGATTACTAGACTGCGTTGGGACTATCTCGGGGGTAAGTGTAACTTCCAATTCCAACTTGACTTGATTTCCACTTATTTCCTGGTAGTTCGATTTAGATGGATCTTCTTCTGAAAATTCTTCTTTGCACGTACCTAAAGCCGCCTCCACCATGTCCGAATCCATATTGACATCATACCTACGATAAAATAATTCAGAAATAATTAGCGAATCAAATACTAACAACCATGAACGGTGGTTACCCTCAGGGATAGACTAAGAAGCCAGGATATCAGATAAAAGTGGTAAGATGGATTAGTACCTGCAAAAGGAAAGGCCATGTAGAGAGAATACGAGATAAAAGATGTGTCACAGGAAGAGCTTTGATGGAGTCTAAACTCAACTGACCAAACAGGACTAGGTCCTATTATAAGAAGAATAAAACGAGAAATTAGCGAATCAAATACTAAGAACCCCTCTTGGTGTTACCTCAAGGATAGAATAAGAAGCCAGGATATCAGATAGAACTAGATGGTACATGGTAAGATGGGTTAGTACCCGCAAAAGGTGCTGGAGAGGATACCACATGAAAGATGGGTCAGGTAACTCAACTGGATAGACCACCCAAGAAATGGTACGAAAGCCGGAGCTCAGCGTCACAGAAAGAGCTCTGAAGGAGTCTACACTGAATGAACCAAACAGGACTAGGTCCTATTATAAGAATAATAAGAAGAAATTGAAGTATAATTTTTGGAAAAAAAACTGGAAACAAAGTGTCGTACCTCCAATCGTTTACTACAACGGGAAATCTGCCTTGTTCCAACTTGACTTCGAGCTCCTCCTGCATGGGAATCACTTGAACGTGCTCGTCCAGCTTGTCCTGTACGACGGATTCGGTGGAACAGTGGCTCTCCAAAGGCATTGTGGTCTCTAACGTATGTAACGGCGACACTTGCATCAATTTCTCAGTACGACTGTCCACCATTCCCCAGCAACACTCATCTGTAGCCACTAAATATTAAACAAATAATAAATAAGATTTACTTATACAATGTCTGCAAAGGGGAAATATATTTGTATTTACAGCGAACGTGAGTATTGTAGGAGCCCTTCCAGTGGCGTAGGTGGTAGAATTGTAAACGGACTCAAAGAATATTAACGCACAAAAAATTTGGAGTGAATATTAAAAACGAATATTTTTTTTAAGAAATTGTGACTTAATCGTACTAAAATTAAAACATTATGTGCAAAAGTATTTTCTCGTTTGTCTAATAATCCAAATTCTTTGGAAAAGTTTTTCAAAGTAACACCTATGCAAATTATTGAAGGTTTCATGTTTGGTCATTTACGAATCAAAACAAAAGCATATTGAATGTGATAAATTATTGTTTCAGCTCGAATAATAATTGTGTTTTAGAAATTCGATACCTTCGTTTTTACAAAGGTAAGTCGTATTTATTGATAAGTGGTTTTTCGGTAGGTCTAATTCTATAATTAAATAAATAAATTAGTTTAAAAAGGCGCGGGGTTACACGTATCACGTAGCTAAAGCAAGTTACTAAATCAAGCAATTAAATTTAGTTACTTGTATGGTTTGGACAATTTGATTTAGTAACTTGTGCAAGTACCTAAGTTTGTAAACTACTAAATCAAGTTGTCCACACTATACAAGTAACTAAATTTAGTTACTTGATTTAGTAACTTGCTTTAGCTACTTGATACGTGTCCCCGCGCCTTAAGGCCTTCGCACCTCTGGGTTAAGGGACGCAGCTTTTAAGCTACTAAGTAAATACAAATGTACATTCTCACCTCTTCCGGCGTTTTCTCCAAACAACGTAGCCTGTACGTCGACGTTGGCCTTTTCGATGCCTTGTTTCTCCTTATCGCCGACCTTATTGACGCCGAGCTGTCCCGATTCCAAAACGTAATTCTCGGCATCGATGAACCGATCCTCCTCGTCGGTGGGCACGTTTTCGAAGGCGGCTTCCGAAATTTGCGCCATCACGAGATCGCATTCTTCGACGCTGGCCTCCAATTTTTCCGCATCGATGATACTTATACCGTCACCTTGATCTGGGTGAGCGTGCACGGACGCCTGGACGTTGTCGTTCTTGTGGCTGCGCGATTTGTCCTCTTCCAAGATCAATGTGTTAGGGAGGACTTGAAATGTTTGCTGGAGACGAGCGTCTTTGGCGATTTCGGGGTGCTCCGTTTGATCCATCGAATCGTACTGTTCCAAAGGCTCCGCTGAATCGGTGCGATCCGAACTTTCCAGAGATTCCACCGGTTGGTTCTTCGGTATTTCTGGCTCCTGGGTTTCGTTCGGCTCGATCGATTGATTTTCCATGACGCTGATGTTTTCTGCTTGGATGTGATCCATCGGTACGTTGTAGTGCGACTTGTCATCGATGTGGGTTAACTTTAAGTGGTCTGTAACTAGAGGAAAATAAAAGAGGTGAATAATAAAAAACACGTTTTGATTGAAGATAACTACCTATATGGCATTCGCTATCGTTCTCGGTTATCTGAAGTGGATCGGTATCCATAGGAGTTAGTTCTAGCATATCAGGTGTGGGAGCTAGCGGGTCCTCTTGTTCGTCTTCCTCTTGATCCTCTTGCTCCGTGGTGGTAGTAGTGGAAGAAGTCTCGTCGGTTTGACTGCGTTCTTCTTCTTTGTAATCAATATGTAATTGCAAGGAATCGACCGTTTCGATAGTTTCGTTACTGGATATTTCCTCGATGTTGTGAGTAACGATGCTACTGGAGCTGCTGCTGTTCTCGTCTAAAAGCTTATCTTTGTCGTGATAGTAGGAATCTTCTTCCATCATTTCTGACATGGTTTCGCTCGCTTTGTCGTCATCGCTAGCTTCTTGGGCTAGACGATCTTCGGGAACGTCTTTTTCCCGATCGGTTTCTACGTGTTCGGCTTGAACGGGGTTTTCGATAAAAGGACTAGGGGTCTTTCTTTTGGGAGACTTTTCGTTAGAATCAGTGCTGGGCGATCTCCTCCTTTTGTCCGGCTTAGAAGAACAAATAATGATTGTCTCTTGATTATTTTCTAAAATAGTATCACTTATATTAACAATGCATTTTTCCTGAAGTTCTATAATATTATCACTAACTGAAGTATTTGTATCTACATCTACGCTAACAGTACTTTCAGACTTAAGTTGAACCTCATCCTTTTGTACTTGCTTCATTTGTTTGATAGGCAACAAGTCAGGAATGGGCGATTTGTTTTCCAACGTGTTCATTTTCATGCTGGTGCACGAGCGAGTCATTGCACCGACGGTTCTTAAACGTTTCACGGGAGGTGGGACAGGGTGTTTGCTTTGCTTGGTCGACTGGGTGGTCGAAGGCCTGAGTTTTATAGTGGTCTTGATGGGTGGACGTGTTGCGTTTACAGACATTACAGTACTATTTACATTGAGTTCAAACGATCGATCGCCCCATATCGGTTCGAAGTGCTTCAATTTCCAAGGATCGACCTTGCTCCTCTCTTTATCGGCTTCCAATTTCAATTTCTGTTGGTTCTCCGGCGTGAACTCCCCTTCGGCCAGCCGGTCCTGCCATTCGAGACAGGCCCTGGCGAAGAACTCATTGTTTAATCCGGAATTGTTGATCTCGAGATTGCTGTTAGGGTCGTTGTTTGCGATATTCCTATCGACACTGGGTAATAACTGAACTAATTTGTTCTGATAAAGCGTAGGTAGGGCTGCAAATGTGGCCTTGTTGAGTAAGTGTCGCAGGTTCGTGATGACCAAAATCGAATCGGGAGTTTCTAAATCGACGCAGCCTTCTTTGGTTTGTTCGAGTTGAGCGGCATGAGACAACTTTTTGCTGGATCTCTTTCTGGGTCGCACGTTGAACCCCGGTATTGAGGCTAGCACTTCCTTCATCGTTGGTGTTCGTTTTGTAGGCACTGCGGTCACAGTTGGCTCTTCAACTGCTTGAGGAGGTAGAGGTTTAACTATTATACGGGGTACTGAAGTGGCGTTACCAGAAGCTATTGTAGTATTTTTCCTTCTGCGTTTTGCTTGTTGTCGAAGTGCATGTTTGGTTTTCCTATTACTAGAGCTGGTTTTACCAGGATCTTCTGCACTAACGTTATTGCTTACATTTTTTTTATTGGCACTTGAATTTTCCACATTTTCTTCTTCGCTTTGACTTGAGTTACCTGTATTACATTCTGAAATACCATCTGGGGTAACGTCTATTTCCATTACGTAAATGAGTACTACACATCAATCCCGTTTCTACGTTGATTTCGTTAAAAATTCACAACACACAACAAAGCTTTTAAAATCTTCGGATAATTCACCCCATGTTAATGTAGCTTTTTAGTATTTTACACTTCAATAAAATCGATATAATGCGTATTGTATAATATCGAAACATTAAGTTAAAGTTATTGTTTCTTTCAACGCAATTTTAATTCACAATTCTACTGTCAAATACAATGCTATCCGCCATTTCATAACTGAGCCTTCTTTCAAACAGGGAAATGTTTTGCTAACCAAAGTGGGCCTTACAGTCCATTTTTGCAATCTGTCACACTGTCAAAATATAGAAAGGGCATTTCCATTGTACATCAATTCAAATTTAAATTTGTTATAAAACTTATTACAATACGATTTTATTAATGAATTTTTTTTTAAATGTTTTATTTCACAAATCGTTTAATTTATTTATTTAAAACGGCATTATTATTCGTTTTTATATTTATTTATTTTTTAACCAATTTTAACCGGTCGAACAAATCAAAATGGCTATTAGGTTGGTAGTCAGAAAGTTACTAACCGAAGTAACTAAAATATTTTTGCACATTTGCCAATGTGTGCATTATTTTCAGGTAACTGCCATTTTTTTAAAACAACTACCACTAAATATCTTCAAAATTGTTAATGATTGTAAAAAATATTTTTTTCTCATATATTTGATTGCTGTATAAACGTATTATTTTAATGAAAATTATAATATTAATTATTACAAACAATAATATTTTAAAAAGATTAAGTAAACAGTAAATCATTTGACAACATTGTAATGAAATGCGTTGTTGTCGATACTACTAGCAGTTCTAAAAACATTTGACATTTACAATTTTTGACAGATGCAGTTTTTCGTATATTGCAAAGAAATTTATTCGTGCTTGCATTTTTCACGAGGGCACGAACCAAGCAGTATAATTCCTTATATTTCTAACGGTGCGAAAAATGAGTTAGATCAGTCCCAGTGATAGTTAAACAATAACTCTATCGCGGTTAATAACATGCCGGCAAGAGGGCCATACAATGAATAGAAGTGGGTGTGCGATATCATCTCCTATCTAATTTATATCGTTAATCGTTACCTGCTGCGGATGATAAAACCTCGAATGAATTTATTGCACGATTATTGAAAGCACCAGTCGACTGGGAAAAGATGTGCAGAGTACCAGCATACAACTTCAAGAATCTAATAGAGTGTCTCAAGAATAGTTGAGTTTCATCGAAACCCATCGCGATGGGAAATACCAATAGCTGTTGTTCATACTCTAGTCCTCAAAGTAGCCACAGAGAAAGGGGAGTTATCATTCCGGTGGGTCACAGGGATCGCAATCTCGAAGATGCTTTGCAGGAAGGTGAGGCAATTAACTTTATAAAAAAATATTAAATTAGATATTTGCTGTTAATCATTAGGTAAAGATTAACGATATGCACATTTTTGTGTAATAACTCAATTTTATTTGTTGAATCGAAAAAATATTAGGATATCTACTTTTTAATGTAAATCATTTGTGTTTGTTAAAATACTAATCATTATTGATATTTTAATCATGTTTTGTATTAGCGTGTAATATATGTTTTTATAGGTGAAATAAGTACTAGCAATCTTCAGCATATCAGCGAAAGGGAGACAGACGATGGAGAACTCGATCCCTCTCAAGATCCCGTGGCTAAAACCATTTTCATTGAACGATCAAAAACCGCCATAGAAAACGGCATGATTCGAAGGAAGAGCCAACATCAAATCGCCGATTTGCGGCCATTGAAGAAATCGAGCTCGTGCTCCACTATTTACTTGGACGACAGCACGGTATCGCAGCCCAATTTGAAAAACACAGTCAAATGCGTAGCCTTGGGGATATACTATCACATAAAAAACAGAGATTCGCAAAGACAGATCGGCATATTCGATGAAAAGTTGCATCCCCTCACCAGAGACGGTGTTAGTGATGATTACGATAAATACAATCCGGAACACAAGCAAATCTACAAGTTTGTTCGAACGTTATTCAACGCTGCTCAATTGACTGCTGAATGTGCCATTATTACTTTAGTGTATTTAGAAAGACTGTTAACTTATGCTGAATTAGATATTCAACCTTCCAATTGGAAACGAATAGTTTTAGGTGAGTCGATTGGTGGGGTTTTAAATGGGAAATTTGGAATTTTAAAAGGGAATCGAGCTTACACGGTCGTTTCCCAATTATAAATATTTGCATTTGTTGGATGTTTTATCGAATAGTAGGCTCGTTAAACATTTTTTTCGAGCCAACACACTTTCGGTTCCTTATCATTTAATCAAGAGATAAGCCTAGGCAAACACGGAAACTAGTTGAAATTAATTTAATGGTTAAACTATACGTAATTAAAACAATTTTTTTGTTGACACAATACTTTAAAGGTGAGGTGAGGATAGTAATGTTTTACACCTTCAAAGTTTTTTAACAAGCTAATATGAATTGTGCAAAACTATCGAAATACGATTGAACTAGTTTACAAGATTTTGTGCAAAGAATTTACGATAATGGGAGTGATGTATTTTTGATTAATGGACAAAAATTTATAGTAATAAAAAATATAACACGTCACATAACCGAAATATACTAATAAAATCATTTGTTTTAATGGAATTTAATATTTAAGCAATGCATGAAAAGAAACTACAAATTACAAATGCTAAGCATTAAATTTTAGCTTTTATGTACGATTTGGGGTCGGTTGCAGAATCATTTAGAACGCCCCAGAATCATTTAAAAACTGTCTAGAACCACTTAGAACGTTCCATAATCATGTAAAAATTGTTTAGAACCATTTAGAACGTTGCAGAATCATTTAGAATGCTGCAGAATAATTTAGAATGCCTCAAACATTTAAAACTGTCAAGAACCACTTAGAACGCTCCAGAATAATTTAAAACTTGTCTAGGACCATTTAGAATAGAACGCTCCAGAATAATTTAAAACTGTATAGAACCATTTAGGACGCTTCAGAATCGTTTAGAACGCTACATAATCATTTGCTACATCAACTTTTTAGATCCATTTATAACATACCAGTATCATTTAGAACGGTCTAAAACCAGTTAGAACGCCTCATAAACATTTGACACTATGCTGAACCATTTAGAACGCTCTAGAATCATTCAGACCGCCCCAGAAAAACATAATTAGAACTATCTAGAATCATTTAGAAGGCCTTCATTTTTGAAACATTTTGGGACTTCCCTAAATTTGGTCTTTTCTATCAAAAACCGATTGCCCATCGAATTACTTATCGAATAACAGTGCACTAATATACTGTAATATTTCCCGCAGGTGCAATCTTATTAGCCTCGAAAGTGTGGGACGATCAAGCCGTATGGAACGTCGACTACTGTCAAATCCTGAAAGACATAACCGTCGAAGACATGAACGAATTGGAGAGGCAATTCCTCGAATTGCTCCAGTTCAACATCAACGTGCCGTCGAGCGTGTACGCCAAATATTACTTCGATTTGCGCACGTTGGCCGAAGCCAACGATCTGACGTTTCCCAGCGAACCGTTGAGCGTCGATAGGGCGCAAAAGCTCGAGGCCATGTCGAGGGTGATGGCCGACAAATACACGCAGGAGGCTATCAAAAACGGTGTGATAAAGAAATGGTCGAGTTTGGATAATTTGACCAACGGGACGGCTGCCAGACGGTCGATTGCCATTCTATCGTGATTCGATTCTTGTGAATAAACGTTCTATAGCCTGGCAACATTTTTCTATAGTTGAAAAATGAGTCGCTGCCAGTTATTTTGGAACTAGGGTATAGGCATAGGCGCGTCCAGAAAGTAAGTTCCGTTTGTTAATTTAAAAACAAATCTTGTACAGATATCTGAATTTCGAACCATATAAACTACTATACTGCTAATATTGGTCTAAATCCGTAGCAAACATTACGGTATAACTACGAAAATTTTGGTACCTATGTGGAAATGTAGCTCAAGAATCGTAGATTATTGTGCAATAATTTTTTTTCTATATCTCTACAGGATTTTTTGTATGTAACAAACGAAACTTACTTTCTGGACGTACCTAGTATATTCATTATTTTATGGAGCATTCGAAGCATTTAACGGGAATGTGATGGATGTGAATCAACATTCTCTCTCCCCCTGTTTGTCTGCGATTGGTGTTTTATACGATTACCTGGAATACTTCTAGGTTTCAGAGTTTTTACTTAGTATTTGGATACACTGAGTTAATGTTCTAAACTTCAAAATAGGTGTATTTTGTGGGATACGAAATTATCCAGAAATTCCTACTGGCACTTCAATAACTCCAAATAGTAAGGAAAAATTTAACAAAACAATTTCATAGCCTGTATCTCAGTAAGGGTTGAATACTTGAAGGTATGTTGGTCGGGAATTTTTTCAAAATTTTGAGGTGTACAGGGTGTGTCCCAATGAAATTTAACCCATTTAATCAGCTATAATTTTTAAACGCCTAATCATAAAAACATGCAGTTTTCGCAGATAACTTTTATTTTGTTTCAGTAACATATAAATTATGTATTACCAATACAGGGTGTATAATCAAAATCCCCTCTTTTCAATTCACATTAACCAAATTTTATGAAATAAGGCATCTTAATTCAGAATACCTCTACATATACGGGGTGTTCCATTTAATAACATTTGGTTACTGTGAATTTAAAAGAGGAGATTTTGATAAAACACCCTCTATTGGTAATACATAATTTCTGTATCACTGTAACAAAATTTATAACAAAATAAAACATCTGCGAAATCCGCATGTTTTTATGATTAGTCGTTTAAAAATTATCTGATTAAATGGGGACTACTTTTCAATGGGAAATCCTGTATAGCCTCTGAAATTTGTCGGTATAGCTAGAAAACACCCGCTATATAGGATGTTTTATTAGTAAAGGCGCAAATTAGAGTTGGGATTTGTGGAATTATCAGTGAAACATCCTGTGCAGATAATTGAAAATTGATGACTAATTTTTTAAAGGTGTACATGAGATTTATTTTTATAGATGGATTTTATTGCTTCTGATGCTTCCGATTATTTACCAAAGTATTGCATATTGGACTTTTTATTAGGTACAAATCGAAGATCTGCTTTTTATTTTCGTACATTATTTGTGAATTGTACGGAGTGTCCCGCATAACAACCGACACAGAGCAGTGACTTGTTATGGATACTCAAAATATGTTGTTTAACCCAATTTAATTTAATCTAAGTGGCCATCAAAAATTCTTTCTTTTTAAAGCGTTCTCACACTGTGCAATATATTGAGACAGTTTATTGCATTATTGCATTGCAGTTAAAATTCAAACGTCCAAATGCGTTGCTTTTACACGTATGCGATGTTATGCAATATTGCAGGAATGTTTTGCACCGTGTGAAAACAATCTAAATGTTACTTAAAACCGTAGATAATTCAAATGTTGGCTGTATTATGTTAAAGTTGGATTAAACAACATATTTTAGGCTACCATACATTCTACTACTCCATGTCGGTTCTTACGCGGAACAACATGTATTTACAGCATATTTGTTTTAACCCATTGTATTTTTTTTTACTTTTTACAGATTAAGCAAACTTATTTATACACTTATATTACTCGTATTATTACAATAGTGATCTAATATAAACTTGTATTTTCTGAGAAAAATGGTTTTTGGTACAATTCGTCACAAATCAGTATGAAAATTTGTACGCGATTTTTATACTTTTTTTTTTCATTCACTGCAGGTATTCAGTATTCCCTAATTTTTACATTATCGATTTGTATTGTAAAAAATCGCCTGTCCCCGTATTCAGAAGTTTTTTATAATCAAATGGGGTTGTAACCAACGATTATACAGGGTATGTCACGACGAGCTTAAACAAGCTGTACATGCTTAAAATTCGGAAATATATAATCGTTGCTTACAAAACCATTTAGTTACAAAAAACTTGTGAATACGGGCGCTATCACGTATTGGTTTATGTTATTACTGTACTGTATGTATAACATGCCGAAGGTACGATTCAAAAAAATGTATCAGGCAAACAATATTTGTTATTGGCAATTAAGAATTGATTCTGGTAAACTGTATTACGTGAACCGGTATAGTTTCGTTAATCAAAATATTTTGGAAAATTAAAACGATATGGTTCTATCAAAAAACATAATTAATAGGGCAGCTTTCGAATTATAATGTGGGAGATTTTAATTAAATTTAATTGGTATACATTATTAATCTATTTAATGAGAAAATGACTTGAGTATACAGGGTGGTCCATTTAAAACAATCCACCTAAAATATTTTCTTAGATTTTTTTTGGAAATCTCTGAAATTGGTTGATTTTGATTTCAAGGGAGAATTCATTTGTTCTTAAATTCATGAATGTTAGAAGTGGTGTGGCAACCCTTTCAAGAAAACTAAATGGCACCAAAGGATCAAGTGGCACATTATTTTAAAGAAATTTCAATAATCTTTTCAAATATTCTGAAATTCTTTGTCGGTGTTATAATAATTAATTTAAAACATCAGTTGTGAATGTCGGTGAAATAAATCGAAGAAAAAAGTTTACGAACAAGTTTTAATCAAATAAATGTTCAAATTGCGACACATTTACTTCCATGCAGAAATAAAGACTTTGTTCAACATGTTCCGGAACGTTTCGGATTATTTCTCCACATGCTTGGACTGTTTTAAATGGGCCACCCAGTATTTAATCGTATCCCGACGTTCCATCATACGACTATTCATCACGCGACATTTTTAAAATTTTTTCAGATTTTTTTAAGTAGGTGTGATGAATTGTCGCCGTTATGAACAGTCGTGTGATGAAATGTTGTGGAATTGTATTTAATGTGTCTCTACATTTTTTGGATATTTAGCTATTTTTTAAATTTTAATTTCAGTCATTGCACGAGCTGCTTGCTTAGTTTAATAAGTACTATTGTAGTAACATAAATTTTTTCCTATCCGGATGGATTAGCAAAATGCTACGTACTATTTTTCACGATGAAAGTTTGAAATTTCATAGAGACTGAAATACTAATAGGTATTTTACCGTCATTCCAAATAGCCGAGAAAAATCGATATAAAATGCACTACTTCGCTTACGAAATCACGTCCAATTATTTTTTGATAATTACGGGGGAAATCTACAGGCCTACCTATTTTCAATTTTATACTACTGTACTGAGCTTTGATTAGAAAATAAACAATTAAAGTCGATGTTAATTTTTTATTACGTTTTCATAATCTAATCAGGGTAAATATTGGAGGCAACTTTTATATCGTATATGACAAAAAAAATACTACCAAGTCACACTAAAATTATAAATATCTATATTTACAGGGTGTGTCAATAGTGCGGTAAAGCTCATTTACTCAGTTATTATGAAAACTGTATTTTTTGTACAGGGTGTCTGGATAAGGGTATGGAGCGGCTGTATCTCGACAATGGTAAAGCCTAGATGTGTGAGAAAAAATCTTGATGGATAAAATGGACTAAAGAATATAAAAGTTGTGCTATCTCGGAATGTATGGCGGTGAGCTATAACTTTGAGAACATCATATGAGAGCTTGAATAATACCGCATAATTTTATCCTCGAACGTTTTTTCGTATCTGTTATAATAAGCGAGGAAGAGGCCAATGCATTTTTAAAACTACCTTTTTATAACTCCTGAACCAATGAACCAAATGGAATTTAATTGGTCTCGTTTTAAAATGGATTTGGTAGTCTTTTCAATGATTTTTTTTCGTATACGATTTAGTTTAAATAAACTAGATGGTGTTATCTGAAACGGTTGCACTTTTTTGTGATTTTTGTAACTCCTCGGAAACTCCTATAAGTTCTAATGGACTATTCCCACTGCATATTAATTACCTAAACAAATTTTCAGCCAAACCAAAAGTAAATAATACAGAAATTGTAACGTAAGAGAATAAATGTATTAATGCACCTCATAACATGAAAACAATACAAAATGCCACTTAACTTAAACCTATATTATAATTTTCTATATAATAAATACATCACATACAAACATTCATCACTAAAATAATGCATTAACAATTTCGTATCTTTATCAAATATATAAGCCAAAATGTATTTATTACACTAGGTCTGAAAAAGCTTAATAAACCTCAATCCGCGGACGAGTGACACAAATGCTACAAAGCTAATAAGTTTTGCGAATTAATTACATAATAAAAAAGTGAGTACAGACCGACAAGAATAACTCAGGACACCAAGGTCATACTCACGCGTCTTTTGTTATTCTTACCAAACCGTAGAAGCAACATAAATGTTCAAAAACATTATTTTTATCAGATTGCTTAGCGTTCTAACAGCTAATGGTAATGTTTCCAGATCAAGGTTTATACTACAGTGTAAAAAATTTCAACTATTTAGAGACTATTTGTTAAAAACCACCGTGAATAAAACTTTCAGAAACCTATCTGACGAATTTGAATCGTAATGAAATATAAAAAATACGGGCTCTTTAAAATTAATACAAGATTTTTGAGTATACATATAATAAATCCCTCATAAAGTTACAGTTTAAACGAGGAGTAGAGAATAAAAGTTAATCAATGTCGAGATATGGTACAGCCTACTTTTCTTGATACACCTATTTGGTTAAAACCCTATACTAGGCTCGTTTTAAATATTCAACAAAGTTGTATTCAAAATAAATTTCAATTCAACATTATCCATTACACTGAATTTTGAATTTTTTTTGATAAAATTAACGAGCAAAATGCACGAATATGATTGCTTATTAACAGAAAATGATTATTATGTTATAATACAAAATAAGTGCATTTTTTAAACAGTCTAAATTAAATTGTGAAGTACCTTTAGGGTGTTCTTACACTTACTTCGATAATTTCGTGCCGCCTCGTATAATAGTGGAATTCAGTGTTAATCAAACGATATCAGTTAAAAATGCTGAATTTTCAAATATACTTCTAGAATGTTAATAAACAATGCTTTTTTGTCTAATTGCACAAGGAACAATTAAGGAATCGATAGCAGGAATTTTATGTTTATCATTAGTTTATAAATATTCAAATTCTCGTTTCCAGTGAAAAATTAAAATACAACATTATTGCACTGATGTTACAATAAACAGAACATTATCGACAGATATCGTTTATAAAATAATAAAATTTTATATTTAAAAACGACGAGATAAATAATATTGAAAACTAAAATCACCAAACGTTCTCATTTTAGAATGATAACAGGTTGTTCACTATAAATAAAGTGATTGTAAAACCGAAATCTAAATGTGTAATTAATTTACGGCGAAATGTAAGTAACACCCCGACATTATGGATTAATTTAGGGATAGAAGAGATTCCTTCTTGCACGAAGAAATATAAAAATATATTTAAGATAAAACTAGCAGGCACAATTGTCTTTGTTTGCCTGTTGGTCGTTGGACAATGGATTGCGACCCGGTTGAGACGGTTTGTGTTGAACACCCGATTCTGCCGCGTTCAAATCCAAACGACCGTCTTGAATACTCTGGTAGATCTTTTTCGCCGTTTCCAGGAATGCCTCTTCTACGTTATCACCTCTGAAAAATTAATTAATCGATAATATAATTTAAAAATCTATTCCAAGTACTCTGCTAGTAGAAAAAAGAATCAGCACGTCTGGTTTCTTTCATTTGTCCAAATAATGTCATTTCAGTACGTTCTAAATAGTTCTAGACAGTTCTAATTGATTCTGGACAGTTGTACATAATTCTGGAGCGTTCTAAATGGCTCTAGATAGTTCTAAATGAATCTAAAGTGTTCTAAATGGTTGTAGACAGTTTTAAATAAACCTGGATCGCTCTAAATAGTTCTGGAGCGTCCTGAAGGGTTCTAGACAGTTCTAAATGGTGTGCTAGGAGACTATTGTTGGACATTAATACGCGAAACCGACCCGAAATCATATAAAGAAACAAAAATTTAATGCTCAGCATTTGTAATTTCTTTTCATACATTGCTTAAATATTAAATTCAGTAAAACAAACGATTTTATTTGCATATTTCGGTTATATGACGTGCTAGATTTTTTATTGCTACAAATTTCTGCTTATTCAACAAAAATACACCATATCCTAAGTTTTTTGCACAAAACCTTGTGAACTAGTGTAATTTAAAAATCTATTTTAAGCACTCTACTGGTAGAGTAACCAAAATAATAATACTCAACAAAATTTAATAGTTTCAAATAATGAATTTAAAAGTATCACGTTACACATAAACGTTAATGGTAACAAATAATAATATTTGTTTGTTATTCGCAACCACAACTCACCCAACAATTCCATCGTTATTAACTTCATTACGATATTTACATGATCAAAACTAAGTCTATTCTATGCAAATCAGTTACGATAGAAATCAGATAAAAGAAACTCACGTTTTCGCGCTGGCCTCTACGAACATCAAGCCGTTTTCTTCCGCAAATTTACTGGCCTCCTCGTACGTAACGTCTCTCTGTCCTTCCAAATCGCACTTGTTACCTATCAAAAATATGACCGTGCTGGGATTGGTTAGATTCCTCGTATCGGTCAGCCAACTGCTCAAGTGATTGTAGGTGGATCTTCGAGTTATGTCGTACACCATAAGGGCACCGGCTGCCCCGCGATAATACGAACGCGTGACGGCCCTGAAGCGCTCCTGACCAGCGGTGTCCCAGATTTGCAGCTTGATTTTTTGGCCCGATACTTCGATGATACGGGTACCGAATTCCACTCCTATCGTGTGAGGACAATCGGCCATAACTGTTCGAAACAATATTACAATTAAATCTTAAAGCATTCAAAGAAATCCACAAATAATTGCATAATTAGTAGCTACTCATAATAGAGTTGAATCCTTTGTGTGTTGATTTATTACGATGTGTATACAAAATGAATAGCACACTTTGTTCTATCCCGTTACTAATTTTAATAAATTTCCTTACAGTTTAATGGTACTTACATTTTTTTTCTGTGAATTGGTGTAGTAAACACGATTTTCCAACACCCATATCACCGATAATAATGTATTTGAAAATGTAAGAGTAATTATACGGCCCAGCAGACATCTTGCTCGAGTTAACTGCAACGAAATTTCATAATTCGAGTTCGTTAAATAATAAATGATTTTTTTCTGTATTAATTATCTAGTATTTACCTTGAAATGACTAATGCGAAATAGCTGTGCCTACTTACTAAATAGCTTGAAAATAAACGGCGATGATGGGTCGGGTAATAACAGGTCGAAATGCGGAGTTTGAGATTTAGTTTGAATCCGAAATTAGGATTAAACAAGTTCGATTAGAGGCGCAATACCGAAAAACCTTTGTGAAAACGACACGATGTCAAAATTACAAATAGAGGGCAGCCATTTTTGATAACAAAGTGACAATTTTAACATACGACACCTGTCAACGTGTGGTTTACTTGAACTACCGCGCGTAATTTTAACAGAGTTCTGTTTTCGTATTAAAATAGTTCAATTTTTATCTTCTACCTTTTGTATTAAATAATTATTTAGAAAAAAATTAAATTCAAGATGATTTTTGATTTTATACACCTTTATATTTTGTTCAACAAAACAGCTGCGGAAATTTGTATTTGTAAGCTGGCCGGATGTGGCACTTTGAGAGAGGCCATGTAATTGAAAATAAAGAAGATTAGAAAAAAGTTGATTTGAAAAAGAAGATGAATATTAATGTAATAATCGTTTTTCGTAGTTTATTTTGTTTATTTTTGATTTTTGATGTTAATAGACAAGTTTAACTCAAATTTACATTTAATAACCAAAGAGTAGCATTTGCAGAATTTATAACACTTAAATGACAAGAGAACAATAATTGTTTGAAAAATTAATATAACATAAAAATAACTTACCAACCTTGATGAAAAAATTCCAACCCTTGCTTGATGTTGCAGTTTCCATACCATTAAGTACAGTAAAACAATCAATTTTATTAGTATGTATATTTTAATAGAATATTTCTAATTACACCATATATATCTATTATAACAGGTTTTAATTATTTATGTATATGATATTAACATTTTTTGATTGTTTGACATTTTGATAGAATAAAATTATTAGTTTTGTACTATTACAACATATGAATAGAACAAATTCAACTCTCTCATTTTATTTAAATTTATTAAATATTTAATAAGTGTGAGATTTGCCACTTTACTAATAATTATACTACTCGTTTTAATGGTTGAACAAAAACGGAAAATTTTCTAATTTTTAATTTTTTCTAACCAAATGAGACAGTTGAAATAAGCTATATAAATTGAGGAGATTCATACAATTAAAATTACAGAAATAAAATACGCAATAGTTTACAAAAGTAGGTACCCTGATTGTTTAACTGCAAACTAAAGACATTATTAGTTCAAGTATTGCAGGAGTAAATTTCATTATTAACAATTATAATATAGGGATAGGGACATATTGAAATACGTTATAGAAACAATTAGAAGACCAATTGATAAGGTAATATATCTTTTGAAAATTAATAACCAGAAAATACAACGTAAACGTAAAATAAATTAGAAATCAATTTTCTACCGAACACAGAGTTTAAATTTTATTTGATTAAGCGTGAGAACTAAGTATACATTATACATTGATGGAATTGATGGGCTCTCTCTATACATTAAATGATGATCAGTTTTATAATATTGTGTGCCAAGTAGAATGCTGTTTTACGTACTCTACTGGTACCTTTTTGGTTCTAGTTTAGCTAGAATCAATTAATGCCTTTGTTAATTTTTCATAACAAGAAGGGCAACTCTAAGGGCCAGTAGAATAAAATTTAATCAAAAATTAAAATTTCCGTGAACGTTGCTAATATTTTCAATATTTAAAGCACTTCACTGAGATAAAAATAAGAATAAAATAAACCGAAAAAACACACTTTGTGTTATTTATATACATATACTGTCGAGAGAAAATTATCTTCAAAAAACTGAAATAATTCCTAAAACCTACAAAGTTAATAATAATATAATTAAATAAAAAGAGACTAGGCGTTAAAAAATTTTTGTGACATATCTCTGGGAATATTTCTTCAAGAAATTTTCTTTCTAAAATACTGATGGTAGTCGACTGGTTACTGGTTCTGCAGAACATCGATGGATAAAATTTTGTGATGTGGTACAATCGTCAGTTCGAGGCTTTAAACTTTAAACAATATTCGGCTTGATACCACTAGACGTGAGCACTTTATTGAGGAAGTTCACAATGGCCGTCGCCGGTTGTTCCGGTTCCAATTCAGCGAATAAATGGCACTGGTTATCCGGGTTGCTCACGTTCGGTTTTCTCGCCACAAATCCAAATATTCGACTGAAACAAAAACCCCCAGTTAGCACAAAACGAGAGGAAACAAATACCTTCTGGCAAAAAAGTACCCGGAAATTCTGAATTAAATTACCTACGCTTCATATTTTTAACTGTTTCAAGTTTCTGTATGTAGGTAACAATGTTGTTAATTAGCTTGCAAAAAATTAAAGAGATTACTTAATCAGTTTGGTTGTAGCAGAAGAATGAAGATGAAGAATTTTCCGTTTAATTCCAAATTTCCGGGCACTTTTTTGCCACAGTAGTAAGTAGTAAGTAAAACAACATACTTGGAACTCTTCGCTGCTTTCGATCCCTCCGAATTAACCAACCACCGATGGTCGTCGGGATCCAATCCGCAATGCGACACGGTATTGATGGGGTAGTGCTTCCTGAAGAAGAGCTTCCTCTTGTTGTCGGTCAGCGTGACGCCTTGATCGCTTACTTTGAAGTGAACTATGGCGGTGTCAGGCAGCGGGTTCTTCTGGAACAGCTGCATTACGGCTTTCTTAACAGCTTGGGGTCCCGTCAGGGATTCCATTTCGATGGTCGAGAGGTAGATCACGTTGCAAGCGGCGCCTTGCGTGAACAGCGATTGCGATTGTACTCCGTTTTGATCAGAATATCTGTGGATATAAAAAAAGATTTTAGCGCGGTTCTTCTATGGAAATTCGTGGTGGTTACCTCAGCTCGTCGGCTGGAAGAATTAGCCTGCAAGGAAGAGCCATCTGCGTAATGGAGTGTTGGTAAATCAGGGCCGATAGCGAACTGAATACCGGCTCGTTTTGGCAACCCTTTAGTCGAACTCCTCTGCTCGTTGGTTCGATCAAGAAATGGCGAATCAGGTCGTCCGTAGAGCCGCTTTTGGTTTGAACATTCGAGGGTATGGTCGCTACCCTTAGGGCGAGTCCGAAAGCGCCGGGGAAGGAGTTCGAGTTGCGTACGACGAAAGTACCCGGCTGTTGGTCGCGAAGCATCGCAATAGCTGCGCGAGAATTTAAAATTATCGAAACGAAACCGATGTTGAGTTCAACTACAAACCTTGGTCTCTGGATATAGTCGGTTTGTACCAAAATTTAGACGTGTCCCTGACGAATTTCACGTTGGCGGCCGACACTTCGTGCGGAGACTCGTTGGTGGAGTTGACGGAGCTTCTTCTGGACGTGCCGTAGTACACCGTCGGAGAGGAAGAGCCGTTGTAACTGGGACTCTTCGGGCTGTGCTGGAAGTTGTCGGTGACGTCGCGGAAACCTGATGTTGGTGTGGCTGAAACGCTGCGGTGAGAGTAGTCGGTCGAAGATCCGTTAGTCAGGTCGGAGGGGGAAGTCGGTCGGTCCTTTCTGTTAGAAAAAAAAATGATATTTGTGGAGTTGGAAAATTTGTTCGAAGGGATAGAGTTCAAAGGTATCCTAGTATATTTTTTGAATGGGGTAAAGATATGAAATTCGGTGTAAATTGGGGTAAAAAGGACACTTTTTGAGTATTTATTTGGTTAAAAATTGGTATTTAATCGCCCCAATCAAAAAATAAACTTTTAGACTTTTGTTCCTCACTGTACTATTCTGTCGATTCGTTCATCAATCGGAATAGAGCGAGTTATGAATTTATATCGCTAGTAAATATAATAATATAATGTAAAAGCAATTGCATCTTTTGCACGATCACAAATTAGTGTTTAAAAATAAATGTCAGTTCAATAAAATTGCCTGATAACATATTCCATGCTATTGCATGCCATTTCAATTACTGCTTTTTTGTTCAAGGTTTTTAGAAAAAGGAGGAATTTTCTTTGTAGGTGGACGTAAAACATAGAAAATATATGTAAAAGTACTAGGTGATTTTGTATATTATTTACAGAAAAGTAAAGTTATAAACGAGAAGAAAAAAGTAGGTACATGGTGAATAATGCAATTTTGAAAAAATATTTTTTAAGTCACAACATTCACTTGGTGTGCTTATTACGTGCTAAACTTTAACATACATACATACATAGACATTGTACTCGTGAACTACAGGGTGTCCCAAGGAAAAGTAGCCCATTTAATCAGCTTATAACTTTTAAATGCCTAATTATAAAAACATGCGGCTTTCGCAAATAGGTATAACTTTTAACAAAATTAATCATATCTGCGAAACCCACATGTTTTATGTTTAGACGTTAAAAAGCTAATTAAATGGGATACTTTTTATTGGCACACCTTATATATAAATCCGGCCTAAATACGATTATTAATACTGTATTAAGTTTTTTTAACCGTATTTCGACCACATAACAGGTAGTGCTGTTGATGGTTTATTTGGTGCGATCGACATGCCGAAACTGAAAAAATTCATATTCACATTACCTTTCGGGAGAAAGGGACCACTTCAAATTAGTTTTATGCGTTGACGATGGAAAACTCAATCGTCTAGAAATACATCAGCTTTAGTATTTTCCAACAAGAATTCGATCAAAAACAATTTAAACACATTCCATATGTAAGTGTATTGTATATCAATTAACGCTTTTTATGGATGAAAATAGACATGCAAACCTTCGCCAGTACTTACCGCTGGGTTGTAGGACTTTTGGGAGGTAATCGTTCGGAAGGTAGATCAAACTGTACAGTCGGAGTCGAAGCGTTCGTGTATGGCGTTCTTGCGTGCACCGGAAACGCCGGCGTTTGCGGTCTCGGTGAAGAATTGTGCGATGGGCTCGAATCGTCCAAAGTCGCGGATTTCCAGGAGTCTTCGCGTTGGTACTAAAATTCAGACAGTTCCGGAATTAGTTACTTCATGCGATCATAGGGAAGATAAATTGCAAGCCAACAGTCAATACAACATAGTGAAACAAGCAGATAGACGGACACATTTTATAAAAAAAATATCCCACTCAAATTCTTCACTAATTAGGTTTTAATAAACTTTGGATAGCTAGAATTAGGAGATCCTATTTACACTAGTTTACAAACTTTACAGTTCTAAATGGTTCTAGAACGTTCTAAATGATTCTGAATAGTGCTAAACGTTTCTGGAGCGTTCTAAATGATTCTAGACAGTTCTAAATTGTTTTAGGCAGTTCTAAATGGAAGGAATAGATACAAAATTTAATGTTCAACATTTCTGGGCACTGATCCTTAGTGCTCAGCACTCGCATTATCCTAAGTTCTTTGCTTAAAACTTTGTAAACTAGTGTTATTTTTCGGTAGATACCACCTGCACTTAGAATAATTTCTAAACCAATTAATGCAACACAAAAACACCCAGCAAATTTATACAGCTCTTATTAGTACATAACCAGTAGGTATATTAAACAAAAATTATTAGGCTGAAGCGAAAAATGTTGCGTGTTAGTACCTGCCATGCTGGTGCGAAATTGTTAGGACTGTCGTTAGATTTGTCAGACCCGCTGGATAGGTTAGCGATCAAATCGTTCAGGGCGTCCAGCCTGGCGCCGTCGATAGCTGGCCTGTTTACGCGAGAACTCGACGAGCTATCGCTATTCTCGCTTTCTATACCCACCATTTCGCGGTGTTGTTGTTGTTGCTGTTGTTGCGTGTAGGCCGTTGTTTTGTGTTCAGTATATTGTTGTTTCTCGGCCAAGGATAGCAGACCGGCGTCCGCTTGGTTTCCTCTAGAAGGAGGCCGCACTATTTGACCCAACGGGTTGGCGGCCAGTATTTGGGCCGGGGTGTGATTTCCGTTCTAGAAATGGGAGGTTAGTGGTGGTCAAGTCGGTGTGGTTAAAAAAAATTGCGTGAGAGTGGTGACGCTAAAGTGCTACAAAAACTCTTAAGGTTGCGATCAAAATATTGACGATTGATGAAGATGTATTCAGGCATTAAAAAACAAGCATTAAGAGTTTTTATCACAATTAACTTCAATTCATTTGGTGCGAATCAAATATTACTAATTCGACTAGTTTTAATAATGGAGAATAGTAAAAACTGCATACTACCAAAACTAGTGATAAAACCGAAATTAATCATTAATTTTTTACAATATGTACAAAATTGTTTTGGTACCGTACCTGTTGAAATCGCTCGTGCGCTCTCTTCACGCTAACAAAAGGTCTCTCGTTCTTCGTGCTGTAAGAGCTCTTCAGAGTACTGTAGTTACTGGTCGATCCGGAGGTGAGGGTCCCGTTTTTCTGCATGGTGTTAATGTGAAGGGGAATCGTGTAATCGTCATCGTCGTCTGCGAATGCTGTTGTATCACTGAAAAGAACGTCTTTATTTTAGTAGGTACTACCAACTAAACTAAACTAGTCCTCCTCGGTCCAGCATAACAGGGACTCCAAAGATTTGCTTACAGCCTAATGCAGATTCTAGGAGGACATGATCCGATGTTTCATCAGTCCAACCATAGCCTTTCCTCTAAATCTAGGTTATAGAGGTGCTTTCTCAGACAACAGTCCTCTATTTATTAGGAATCCTGCTATCTTCTTTAACCTACACTTTGGTAGTTCTATAGCTGCCATAGCAACTCCATCAGTCTATCCACTGTAGGTGCTTTATGGGTAGATTATAGATGGGATATTTCACTAGTATCTCACTTATTAGAATGTTGCTTACCTAGTGTAACCGTCTAACCGATGGCTCGCCGTGGGGCGCATGTGTCTCGCGTGCTGCAAAGTCTTCAATTCGGATAGTAGTCGAGTTTCGTGCGGTTGGCGCTCCTCTCTCAGCATAACTTCCCTGCGCTCTTTGAGTTTCTGCTGTTGGCGTTGCAGCCACGTTAAGTTAGAGCCGTTCGTGTATCTGAAAATGCAAATGAACAATTTTCTTATTTGCACTGCTGGAATATATTCCACTGACTGAAATCTGTTCGTATTGAAATGTTCTCACTAACAGGAATAGTTATGGTTTTAAGTTTATTTAACAGTTTAAGTGCTATCATAAAATATATACATCGGCTGGTACAAGCAATGAACGTGTAATATACAAAGTGAAAATGTACTCGTTGAACACTCTAAAAACTCTTGAAATTTTTGTATAGAAAATTTCGAATTTCACCGCTTAAGATGAGCGATTTGTAATCAACTGGGCTTATCAATGCAAGCCTTATAAAGCTATCCGGGTATCATGTGTTACTGCCTTTATTTTTTCTAGTACGCGTTGCGACCTCGTCTTGCCAAATTAAGAAAGATATTCGGCAATGGAGTTTAAATAAGATTGCGTGGACCCCTCTCGTCGGAATGTTCACAACAATCGAAAAGAATAATATGTAGGTTTGTAATGCAATTACATCGGTTTTTTTATCTTCGTCGCTTCAAATTAACTCGACTGTGCACCAATTAAACGTGTTATTTCGAAGGTTTTTGATTGGGTTAATTGCCGCGAAATTGCGCGTTTGGTGCCACTTTTTGGCAGAGGAGCGTCGCTTATTTACGGAATTATTGAATTATTAAAGAAGCCGAACATCAGAGCGATTTTATGGCCCGCCCGTCTGATATTTTCCGGTCAATTAATATTAATTCGTAGGAAGTCGAGTGTATTATGGGAAGATAACCGAGGTTCAAAGTTTCGATATTCCACCAAGCTGCGATGAATTAGTAGTTAGTAAATAGTAGCTTATTAAAATATGTTTTAATGCTGCAAACATTGGTCAAAGGTAAATATTGCAGTATTAAGACTTTGAAGATTGCTAACTATTTTAAAACTTTTTGAAAGGTTAGTTATAAAGTTGTAGATAATATTCTTAAAATAACAAATAGAAAATATAAGCTACTAGTTATGATATAATCCTTGAAATTTTTCTGAATCTTGTTTGCGAATCTATTAATAAATTAATAACTGGGATTTTCGAGTGGGATTTTTAGTACAAAGTTTGTTTTAATAATTTCGATTTGTTTACTTTGATGAGTATAAAAGTAAATGGACTCAATAATGATTTATCTGTTTGTACGATGAATATTTCAAAATTTCGTTTGAATCTTCGTTCAATCCGCATTTTTTCTTATTATTAAGCCTACGTAGTAATTACATGGTGAGTAATAATTTTTGAACGAATAACGGTATGGAAGATTTTCTTCGACGGGATGTGCACAAACAAAAATAAACATGAATTACGAGGACAATACATGGAGGTATCGTTTGTAGGCGTGAGCGCACTACTACACGTATAAATTCTATTCTCTAGGTAGGTTCGCCTTATCCGATTATCTTGGCAATTTTCTAATTATCGTGGGCGCCATTGAAATACAAAATTTTTATCGTCTCTAATTGACCAGAGAAAAAAAGTCGGTCTAGCTATTCTACCAAACGTTCATGATACATTTTTTTGGTACTTGTACACCTACGTTGAACTTCAGTGTTGAATTTCATTTATTGGGTGCTGAGGTAATCAAGATATACAGGGTGTCCCGTATAAGAACCCTGTGCAGGAGCCAGCTGGGAAACGTTTTTCATTACAACGACAAAGAACTTTAAAAAACAAAAATAATAAAAATGTTTTAAAACGAAATTACCTATGAAATGAACTAATACATTTTAAATCATCATCAGATAAAAAAATCTGTAACATTTTAAGGGAGCATCATCCCTAATGAACCTTTTAAAAATACATCAATTGATCTCTCTATCAACTATCGATCAAAACTTGATCGATTAGATTCGATTAGATCTATTAGTACATTCATATAATTTATACTAAATTTAGTTGTTTTAAGTTTGAGTATTACCAAGATTATTAATTTATCTTTAAATGTGTAACTCCACTTTGAAAGTCTATAACATCTCAGGAGTGTAACTTTGTATTAAGTTAAGTCGGGTTCACGCCTCTGTTCTGTATCGGTTCTTATAAGGGACACCCTGTACATCAACAATTCTCTTAACAATGTTTTTTTAGAGAAAATCTGAAAGCACTCAGAATCGGTTCATCCACATCAAATCAATCCCTACTCTTACACGACTTTAAATCTTCTTTAATCCGCTTCACTTATAATTTGCTTCGCACCATAAATCCAATCAAGGTTCTACTCGTACTTACGCGTGCCCACGGGCGAAATCTCCAATTAAAGCTTCCTCTATAATACAAAATAAATAAATATCTACCTACCTAAACTATTATACCGGCAACAATTTTCGATATTATGATTCCACAGCTTATAGCGTATACATATACGATGTAGTCAATATCAATATCGTTCGTATGCTTTGCTCGATACGGTTTGAACCAGTTCCGAACGATTGTAATTCCATTATCGAAATTAGTCCATCCTATACCGAGAACTCGAGAGAGCGGAAAATAATCCAAAGAGCATATTATGGTAATTTCAAAGGCTTAAAAATCTAGAAAATCGTACTAATAAATAACGATTTTTGATTTACACGGATTTAACATCACGTATAAATTACGTACTTAGGTCGATTGTCATTAAAAAATGATTAAACCTCTCTATGTAAGTGTTATACAAAGACGTTCATTACGATGGAATTTCTTTCGATGAAACAAATAGTCTTCTTTGCGCCAGATCAAAAAATGAATGCTATTAATCTATTCCTAATACGTCCGAACTGACCGAAATGATTTCATTATTCTCATCAAGTGGTTTTAGATTTTGGAGCGCCGGGAATGCGGATAGCGACCTTTCATGGAATAATTATTCAGTAAGCAAGCTTGCGATGATTTATCATTTTTTGTTTCTTTGAATGCCGCAGTACCTATGTTTAAAAAGATATAGTTGCTTATCAGTTAAATCGGTACATTGTAATGCTTTTTCTAACAAAGAATGTTGTAGTGTTTATACATTGAAGAGATCTCTTAAGTATCTAAGTGAAAAATGTCTCGAAATCCTCTTCCAAAAATCGTCTTAAAAGATAAAGCAATATGAACCGATACAGAGCAGGAGGATAATTTCGTTTAAATAATATAAAAAAATGACTATTTAAAAAAAATTAAGCAACAAATCGATAAAATTACAAATCCATCTCAGCTTTATACTTGAAAGTATACCTACGAACCATCCGTAGATACATTTGTGCAACTCCAAAAACAACGGAGCTCGAGGTCGTTCCCACAAACACAAAAAAAATAAATGGAAACTTTCTTTATCGATGTAAATGGCGATGATTAAACTTTCCAATAATCCAAAATGACCGCGTAATGGATATATGACAATATCCTCAACTGTTTACCTTTCCTACTCGCCTTAATTGGCGCTGATCCTATATGGAAACTTAACCGCACGTTAAGAACGAGTTATCAGCTAAAAGTCTACACAAAGCGTTTTATCAAACATGATTTCGGTTCGGAAAGTCTAAACTCTCCGACTTTGATCACACGATTTTATATTAATTTTTATCTTGATTGAATTTCGATTAATTAATTCCCTCGTATTGTGTGTACATAATTCTTTGTCCATATGTTTTTACCAAGAATCGTTTGTGGATAAAAAGTATAACAATGAAATATTCTTAAAGAATTTGATGATTTCAGCGCGGTTTTCATTCATAACACGGCGTATAAGGTTGTATTAAATCGCGTATAATTACGCCTACGTGTGTTGGCTGCACTTACGTGTGTAGAAATTATTCAAATTTAAAACTGGAGATTTCATTAAAAATTTTTTCACGTATAAATAATACGAAGGCGACATTTACATTAATACATTTCATTCAGTATCACAAATTTAATATCGTTTGTTAAGAATAAGTGCCCTTCAAGAGCGTTAATTCCATGTAATTACTATTTGATTTTCACATTATCGCACGCCTCGAGTCGATATAAACATAATATTTAGTAATTTCATGAACTTATCATTAGCGCCCCATTTAAAAAGTAACATAACACAACTCACGTTTCGTGAAATTCCGGGCTTTTGGTGTTGTTCCTGAAGGCTCCGGGTGGCGATAAACTCTCCGGATCCGAATAGGGACTGGTCACAGCGGAACTGGATTGTTTGTACGTAATTTTCTCCGGACTTCTTCTTATAGTGCCTTCTGTTAAGCTCCTTTTCAAAGGATCGTACCGCCTGGTGTCCTCCCTGTAAAATTCCTCCCTGAATTCGCGCTTGATGGGCTGGCTACTGTAACAAAAAAATTACCACTTCTGTAAAAAGTCGCTTATTATAGATTGTTTTTCGAACAAAACGACTTAATTAATAAATCGCGAGAGGTAGATGCTAATAATTCATTCATTAATTCGACAAAAATTTGAATGGAGTCGTAAAGAATGTTTATAAACGATATGTTAATTTAAATTTTGCAATCTGATCGCCTTATTAAACCTGTTACGATTTGTAATTAAATAATATGAATTACATAACAATATTATGAATTTATTATATTCTGCATTGATTAAATTACCTCGAATTAATAAACACGTCGTCCAAAGGGTCCCTCTTCGAGTAGCCGTTGCCCTTCGTCCCGAACTCCGGGTACACCTGGGCCTGGACCTTCCGCAGCGTCCCGTCGCTGCTTATCGAGCTTTTGAACGTGCTATCGCTGCCCGGCGAGCTTTTGTACGTGCTGTCGCTGCTGAGCGAGCTTTTGTAGACGCCCTCGGGGCTCCTGCCGCTGGCTTTGCGCACCAGCATGGGGCTCGCGAGCCGCTTGTTTTCGTTTATCATGGTCGCATTGATTCCGTAACTGAAAGTAAACCCAACCATAAATCATGTAAAACTTAAGTATATACAGGGTGATTAATTTAAAACAGTTGCACAAAGACTTTGTTTAACATGTTCTCGAACATTTCGGATCATTTCAGGGGTTATTTCTCTACAATTTTTGGCATACAAAACTGTCATGGTACACTCTATAAGTTTTGAATCCCTATCACTAGCACTTACCGGAAGAATTTCGAAAATTTCCCACTATTATCAAGCACTAAATGGCAACGCACTGGTAAATATAACGTTTTTATACACCCGGAACACTTAGCAAGAAACTAAACAGACTACCCGGACCTACCTAAAGGGCTGGCTGGACTGGCGCGCGTGATAGGGTATGGTCTTGTCGTCGTCGTCGTCGATGAACCGGAAGGTGTCCTCGTCGCGCGTCGCCGTCGTCGCCGATGACGGCTTCAGGTCGGGAATGGACTGGACGGTGAGCATCATGTCGCTGAGCAGCTCGTCGAGCTCGCGGTGCTGGTCCTCCGGGGTCAGGGGGGACGGGTGGGCCGTCGGTGGGGGGCTGCTCGAGGAGGCGGTGGTGTTGGCGTTTTGCGGCTGGTGTCCTGCGACAAATGTTTGGTTAGGAACGATTATACTCCGTTAATTATTGTAGGTACTCGCGTAATGATATGGGCGGGTTGTTTTGATGTTGCACGTGTTGTTGTTTTTTTTCCTTTCTTTTATTTAATTATAATAATATTTACATGGGTAATTGAAGAAGTCGGTTGTGAATGTTAAGTAGAAGATATTAGAAGGTTATTAGAGTAAAATTAAATAGCTTGAAAGGATTGCATTTAAATGATACAAAGAATACAAAATAATTAATTATACTAGTTTAAAATTTTTTTGCATAGAACTTAGGAGAATTTAATATCTATACAATTCATGAAAAGACAAATTAGATATGTTGAACATTAAATTTTTGTTTTTTCTATGATTTTCTATGATTTTAATATTCTAGCACAACACTTAGAACATTTAGAACGTTCCAGAACCATTAAGAACTGTCGAGAACTATTTAGAACGCTCCAGAAACATTTAGAAACGTTTAGAAACTAGTGTAAGTTTTCAATTAATTGCTTAATCAATTTTATGATATAATATTCTGGGTTTCAAAATTAATCAAAAACGGGTTGAGATATTGCTTTCCTAAGGGGAGCTTTCCTTATCACACATTTAATTTCCATATTTAAAGAGAAATTTTCAATTTTTTGTAAAATACACATTCTTTTCAACTGATAGGTACAGATCCAGCGCTCTGATTTCATTAACAAACCAGAATTGCAGTGCGCTTATCTGCGCTCGGTTTCACGTAGGCAGTGTTTTAATCCTCCATTAGCGATGTAGGAAACTGAAAATTGTTATTAAGAACGTGTCGCCCAACACATTTGATATATTACGGTAGCCAATAAATCAGTGTCACCTTGAAATAATTGGTTTGGAAACTAACGATACCAAACGGCGCGTGTTTATGTCAAATTGCATTTACAAGGGCCTCCTAACTCATCTCCGAATATTCCCGTTAGCGGTGTTAATGAACCTTTATCGGGTTTAATTAGGAGGTTTTTACCAGTTTATGTGAAATTCGTATGGATGTGTCACTTACATTGTTGGATGGATAATGGTCTTCCTTGATGCCTTATCTCTTTAAATGCATATTTCGGGTGATAATAATACCAAATTACTCAACTTTATCTCTATAGATGCATATTCTATATGATAATAAGTTATTCAACTAGATAACAAGATAAAGTTACTCAACATTATATTATTCTAAAATTTAATATGCATAAGGTTTCATAGAAATTCTACATCATTAAAAAGAGCCTATTTGTAACTAGCTATAACTCGAAATTACATTTAATTTGATAATTAACATTCTGTCAAAAAAGGTATGGCGTTTGCAACATTCAATCGAGATTTTTGTTACCTATTAATGAAAGAGCGTTATTCAACAATCGACTTCCAAACTTGGAAAGCTCACGAAATCCACGAAAAAAAAAAGTATGCCGATCTGGTCCCTCCAAAACAGCCGTACAGTGTTTACTCACGCGACCTTACAACACCGTCTGATGGCCTTGTAAAGTTATCATTGCAGACTCATTTCTTATATGCGTCGAAGACCAGTCGCGATCAATCAAAATCAATAAAAAAACAGTCGAAAAATGAATGCAATTATTACGTCTTGTGCAATTAAAAATGAGTGAAAGGATCCGCCAAATTAGGGCGAGTGGGGCCAATTCAATTTGCCGAAAAAACACCTACCTGCTGAGGAAATACCACTGTCCATCGACACTGTCAATGGACTAGAGACGGCTCCGGGTGATAGCTCCGGTTTTTTCGCGATTGTAGCGTAAATGCTGCCGTCTAGGGGTCCGAACGTGTGATTTACGTCTTCTGAAACAATACGAGAAAATATTAGATGCGATAAAAATGATATAAAAACATCTCAGGGCGTCGTATTCCGTCTCTTCGCGTAAACTTGTTCCCGCTTATTCGTCGTGGAATTAATGGTATAATCTTGAATAATTTACTTAATATGACCAGCTCTATAAAACTGTCTTATTTATAATTAAATCGAATTTTATCTCCGCATAAAATACCCGTATTTAATTAGGAATAGTTTTTACGGGATATCAATTAATTATTCGCTCTTCTGCAATTAGTAAATAGTCGACAAAATTGGGCGTGAAACTGGTAGAATTTACACATATGGCCATTTATAATGAAATATGATTTATTTATTAGTTGTTAGGATATAAATAATGTACCAAATGAGATTTTGAGCAAAATATTATGCTATTTTTGTAGTAAAAAATCTCTTGTCTTGTCGTGATCATTTTTAATCCGCTAGTATTAAGTTAAGAAAACTTAGATGCAATTTCAGACGCTGCATTAATATACCCGAATCAATTTCTCTCTGCCCAATCTGCACGCATGAATTACAATAACGAATCACATTGATAGCGGTTACAACAAATCAATGTCATACACCGCCGGTTTAAATCCAATACCAAGAAAATATATTTAATGAGTGAAACCGAACCATTATTCATATCTCGCGGTTTTATGTATTACATTTTACCTTTTACCGGCATAGGTAATATGGTAATTATTCAGCAAAACGAATTAGACGACAGAGTGGAATTTCATCATGGCACATTTGTCCCTGATTATATCGGAGCCGACCTAATTAGCTTCAAATTTATTACAGATATTGGATTTCTAAAGAAACACGTGACATTTCTATTAAAAGTGAGCCTAATGAACGATCCTACGTGTCGCAAAGAGCTCGAGATCTCGTTTGCATATGTAGGATTAGGGACAACTTATAATAATTAGAGATTGCTCTTCTATATAGAATAATAGATAAAGACAATAAGTAAACGTATTAGCAATACTAAATTAGGGCTTATATCAGTTGTTAAGTCATATGCAAATTTAGTATTTATTTATCAATCTCCACGTATTCTAAGTACATATTTACAGTCATCTATAATTTTCTTAATAGATAGAGGATAATTTGCGACCGGCCTTCTTGTAAACATTATTTTTTTTCACACTTTGAAATATACTTGAGATGTTGATTTTAATTAGTCGTTACCGAATGATATTTTAACATTGATGGTTTTTAAATTGCGAAGTGGAAAAACAGCGACATGAACAAATCGCAAGAAATACTTTACCCGGTCATTAATTCGTCTACATCATAATTAAGTCAATATAGCTTAGAGCGAAATAGTACAATAAATGCAAAATTACGTATATTTTCCATAATAAGCGCTCTTACCGCTCCGACAGCTGTAATTAGCGGGTTTCGCTTTAATCATTTATTCTCGTTTTATTTGTAATTATTTAATTAAGTAGATTTAATAATTATTCGAATGCGACTAACGCAAATGTAGGATGGTTTTTTGAATAATTCCCTGAGCAAAAGTTTTGTTTTATTCACAACGCGAAGATGATTTATGAATTTTTTGAAATATTGTCCTGCTTCGATGAATAAACAGGAAGTTTAAAATACTAAGACCACACGCAGGGTAAAGCACAATAGATAGTTTTGTCTAGATTAGCGTAGGATGGGAAATATTAGAAAAGTGAGATACACTTAGAAGAAAAATGTGGCCAGTAAAAATTTATATGAGACTTGATTTTTCAACTCTGACCCATTCTATTAATCAAATGATACCTACTAAAGAGTTGTTGTACTCTAATTTCATGTTTACACGCGTAATCGCATTAATTTACGTTAATATGACGTTATTTTGACGTTTACATCATATGTCAATATGTCAAAATTAGCGTATACATTTGACACTTTAGGCTCTTACGTAAACGTCTTAAAATTGTCCTAATTGTACCAAATGCAACTATCAGTTCTTGTTTAGTTATTTCAGTAAATACTTCCGCAATTATTAAATAATATCATCCTCCGAAGCCCGAAGAGGCTACTTGATAATTATCGTCAAGTTACGTTGATGACTATTAGGATAACGATGTGAAAAGCGTAAATTCTTCTAAGAAAGCCGCGCGAGCAAGCCGAACAGTAACGGGCCGCTTTTTTTTGTGTACGCTTATAGAAGATAATAACGCCGGACCAGTTTCGGAGAAAATTGAAACAAATCGGTTAACCTAATGTGTATAATTATTTCCTTAAAGATCGTTATTAAATTCTTTAATAGCGTAGATTTGAATGCGATAACGCGAAGAAGGCGGATTTCGGTTGAATTTATTTAAAGTTATCGTTCTCGGGGGTTTTTAGAAACGCTATGTTGACGTATATCAAATGTCATTGTCATAAAAAGTAGGGTATATAGATTACTAATAATTTTATTTATTGCAAAACCAGGAAACACTTAACGAGATGTTCGTTTTAGATAAATGTACATCAAATGGACAATAAAACAAAATGAAAAAGCCTAACCTTATTCTTATTGTTATACCCAGCAAATCGGAGTAGTGCATCAATCACGAGCATCATCGCAACGATTAATTCAATGCTCCTATAAACTATTTTGTTACTGTCTAGCTACTTAATAACAACCTTTTAATGATATTTTTTCAGTCGCATATATTCCATCAATCTGCAGGCAGTTGCGCGTAGCTGCGGGAGAGCCAACTTGAAAAAAAATCCCAATGACTTGCTAATTACGTCTAATAGCAGTGCCAATTATATTGCGTTTTCTTGTATTGATTTTCTTGACAGGACGACGTGAAAAAATTGATTTGTAATCTAGTGCAGTCGGAATCGTTGAATTGCTAATGGAATTTATCGGCGGATAGAAAGCGGTCGAGAATGTTAAAAATGCCGAAGATGGCATTAAAATATTATGTTTGTTTGTTTGTGTGTGTAGCAAGGACTTTTTTGCATGCTTATATGATATTTTGTGTTTTTTATTAAACATTCTACGGTTTTTTAAGCTTCTTGTTATGGCATTTTAGTATTTTTTGATCCTTCATTTTGTTTGTCATTTTTTTGCCATATTTTTACTTATTTTCAACATTTTAATAGATGATAACATTTCAGACATTTTATTGTTATTATTGTATTTATTTTTAAAGCTTCGTAAATTTTGCAGCTTTTAAAAATTTGATGACATTTGATTGTGATCAAAAATAAACGACTAAAAAAAGTACCAATAAAAATAAATTTGTAACGCACTAAATTCAACTCAATTTATAGAATATTTAATCGACAGGATACTATCTAAATATCAAATCTTCCAAATTCTACGCATTAAAGTTTGTTCATAAAAAATGCTACTTACTATAGTAATAAATCCAATTTAATCAGAGTGATATTTAATAACAATGCCGCAACGTATTCATCACGCACTATTAAATTTGCCACTAAATACCCTACTTGTCACTTAGTAAACCGCCTACGTCCAATGCAGAAACGTGAGTTTAGTAATTGAAAAGCCGCAAAAGAACCAAAGGTGTCCCTCCATGGATTTACTGAAGGAGGAGGCTTAACGTTCCCCTCCACGCTATACATATAATGCATAAAGACTCAAATTACCATTGCCTTGATTATGAAAGTAAATATTTATTATTATATTACATTTTTTAGAAAAATGCATTTTATAAACAAATACATTTTTTTCTCATTGGTTGAGTGAAAAGTCGATTTCGGGATAGGATGACGCATATCAAGATGAAAAACTATATTTAGTACTTTTACTCTAACGCCACGAAATGAAATATGAGAGTTATTGGAAATAATTTTGAATGTTTTATTTTTAAACTTGCTGCATGGTATATGGGCACACTTTAGACGTGGGTTGAGGTGATAAATTCCTTTAAAAATCACTCTATTTTTGTTATCATGATTGCAAGAAAGATTCGTAAACAGGGTGTCCCAATTTTGTTCTAATCTTATTTTCTTACTACTCTTATCAAAATTAGGCATAATAAATGACTCCATCGCGTAATTTTTAATTACCTACGCGTTTATTATGTATTTTAGCGAAACGGGGAATTCAACATTCCGCGTCCAAAGTTCAAATCTTTATAAATATCCGCCGACATTCTTCTTCCGTTCTGGAAAATTACGAACTCGTGAATCTCCCGCGCGTTTATTTTTGTTCCAAAAATTTCGATGTGCAAGAAGAAACAATGCATCAGGCGCCGACCCAATTTCCATGTTATTCTTATAATATTTTTAAAAGTAATTATGGGCGTTGGACTAGATACGGCTCTGGCATTCAGAAAACAATTAGCAAAATAACGAGCTTTAGAGCGTTTCTCCACCGTGCAATATATTGCAAGCGATAAAAAAATTATTGCAGGTGATAAATTGTTGAATTTTCACACTACTGAAATATACCTATTGTAGGTACTATAAATATTCGCTAATGCCAATTTAACAATGTATTGCTACAATATATTGCATACAACGCTATGGTAAAGATTGAGAAGATTCTGAAAAATAGATATGTTGGTAAAATTAGATTTAATAGATTTAAAATTAATGTTATTAATTGTAAACGCTATTTTGACGCACGTCAAAATTCATAACTGTCGATTCATTGACATTTAACGAGCGTCAAAATAACGAGTAACGTTATTATTAAGATTAATGTAAAATATCGAACACGATAGTAAATACTAATAATAACCAAGAGAAGACATAATAAATAAATCCACTTAATATAATATACAGAAATGTTGCAATTAAAATAGGAATTGTAAATTAAATATTTAGAAAAGAAGCAATCTGTTACAAATCCCTTTATTCGAAAACATACGCAATTCTAGTGAATCAGACGAGGAATAAGGCAATAATTTAATATAGATCCAATTATAAAAAAATCACATAAAATTAAAATAAAAAACCAACGTTTTCTCGTTAGAAACCTATAAAACGAAAACCTCCATTTTTCTCAAAGAAAGCGTGTCACGACGGAATACCGTCGAACGAAAACGAACTACCAATAAATTATTACGCCAAATATGGTTTATGCATACTTGTAAATGCGTCGCGGTGTAAATGGCGTACAAGGGAGCTAGTTACTGCTACAACAAAGTCTATTAACCATACACCTAAAGGTGAAATGCGCGATCATACATCACTATAATTAACAATTAGACGGCACGCCGACCGGTTAGGGTTACTGATTACGTTTTCAAAAAAAAAACTTTCAGAAAGGCTGTTGTAGTTTAGTGCACATCGTTGGTAATAAAGTCGTTGGTATGTGAGTGCCTGGGTTTTTTAGGAACAAATTTGTTATTTTTGTAAAAAAGAAGTAGTTGGACTTGAAAGGTTAAATACTAGGCAATAATGGCTTTAGAAGCTTTGGAAAAGTTATAACCTACATCAGGAGAAGAAACGTATTGGCTTGGTGTGTTGTAATGTATAAATTATTAATTGAATTTCAAACTAATTTAGAATGTTGGTTGAAATGACCAAAATAGACAAAAATATTAAATAATTGATCTACCCAAGCGAATCGATAATCTTCCCAAGATTCTTGCGTATTTAATTTTTTTTTTTTGGCTATCTACATTTCTCAGGAAAACAAGTCATTACTAACAAAAACTTTTACCATTAATTGCCAAATTATCAAAAAAATATCACTCATTTCCACCCGCTAGTCACCCTGTACATGAGAATTCCGTCAATTTAACAAAACGCACATTTATTAAAAATGCAAAAATAGTAACATTAAGAACAATGATTTGCTCGATACGTGACCGTCAGATGGAAGATAATGGCAGCGCTTTAATAAAGCGATAATTTATAACTTGATTGTTGTTTTACCGCTTAATTCGCGTTTAATAAAGCGCAATAGGAGATATTTTTATTTTCTCGGCGGCTCCGCGAAGAATGTACCTTTTGTTTTTGCCGCTGCGATTTGCTCGTAATAAAATAATTGCAGGATACGCAACTGCGTTCGACGAATGGGACTGCGACCCAAGTGATTTCTATGAGATAATTTGCGGGAAAAAAATCGAAATAAGTAAGAATGACGTAATCGATAAAGCTAAGCAATAATCCGGGGTAATCGATCACATTGTTTATTGTCTAATGCTCTCAAAATGTATTATTATCTATGTATTATAAATAGCAAGTTTCCTGCTCTCTTGGTTAAATTACTTTTAATTATTTAAATACCACATCACTACAATCATCAACTGATATGACCTAATTAAAATACCTGTTAATTAACGGTGGAAACTCATCATAATCGAATCGCATCCGAACGTATATTCCTCATGGAGAAAAACTAACTATAGTAGTAAAATAAAAATGAAAATCAAGCAGCAATTACACTCGAACAACTAAAATAGTTACCCGACGTCCGCGACTGGACAGAAATAAACTAACTGCACTCTCAGGTTTTCTTGAATCAACACGGTTTTCTCAACCGGGCGAAATTTCGGGTATAATTAGATCGAGGCGAGGCGGCGACGCGGCGCATCGAAAGGTAACGAAAAGCCGAAAATTTATGGTCGAGTAGAGTAATTGTTTGAAAAAGTTATGTTGCCGTGTAGTTAAGATAGACGAGCCGGCTTTGCCAAATGAAAACCACGTGTAGATACACCTACAGATCACCACAACAGTGACTAATATTATTTTAAATTCGATGTTTAGGGTGGATTAGAAGATATCTTACAAAGTTGAAGTTAAAGTTTAGTTGGTAAATTTTAGTATCTGCATAATTATCGTCTAGTGAATCCTACGCACTTTTCTAGTGACTTTAATATTTTATTGTTACTGGACACTTAAAAAAATCACTACAACTACTAGTAGATATGAAAATTTTATACTCGTAATAGTTTACCTGTAAATTTTGTAACCATTTGCCGCAATAACAAAACCACATTTATTTTGTACAAGTGTCTATAACCTTTTGGCGTTTAAAAATACCTTTCCGATCAATTCGTATCATGTACGTATCCGTATCTAATCTTAATCCGTGAAATTGAAACCAATTTTTAGACCGATAAGGTTATCATAAATCTATATACAAATATTTATTGAAAAATTAGCATCATCTAATATATCAAAACTATCTCTTAAGCACCTTAAATTGGAATTTCACCGTGGGAACATAAATTTACCATTACGTTTTCTGAATTTGTATCCACTATATGAAGAAAAGGATCAGTGGGTGTTGGCAGGATTCCGCCGTATGTAAACACTAGACGATTTGTTTGATTAGAATATTGAAATGCGCGATTTTAGAGGTCGGATAGGATAAATTTAAACGAGAATTTATGCTAGTTTTTTATGTCCGACAGACGAACGATTTAAATTCGCAACATCTAAATTGCCTTAATGTACGAATAGATAGATTTATGACCGAAGCGTATTAATACCGATTGAATGTGAAGAATCCTTCTAAATGCCTACTTTTTAAGTGGTTATGTAAAAGTTTTATTTATGTAACTAATTAGTGCTATTCTGGTAACTCGCACATGTAGTCCACATAGATATGCTGTTGGGTAAGAAACTTATTGGAGTATTATTGTATTTATTTTCTCTATTTACCTATAAAAGATTGTTTGCACCGGGCATTTCCCTAAACTAATTACGCAACGTACCCGCATTAAACCGCAGAAACGCCTTTAAATTGAACGTATAAAACGTATCTATTTCTGAGTGTATAAACCAACCGAATCGACGACAACAAAATAAAATAAAGAAACGCCGATGTGAGTAACTCTCAAATCTCAAAAGAGATTTAGTAGATCTATTTCGAGGTCTTTATGGTAGATTAGGATTATTGCCAGAACATCCGGTCCCGCCGGATTATGTAATAGCAGTTTCAACAAATAAAAAAATACCGGCAGGATTTATTTCGTACAGCGTATATCTGCCAATCGAGAGCGGTGATTCATCGATTGTTGCTCGAAATAAATTGTATTCGGCGCTTATACCAATATCCTATGTGCCCATTCGATTCTATTTTTTTTGGATTTTTTTTTCATTTCAGATCTGTAAAAGGGAATATGCCTTTTCAAACTAATACATTTTTGTGTCCTTTGTTAGTTTTTATGTTCTACTCAATGCCATTTTTCTATAAAATTCATACGTTAAATACTTTTTTAACATATTTACGTAATTTTCGTGGTTTCGGTTTCATAAAAATTCAAAATCAATCGTAAAAATACTAGCCCATTAACATAATGCGGTAATTTAATTTACCATTAAAGTGGCTTCAAGAAAACTCGTGGGTAGAAACTTCCTACAGTTCAAATAAAATTTTAATTGCAGAGGATATATTCCCATACAAAAATTTATCTGCAAATACCGTTTACCATAAAATTTTTATTAAAGAATTGGTTTAAGCGTTTTGCATGGACCACACGAGGAGTTTTGAATCGAGGTAGACCCACCAAAATTAAGAATAATATTAAAAACTTGGCGGATGAGCCAGATCAGTCGAAATTTACAAACCATTTATTCTTATTTTTACTCTCTACGCAGTCATAGTTGAATAATAGGTAAAACAATTTGTTAAAGGGGAAAATAGGTTAAGAAATACGAATTTTAATGAATTCGAGGATAAGGTTAAAAGGTCGGCTTGACGATGAAATACTATGATTAAGAAGATTGAAGATTGAAGAGAAGAAGCTTGGAAAAAGTGCTATTCTACGTAATTCAACGTGTTTTATCGGAAAATCGACGTTTCGAAATCCGGTAAAGTTTGCTTCAGGGTAAAAAAATCGGATTTTTTGTGCCGATTTCTGGATTTTTCGTAGTTTTTCGGGATTTATTTATTGCTAATTACTTCTCGCAAACTTTGCTGGCAATTTTTTCAGAGCTCTTTTCTCGTCAAATTAAGCCCCTCCAACTTCTTTCATTCAGGCCGAGTACTTTTCGCCTCACCCTCGTATTTTGCTCACAATTGACGTTCTACAAGGCTAGCGGAGAGCACACACCAGTTTGCCGTACACATTTCAACAGCTAGGACCTCTATGTATCAGAAATCTTTTCTGTACAGAACCGCGACACTATGGAACACACTACCATCAGAAGTGTTCCCAGTTGGTTACGACCTTCAGAGGTTTAAGACCAACATTAACAATTACCTACTAAAAACGCCTCGGGGCGCCTGAACAGGCGTTATAAGCTTCGTCTTTTCCCGAGTCGTGTGCATAAAAAAAAAAAAAAAAAAAAAAAAAAAAAAACAATTAGATAAATTTTTTTTGTAATTAACTCTTTTTATTGACATAAAATTACGAAGTATTTCATCATAAAAAGTGGAAATGCATTATAGCCCGCAGAAATAAAATTTCGTGACAAATGCGTAGAACGTAATCCAATTAATAACATACCAATATACGATTGCGCGAGAGACCTTTTCCTTCACGTCTAAACAATAAAAAAAATCCTCGGCAACGTCCCCGAGGCGGATGCAAATGCACACCTGTTTTTACAACGATTCATAGCTGCGAGTGATGCGATATGTTACAATAGGAAAATACCAATTTTTTAATGTTTCCTTACTCGCTGCTATCATCGTGCCGCGTAAGATTATAACGAGCAGTTTACAGTTTAATCAAAATCCGCTGAAGGCTCATGCAATGCGCGTAATTTATTATTAGAATACATTAAGCCTCCATAATGTACAGAGAGGATTTTGAAACACACCAATTTAAAAAAAAAGTATATTTAAAAGCGCATTTATTTTTGTTGTAACGAGTCTTTTAGCGAATGAAAATTGGTGAGCTAGAGCTGGAGAATCGAAAGCGACTTACCGTCGTCGTATTCTTCGGAATCATCGTACTCCTCCAAGAGCAAAGGGCTATCAGCCCTGGTGACGGGATCATCAGCGTGGGTGAAAGGCACCGCAGGAGTCGGAGCTGGTACGGGATGTCGTCCTTCGGGACCCGGTGAAAAGTGGAGCTCAACGGCGCCGTCCAGCGGGAACCTGTGATCTGCAACAATTAATTAATTCATTAACGATGAGTTGAGATGAGTTTTTTAGCAGTGTATAATACCATTGCAAGCGATGTCTAACTCCTGTCGCGTGAAGCTCAGCGTGTGATCGGAGACGGCGCACGTGTGGAATTGGCACGCGAAGACGGTCTCTCTGCCGATGTCGCCCCGGTGGTAGCACTTTATGAGTATATCGCCTCTCAATTGCAAACCTCTTCTACCCTCGCCGTTGATGTTCACGGTGAATTGGCTTATGCCGCTCGAAACTGAGTATACTCCTGCAATTGAAAATTGTATACAACATTTCATTATCTTCGACTAAATCTTCTCAATTTTTTCATTTTTTAATACTTTTCTAGTTCGTTTTATGGGTGGAAGATTCCATACAAAGACTAATAGGTTTTGAGAAATTACTCTCAGTTAGGTAGAGTAAGTGCACCAAATATGGACCGGTCTTATAATATGGACCACCGCCATTAAAAAAAAAACGTTCTTTATTTCGAGTTAATGATCATCACACACTAAGCATCACTCCTCCCTTGACCCATCTGGAAGATAAGTCATATTGCAATTAATTGTGTTAGGTTTTAAAATTCTATATTATTCCAATTTTCTGAAAAAAATAATAATCTCAAAATGAATAAGTTTCACAATATGGACCAGGGTCATGTTTTGAATATGGAGTGGCTAAAAATTAATTTTTATATTCTAGAATGGCTTCTAAAACAAAAGAGAAGACCAGACAAGCATGGGATAAAAAACCCAATGGCGGAGGCAATTAAAAATGCAAGAGAAAAGAAAATGGGCTTTATGAATTCTTCCAAAACATACACCCAAAACAAATCACTTAATGATATCACCACCCAAAAACTTGGGAGACAATCAACATTACCGAGTGAATTGGAAGAAGAATTAGTCAATTATATTCTAGAAATGGAAAAATCTGGATGTGGTTCATATTATGTTCACTTTCTGAAAGTTCATAAAAATGATAAACTTTAGGAAATGTTGTTTATTTCAAAGATTTCGTTTTTTTTTGAGAATTTTATTATAAGTTTTTCTTAACTAAATGGTTAAAGAATTGTTTAATATAAATTAAAGCTGATAAAAATTTAAGATTCGACTTTTTATTGACAAAATTGCTTCTGGTGGTCCATATATGGTGCTCTTACTCTACTTTTTTAGTTCGTTCTATGGGTGGAAGATTTTGAGAAATTACTCTCAGTTAGGTAGGTACCAATTGGATAACATCACGCTCAGTACTTTCACTTTCTATGGCGAATAAATCGTCGCCCGGCGAAAGGATATGAGCAAAAACGGCGAATGCACGTTAGTCAACAGCGCTAATAGGCCGTTTAGCGAAAATTAATCGAACACAAAACTCGACACGAAGCTGTCGACATTTCGCAACCGAACTCTCGACACATTTATTCGAGCTTATCGGCATGGAAAATCGCGAATGTAGTGTTAAAGCGAACGCGTGCTGTCAGTCACGGATCGTTGGGGAAGCCGCGAGATTCGTCGTGAGAATAAATTTCTCGCAAATCTTCACCATTAGCGACGAATTCGCCGGTTCTTACCTGACGTGTAGACCGGCGTGTGGCCCTCGTACAGCTTGAGGAAAGCTTTGCAGCCGCCTTGGTGGAAGGACGGCGAGCCCAGGACGGTCACGTGCGTGAGGTACATGGGAGCCGCGTTGACTTTGATGTTGTGCGACAATAGCCCGGCGAAATAATCGATGTATCTAAAAGAATTGAAGATATACAGATTGTTTACGAGCGCTTCTTTCGATCGGTTACCTTTTATTGGATGGTAGAGCGAGCGGCCCGACGTTGTCGTCCAGGAATTTTTTCATCGAAAATCTGTCGAGGGCTTGCTCGGCGCTTCCGCAAATGCTCGAATAATTCATGTACGCCGCTACTATCACTCCCAATTTGTCTTTGTCGCCCCTGGAAAGCATTAACAACAGTTAGTTGTCGATTGAACCACAAAATTTAGTAGATAAAAGTATAAAAGAAGGCGAAGAAGAAGAAGAAAAAGAACGTGAATAGCAATTATTGTATAAGCAAGAACAAGAAGATACCTTGCATGTAATACAGCAATGCGATGTTGGTCACCCGATAGCCAAGAATCGATTTCTTTGCAGATGCTGCACAGCCTCTCCAACGGGGGCGCTAGACCTGGAGCCCAACCTACTTCCTTCACGAATTTGTGCTCGTTTCTAATCGACCTTTTCGGCTCCGACAAATTAAATATCTATTTAAAACAAAACAACCATTAGAATTGTTACACGCTTCCACCTGTAATGTCTCTTTACCATGTAATTATCCCCGTGCTTGTTTCTGAGCATGTGGCCGGCCTGCTGTTGTCCTTGCCTGTAGGAGTGGGGCGTCGCGGAAGCCGGAAACCACATGGAGATGATCCTTTCGGTGACGTAACTGAGGTCCATGCCGCTGCTGTTCGGGTGGCTTCCTCTCGACGACCTCGGCTGGCTGGTGAGAGCCTCTCCGAAGCCATTGTAGGAAGCAGATCGGAGCATCTGCGACAAGAAAATCGGATCAAATGGAATAGTTTCTCGTCGATTTCGGGTGATTTATTTGTCGATAATGATGTAGGTAGCTGCTTTTAGAAGAGGCTTCGGTATTTGTGCTGTCTAAAAGTGTTTACTTCTAATGCACTATTTTTGTTTCTGTTTAAAATCGGTGAAATAATGGGATTTGTTCGAACACGTGGGTCGAGTTACATTCCGGAAAATAAAGAAACCGAGCGAAGAATTTAATTAGGAGAGTGAGTTTTATAATCAATATTGAAGACACGACTATTAACCATTTTGTGCTCGAAAAACCCAATTGATAATTTAAGCTTCTTATTATTTAAGCAATAAATTTGTGAGTATTCGAATACTTGAATAAGAAAACCATTAATAAAAACTTCACGGCTCAAAACAATTATCTGCATCGACTTTATTTCGCAGTTTCACTTTACTAAATGACAAACTGAATTATGTGCAATGTAACAGGTATTCGATTTAAGTCAATTCCTCGAGAGATTATTTAACGATTAAAGCCCACACAGAACAAGTTTATGGAGCTTTTCGAGAACAAAGAGGCTTTAATTTCAACTCGTTTATTATTTTGTAGAACAATAACAATGTTGAATATATTGCGTTAGAGTTGAGGTTGACTTTTTTGCTCTGGTTTGCGGAAACTCTAAATTTATTGCGACTTTATAATCCTTAATATTTTGTAGTGAGTTTAACGAATCTACTAAATAGATGTTTATCAACTTTCCCATCGACTTAATCTCTCCCTAATCGTCCGATTCACCCCACTTACATATTTTTTTTCTAAAAACACAGAACAGTAATTAGAACCCATTATGGTCCGCGCGGATGGGTCGAGTAGAGCGAATTTAAGAACCTGGGAAACAAGTCTTTTTTACGTAAAAAATTCAAAACCATTACGAGATCCATTTAAACTTAAACGTTCCTTAATGTATGGTAATTGGCACTATCATGTCAGTTTTCAGACCACCCAATGTTGCTGTGAGCGTTCACGAAGGTTTGAGTACCAGATTTCTCGATAAAAAAATCTCAAAATTGCCGAATGACAGACGAGCAAGAGGTCTCAATTTCGGTAGCTTTACGATGGGAAATGTATTTAAAAATAACTTAATAGTACCTACATTCTATACATATAAGAATGCTGCAGTAACAATGAATTTTAGTTTAAACAAAAAAATCTGGTTAACTGTAGTTTTCAAAAAATTTAGTTATTTCACCTTAAAATGGAATTTAGCTTTTTTAAACCATAGTAAATTTCGTTAGAATAAAAACTTACCAATTTCACGAAAACGCTCAAATCATGATTCTTATAATACACCAGAAACTGCGGATTACAGTTACATTTTTTGAGCTCCGCGAACATTGTTATTGTAACCGCTGTAATTCCAGTTTAATCGACTGATAATTGGTCACTTTGTTGTTCGAAACAATTTCCATATTAATTGCTTGTTTTTTTTATACATCGCGATTTTTCCAAGATTAATCTTATCATCCGCGGCCTGAAGAGAATAAGGCAATTAAATTACAATGACGTACCATTACAGGGTTTCCTAATAAACTACTTTTTCGAAAATATGCGCGGTGTAACAAATCGGTATTTGATGCACAACACGTTTCATGTTATCTGTAATGCAAAAACAACAAAACCGGACATTTACGAGACAACCGATGATGCAGTGATTGACGTGTTGTTTTTAGTAATATCTCGGCAATCTCGTAACATTAGACTAAACGTCGATTACCAAACAAATTACTCAATATTGTTCACGAAGCCTTGCTGTATTTAATAATTGTTGAGGCGATGTTTTAATTACTGTTGATGGATGCATAACATAATTGAAATTGCTACAGGATTAGATTATTATAAATAATGAATGATTCGTTTTTTTGTTGTGCAAGATCAGTAAAGTCAGAATTCTTATCTTTCATTGATAATGTAGGAGTTGTTGAAGTAGGAAATTTTTGGAAAAAAATAGAAGTATACACATTTTAGTGAAGGTTCTATTTTCACAAAAGGCTTGCTGTTTGTTTTGAAGGATTTTTTAGGTTTTTTTTTTAATTTTTTAGAACATTTATAGGTATCACAATTTATTAAAAACATATCTAAAGTATTTATCTAGGAGTCCTTTAAAATTTAAAGTTAGTACAAAAAAGTCAATTCAAAAATAATCTAAATATTAAATAACATAAAATTAGATATAAAAAAATTAAAAATTATTATGTATGATATAAAATTAAATACTCTAAAAAATATTATCTTTATATTATCTTATCTTTAATAATTATAAAATTTAAATTTGATTTAAAATCTTTTAATATACCAACCATTTCAAAGCATAAACTTCGAAGAACTTTCATTTCTCTATTACCAAGATACTCATAAAATCAAACATAAACTTATAGGCACACGTAAGAACAGTTAAAACATTATTTTCTTCAACTTCTACCGATAATCATTATAGTAATTAAATTTACAAACCAGATAAACTGGATGCTTGACATTTACCCACACTTTCGTAAAAACTATGAAAGAATTCAACTTTGCCTCATTAACATTGTAATTTGAATTTATAAGATCTAACGTTGCATGTATATGATAATATTTCCGACGAAATCATGTTCTGGAATATTACTCTCGATAGAACGTGATTCTCGGTTTTTCCGGTCGACTAGCCGGGATATTAATAATACCTAATAAAGTGAGTTTCCTATGCCCGTGCTCGACGCTGCGAAATTAATTTCCATTTAACACACCCGATCGGAGACGAGTCCGATTTTTTACGACAGATGTAGATGCTTACATAAATTAGAAACGAAACGGCGCGGGGAGAAAGTTCAATAAGATTAGCGTAAACGCAACCACTTGGGTCAATTTGAGTGCACATCTATTCGAATGGTATACTTTACCATTGTCAAATTAGAGGAAAAGGCTAAAGTTTCCAATCTTATGTAATAATGTATAATTCGTTGAGAATTGCTGAATAATTTCCAGCGGTTCGGGAGAAATTGAAAGACGAGATTATTATACTGAATTGGCTAGAAGTAAGTTTGTTGTATACCCAAAGGAAATAAAAGTTAAGTTAAACCGTTATTTAGAAAGATCTTTTAATGTTATGTAAATATCCCTGAATTCATCCCTGAATTCATCTCTGAACTCCCTTATCCCTTGAATTCTTGTTCTTGTGGTTTATGAACCTTAATTTTCAACATTGTTGGAAGTTCGCTTAAATTCTCGTTTTTTTCCAAGTTACATGCTCTTATTCAACTGAATAGTTCGCTGGAAAATACTTGCATTTATTCTTCTTACGATTCACGCACGCTTGTGATGAACAGACATCGTAAATATTATTAATATAATTATTTATTGCTGTACTTCCTGGATTTATGATATCTTTAACTATTTATAGTGCACTCTTTAAAGTTTACTCGTTTTTTTACTTAATTTATCTCTTATACGTGCAAATTTTTATTACATAAAACTATAAAAAAAACATTAGACAACTCTATTATCATCAAATATTATACAAGAAACCTGTTTGATATTAAACTGCTGAACGATTGTCCTTGCATGACTAAACGCATTTAAGAATTTCTGTCACGTGCTCGAGCACAGTTGGCGTTTTTTGGCATTAAATTAAGATATTATCAGCGCTGAAATTATTTCATTCTCTTTTGCCTGTCCGACGTTCAAAATAAATGTTCCATGTAAATAACTATACAAATACCTCAAGTGCACGGACGACCGGTTTGCAGAAATGATAAAGCCGAGAGATCGCGGAAAATGGCAAATAATGATGCGCTAGGAATGCCCGCTTTTAGGGAATTTGTCGCTGAAAATTATATGCTAAGTTTCGATATTGAATGTTGGGAAATGTTGTATTAAAATTCAGTTGAATATCTTGTTATTTTAGAATATTACCCTCTTTCACACTCCTAAGGGTTGAATTGAAGAATTTTTTTCAAACGAGAGAAATTTAATTAGATAATACTGTAAAAGCAGTTTCGTTCCCAATAATATCTACTAAAAATACAATGTGATAATAAGCAAACTTTTTACAAAAAAAAACCTTAATATATTCCCATAAACAGCCCAGTTAATTAACCGAGAAACAATTTAAAAAAACTAATTAACTCACCTTATTTAAGTCATGGCCGTTTTTCAGCGACTCATCGTGAGCGTGCTGGAAAAGAGAAAAAAATCACAATTAGCATACTGGCCGAGCCTATTTTACTCAATATAATGATCAATATTTGCTCAAACTATCAAAATACATCGTTAAATCAGTAGACAAACTCTCTCCGGCGCCGTTTGGCATCCATCGTGGGCGCGGTTTTTCCTCATATAGAGGATGCTGTATTAATATATTCCTATTTTTTAGGATTCCACACGTCACAATATTCATACAAGATACAAAAGAGAGGTACTGGATGTTTTATAAAACCAATTAATTCATTCTAAATAGGGAATATACTCGAGGTATAAAATCAATTGGTTCATAGACAATTGATTGATAGACAATTTGATAAAGTATCAAATCAATTAACGAACAAGCTCGGTGTATACTAACACATCAGGCTTTACCGGTAAGCGCCGCTTTAACACGTCGACCGGCGCTCGGCTTTCGTCGATTATTTTTTCAGCTAATCAATCATCGCTGATAGGATCTGTCGGTCGCGAATCGCACAACAACCCGCGGCTCGCACAGCGATTTATGGCGATATATTCAGGTGTTCCATTTGCAGTCGTAAATTTCGCATTATATTTTGATTGCCACGAAAAACCATTACGTGCAGGCCGTTTTGCGCTGCGGCCGGTCGCCCGCGGTTCCGCGGGATCCCGTCGATAAAATACGAACTCAAACGCAGAAACGTTCGAGAAGATCAATGGGTAAATGCAAATGTTGTTCCTGATTCGTTATGTTGCGATTTGTTTAGGCGATTTTCTCGTTGTTTGGCTTTTTTCCACAAAATGTACGAAGATGATCTTGAACTATCCACGATTGGCATTGAAGAAGATTACACTAGTTAACAAGGATTTGTGCAAAAAAACTTATTTTTAGGATAATGGGAGCGATGTATTTTTGGTTAATGAACAAAAATTTGTAGTAACAAAATATATAGAGCATCACATAACTAAAATATAGATACTAATAAAATCGATCGTTTGCTTTACTGGAATTTAATGTCTGTAACTGTCATGTAACGCATGAAAATTAGATATGTTGAGCATTAAATTATTGTTTTTTGTATGATTTTGGGTAGGTTTTGCATATAAATGTCCAACAATAATCTCCTCGCACACCAATTAAAACTGTCTCGAAGTATTCAGAACGCTCCAGAACCATTCAGAACTACCTAGAACCACATAGAACAAATCTAGAACCATTTAGAACGCCCCAGATTCATTTACAACGCCCAAAAATCATTTAGGGCGCACCAGAATCATTTAGAACGCACCAGAATCATTTAGAACGCTCCAGAAAATTAAAACTGTCTAGAAGAATTTAGAATGCTTAGGAAACATTTAGAGCTGCCCATAACCATTTATAGAACTGTTAGAACCATTTAGAACGCTTCAGAACCATTAAGAACTGACTAGAACCATTTAGAACGATCCAGAACCATTTAGATGTCTTTTTAATCATTAAAAATATCATGATAATTCGATTGGTTAGCCCGAAAGAGAAAATTGAAGCGTACTGCATAATAAATCCATTACTAAATGAGACATCATACATATCAATTTAGGTACCTACAAATCAGCAATCGAGTTGCGTTTGACCGAAGAGAATTCAGCGCTCCTAATTTTCCGAGAAATTACATATTCCAAGCAAAGAACAAAAGTACTGCCTTAAAAAGCAGTACCCACTCGACGCGAATCGTACGCTCGATCTCGTGGGAAACTAACCAAACGAAGCCGCATTACTCCGATGCAATATTAATTATTTAAATGGCAGCCATATATGCATTCTCTATAAGGATATGGGTATGCAATCGTCAGTATGGTGGTACTGATGGCGCCTGAGGTTAATGAAAAAGCTCGGAAAAACGCTTTATTTATTCAATTCTTAGCTCGTATGTAAACAATAAAAGTATTTCCAGGAACTTTAGAGTATGGCACTATAAAGTATCTAGGAACTGAAAGCTCTAAAGTATCATGAACTTTTAGTTTAAGATATTTTAAGAACTGTAATATATGACAATATTGAATTTTAGTGCTTAAATAAATTAATTACAACCGAATTAACGACCCGTAAAGAAAAATATTCCTGTCCAGATTAAAGGGAACTTTTCATATACCGATAATACACCAACTCGACTTCTGTTTGCCAAGCTCCTAAACGATATTTTATTTGTTTGGCTTTCCCCACGGAGCAGTTTATTTCCTCTCGGAATATGCACTAAAGAAAATATACTTCGGCGGTCTTTAGATGTCTCGAATTTTAGTTGGAGCAAAAGTTTGTTTTATCGACCCACCGACAGGGTTGGAACCGATATTTCTAGCCCCTGCATGTATGTAAATATAATTCTGAAAATCGAGTACTCAAGCCGACACTGCATGGGATTTACAAGGTGTTGAAAGTCAATATCCAATGAGAAACGGTATGAAAAAGGAATCAGACTTCAATTCCGCTCGGTTTAGTCTGGTTCGGAATTAATAAACAACTCATTTCTATCGCTGCGAGGACTTTAAAAAACAAATTTAATCCGGCTCGGTGTTTTAGAGGATTACGCAGAGGTGCGAATGCATTTTCCCACATCGAAGAAGTTCTTTTAGGTCAAATAAGTGGGCAGGATGAAACTAATTGTTGGATACTAAGTAGGTAATCACGTTTTAATTAATGGCTAATTAAAAAACGATAATTAATTGAAGCTCATTTGTAATGAGAAACTCGTCAAAACGTTAACGAGATGATGCAGCGTGTTCACGAGAAAATCAATCAACGTATTAATTTGAAAAAAGATTAGGTATTTTGTCCTGTGTATTGTTAGGCGCGTCCTATAGGCAAAATTTACAACCTGCTGTTAAGTCACCATTTCTCATAAAATTCATATATCAGTAGATTTATCTGCAATGAAATTGTTGGGGACATTTTCATAATAATCCTTTCTAATAAATCACAATCAGTTGGCGAAGCAAAGCCATTATCCAGGTCGATTTCTGCGCGGTGACATTAACAATAAATATTAGATATTAGATTCATATACGGAAGTTAGAATTAACAAATCATTTTGGCCGTGGGAACTTGACGTGAACAAATATACGCCGAATAACGCAGTCATTACATATTACATGTCGCTAACGACTTCTTACTTCTTACTTCTTACCTCGTCCATATCGAGAAAATTCCTATTTATGCTTATTAACATCTCAGCCGGTAAATCTCGCGTGAATTTTTTAGCGGTTTTAAAGCCGCCGTGTTAAAATGATGTGATTATGACCTGCGAATTGCGTGTAAGGTGCGAGATTAATAATGATTACCATCAATCTGATAGGTGCAATTTACACTTCGGTAATACCAGGTAAATCGTACAGACTTTTTATTAAGTTGGTAATAAGTGTAAAAAATTGTTGGTAACACTCATTTATTATTTCAGTGGCGCGTTTATTCAATTGTGGATCGAAATCGATTTGCTACAACTGATTGAGTGTAAGCAATTTTTTTACTTAATAGGTCTATTAGGTAGATTAATTGACTCTCGTAGAAAAATAAATTGCCAACCTCCCAATATAAAAATATCACTTCATTTATAATCACAAAAATATCATATAACATGTGCCGGTATGGCGCTGATCGAAATCACTCAGGTGTAGCATTAAAAAGATTTTTACCTGTACAGAATTATTTTCCACGTAAAACGACACTTGCCAAATAGCGAAAGCGATGCGGTAAAGCAATTTCGTGGCGAAATCATTTTGAAATCCGTTCGCGGTAACGCGATTTTGGCAACAGCACTTTAACGATAAGGTTAAGTTCGATTTTTTAATAGACATTTATCGCAATATCAGTCTTTACTTTTAGCGAAATCCAATAAACAACAATGTATAAAAAAATAGTCGTGGAATTTTCACTGGTAAACTTCGAGCGCTTCCCGTTAACAAACTTTTCCACAGTGCCGATGCTGCAATACTAGACACGCCCCGCGTGTCACGCTCTTGCCAGAGATGCATCCCGAACCCGGAGTGCTCCCCCTTCCCGGAAAAACCGGCAAAGACTTTCCGGCCTCTGTCGGACAAATTCGGCAGCGGCACGGCCGAAATTCCTAATTTACCGCCGCGACGGTGTTTTCCCAATCTCGGTTTAAAGCGGAATTGCCAGGGATATTACACGTTTATCCCAAGGGATTAAGATCTTTACCTCATTACGTGGAGCGCTGGAGGCTGAGATTCGGAAATCACCGTATAGTGGTAATTAAGCGGTATATGCTGTATGCCACAAATGATTAATGGCATAACAAATCAAATCGTCGAAATTACTTTGTAATTCAACAATCCGTTTTATAACACCTATTTGCAATTTCTATTTCTGGCTATTAAGTCATGCGATTAATAGTAAACCGCACCGTTAAAGGAACACGAGTACACTGAATTCTTGAATAATTGCTTGGTTGTCTCGTTTGGATTTAATTTGCGGATGTTGGAAAAAGGGTTTATAGACTTTGGAGAATTCCAAATGTGTGTTGGTGTTCGCTATAAATGTCAACCGTGTGCTTTTTTCTGAATTTACTGTTCTTCGGTGTTTACGTGAGCGCTCATATCGAATGGCGACTGTCGAGGGCTCAGCTTTGAGGTCAAAGTACCAAACAATAACCAACATACAAGTTTTTGTATATTATTTAGTTTATAATATGTATGTTAATGACACTATGAAAGTACTAGGATACTACGAAAGTATACGTTTAGATATGTGAACATCAAATTATATTTTAAGAGCATAAATAAAATTTCTTTATTTGAAGCTCTTTATTATTTTTCTAGTGCTTTATTTCCTTTTTCACGGCTCATCATACAGATATTTTCTAGGTACGTGGAATTATTTATTAGAATCCTTGACATATTAATATAATTTTCCTATATTAGACACACGTGTTCTTTTATACAGAGATATACTCTATTTTGTTCTTATTTTTAAGCGGCACATCTAAAACTATGTAAAAACAAGGTTATCAAGAATAAAAG